TGGATGGGTGGATGGGTGGATGGGTGGATGAATCGATGAATGGATGGATGGGTGGATGGATGGTCGGATGGATGGACGAACGAATGGATGGATCGATGGATGGATGGTTGGATGGATGGGTGGATGGATGGGTGGGTGGATGGATGGGTGGATGGATGGATGGATGAACGGGTGGATGGATGGATGGATGAACGGGCGGATGGATGGATAGATGGATGGATGGATGGATGAACGGATGGATGAACGGATTGATGGACGGATGGATGGATGGATGAACGAATGGATGGATGGATGGATGCATGGATGCATGGATGCATGGATGAACGGATGGACGGATGGACGGACGGATGGATGGATGGATGGATGGATGGATGAACGAATGGATGGATGGATGGATGGATGGATGGATGGATGGATGGATGGGTGGATGATGGGTGGATGGATGGGTGGATGGGTGGATAGGTGGATGGGTGGATGGATGGATGGGTGGATAGGTGGATGGGCGGATTGGTGGATTGGTGGATGGGTGGATGGATGGATGGATGGATGGATGGATGGGTGGATGAACAGATGGATGGATGGGTGGATGGATGGATGGATGGGTGGATGGGTGGATGGGTGGATGGCTGGGTGGATGGCTGGGTGGATGGCTGGGTGGATGGCTGGGTGGATGGCTGGGTGGCTGGATGGCTGGGTGGATGGATGGATGGATGGGTGGATGGATGGGTGGGTGGATGGATGGTATGGATGTATCAGTAATGGAATGGTGGATGGATGGATGGACGGATGGATGGACGGGTGGGTGGATGGATGGATGCATGAATGCATGGATGAATTGATGGACGGACGTATGGAAGTATGGACGGGTGGATGGATGGGTGGATGGATGGATGGATGGATGGATGGATTGATGGACAGACGTATAGATGTATGGATGTATGGACGAGTGAATGGATGGATATTGATAGGTAGGTAGATAGACAGAAACTCTAGATCCTTGAGCTTGCCACGGCAACTGCTGTTGGTGTGCAATGGCAAGGGCGAAAATGGGTCATTTTGCACGTAATGTGCGCTCACAATAATGTACGTGCAGCGTTTCCGACATGGCATAGTTTCAAATTTTGAGATCTTCTATTTCTACACGTCGGGGTCTTAGGGGCCATCCAAGGTTACCAATAGTATTTTCAAAATGAAAAGTTTTTGTACATCAATATTTTTATTCGAATTCGTTTTACCTGCAGGAAGAATGGGCGAGCAGGGGCTGAAAAATACTAAAACTTTTCGTTCTGTAAAAAGCAATCTGTAACCCCGGACGGCCCCTTAGCTGAGGTTCGACTTAGCCAAGGGTATTGTCTTAGCCTGGTTTTACTCGATATGATTTATGAAGTACCGTGGCTCCTTGGACCTACACCAGTCTACATGCCACCCAGGAGACTGAAGTCTTGATTTCTACCAGTATTTCCCCTTTCAGTTCGTACAAGCTAACTGAAATGGGCTGTACCTGAAAACACTGCCCACTACAGAATGTCGCCAAACTTAGAGGGATATTCCGACCAATTTAGTGCTCGGTTCATACTCAATTTCATACTGCTATTGTGTGCTTCAGGTTTTCGTACATGCACATACATACGCTCCCGCTTGCTTTTGCTACAAAAAAGGCCAGGTTTGCCACTTGTAAATTGTTCTGACGATGGGTGACTGGCCCAAAATGTCAATAATTTTTCAACATCACAGTAAAAGAATTTTCAATGCAGAGCATGTGCAGATTGTTAATAGCAACTGAATAGAGCAGTTGTGAGTTGACAAACCCCCTTTTCTTTCATAATGCAGTTGATGTCCACAACATTCTTAGTGAAATGTTGTGCTGCTGAGGATATTGTACACCACGATTATGCCTGAATGGCAGGTATCATGCTTTGCCGAAACCCACTTCCCTGGAATCTGACGGTTAGCTGAGTGCCAATATGACTGGGTCGTGCTGAACAATAGCACCACACACACACACACTCTCACACACACACACACACACACACACACACACACACACACACACACACACACACACACACACACACACACACCGTGACACACACACACACACACACACACCGTGACACACACACACATACACACCGTGACACACACACACACACATAACCCTCACACTACTAGAACACAAGCGGATACGGTGTTGCGTCTTACAAGTGGAGTTGCACGGACAATCTCGTCTTTCTACGTAGTGTTCGCCGCATTCGGTCGTGTTCACCAGCTCCGGTGGTGGGTCGGCCAAGCATTGGCGAGTATACATAGCAGGCTGACAGAGCACACATGGGGATGTCCTCTCCCAATTTGACCAGTGTGGTGGTACTGCGGAGAAACACAATGGAGACAATCGTTCGGGCAATCTGTCGCTTCAACCTTATAGTTACTGATAGGATATCCAGTGGGGTGAAGTCACAACAGTCTACAGTCTATATATTACTGCAAGTCAGTTGGTGCCAGAGTATGCACAATGATAATCTCTGATCTGATGACTTGTTTCTGATCTTCAGTTCTAAGCATACTCTCACTCTCACCCATGCACCCCGCCTACGCACACCCACGCACAAAATTACACCCCACCACCACAGACACGCACACAAGCGCGCACACATGAAACAGCCCCCCCCCCCCCACACACACACATGCACACGTGCACACATCTGCACAGTTACCACCATAAGGACATCAACCCGATTCCGAAAGGCTCTTACAGCACTCTCTCAGATAGCAACGCTGGACATGTGTGGTGTTCCTCGGCACGCAGTCAACTCCACCGTTCTGTGGTTCGATGCAGTAACGCGTGGATACCCTGGTGCCATTTCCACAGGCCGCAGAGCAAGCTCCAGTTTGCCATGGCGACCAGGTTCCATTTACTGTGGGTGTTGAGCCGCAGCGGCAAAAAAAGACGCATACATCCGTTACACATAGATCTATTAATCAAGTCTATACATAAATAATTTAAATACAAGGCTTCTTGCAATAATGAAGTCAAGCAACCTATCCCTCATCCCATGATGAAAGCGCAGTCGTACCATCATCAAAGCATTGTATCATAGAAAGAAAGAGAGAGAAAGAAAGAGAGAGAGAGAGAGAGAGAGAGAGAGAGAGAGAGGGGGGGGGGAGGGAGAGAGAGAGAGAGAGAGAGAGAGAGAGAGAGAGAGAGAGAGAGAGAGAGAGAGAGAGAGAGAGAGAGAGAGAGAGAGAGAGAGAGAGAGAGAGAGAGAGAGAGAGAGAGAGAGAGAGAGAGAGAGAGAGAGAGAGAGAGAGAGAGCTAAATGCACACCAGAGTGATGGATGGTGATTGACTCCATCAATCCCAAGCAGTGTGAATCTCTTTCCTAACCTGTTTTTTTTTTAACGAATATCTGCCCAAACTGAGTCCTAAATGACCATGATTCCCACGGCTCCTTGTGTCGACAAATGTTTGATGCAGTGTGTCTGGTAACAAGTCCAAGTCGTACCATCCCCTGTGCATGCTGTGTCTGGGCACAATTTACGTACTGTACGGTGTATCATTGAACGTTAAAATTGCATTCATGCAGCGAGCATGGTCACTCCACATTCAGCATACATCATCCCGTACACTTGTATTGCTATAATCTGTATTGCTATAATCTGTATTGCTATAATCTGTATTCTTTTTGTTTGTATAAAGTTACTAGTAGCTGGAGTCACGACTGCTCAGTTACTAGTGTGTGTTGAAATCGTTACAATGTCATGGTGTTCAAAGTGGCGGATGATCCCTCGTCACCGCTATACATTCCTTCCCACAGCAATTGAGTTCCCCTGCACACGCCGGCATGGAAGCTACAGTTTGTTCGTGTGGACTACCAGCAAGTAAACTACCGTACTTAAGTCCTCTGGTAAAGTGAAGACTGCAACTTGCGCTGCACTATGAGCATGGAAGCCAGTAAAGCCTCGGCGGTGCTTGAGCACCAGCTAACAGTTACATGTAGGTGTGTCAGATGACACTAGACAAACCTTAGCAATGCGAAGACAGCAGTGCCTATATGACTGAGAATGGACTACATTTAGTGAGAACATAAGCAGCCATGCACAGGTCCATTATAATGAGAACCCAAGCTTTACCGCCATGCGCCTGTGTGAAGTGGTCTAAGAAATATGCCAGCTTCGCCAAGAGACTTACCAATTATGAACAGAAAGGTCTGGATCTCACCCAGCAGAAGATAAGATAGTGTCAGGTTGATATCTCTCTTGGCCACCACTCTTACCTACACAGATATACAGACAGACAGACGACAGCTAGTCGGTGACAATAATAATCACAAACCGATGCTTGATCCAGTCAAGAAACGTGACGCATAAGAGGAAAGTGTCTGGATCATTGCACACAGAGACAGAACTGATCACAAGCGAATGGACGTTTTGACCATACTGGTCAGAAAGAATAGAAAGACCGCCAGACAGACAGACATACAGAAAGACACGCACGCACCTCACAGAGAGGTACTTGGGGGATTGTTCCATCGCTAGATTATCTGCAAGGCACAGGATGTATCTCTGCCTATTTGTTTCATTAAACTGTAGGCTGCCTTGTGGTACACTGATGTCGCATGCTTTACTCAGTTCTTCTTCAAGATGGACATCGATAGTGATGGTGACTTGCTGCTATGGTGTCAGTGCTGGTGGTGTAAATGCGGTTGATGGTGGTTATTCAAAAACTACTTCGTCTCCTGATAATTTTCTGCGGCATGAAACTTGAGTCAAGACAGAGACATTCCTGTCTTTCACAGGGTCTTGGTGATACCTCAATGCCATGTAGCCAAGCGTCCACGGGGAATGCTCTATTTTGTGGATATCACTTCTTTGTTTCAATGGGTGCGTGTGTTGGCATCATGGCCACATCCACCAGCTTATTGCACCGGTTTCATGCTCCTGTTGCTTTCCAAGCAGTCCAATGAATGGACGGGGCAGATGCAGGCGGGTGAGTGCCAGTAATGGATGGTGGTTGTGGTGACCGCAGTAATGTGTGTGTGGGGGGGGGGGGGAGGAGGAGGAGGAGGAGCGGAGATATGATTGTATAGGATGACCGAAGGTGATACGAGACATACACTTTACCTTCGTGCGCAGAGAAGAGTATCTGAGTCTTTCTGGAACTGTGACGAAGAAGCTAGTATTTTCAATCTGAACGAAAAGAAATATTGGCACATCAAACAACATAGGGTTATTTTTATTAAACAGCATCAAGTTCATAACCAATTTCATCCTCTGGAGTGGCGAAGTAGCTGTCTGTAGAGGGTACCTGGATGCAATTGTCTCAACAGAATTATACTGCCAATGTGTGTGATACGTGTCCATGTAGACCACACTGTAGTGTAGTGGATTCAGCCAAATTCACCCTCCCTCCCCCCCCCCCTTCCTCACTAGCTAAAATTCTCTGACTTTCCACTCGTCATGATTGGTTACACCACAACGCAAGTCAGTTGACAAGGCTTCAATGCAGCTACAGAGTTCTCAAGATTTTCTGCACAAGCCGCTGAAAGCCAACAAGAAAGGCTTCCATTTTGACAATAAGCCTGTACTTAGCACTACCAGAGTACAGTGCATTTAAGAGTCCCGTACTGTGTCCGTACCGGCCATGCAGTGAAGTTTGCTATGATGTCATCGTCATCCTGCAGTGACGTCACCAGAACATGGTACCCGATGTACGTGACGTTGACTGTGCCCTCAGATGTCACCGGGAAGCGGGGCTTGGAGAGAATATCAATGCTGATCCCGTCATCGCTTGAGTTCTGCACCATAATGTCGGGCCTGAGAGGAACTTAAGCATACAAACAGATTGGCAAAATTAAATTCTGCAGGGAAAGAGTACTTGATCTTTCAAGATCACTATAGACTATGTTGCTGTCAACCTCAAGTAAAAAAGGTACTTTGAATAGAATATACATGTACTATGAAGAACATTATAAAGTGAAACCTGTAAAGGCAGCCACTCTGGTAAGGTGACCACCTGGCCCAGAGGGCCACCACAGCTAGGACTATTAAAGGTATGTTGTTGTTTTTTCAGTCAAATGACCGGCCCGGATGAGAAGACTGCCTGTACGCGGGGAGCACTTTTGTAAGGTTCCTGGAGCGGTCGCCTTAGACAAGCTTCACTGTACAACGCAGACTACAATCGTCATGTAAGAGACATAACGCCCTGGGCTTTCTCGAGTACCATGCATTATATTGTACCCACGCCAGTCACCTTACTTTGGACACAGAATACCTCGGCTATAGAGAACAGGTTTTTTATGGCCCATGGAAGTGCATGTATGTCAGTACAGGTACGGATGTTTCACCATTGTATGACTTGTATGTTTACTCTTATGCAAGAAGTCATACGCAAAGTGAAAAATGATCGGCAACACTTTTAGGGGCCTGTCCAAATTGTCACCATATATCACGACCATACAAACCTACAACCATATATGCGCTCACAGAGAAAACACGCCACCTATGGCCCATAGGTACCATAGTGACTTCATTGTGTGTGTAATAGGAGGTCTCAGAAAGTCTACGCTTCGTGCGGTTGCGATGAATGGTGAAATGTAGGGAGAGCCCTTACTCATTCTGGTACTAGTTAGGTATGCTTAGGATTTAAAAATATCCCAAATACGCTTGTCTCCAAACAGCATGCATAGTAACCACACTCCTTACCACAACGTTCGAGGCAATGATCGGGAAGGCAATAGTTCTCAACGCAGCCTACATCAACAGCGTAGCAACAACAATAGCGAGTCAGCTAGCTAGCACAGTTCAAGTCTCTGGAGACTTCCAGAGTGTACTGTCAGTCACCCAGCAATCGTATTTTCCAGAGTATAGCCGCACTTTTTAAAAACATTCGCAATTCACCCCAAAATGTCAGTGCGGCTTTATACTACGACGGTCAAATGGATGCTGATACTATAAGGTAGATGTCCGTATTTCGTGACAAAATCTGGGTGCGGCTTATGCTCCAGTGCGGCTTATGCTCCAGTGCGGCTTATGCTCCAGTGCGGCTTATGCTCCAGTGCGGCTTATGCTCCAGTGCGGCTTATGCTCCAGTGCGGCTTATACTCCAGTGCGGCTTATACTCCAGTGCGGCTTATACTCCAGTGCGGCTTATACTCCAGTGCGGCTTATACTCCAGTGTGGCTTATACTCCAGTGCGGCTTATACTCCAGTGTGGCTTATACTCCGGTAAATACGCTAGATACCGTAGATACCCGGGCAACCTTGCCACTCTATAGAATGCTCATGGTGGGAAACATTGCCAACTGTCAACTTCAAAATCGACTATAATGCAAGTAGCACACCTTTCCATGTTCAGCAGCAACATGATACGACGACAAGGGTACTAGGAGTAAAAACTCTTCTCACTGATATGCTGCCACTTCCTTCAACACTCGGAGGCTCCACTGCAGCCAATCATTCATGTCTCCAACACCTTCACAGCCAAAGTCTTCCACTGCAATAGAAATTTATTAAATTAGTCTCCATGTGAAGTTCAATGTTTGCCCATGGGGCGAAAATTTGGAGGTACGATACTCCCTGATGAACTGCGGCCCCAAGGGCGAACAATTGGAGACCAACTGAAGTGCAATTGCAGTGGAAGACCATTGCTGTGAAGGTGTTGGAGAGCTGATATGTGCAGCCAGCCTTAGGAAAAATGTAATACCTTACTTTTCAAAAGGATGGTGCCTGATACTATCTGTCTACCCGGTTCTGTTGCATTCACCAACGGCAAAGCCGTGAACTGTGATTAGGGGCACACACACACACGCACACACACACGCGCGCGCGCACAAACACACACACACACACACACAAGAATGAGTTCAGTTGTATCACCGCAACCATCAGCGCACAGGGTCTAGTCCCTGGTTCAGTCTGAGAATGGATCAATGTACACGGTCGGCATGCAATTTCCACTTTGAAACGGATACACAAACAAGCACAGTGTAGACACATAAGTGCAATTATACTGACTGCCTGCCATGATCTCTGGACAGCTATCTGTTTCAACCTTGTTATGCAGCCTCATTCGCAGAGCTCAGAGTGACAGATCATGATGAAAAAAAACTGAAATTTAATTATCACGTCCGTTCCCGAAAGGCAACTCACGACAGCCGCTAACACCCGGTAAACCCATGGTTCGTGAAGTCGAGTGAATAACAGAGAATGTTGCGATTATAGATTACCAGCGGTGCAGTTCCCATTCAATGGGTTAGCGAGGGCGACCGACAAATCTCCACTGTATTGATTGACAGGTACAGGTACAAACATAGAAAAGTACCAACTACCGCTGCACATGTTTTTCCGCAAGCAAATGATTTACCAGAGTTTCCATTTTCCAATATGGCCTTGTCACACAAAATGCAATGGAGAGATCGATTTGTGGTCGCATATTAAAAACATGAGTAGGGGTGGTGAGCTATCCGAGAAGGGGTATACCATCAGAGTGGGGGGAGGGGGAGGGCTGCCCCCCCCCCCCCTCCCCCTGCTAGAACCCTGGTTACAGCACACGTAAATCCTGTGCATTAGCGTAATACATGTATGTGTATAAACTGAACCATTTCCCAAGCCTAGCTAGCAGCTATATACTGGTATTGTACACACAGTGAAACAAACTTACTACTACTGACAGAGCCGGTCGATAGTATACATCGGAGAAGCCAGCACTGGCAACACAGGATTGAAGGCTGTTGTCTGAAACAATCAGCGTTGTCTTGGCCAGGTCTGTCAACGCTATGTACAGACACATGCAGTGCTGTTCAGTGCCGTTCGGGAGGACGAGACTGAACCGAGCGAGACATGCTTCTGGATAGCCATCGACGTCTGAAACATAGACAGGGGGCAGAAAGCAGTTGCCGGTAATGGCACACAATCACCTGTATTGTTGCGGCCCATACAGAGACTACTGAAGACACCACTATACCGGTAGTATGTGATATAGTGGAGCCCAGCTTGCATGTACTCCGGCAGTACAGTCATATACCATGTTAGTGTGGTCACTTCTCATGGTACAGATTTACCTCTTAATCCCGCTCATAAATGTGCACGGATATGGTGTACTCTGCAGAGATGTGTATGTACATCTCGTGGACGGCAGACTTCTGTGTACTTCCGTACACATGGAGCTAGTCTGGCACATGACATACGTTGTGGTGCTTGTGTACGCATGCTAGGCATGTTGGATATGCGTACGTAGTACAGCTGGCTTGCTCTATGCTGTCGACGGCGGGCTTGCGTCGGGACCTTAGCTGGGGGAACCTTTTTATAGCATGCCGCAAGACTTCTAACCTACCATACAAGTAGTAATTTTGTATGTCTGGTGTGTCGCTAGGGCCAACTTTGGAGAAGAACTATCTTGGATGGTAGGTACATTTTCCTGTGCTCAAGGAGCATGTCTTGTCATAGTTCTACTGTACTTTGGTATAGTTAAGTACGTTCATAGTTATTATAGGAGAAGATGCCTACGGAGAGGAAAGGAAGTGCAACTGCAGGGGACCCTCTCAGACTTGACAGACCCGCGAGGGTAGCAGTCAAGAGTGAAGTGGAAGGAATGATAACACCGGAGGCAAGGATATTGCTGTCGCTTGGTAGACCCACGTTTATCCCTGCAAGGAAGATCGGTGAAGGCGTACTAACGGAGGCAGATGCTGGTGTGGAGTGTATGGCGTTTGGCAGGCGATGGCGGGATGTGGCCAGAAAGAACTGTAAAGAGGATGAGCAAGCAGCAGGGTGTAGGAAATCATTCATCCAGATGGATCCAATGTTGAGGAAAACGTCAACAACAATGCAACAGCCACCACTGATGGGAGCCGAAGAAGAAATGAAGACGAGATGGCTCAAGGGAAACTTCGGCACGCTCTACAGGATGGGAGATGAGATTTAGTTCACCTCATGCGACTCGGTCCACGTCGTTACTTTACTAGACAGGGGCACAGCATCATCAAAGACCTCCGCCACAAGAATGATATCACCGTGAAGCCCTTAGACAAAAGCAAGGGATTTGTAGTAGTGACCACGCGCATTGCATCGAGAAAATCACCAATGTGCTCGAGTGTAAAGCCAGCTATGAGGCTGAGTGCAATGCTGCAGCGGGTGACCTGGACATGCAGGGAGTCGGCAGCTGTGACGGAGGATATTACAGCAGGAATTTGGGTATTTGCAGAAATGCAGTCCAACTTCTGGCATCCGATAAATTTACTCCACCTATTCCTTCACCCAGTGCATTCTCGCCTCATTGGGCTATACACTAGGGATATACACTTGGGCTATACACTAGGGATATACACTTGGGCTATACACTAGGGATATACACTAGGGCTATACACTAGGGATATACACTAGGGCTATACACTAGGGATATACACTAGGGCTATACACTAGGGATATACACTAGGGATATACACTAGGGATATACACTAGGGATATACACTAGGGATATACACTAGGGATATACACTAGGGATATACACTAGGGATATACACTAGGGCTATACACTAGGGATATACACTAGGGCTATACACTAGGGATATACACTAGGGATATACACTAGGGCTATACACTAGGGATATACACTAGGGCTATACACTAGGGATATACACTAGGGCTATACACTAGGGATATACACTAGGGATATACACTAGGGATATACACTAGGGATATACACTAGGGATATACACTAGGGCTATACACTAGGGCCAAGAATGTTTATTTTTAACGTTTTTATTGGCCGAGTTTCATCAAACACAGCTGTGCAGCTCCCCCCCCCCCCCCCCCCCCCCCCCGCCCCCTCCCCCCCCCCAGAGTAAACATACATGTACATCCCTAACTGTATAACAACATACTGTAGCCTTGGACTAAGAGCTGCAGATCAGCCATTTTTCACTTAATTTAAAGTGTTCTCCAGGCTCTCCAGATCCATTCGGACTTCGTGGCATGGCTCCGAGGCAAAACAATGTTTCTCACCGCTGAAGGAAAAGAGCAAGCTGAGCTGGCGAGGATGGCTGTTCAGCTGTTGAAAGTTGCCGAGAACAACTGGCACCGGCTTGGGACAACCCCACGGCACCGTCACATCGGATTCATTTCGACAGCCTGCATGGAAAGAGGCACACGGCATGAAGATCGATGTCAACACAACATCCGGAGGTGCTGCAGATGCTGAGTGTCCCTCAGGGATTGGTAAACACACTTTCAAAATTTATGCAGCCAGTTTAGACGGCAGAAACAACCTTTGAAATCTCGATGTGTTCCACATATTCCTCCCCTATGTTCATTATATTATTCGATCTCATGATTCTGCCACTTAGAATAAATTACTTCGAAGTAGTTGTCCGGGACCCTGGCTGCTCCACCTTAATCATGGAATACTCCATAAGTTGCTCCCCACTCTACGGAAAACTGCTGGCTACAGGCAGTCACTGTCCTTTCTGCCGAAACATGATCAAAGAGCTGAAGCACTCTCTTCCTTTTTCTATGGAGCCTCTAACCTTTTCCCCAGGAAGACACAATTGACTGGCTAGTTTCGCTCATTATCGGCTCCTTTTTAAAATGGATTTGGTACAGTTCGTGCTCTCAAGGAAGCATTGAAAGAAGACAACTGCTTGAGGTTAACGGTAAACTGGATCCTCTTTCTCTCCAAACAAAATACAATACATGTAGAATTCATGCACACGATCCCAGAAAGGCCCGGTTACCAAACTCTTACCAGGTCCGTCAAGTTGCGATGTATTACCAGTCGATAGGGAACAGCCGGGTGCTACAGATATTGCATGGCCACAAGTTTCACGCAGAGTGCACAAATAGAAACACAGACAGGCAGACAGATAGACAGACAACATCATACAACCATATGCAGGGTTCTAGCCAGGTCAAAAGACTCAACATAGTGTGTGTGTGGGGGGGGGGGGGGGGGGGGGCAGTTACTAGTACCCAGTAACCCATTTTCCATTTTCAAAATAACTGTCTAGCAATGTGACTACGGGGTGAACACCTGACTTCACCCCAGACAAATGTGCCTTTATGGACCCTCTTGTACATGTAGTGACTATCGACTGCATTTTCGTTGAATGGCTTGAAAAACACAAAATCGGAAAATGAGTAGGGGAGGGGGGGGGGGCGCAAACAGGGTAGCGGGAGGGGCGCTGCCCCCCCCCCCCCTCCCCCATCCCCTTTGGCTAGAACCCTGATATGTGCACATACATACTCATGCACGCACACACGCGCACACACACACACACACACACGAATATTACATATCTGTTCCTGGAGGTGATGAATACTAGTCTTTTGACTGAACCTAGCTAGCTGTGCTGGCTAATGAATTGTTCTATGAACCGGTCACCATGGTCCCAGTCAGAGATACTTACAGCTGGTTGGTGTTGATATCACTGCTGTGCTACACACGAGTACATTCTACAACATACAAACACACACACACACACACACATACACACATACACACAAACACACACACACACACGCACATGTATGCATGTACTTGTATGCACACACATACACGCACACGCGCACACACACGCACACACACACACACACACACACACACACACACACACACACACATGTGCACGCATGCACGCACACACACACACACACACACACACACACACACACACACACACACACACACACACACACATACACACACACGCGCGCACGCACGCACACACACGCACACACACACACGCACACACACGCACACACGCACACACACACGTACATTCACAAAACTTAGACCGTAGACACCAATTGCCAAAGACAATGGTAGCGATGCTACAATGTCAAAAGCCATAGCTATCTTTCCTGCCTGGCAACCACTTCATTGCAAAGATATATTATCATCAACATGGGACTGCCGGGAGCCATAAGCCTGTATACACAACACACACACATACCTATTCCAGTAAACCTGGGCCACTAATACCCTGGGCCATGGGCCATTTTTTCCGATTTGAAAGTTATACATGCACTGGTAACATGTACAGTGTATATGACAGCACATTATGTACATGATGTATAGATCTGATGTAAAATAAACACTCATTCGAAGGCCTACCGACCTACCGACTGGCGACTGGTTCCTCACCCCCCTCCCCTTGGAGGGAGATCTCCCGACCAAAAGAACTTGGCAGGAGTGGATGTGAGTTCTCGTCATCGGCGAACCCCATAGAGGGGATATCCGGAGTTGCACACTCTTGGGAGCTATATTCTTGATAAGATAATAGATAGGGCCGTAGCACCGTGATTTCAGGTGGTCGGGCCAAATGGTATACAGAAATGAGCATTATTGACGAAAACCCCACTTTGCACGATTTGGGTGTGTTCGACTTAATTATGGACATGGCTTGACCGGCCAGACAAGGTGCTACAGCCCTGATAGAGCACTCTTCAGGTACATCATTGCCCATATACAATTAATTATTTCCCATGCATAATAGGGGTCTTAAGAAATCCATTCAGTAATAATAGTTTATCGAGTTTACTATCAATCATGTCCCATGCATGTAGACCTACGGTGCACGGTCCATCCCATGATGTCACTTTGCAGGCCCATTATCGTCGCTTGGCGGTTGGAAGCCGGTACATTATGTAACCTAACACTGGTTAAAAAAACAGTATTAGATAAACCTTGTTATAGTTCACGCAATTTGTTAGATTGACAGCATGAAACAAGGTGGAGGACACTGTGTTCGGAGACAGTGACCTTACTACAACCTTCCGCGGTTGGCAGAGCCCCGGTCCCTGCGGACCATTTGAACCATATGGGTGTCGCACCCGGTTCTGACCCTCATTATGCTAGGGGGGGGGGGGGAGGGGGGTAACAGACTACTCCTGACGTCCGTCCTGTATTCTTCGCTCTTTTCTAGAAGTTTTTTTATACAAGTTGAGGTTTCAGTGGCCGCATGACCACCAGGACGACATAAAGAAAAGAGCGAAGAATACAAGACGGACGTCGGGAGTAGTCCCCTAGCATAATGAGGGTCAGAACCGGGTGCGACACCCATAATAATGGTTCAAATGGTCCGCAGGGACCGGGGCTCTGCCAACCGCGGAAGGTTGTAGTAAGGTCACTGTTTCCGAACACAGTGTCCTCCACCTTGTTTCATGCTGTCAATCTAACAAAAAGCCGGTACATGTACTAGTACTAGTAGTAGTAGTACTACTAGTACTAGTAGTAGTAGTCGGTGGAGGTGGCCGCTGGATCAAAGAGGTAATAACTTCGAAGTATGCGTAGGAGATAATTTCAGAAAAAATACTTTGCGGCACGAGGCTAAGCCTTGACCGTCGGTAAGCTACGTGTATAGACTGTCATGCTCCTTACCTGAACGACGACAATGGCAACCACAGCAAGGACCAACTTGGCTGCGTTCTTCTGCATGACTGGCCCGTTGTTGTAGCACTCTGACTTTTTCCGGTGGCCTGGTCCTCTCCTCGAGGCCTCGCTAGCGGGGAGAGTTCTTCGCTAGCTTTGTTCAGAGCATCTTGGAGGCAATGGACGGTAAATTCCGGTGCCAAGTTATATCTCAAGAGAGATGCTACAACACCAATTTTGTCAGTCGGTCACTAGTCGGAGAGCTAGAGGTCATAGTCATCATGGGCATTGCGACAGAAAAAAGTCATTCATACCAACAATGCGCCAGTAGAATAAAACTGATTTTAGAAAAGGTGTCTACTATTTTAGCGCTGCAGAAGTACTCTGCTCGATCTAACGTTACCACGCCTGGCCTGATACACGATTTGGACGTTCACCGCCATAAACATGATAAATGGATCATGTTGACCACGTGCTGCGGCTTCACCGTCAGTTTGTGTCAGAGAGACGGTCTGGTAGATAAGATATCACCCGATCGCACACTCGCCTTGGTGGAGTGTCCGTAGATCTACCACATATCGCACTCCAACTCCAAGCACGAGCGCGCACATGAATGCGCGGATGGCGATGTTGTCCGGCTAGCTACACTGTGCGGTTTCAGCGGCTTTATCACTTCTAAGTTCTAAGTCACCGAACGCCTCTGTAAAACCGTGAGCTCTGCCGGGATATAATTGTAACCTTTTCTCTTGGCGACTCAATCATGGGACGATTTCCCTGGTCATTATGGCCTAACTTAGCGTGGGAAACCCAAATTCGTTTGAGGATGGATACAAGCAAGTGCAAGACAAAGATAGGAAGAGAGGACACTGTTTAATGGAGCTGTGAAGAGAGAGATTAGCTGTCTACTTCGAGTAGCAAAGGCGGGGTGAAGGCGGAGAACAACATGATTTCTATGTATGTGTAGTAGCAACCACCACCACACGCCCAACACTACCCGATTTCAAGTACCACAGTCCAGTCCGTCGGTGACCATGGTGACAGATCTTCCAAGACACAACCCGCTATGTATCAGGTCCCACCAGATCAGCGTGGAGGCTACTAGTACTACAGTACTAGTAGATCTACTACTAGTACTAGTACTAGTACTGGACAAGTGGTCACGGAATCCTTGGTGAGCGTACCGTCCTCCGCAGCTATGCGTGGAAGATGCAGGGTGCCTGAGGGCCCGAAATGCGGTCTGTAGGACTGGTAATGCGGTCCAGAATGTTCCGTTCACTCCAGCTGGCTCGGCGAACCTGGTCGTACAGGATCCCGAACTAGCAAGGCGAGGAGGCGTTCCTCATTGACGACAGACTCAGTGGCCCTAACTTCCCCCTGGCCTCAGGCTGTAACTGGACGATGGCAGGTAATTGGCGTTCCGTGTACATGTACGTAAATACGACATGTTTTTGTTTGAAGAATGACACCTGTCTTGTGAAAATGAGATATCACGGCACCGAGCCACCGACCATACTTGGGTACGGGTGACATGTACACGTGCATGTCATGATGTGCCTTGGCTGCGGTACTGTCTGGCATTTTCACAAGGCAGGTCTACCGTCCGTTGCGCCCGGGGATCACGCTCCGTTCTCCCGTCATCATTTCGACCAACGTGCGTCTGTCGTCCAGGCCCAATGAAGGCTCGTCTGGTCTGGCACTAGAGTCGGGGTTCGCAGCCACTGTTCGTTTCAATCTGCTTTTCTTCCTTTTAGATTTCTACCATCATGGTTTTGAGTTGTATCTTTTGAGCGAAAGTGTTTCCATCGTGGCTACTAGTACTTCTTTCCGTCCACGCAAATCTAGTGCTACATAAAAGTATGATACCTACATGTAACTCCCTGGGGAGATCTACACCGGTTAACGTTCAGTGGTTGCTCTTGAGTCCTGACTACACTTGTCAGTAGAACATGGTAGATTTGTCGGGTGCAAACTACAAAAGTACACTTGAATGTAAGACATGACTTGTAGAGTTGTGGTGCAGTCTCAGATTCAGTGGTGGACTTTGACATCTGATCACTACTGTAAGGCATTGCACTAGCGCTTGCTCCAGAACTGTCCCATATCTTTTAGAGTTTGAGATAGCTCCTTGACTGGTCTCTGGCACTGAATGTTTCCTTTCAAAAGGTACGGGCAAGGCGGCATATCTCTCAGTTTCGCCCATCATGTTAGACTTACCGGTATATGTATGCTCACTATTGCACCACCGTTCTCTCGGATTGTTTTTCACAACATGTCGTGCCTCTCTCTCTCTCTCTCCAACTCCTTTTGAAAATTCGACACCTTCCGGACCAGCCACTACTGGGCACCAGCATCTAGTTCGGATGAGCCATGCCAACATGGTGTTGAATGCCTGGTATCTACTGTACTCAGCCAATACAGTCAGGCCAACGTCTGGAAGATTGTACTGGTACATGTACATATACGATATCAGTTTTAAGAACATAGTGCCCTAGAAGAAAGGCATTCGAGCTGACAAGCCACCAAAAATCTATACAAGGCTAAAAACTGCTTTTTACCCTTGTCTAGGGCATTATTGGAATTAAAATAATTATTTTAAGTGTGAGGCTTCTTGCAGTTACTGATTTAGAAAAAAGGCATTCGAGCTGACAAGCTCGTTCCCATAACTCTGCAAAACACTGAAAAATGAGGCAAAAACGATGTTCAGTGTTTTGCAGAGTTATGGGAACGAGCTTGTCAGCTCGGATAAGCCATGCTGTAAAAAAATGCTCTAGGGTCAAGGGTAAAGGTGTCCGATTCGGGAGTGGATACTATTTGACAGCACTGCGTAGTACATGTAGAAGAGTAGTAGCACTTCTTCTTCTGGATGTTATTGCCTTCTAAAATCACATCTACATAATACTGCTGTAGAAATAAAACTAAGGGCAGATTAGTGCAAAGAACAACACAAACTAAAATGAAAAATATAAAGTTTGCATGAATACCGTATTTTCTCTAATAAGAGTCCGGACTGAGTTCTTATTTTTTCAGTGACAGCTCTACCCGCGCTACTATTAGAGACTGGGCTACTATTAGAGACTGGGCTCTTATTGGAGACTGGGCTCTTATTTTTTCAATTGTCAACTATCAAGCCAACTCCAGTCTATGCAGGCGTAAACTGACCATATCAAGATTGATTTTTCAACCCTAAACTCAGGAATATTGTCAAAACAGATGTTTCACAATAGCATTGGCGCCAGGAAGGAAGCAGTAGACCGAAAACCTCCTTACAAATATGTTCTTGGCATGTTGTACTGCTGTTTTACATGCAGTCAATGTACTTGTTGCATAGGCTCCAATTGTGACCCGCGCTACTATTAGAGACTGTGCTCTTATTATTTCAAACCACCCTCACCCCGCGTCATTATTGGAGACCTGGGCTTTTATTAGAGAAAATACGGTAATACAGAAATGTAAGGGGAAAATGTCCCGATATGAAATCAAACTTTACGTTCCATTTCAATCGTGTCAGTTATTGGTGCCATCCACGGAGTTGGGAATGGAGATTGTTCAGTGATGTAATATCCATACTTTGTGTACATTGGTACCGCTTTATCGTGCATTGTCAAACTTCCTAGTCTCAGCTTTGTGCAGCCAGCAGCCTTGGCAAACTGTGTGACTTTCTCCAGCAGCCTCCAGCCAAGGCGTCTGCGTCGCACACGTGGGCTGACGTACATGCTTTCCAGCTCCATCACGTGCTGCTGGTCCTTGCCACAGCGATCGGCACGCACCATGCCAACGACAGCCCCTTTGCATTGCGTGCAGTGACAGTGCGCCACCCAGAAGCAGTGTGATGTATTGTAGGTTCTCAGTGCACAACGAGTCTGATCATAGAGAAACCAGCTGCATATTGGTACGAGACAGATGGCAACTGTAACATACGGAATAGCCAGGACAGTGATTAGCACGTACCAGAATGTACTTAGTGGTGCAATTAGCAGTGTGATAAGGAGAGCGGCTACTGATCCAACAAGGTACAGACGAGATCCGGGATGATCAGCAACAATCGTGGACGGTACGCGCAGGAACATCTTGATTGGGAGCCGGACATGAAAGAACATATGATACAGGTAGATGACGGTAAACGCATCTTTGAGTTTCGTGATAACGCTGATAACTGGTTGATGGTCATCTTCTGGTGAAGATGCAGACTTGGAACGCAAGTCTTGCTCTTCCATGACTGAACTGTTGCACAGCAAACCTGCACATGCACACATACACACACACACACACACACACACACACACACACACACGCGCACGCACGCACACATACACAAACATGCACACACACACCACACACACGCGCGCGCACACACACATGGATGTGCACATACGCACCATGATTCACGTTAAAACGCATACACACGGTACGAATAGCTGGTGCCAGTTCACGCAATCAATGTACAGTCGACCTACCCTTATAACGATATTTGCGTCACACCAAGAAATATTGTTATAAGGGTAATATTGTTATAGGGGTAACTGGTTCATTTTATACACATACGTCATAATGCATGGTTTTTGTTCATTTTTTACACTCTCCATAGCATAAAAACTGACATACATGCACATTATGTGCACAGCAAGGTGCCCACTGGTGCCCCATTGCATTCCGTTATGTCCCAACGACTTATCAAGTGAAACTTGCCCTACCTGGATAGTAGGCTCTACATATTCCCTGCTAGATATTGTTATAAAATGGAAAATGTTGATTGGTCAGCCCATTTTATATCGTTTTAGAACGAGGTCTGTCTCGTTGTCCAGGAAACGACCAATCAGCGACATTCCCGCCAAGGGCCTTATCAGAGTTTAAAGCCCGCTCAATCGTTATTTTACTACTCTTGATGACGCGTCGAGGGCCTTGGATTAGTTTAAAGCCCGCTGAATATACTCTAAACTGGTGCGTACAACTCCCTGTATGCATAATAGTACGGTGCAGATAATGAACTCTGCATAACGTGTACGGTGTACTACTAAAAGCTACGCATTTCAGAAGTGTGTACGGCTTTTGCCTCCCGTATTCTTTCATCTGTACGAATTTTCTTTGTCTACAGCTTGCGGAAACCTATAAAAAGCGAGGATCAAAGTCATTAGAGCTATCGACAAGGGGCTCTCAAAGCCCCTAAATAGCTCCACAAGCTACATGTATGAATAAGAATGAAGCTCGCAATAAGAGCCCAGCATTTCATTTGCTTCCATTCTACTTTTAGTAGTCCTAAGTGGTGCTGAGTTACCATAACTTACCAGAAGAAAATATTCTTTCATACCACACCAAGTCTCTCTGCACACAAACCACAAAACTACCCAATATAGTGGTACACACGCATAATGGAAGTGAGATAATGCATGTAACCTCGTTCTAAAATAGTTAGTGCATGGCAGGGAGGGTCTTATGGCTTGTTTGTGCCCTTCAGGGTAGCCCTTGGGCCTACGGCCCTCAGGCTAACCTGTCGGGCACTAACAAGCCATAAGGCCCTCCCTGCCATGCACTAACCTATAAATAGGGGTAATATCGTTATAGCAATATTGTTATAGAGGTAAGGCATTGTATACACAAGTCAATGGAGTGATTTGGTTTGGCAGAAAAATATCGTTATAAGGGTAATATCGTTATAGAGGTTATCGTTATAAGGGTAGGTCGACTGTACCAGCTCAGAATGTGGCGCCTGCAGCGACACTCTTGCAAGAGTCTTACCAGTCGATCCCCAGTTGCCCTCAGCCTGACAAGTGTACTGAGAATGGGGAGGGGGGGGGGGGGGGGGGTTAGATGGTCAGAATGAGCTGGATTGAGTTTGGGAAAACTCCATTCAATGAGTGATACAGCCTATTCTCCAAATTTTGTTAGCACTTCAGTTACCTCAAAGCGCGAGATTGGGCTTCTTCAATACTCTCTGCTTAAAATAGGGTTATTCATAAGTTCTAGTCATTCAGCATTATTACGACCTTCAGTCAAGGCTTCACTGATGAGATCTAAATTTCGAAACAGTTGTCACAGTGTACGCGGTCATGCACGGGAATCGTTTTTGCCAATACTAGTACTAGTAGTAGACTACACTGGGGTCGTTTTCTGGCTGGTGTGAATGAGGTCGGGCAGAGAGTGCATGTGGTGGAGCTTGAACCAAATCCGAATCATGAACAGGCCAAACAGTGCTGCTTACCCTCTCAAGTATGTTGCACCCTTCGCTGGGCAGCAGCCAAGCTTTGAAGGGAGTTCCAGTGGAAGTGAAAAGAGAGCGGTAAACACTGAGCAACGCCAACGGCGACGACTCGCCGCACCGGCAGTCACAGTGACCGTGACTATCGACGAGTATCGCAGTGCTAGGCGGACACTCGACGACAATGCAGCGACCGGATCGCGGAATGAATGGCTAATATATGGGCCTCTCAAATGTCTGCAAGCGTATTCAGTACTGAAAATACTTGACAGTATTCTCAGTGTTGAAAACTAACTACTGCAGTAGCAGCAAGCGCAGTGTGACACCTCTATTCCTCTAACTAACTTGTTTACAAGGCACAAAATTTAATATTCGGCGCATATTTATTTTCGGCTATTTTCGGCTGGGGTACATTTTTCAGACCTTAGCCTAGGCTTAGGCCATAATAAGGCATAACAGTTAGCCGCTAGGCCTGATCGACTCGAGTTTCGTTGCAGTCGCTGCCGAGACGCGAACTGACGGACGTAGCTGCCTTGGAGCACCACGGAGCTTCGGCAACTGACTCCTGCATCCTGGAGAAGATAGTCCGATACGGGTAGGTACCAATGAATTTTAAAGTTCGTCCGCAGTGCTCAGATTATTCGGAAATGATCAGTTGGAATTCCTTGTTATTAGACACGCTTATATAGGCGATTCAGACTACGGCCAAAATCAAGTGTAAACTTGAATTTCCATGGTGATGCAGTCGTGTTTCAAAATGTTATGCGCAATCCCAGATCAATTCCATCTGAGTCGTAGAAACGTGGTCACAGTTGGCCGTAGTCTGAATCGCCTATTAGCAAACAATGGTAACGCTATTTTTTACGGTACTCGTACCTTGATCACCCAAATAGCGTTGAAGCTGCAGCGTAAAAAACGTTATGGGGGCTGATTTAGGCCCTCTTCAGACTAGGTACAAAACAGCCTATAAGTCACATTTACATAGAAGTTTACAAGACAACAACAAGAATCTGGCGGGAAGCCTAAAAAGCTGCCCAGTCCTTTCAGGCAGGGTGCCAACCCTTGTACAAGGCAACTTTCCTGCATTTATCGTACTTTCTCACCAGGTAGTTGTACAAATGTACAGACTTTAAACCCGGGTACGACTGCCGGCTGCTTTCACACATCCCAGGTCCATTGCGCGTAGGGTCAAAGGTTGCCTGTATATTGCATGTAAAATGTGTAGTCTGAATGCAGGCTTGGAAAAATGTTGCCTTTTAGGTTTTATGTGATTTTGTACTGGATGTTCTATGTGCGTAGTCTGCAGAGGGCCTAAAAGCGTTGTGACCAACGGTATGTTTTTGGCCAAATATTGCATAGTCCGTACGCATTTCACCTTGTATCGTGTATATTAGGGCTGAAACGATCATCCATTTAGCCCAATCGATTACTCTTTATCATAACGATCGATTATTCGATTATAATCTTTAAGAGGCCGCACCTGGAATAGGGCTTGAAAGTGCTACGTCACAGCATAGCAACAATTTCAAAAATTCAAATTCACACATCCCAGGTCCATTGCGCGTAGGGTCAAAGGTTGCCTGTATATTGCATGTAAAATGTGTAGTCTGAATGCAGGCTTGGAAAAATGTTGCCTTTTAGGTTTTATGTGATTTTGTACTGGATGTTCTATGTGCGTAGTCTGCAGAGGGCCTAAAAGCGTTGTGACCAACGGTATGTTTTTGGCCAAATATTGCATAGTCCGTACGCATTTCACCTTGTATCGTGTATATTAGGGCTGAAACGATCATCCATTTACTTGCCCAATCGATTACTCTTTATCATAACGATCGATTATTCGATTATAATCTTTAAGAGGCCGCACCTGGAATAGGGCTTGAAAGTGCTACGTCACAGCATAGCAACAATTTCAAAAATTCAAAAATTGGATCCACTTGGATCCAGTTTTTGTATGGATCCAAGCACATTTCAAGTCGTCTTACTCACAGCAAGGTGATGTAACCAGTGAAACTGACTGATTTGGCTACTGGGGGCGGGGTTACAACTGGTGGCGAAGTAAAAGTCACCCCTGCATACGACATGAGTGGGTTGCTATGCACCCACATACTGAGGCAATAGCAAAGTCACACCTTAGTGGATCCAAAATAGAAATCTGATGTCAACTTAGTACTCCCTGGCCGTTTTTGACGTCATCACTTTCAAGCCCTATACATGTATGTACGTGGAATGGCCAAAAGTGGAAATATGTACAAAATTTTGCACAAAAATGCTATGTGGCATGATTGTCCACTAATGGGCAGCGTTACAGACAACAACTAGCCAACTGAGAGTGATGCGGAATGTTCGATAACACTGCCAAGACATGTGTAGTACTGTGTACTACAGTCAACTTCGCGAATAACGACAGAATTTCCATGCCCAGAGCAAAGTCCCATCCAACTGGAATACATGTAATGAGACTTCGGGTATAACGACACTTCGCGAATAAGGACACTTTTCTGAAGCCCAGCCGAGTGTGGTTATAAGCGAAGTTGACTGTACATGTACATGTATGCGCTGCATGCACTGCGCTATAAGAAATTAAAAAATTTAAAAACGCAAATAATCCTAATCGGTAATCTAAACGATTGCTCGATCGTTAGAGTTATCAAACGAGTACTCGATTATTCGGTATAATCGTTTCAGCCCTAGTGTATATGGTGACATAAATGGTTGTACCGCGTGACGTAAAAGCTATTCTCGTGGCAACAGCGTACCAAAAATAGCGTGCATCTTGCTAAAGGTCGAGCCCAAATCACGGTATTTTCCCCTTACGGTAATACCGTTACAACTTAACGTTGTTTGCTAAGGGTGTCTATTCTCACTCTCGGGGGGGGGGGGGGGGGTGTCCAGAGTATTGGAAATTTAGATGCAGCCTAGCTTGACCTAGCCGGTGTCCTCCTGTGACCTGGTCTCCTTCTACACAGACACCGCACACGCACACGCACACACACACACACACACACACACACACACACACACACACACACACACACACACACACACACACATCACACACACACACACACACATACACCATGTACCACACACACCATTGGACCATTGGACGCCCATCGCCGGAGGCGATGATAGCGATGCTACAGCAGAAGCCATAGCAGCTTGTGCTGGGATTGCACCATTCAACAACTTGCAAGGCTGAAGAATTGACCGCCACTATTCAGCCTGGTCTACACCACACAGCTATTGAAGTGGCTTGTTCTGGCCAGTGAATCCCTACTTTTTGGTCTTTTTCATTTTTTTCCCGCACACACATCACACCACATACTCCGGCATGCACTGGCTGTTGGTAACCACCCAGGAGAATGAAAGAAAAGTCAGGAGAAGTCTGAGAAAGAGAAGAAAGACGTGTGTGACCATAATCGTCGGGAATCGAACCCGCAACCTCTCGATTGGAAATCGCTGCACATACCACTGCACCATATGGGACCACACACACACGCACGCACACACACACACACACACACCTCAGACCTCCTCAGATATGCCCATCGCGGAAGCGATGATAGCGAACAGCTATGTTAAGGACCATCGCAAAAGTTCGCAGAAGCCCCTGAAACGAAGAGCATACGTTTGGGGGGGGGGGGGGGGAGTCGGTGCGAAAATCGCAAACCGGGCTTCAATTCAAAAAAGTATTGACGACATAATTATAGGAGCTGTAGGATTAGCATGCCATCACAGCCGGCGTAGATCGCTTGAATGTGAAAGCAATATACACCAATCAACGTTCATTGTAATGCTCAAAGGATACAACTGCATAGCTCTAGCTGTTCTCGTTCTTAGATCACCCACTGCAAGGTGATATCATCGTTGCATTTATAAAGTGCTGTACATTGTTACACACTGATACAACAATGCTTGTGTAGTATATTATAATAATTATTATGTGTGAGCATCCAAGTGAAAAAATGAAGCCCGTATTGTGACTGTCGTTTCGTTTGAGGGGGGAGGGAGGGGGTCAGGCCCGAAACTCACGGTCTTCGTTTCGGGGGCTTCTGCGAACTTTTGCGATGGTCCCTTAGACATAGCAACTTGTACTGGGATTACACCATTCAACAGCTTGCAAGGCTTATGAATTGACCGCCACTATTTTTAGCCTGGTATCCACCACACAGCTGTTTGAAGTGACTTTTTCTGGCCAGTGAATCCCTATTTTTCATTTTTCAATTTTTTTTCTACACACACACCACACCACATACTCCGGCATACACTGGCTGTTGGTAACCACCCAGGAGAATGAAAGAAAAGTCAGGAAGAGTCCGAGAAAGAGAAGAAAGACGTGTGCGGCCATAATCGTCGGGAATTGAACCCGCAACCTCTCGATTGGAAATCGACTGCACATACCACTGCACCATATGGGACACACACACACACACACACACACACACACACACACACACACACACACAACACACACACCACACACACACACACACACACACACACACACACACACACACACACACACACACACACACACACACACACACACAGGCACACACAAACCAGGTGACTACATGCAGTTGCGGTGAATTAATTGGTAAGATATCCGCAAGCACTGTCTATATCAATTGTAATGCGCTTCACTTTGCATGCATGTCCACATTGGGTGCTCCGAAGTCCCTTCAAAACTGGCAAAATGAGGTTGGCCTTGTTTGCCATTTGCTCCAAGGCTGCAAGTGTTAGTTGAAGGCATGGTGTTGTGCCTGCCACGCGGGCCTTTGTGGGTTTCAGAGCCAATCATGACATATTATGTTATACGTATCTATTTGAATTGTACATACCTGCAAGTTTGTAACTTTTGCCCACTGGGCTACCTCAGGGTCTGCCTAAATTATCCGTTGTCCAGTCGATGGTAGTAGTACGGTAGTAGTAGTGTCAGACTTCCAGAATTTAGCAAGCACTCAGTGGCAAATATTCATTAGTTGAGGGAATGGAACATGGAAACTCAGTGTCAGGTATTAAAACTGGGGAAGGGGTAAATGCAGTTTTATCCAGAGACAGATAGTCAGATACCCTACTGGTTAGTCCGTTTTCTGACCATGGCCACATTGCCTTAGTGACGTGTGCTGAGCCGATATTTAGTATGGGGTCACATTTTCGTGGTTGGGGATACATGTACGGGAATTGGATTAGAGTTAGACCAATAGGCAAATACGTCATCTCGAAGTTTCCAAATTTTATTCTGAGCCCCTCATTCAGAGATCACTCTCCCCTCTACGGGGAGGGGAATGGGCCGGGACTTTACCAATTTGCTGGAAGTGAGTAAGCACAAGTCATGTACATGTATATGTTGCGTGTGTGCATGCGTGTGTGTGTGCGTGTGAATGTGTGTGTGTGTGTGTGTGTGTGTGTGTGTGTGTGTGTGTGTGTGTGTGTGTGTGTGTGTGTGTGTGTGTGTGTGTGCGTGTGTGTGTGTGTGTGTGTGTGTGTGTGCATGTGCAGGTTTACTATAATAGTTCAGCCATGGATGAGCAAGACTTGCGTTCCAAGTCTGCGTCTTCACCAGAAGATGACCATCAACCAGTAATCAGCGTTGTCACCAAACTCAAGGATGCGTTTATTATCATCTACACACTTTTCATGTTCTTTCATGTCTACGTTCCTATCAAGATGCTCCTGCGTGTACCGTCTACAGTTGTTGCTAATCATCCCGGATCACGGCTGTACCTTGTTGGATCAGTAGCGGCTCTCCTCATCACACTGCTAATTGCACCACTAAGCACATTCTGGTACGTGCTAATCACGGTGTTAGCTATTCCATACATTCCAATTGTCATCCTCCTCCCACTGTTTTTGGCCATGTATTTATATGACGAGGTTCGCAGCGTGATGAGGACCTACGATACATCACACTGCTTCTGGGTGGCGCACTGTCACTGCAAGCAATGCAAAGGGGCTGTCGTTGGCATGGTGCGTGCCGATCGCTGTGGTAAGGACCAGCACCACGTGATGGAACTGGACAGCATGTACGTCAGCCCACGTGTGCGACGCAAACGCCTTGGCTGGAGGCTGCTGGAGAAAGTGACACAGTTTGCCAAGGCTGCTGGCTGCACACAGCTGAAACTGTCTACTTTGGAAATGCACGACAAAGCAGTACCGATGTACAGAAGGTATGGATATTCCATAGCTGCACAGTCTCCACTTCCAACTCCGTGGATGGCACCAGTAACTGATGTGATCGAGATGGAACGTAAAGTTTGAATTTATGATAACAAAATTATCCATTTCCTTAATACGAAATAGAGGTTGCGACTTCGGCGATGAAGTGTTAAGTGTCAAGTCAAGTCGGCGGAATAGCGTGAGCTCCAGTGTGGGGCAAACCCATTCATCTTCTTTTTTAAATGAACAGAAAATTAGACTTGTAACTGTCTCGTATAGGGGGACTTGCGTGAACGCATGAGTAGGTTATTGTAGTCCACTAACTAATTACGTCACATCAGTAATTACTTTGTACCGACCGTGAGCTATATTATTTACATTGATAGATTACGCCACGTTGTGATTGGTCCCACCTGCTAGCCATGATCCCCCAGGAGCTGCGCGTAAGCGCCCGTGAGCCCTCAGGGTCACGGGTGGCGTACCTACCGATGCAGAAATCTCAGCCTGACTGGATCTGGCCTAGGCGAGATTTTTTTCATTTTATTTTAGTTTTATACTGGAAGTAGCTGATTTCAATTTCAAATTTGTACTTCACGGAGAATTTCAAAGTATTAGGGAATTAGAGGCCACGTGCCTCGTACTGCTCTTTTCTCTCCGAAACTCAGCACTTGCTATCCAGATACGAAAGAAAGAAAAAATCATCAGTCACACCACCGGGACTCGAATCAGGGACCTTGCTATTCGGGAGCAATGCTCTAACCAACTGAGCTACAGTGTGACTCTTATCCACAGTGATGGCAAATCTATCCTTCTTCGATCAATCAATATCTGGCTTGCATTTTCCTAATGATTGCGTGCTGACCTGGTCCTTTGGTCATAGGCCCCATCATGCTGTGCATCGCGTTCAAAGCAGAGAGTCATATGATGCCGGTATCTCGTGACTCCCTGGTTCAAAGGTGCCTACGATGGAGTAGCCTCGAGCAATGGGTGGACAGTGCACCGAAGACATCTGAGGCCTCTTGGTCTGGCACATTAACTCCTCGTCTTCATGTCGCCAATCACCCATCAGTAGTTAGTGAATGCGAATAATAAACATTGCGTCTAATTCGGCGCCATAGCAAATATGTAGCCAACTTTTATTGTGCTCATTTTGATGAAGTGATTGGTATTTTTCTGCACCATTTCTGACCATATCTGGCAAAGAACTTCTAGCGCTGCATATACCATGATATACGCAGGCCTCAGTTATGACCACTGTCACCACTAGTATTTACACTAGAGTCTATCAAGTATACCTTTGAGCCAATTTTCAGTGCGCGGAAAGCGCAAGATTGTGTGATGTTCGTACGTGTTCTTACCGTCATCAGGGTGTGCGGTTGGCAAATGGTTGGAGCATTGGCCTTCCAAGCACGTGGGGTCGTGGGTTCGATACACGATAACTTTAGGTAGTGTGAAGACAATTAACGTCCCTGGTGACCCATCTGGGACTGTGTGAAAGGGACTAGTAAGACACTCTGTACTAATCCTTGCTGTGTACCTGACAAAGGCACCGATCAACAGGAAATGAGGATCGCCAATGTCAAGCTCTGTGTGACAAGAGGTCTCTGTAGCACCTGTCTCTGCAGTCAGAATTAATTTGCAACGCCGCTAACCCCCCCCCCCCCCCCCCCCCCTATGCTAAGGGATACTATTGTGTTATCTGATGCATCTTTCATGCACAACATGCTCTTACACATAACAGCATACTGTAGTGTCTTGTATAAAAGCCTGTTTTGAATACACGCCTGATTTTTAAGATACACTGTCAGCGCATAAGCCTGGTTTAGTGTTGACATACATAGAGATACGTGGTTTGAATAGTAACCTGACTTGAATAGAAGCCTAGCACTTACATTGGCTTATACGGCCGAAAGCACGTGCTTTTATACGCGACATGTACTCACTGCGTACATAACAGTAGACACCATACTGGGTGGGAATCACGAAGTGTGACTTGTGCTTTTTCATAAAGAAGATGGGATGATTATCTTTAAACAGACGGCGAGGTCGGAGACAAGAACCCTACTATCAATAGACATAGTGAATGTATTGGTTTGGTTTGGTTTGGGTTTTTTTTATTTCAGTTCGTTGCCTCAACAGTACAAAGTACCAATATCAAGAGGGACGAACGAAAAGAGAAAGTAAAACAGAGCAGAGAGGAATTAAGACCACAGTAAAATGATCCCTACATATTGTTTTTCTGGTGTCGTGGTATGAATGTATTCACTATAATTATTTCCATTGATGATAATCTTTCCCTATAAAAATAGGCTAACAATATAGCAATGCTCTCTGGTTCACGCTCCTCATAACAATTGGGACGAAAGAAAGAAAAGCAAACATCACTATCATTTAGAACGGAAGACAGCAATAACAGAGGAACACACCGGTGCTAACGTGATCAGGCTGGAGTGTGGACCCGGTACTCACTCACAGTTTGTGCAATTCAAGACAAACAAATCGCAGTGGCAATGACGAGCAGATCCGAAAATATTGCACCAGGAAATTTGAAAAATATAATCTATGGTATAGAGAACAGCTTTTCAGTGCGTTATCGCCGACTTCATAACAATACATACACCAGGCACAGACAACTCTGCTCCTTCTTTCCATGGAACGTGTACCATGTGCTGGTACAAATAAGTTCGCAGAGCGTGCACATTCAGACAGCCAATATGCACAGCTCTCAATGCTTCTATAGCTGACAGAAGCCTAGCTGAATAAGTGTTCCTCTGTTCACAAAGTGCTCACTACCACAACGTGAGGGCGGAGCGTCCTTACACAAAGAGTAGAACGAGGTTTCGATAAGTATTCAAGTTAATGCTATGCAGTCCTCGGGCAAACAAATTCTGTGTAATAAAACAGATGCATTAGTGGACCAAAATAATAAATAACTCGGCCTTTTACTTAGAAGTGTCATCTACACTTTCCGCTCCATTAACAGATTATGAGTGATAGGCGCCATGTAATTCCAGGGGAACGGGTCACGGCTAGTTATTTTATAACCATACTTGATGTACATGGGTACAGCTTTCTCGAATAGTTCGCAAGTAAACAATGTCACATGACTGCAGCCACCAGCCCTGGCAAACCTGGTCACTTTCTCCATCAGCTTCCAACCAAGACCTTGACCACGCATGTGTGGACTAACGTACATGCTTTCAAGTTCCACCATGTGGTTGCTACACCTATCGGCCCGCACAATGCCCACCACCGCACCGTTGCATTGCTTGCAATGGCAGTGTGCCACCCAGAAGCAGTGCGACGAGTCGAAGGTCCTGGACACACATTGGACTTGCCCATAGAGGAGCATTGCGTTGATGAAGCATACCCCAACGAGGAGAGGGATGTAAGGAATAGCTAGCAAGGTGACTAGCACGTACCAGAATGTACTTAGTGGTGCACTTAGCAGTGTGATGAGAAGAGCAGCTACTGATCCAACGAGGTACAGCCGTGATCCGGGATGATCAGCAACAATTGTGGACGGTACGCGCAAGAACAATTTGTATGGGAGCCAGACACAGAAGAACATTATCCACAGATACAGTGCCTGGAACATATCACTGTACGTACTGAGTACACTGATGACTGGACAGTGACGTGTATCTAGCTCCGTTGACACGTCACCGTGGTTGCTGGCGCTGTGAGCCGGTGTAGGGGCAGACTTTGAACTCGGCATGCTTCTGTCCGTGACATGGGCCCTAGCACCCTGTACATGGACAACACGGCAGATACACTATGACATATTTGATCTACAACCCTACAGTTCATTCAGAGATGCATTGTGCACATCCACGCTTTTTCAACTGATTTACCCCCCCCCCCCCCCCAGTATGTACTGCCGTAAGTAGAAAAAGGAAAGTTTGCACATTCACATCACCACCAGCCACAACATGTAGCGAGTCATTTGCATCTATTAATTCTAACGATTTAACGAGTTCAAAAGTTCTTTTTAACATTTGAATTTTGAAGTCGTCACGTACAAAACGATATGTAGGTTTTAAGACGGAATTCGTTAGAATTTCACCTCGCTAACCCACAAAATCCGGAGCGGTCGTTAACTTTAATTGAGGTTAAAATATCTGGTCTTAGAGCATAATGTACACTATACATGTACTTGTAATGTACACTCAGCTGATCAGAAATATACGTCATGTAACTCTGCATAATTGTAGGTTTGGATGATACATTTCCCGGTAGTTTCAGAAGTCAAAACATGCAAACTGGCAGGTGTGCATATACATGCATTTTTGTTTGTTTGAAGTTTTATTTTACATCGCAAACCAAACGGGCATTGATGCCCAATATTATGATGGCGATAGAATAAAAAGTGTGGCTCGATAAAGCTTCACTTGCGAAAATGAGAAAACAGTCAAAAGGAAGTATTTGTACCGGTAATTACAAGTCAAGTTCGAACGAAGTAACAATCAGGGAGAAATAGGAAGATGAGGACCTATGCCAGAGGGAGGTGCTATTCGGCCATATTAACCGTAGAAAAACACTTTCAGCAATCTTTTAAACAGGGTTGGACGACGAGCGGACGTGAGTTCCTGTGGCAGGGTGTTCCAAAGCTTCACGGCGGAAACCAATGGTCGGCTGTCGCCAGATGTTTGCCGAGTTAGCAGAACAACGTATTTGCAATTGTCATTGCCACGGGTGTTACTGGGAGGTTGGAGGGCTACTCTATCTTTCAGAAGAGGGCTGATGCTGCTGGTGTGGACACGGTGCATAAGGAAACGGAGTTTGCATTTGGCACGTTCAATTACAGGGGTCAGAGAAAAAGGCGAGTGTACATAGGAGTGGTATGGGACGGGAAGGGCAGATTGGCTACGCAGCGAACACATCGCTTGTCGAGGACAGTGAGCTGGTGCCGCTGCTGAGCCGTGAGGGCAGAGAAGAACGCGTTTGATCCATAAAGCATGTCAGGAAGTATAAGGGCAGAATAGAAGAGGAGCGACTGGCGTTCAGATAGCGATGCATGTATGCGTCACCATGCAACAGTCATGTGCTGGTACGTTCATGTACGTTCCACGTGTAAACTATCGTGCATACAATGACATGAACAGCTGGAATGCAAAACCCGATAAATCCATGTCATCACTTTTCGGATAATGGCCGAAGAAGGATTCATTTTACCGTATTATCTCTAATATAAGCACGGTCCTTTATTTTTTCAATGTACAGTTGAATGTCACTTATCCGACCATTTCGGGAATCAGGCATGTTGGATAACTGAATATGTTGGATAACTGATATCATTTTATGTGTATAATTATAAGGCTGAATTTCACTGATTTATGTACACAATACCCAAATATATTCATGCATATTCATGAATTGCTCCATGTACACATACATGTTAGCATACTTGACCACATCTACTTCAAGTAAATGCATACTACACCGTATAATATACAAAACAAAACAAAAATTTTTTTTAAGAATTTTGCTGTTGAGAGTCATAAAATTACCACTCCCGGGCTTGTCGGATAACCGACGTGCTCGGATAACTGGCGACCGGATAAGTGAAATTCGACTGTACCTCCACCCCGTGCTATTAATGGAGACGTTCCTTTATTGGAGACTGTTCCATTATTATTTCAACCTCATTCAGAGGCATGTTGCCATACCAAATTCATGTCAGACACACACATTTCAGGGGTTTTTCGCCGGTACTGCATTTTAGAGATAATACGGTACATGCTTTTTACCAGGCACCGATAGACAGTGTGCTTATAATGGAGACTGAGCACTTTATTTTTTGAATGCCGCCCCAAGGTGTTCTATTATTGGAGACTGTGCTTATATTTATTTATTTATTACAGCATCTAATAGCACAGTGAGAACACCGGCCAATACAAAGAGAGAGAGAGTGTTAGCCAATCACGGCAAGGAAGGGAGAAGGGGAGGAGAAGAAAAAAAGGAACCGGCATGGATAAGCAGTGATTGCAACAAAATGAGAAACACAAAATCAAAGTCAAGGTGCGACAAGGCTGGGAAGAAAGGTCCTTAGGGGAAGTGCCAGCCACGCAGAGTACGCAGTGAAAAAGGGAGAGTGAAGTAGAAAGGAGGACTTAGGTTTCGGAAGGGAAAGGGAGTTTCTCGTGCTACGGGAAGAGAACCAGTTGAAACAGCGGAGGTGAGGTGGATACAGATTGAGTTTGAGAGAATGGATAAGGGTGACAAGATGTGAATTACGTCTCTTAGACAAAGAGGTAGTGTCAGCAAGGGCATAAAGGGTGGAAGATGGGAGCATGCGGGGTTTTCGGAGAAGGATTTTGAGAACTTTTTTGTGGTGAATTTCGAGCTTGGCAGCACGGGTTGTGGAAATTCCAGCCCAAGCAGTATCTGCATAATCAAAAATGGGGCGTAGGTAAGCTGAGTAATAGAGGAGTTAACAAGAGATTGGGAGATGGTCACAGTGAGAAGAGAGGATTCCTGAAGATGAACTTGATCGTTTACATATGTAATCAATGTGGGGTTCCCATGAAAGGTTAGAGTCAATGAAAATGCCAAGATGCTTATGGCTGGAGACTATTTCTATAGGCTGGGGGAAAGTGGGAAGGAGGAGGGGCGGAACATCGGGCTGAGAAGGAAAGAGCATGATTTTAGTTTTAGACAGATTGGGCGATAACCACCAAGACGACATCCAGGAAATTATTCTTTGAATCCCATTAGCTAGGTTACTCATCAGGCCAGTGATGTTAGGAGATGCCCGTAGGAGCGTTGTGTCGTCTGCGAACAGTGATGTGCCCGGGGCAGCTGCGGGCAGATCATTGACGTATAAGATAAAAACGGGGGCCGAGGATGGAACCCTGGGGAACTCCGGATAGTACTGTTGTGTCGGCTGAGGACGTCCCATGTACCGTGACGTACTGCGTTCGCCCAGTTAGGTAAGATGTCAGCCATAGCAGGGGATTGCCGTCTACAGTAAATGATCCACGAAGCTTGGCCAAAAGCCCCCGGTGCCAGACGGTATCGAAGGCCTTGGCAAGATCGAAAAAACAGATCCCGACTAGATCTCCAGCATCCCGATATTAGAGATAATGCGGTACGTGAGGTTTGTATCCAGTAAATCCATATTTGGGTTCCAGTTTCGAAATGGTTCTAGCCCGATTTTTAATGCGAATTTTTGCCTGTTGGTGCCCCTAGACCTTTTGACCACACTGAGCTGAAAATCTGATTTTCTCAAATAATTTGGCGCTTAGGGCCCGGCCATCCGTAAATATACAGTCATGTAGATATTTACAGCTGTCTAAAGTCCCTAGGCTGCTTACATGTAGATATTTATTTAGAAATGAAAACTAGTCGTTTAGGGGGGAGGGGGTTGAGCGCCTGTTCGTTTGTCAAAAAATATCGATGCACAGTTTGTATGTGTGGGCACGTCCAGAAAAGAAAAGAACGATATCGATACTATGCACCGTTTGTATGTGTTTGCTTCGGGGGGAGGGGAGGGGGGGGGGGGGGAGGGGGTTGAAGAGAAACGACTAGTTTTCGTTTCTAAATAAATATCGGTATTTACGGATGGCCCCTTTTCGGGTATGGCATCTCAGCTCTTCACATGTACGTGTACGACTGTACCATTGAATGAGAGCGAAACAGCTGTGTTCGCGAAAAATAAGAACGGGCTAGGCTAGACCACTAGCCCCTCCCCTGACAGTGCAAGTCTGTCACACTGTAAAATGTACATGATTGTACAGTGCTGCTCAATGAAATCCAGTCATGTCACTCAAAGTCTCAAGTTTGCGTCTTGCATCATTTCGCAGTCCAGTGTTCGCAGGTCTAGGGCTGCGCAACGCCCGGCGTGTACTTGAGTGACACGGCTGGATTTCATTGAGCAACACCGTACATGACAATATCATGCCAGCGGCGTAGGAGGGGTTTTGGAAGTGGTACGACCGAAGGTCGGTGCGGCCGAAGGGCGTGTTGGAGGGGGGTCCGGGGCCGTCCCCCGGGAAAATTTTGTAAAAAAGACACAAAATCCTGCGTTCTGGGAACTTCTGCACACTTCTGGCGCAGTGTGCAGTCGAGTCGAGTACAGTGTACAATACTCAGTACGACTGCAGATGCATGGCAGATCTACGAGTGTAGAAAAAGGTCAAAGTCTGATGCGCATATGCATCGAGGGATCCTGATTTTTTTTATTACGGTTTTGCACGTTCCGGACGGACCATACTTTTCGAAAAGTGGTACGGCCATGGTCGTACCAGTCGTAGCGGGTGCTACACCCCTGAGCATGTGCCAACGAACTAACATTTGAAGTCGTTATGTGCAGAACGATATGGACATGTACAGTCATTTGCCGGTTTGGGGACGGAATTCGTTAGAAACCGCGCTAACAAAAATCCGGAGATCGCGAACTTTAATAATTATTGACGTTAAAATATCTGGTCTTTACACATACAGTACTAGTAGATCTATTTTAGTCGGAGACTGAGAGGTTATTGTTACATGTATGTATGACTACGATGTAGCCGTGCGATCCTATCCACTGACTGTTCGTGTTCATGATTAATTTGTTACGGTTTGTGGCTCAAGCAAATAACGACTTACCCGGTACGTAACCTCTTGCTTTGTCAAAGGCACAGCCTAGGCGCTAGCGCTGCGTGATAAAGACCGTCCCCGAGTCGGACTCGAGCTACCTAGAGATCATCATTAATTTTTTCATTCAGCTCGGCGACTGCTTCAGATTTGATCTGCCGGCTACCCGGCAGTGGATGATGTACCTGTACTAGACCCACGCGTACCTAAGTCCTTGGGTAAGTATGTTACTGTCGACATGTCAACACTAACAACAGTGTCATAAGTCATAGTTAGTTCATAACCGTGCAATACCGGTACACAATTTTTGGATAGCTGACGCAAGAGAACTACAATTTTTTTTCTTCTTTTTTCCCGGTAGTACATACGCCCGGATTGGGTACTAGTACCAAGAATCATGTACTGACTCAAGACACCAAACCAACGACCGTAAACGCAACGGTCTGGTTATGATTGATGGCCAGGGAGTAGTAGGGGCCGGGGATGTAGATTTGTGTGAAGAACCGTGTATTGTTTCATTCGGTCTCCGCTGGTTGTCACATTTCCTGACAGTGCTAGTGACAAGGCAAAGACATTCACTGTGACAATGGTGATTCAGGTATGGCCTGACCTCCACAGTCACCATGGTCACTGTTCAATTCAGTGGATCATAATGGATGACAACATATCTGCCATCTTACACCCCCCCCCCTTCCCTGAGGGTCCTGAGGGACCTGAGGGTAACCATGGCAACCCGGTTTTTCATTTCAAGTGGCTCCATTCAGTCCATTGCCTATCTCTGTTGATTGTTATTTATACAGTCGTGCCTCTCTAATCCGGCACCATTTGCAACAGCATTTTCTGCTGGATAAACAAGGGTGCTGGATTATCAAATCCTGCCCTCCAACCCGGCCCACATGGTTAACATACATGTTTGTGTCGTACGTCAAAACGTCGGGATTTTCTGTGTCAATCCAAGTACTTTGCGGAATGCATGTCTTTACCATACACTTGCCGGGAATATTCTATGCACTGGCATAGGATACTCCCAAGTGTATGTTACATGTGTTGTGTATGTTACAATGGTCCCTGACAGTATGCGATGTACTTGTACAACTGCTGGATTAGAAAATCGAATTATGTACAGTTTGAGTGATTTGTTGCAGAAAATCTCTGCTGGAGGCGGAATTCAAGTGCCGGATTAAAGCGTAGAAAATGAACTGAAAAAATCCGTTTTGCCTGAAAGTGTGCTGGTTTGCAAGGGTGCTGGATAAACAAGTGCCGGATTAGAGAGGGACGACTGTATTAGAGTTTCGAACAGCAATTCACCTACATGTACATGGTATCATCAAAACACAGCTCACGTAATGAGGAAACCCGGATTCATGCAATTATCATTACATTACCCACAAAAGCTTTCCCCTTTCCCCCTTTTTTTGGGGGGGGGGGGGTAGAGAGAGATGATGATTCTTGTCAAAGCATTGCTCTCCCATGTTCATTGCTGCACCGGTGTAGTGAGAGCTAGGCCTTTGTTGGCAAGAGTGAACAAACCGTGGCAGTGTGCTAAGCATGCAGCTCAGAGTTACAACGTTTGTAGAGTCTTGCTCTACAGTAGTGCTGTACTGTGTAGATTAATTCAAGAGAAGCAAGATCATCACAACGGCGAAAAGCCGAAAACTCACAGCGAAAAGCCGAAAACTCACAGTGATAAGCAACCAGATAAACTGAACCAGGAATGGAGCTTGTTTTTTTGCTTGCGTTACAGAGATAGTCACAAACATCATGGAATAGAGATAAATAACAACATGATCAAATGTGCAGTCAGTGAAACCCAAAACCAGACAGACAGGATCACAACGGACGCAAACTCAGAGTCACAAATCCCAGAACTAACACTGTCATGTCATGGACAGCTATCAATGTAAGTATTGAATTTTCATCAGTTGCAGGGAATGAAAACGCGAAAGTCTGTAGAAAATTGACTGAATGAATGTTACACCGAGTCATAAACATCCGCATGAACACCATCACCCTCAAGAATGAAGGTGCAGATGCAGCTCCTAAAGCGGCGATGGGAGGTGAGTAGATGAGACCCACCACCAGAGTGGTCAAAGACCAAAAATGATTGAAAAATCTCATCCATAATTTAATATACGAGTCCAAAGCTAACAGTATAATTATTCCTCTGCTCGCACATTTCTCAACGCCACAAGGAGCAAAGCTTCCTCACATAGAACTGACGTGGAACAAGGATTCATTGATATTCGAATTTCACGCTATGCAATCCTCTGGCAGAACTTTCTATGCGAAGTATAGCTGGTGCACTAGTGGAGCAAAATAAATAACCCAACGTCTTATCATCTACACTTTCCGCTCCATTAACAGATTATGAGTGACAGGTGCCATGTATTTCCAGGGGAATGGGTCACGGCTAGTTATTTTATAGCCATATTTGATGTACATGGGTACAGCTTTCTCGAATTGTTCACTGGTAAACAATGTCACATGACTGCAGCCACCAGCCCTGGCAAACCTGGTCACTTTCTCCATCAGCTTCCAACCAAGACCTTGACCACGCATGTGTGGACTAACGTACATGCTTGCCAGTTCCATCATGTGGCTGCTACACCTATTGGCCCGTACAATGCCCACCACCGCACCGTTGCATTCCTTGCAATGGCAGTGTGCCACCCAGAAGCAGTGCGACGAGTCGTAGGTCCTGGACACACATCGGACTTGCACACAGAGGATCATTGTGTTGATGAAGCATACCCCAACGAGGAGAGGGATGTAAGGAATAGCCAGCACTGTGACTAGCACATACCAGAATGTACTTAGTGGTGCAGTTAGCAATGCAATGAGGAGAGCGGCTACTGATCCAACGAGGTACATCCGTGCTCCTGGATGATCAGCAACAATCGTGGACGGTACGCGCAAGAACAATTTGTATGGGAGCCAGACACAGAAGAACATTATCCACAGATACAGTGCCTGGAACATATCACTGTACGTACTGAGTACACTGATGACTGGACAGTGACGTGTATCTCGCTCTGTTGACACGTCCCCGTGGTTACCGGTGCCGTGAGCCGGTGTAGGGGCAGACTTTGAACTCGGCATGCTTCTGTCCGTCACACGGGCCCTAGCACCCTGTACAGGGGCAACACGGCAGATATACTATGACATATTTGATCTACAACCCTACAGTTCATTCAGAGATGCAGGGATGAATTTACTGTCACGTTTTTGCATAGCAGTTTTTGCCATGAAAAATCTCAATTGTGGCGCAAGCTACAAAAAGCCTGTACATGTATGTATCGCAGTTTTCTGCGTGTCACTGTGATTTTTGAGTAGCAGTAGATCGATTTTGTGTAGCAAACTGCGATGCGATACAGGATAAATTCCTCCCTGGAGATGCATTGTGCACATCCACGCTTTTTCAACTGACTTACCACAAAGTATGTACTGTCGTAAGTAGAAAAAGGAAAGTTTGCACATTCACATCACCACCAGCTACAACATTTAGCGAGTCATTTGCATCTAAAATACCCCATGGAAAGCCAGGGGCGTCGGAAGGTATTTTAGCGTGGTACGGTCAGCCATGTCAAGTTTAACTTACTCATCGGATCGGAGAGTGGTTGCTGAGCCGAAAAATTTGGTAGTCTAGATCCCAGATCAGTGTGTTTTATTGATTTACGGGGTGACTGGGGCCAAAAGTGGTACGGTCAATACCGTGTAGTGACCGCACCGTGTCCAACGCCCCTGAACCCTGAAAGCAGTGATGTTTTGAGTAAAAGGCCATGGCTTTAAAGGACCACACATACAGTACAGTACTGTCGGTCGCCGAAGAACGGAGCACCAAAGAACCAAATTTTAAGAACGGTCTACGCTGGAAATTTTGCAGATAAGAACAAATACTACTGTAGGACCAGTAATGTTAAGTAACATTTTTAAAATTCGAACGATTTTACAAATTTAAAAAATTCGTTAACATTTGAAGACGTTACATGCAAAACGATAATGTACATGCACAGTCATTTGTCGGTTTTGAGACAGAATTCGTTAGAATTTCATCTCGCTAACCCACATAATCCGGAGGTCGTTAACTTTAATTGACGTTAAAGTTAACGATCTCCAGATTTTTGTTGGTTAGCGGGGTGAAATTCTAACGAACTCTGTCCCATATTGCCGCAAATGACTGTACATGTCCATATCGTTCTGCACATAACGACTTCAAATGTTAGTTCGTTGGCAGCATGATAATGTCATGTACAGTGTTGCTCAATGAAATCCAGTCGTGTCACTCAAGTACACGCCGGGCGTTGCGCAGCCCTGGACCTGCGAACACTGGACTGCAAAATGATGCAAGACGCAAACTTGAGTGACAGGACTGGATTTCATTGAGCAGCACTGTACAATCATGTACATTTCACAGTGTGACAGACTTGCACTGTCAGGGGAGGGCTAGTGTTCTAGCCTAGGCCGTTCTTGTTTTTCGCGAACACAGCCGTTTCGTTCTTATCAGGGAGTTGTAATATACCCGGTATTTTACAACTCCCTGGTTCTAGTCAATGGTACAGTCGTACATGTACATATGAAGAGCTGAGATGCCAAACCCGATAAGCGCCAATTTGAGAAAATCAGATTTTCAGCTCAGTGTGATCAAAAGGTCTAGGAGCACCAACAGGCAAAACTTCTCATTAAAAATCGGGCTGGAACCATTTCAAAATTGGAGCCCAAATATAGATTTACTGGAAACAAACCCCACGTAAAATGAATCCTTCTTTGACCATTATCCGAAAAGTGATGACATGGATTTATCGGGTTTTGCATTCCAGCTGTTCATGTCATTGTATGTACGATAGTTTACACGTGGAACGTACATGACTGTACCAGCACAAGGCTGTTGCATGGTGACGCATACATGCATGTATATGTGTATGCACACCTGCCAGTTTGCATGTTTTGACTTCTGAAACTACCGGGAAATGTATCATCCGAACCTACAATTATGCAGAGTTACATGTATATTTCTGATCAGCTGAGTGTACACTACAAGTACATGTATAGTGTACATTACAAGTATAGTCAAGAGTAGATAAACAATAATAATAGAGAGGTTAAGATGCACGTTATTTCCGACGTGACGCGAAAGTTCAGCTCGCGTTATTTGCTCGCACGTCGAAAAATCAACGCGAGCGACCTGCAGCTCACGTCGAAATTTGGAGTTTTACGCCAAGTGCGACGTGAAATTGCGCGTCACGTCGGAAATAACGTGAATCTTAACCTCTCTAATAATAATAATAATCGCGGGATCCGCGTCGGCATTGCTTGAATGTTCAGAAACACACAAACTAGCCTTCGCATCCGCAGGCCACCACTATGCCTGTTAACCTTAGTGGCGAATGCAGACCTCACAAGTGAGTCAGGGGAGAGGAGGTTAGTCTCTCAACCAATCGGGCGTGTAACGGCCCATAACCCTGTAAACTGCATCCTTGTTATTCTCACTCCGAGCTGTGAGTACCCAGTTGACCGTGGGTGTCGGCGCAGTTCAACACGCGTAAAAAGTCTTTTTACACGCTCCCTGCTACCAGCGCGGGTCTTGAACTCGGGACCTCATGGCAAACCAATCGGCCACATGCTATAGATAAACAAGAGTGTGCAACTCCAGATCTCTTCCGCACAATCTGCAGATACCCCCGCCCGCGGCGGAATTTTTTGTTGACGTCACCTTTTTTCAGAAGAATGCGCATTTTGCCCCAGAGCAGTGTGAGAGCACGTGCTGGGCACCGACTTTGTAATGTAACGCCCGGTCAAGTGCACGAGGCCAAACTTTCCAAAAGACTCGCAGCGCGTGCATCGTCGAAAAGATTACGTCAACAAAAAATTCCGCCACGGGCCAACCCATCCCGGAGTTGCACACTCTTGTTTATCTACTCTTGGTATAGTGTACATTGGATTGTAAGACCAGATATTTTAATTGACGTTAAAATATCTGGTCTTTAGACTCTTTACACATACAGTACTGTAATTTAGTGTAAACTGCCTAATATTTGCAACGGATTAATGTTTGCTATTTTCGCGAGAAGAGCGTAACGCGAATATTAACCAGCGTGAAATCAAACTTCAACAGTGGGTGTATGTAAGTGGCCCCTGGCAGTGCTTCGTGAACTTTTCCCTTGGCAAACTGGCTGGTTCTAAGAAATCGCGAAAATTTAGTGACCCGAATATTGGACGGTTTACAGTACTCGTAATTGTAGACCTACCGCGTACCGGAGACTGAGCTGAGAGGTTATGTATCTATTAATGTATGGCTATGATGTAGTCGTGCGATCCTATCAACTGTTCGTGTTCATGATTAATAATTTTATTATGTTTTTTTTACGGTTTGAGGCTGAAGCAAATAAGTTAGTGAAATAACGACTTACCGGGCCGGTACGTTGCTTTGTCAAACTCAAAGGCACAGCCTAGCTAGGCGCTAGCGCTGCGTGATAAATACCGTCCCCGAGTCGGAGATTGAGCTAGCTAGAGATAATCATTATTTTTCATTCAGCTCAACAACTGCAATACCGTTTCAGATTTGATCTGACGGCTACCCGTCAGTGGATGATGTACCTGTAGTGTAGACCCACGCGTCTCTCGGGTAAGTAACCGTCAACATAACTCGGTATTTTGGATAGCTGATGCAAGAGAACTACTGACTCAAGTATTATTTAGTTTAGTAAAAACCAAACGAACGTAAACACAACAGTCTGATTTTGATGGCCAGGGATGTGGATTTGTGTAAATAAAAGAACCGTGTTGCATATTTTGGTCCGCGCTGGTTGTTAGTTGTCACATTTCCTGACACGGCAAAGACACTCCTCACTCACTGAGTCTGTGACCACTGGCACTGGTAGATCTACATCAGTACATGGTGACATGTAGCCTTGTACAAGTAGTTGTAGTAACGAACTGTTGTACTAGTTGTAGTCATGGTAGTTGTACTTGTAGGTCTACCATGGACCTAATCCTTGATGACTCAGCTCAGCCTCAGCCTCAGGCCTGCAGGCACAGCACTGAGTGACCATGGTGACTGTGACAGCAGACCGCCTAGCCAGATCGGAGTCAGACTCAGAGTCACCATGGTCACGGTTCAGTGGAATAATCATGGCTGACCGCATAATGATATCTGCCATCTCACAACCCCCCCCCCCCCCTCCCAAACTTTGGCCAAAGGAGCCTAGCCTAGCTAGCTAGGCAAGGAGCCTGAGGGTGACCATGGTAACCCGGTTTTTCATTTCAAGTGGCTCCATAGGCCATTGCGTATCTCTGCTGATATTATTAGAGTTTCGAGCAACGCCTATCATCAAAACACAGCTCATGTAATGAGGAAAACCGGAATCAAGCAATCATCATTACCCACAAAAGCTTTTCCCTGTTTGAGGGGGGGGGGGGAGCTGAGGCTTCTCTGTTAAAGCATTGCTCTCCCATTTTCATTGTTGTGCCGGTGTAGTGAGAACTAGGCCTTTGTTGGCAAGAGTGAACAAACCGTGGCAGTGTGCTAAGCATGCAGCTCAGAGTTACAACGTTTGTAGAGTCTTGCTCTACAGTAGTGCTGTATTGTGTAGATTAATGGATACATTTTTTTTGAATTATTTAATAATTCAAGAGAAGCAAGATCATCACAACGGCGAAAAGCCGAAAACTCACAGTGATCAGCAACAAGATAAACTGAACCAGGAATGGAGCTTGTTTTTTGCTTGCGTTACAGAGATAGTCACAAACATCATGGAATAGAGATAAATAACAACATGATCAAATGTGTAGTCAGCGAAACCCCAAACCAGTCAGACAGGATTACAACCGGGACACAAACTCAGAGTCATAAATCCCAGAACTAACACTGTCCTGCCATAGACAGCTATCAATGTAATTATTGATTGTTGAATTTTCATCAGTTGCAGGGAATGAAAACGCGAAAGTCTGTCAAATTGACTGAATGAATGTTACACCGAGTTGTACACATCCGTAGGAACGCCACCACCCTCAAGGATGAAGGTGCAGATGCAGCTCCTAAAGCGATGGAATGTGAGTAGATCAGACCCACCACAGAGTGGTCAAAGACCAAAAATGATGGAAAATCCCATCCATAATTTAATATATGAGTCCAAAGCTAAACGGTATAATTATTCCTCTGCTCGCACATTTCTCAACGCCACAAGGAGCAGAGCTTCCTCACATACAACTGACATGGAATAAGGAATGCATTGATATTCGAATTTCACGCTATTCAATCCTCTGGCAAAGCATTCTCATGATGCAAAGTATAGCTGATGCATTCGGAGTGGACCAAAATAAATAACCCAGCGTCTTTAAAATTAACATCTACACTTTCCGCTCCATTAACAGATTATGAGTGACAGGTGCCATGTAATTCCAGGGGAACGGGTCACGGCTAGTTATTTTATAGCCATATTTGATGTACATGGGTACAGCTTTCTCGAATATTTCGCTAGTCAACAATTCCACATGACTGCAGCCACCAGCCCTGGCAAACCTGGTCACGTTCTCCATCAGCTTCCAGCCAAGACCCTGGCGCCGCATGTGTGGACTAACGTACATGCTGTTCAATGTCATCACGTGGCTGGAGTGCCGGTGAGCCTGTACCATACCCACCACCGCACCGTCGCATTGCTTGCACTGGCAGTGTGCTACCCAGAAGCAGTGTGACGAGTCGAAGCTACTCAGCAAACATCGGACGAGCCCGAAGAAATATACCACATTGATGAAGCACGCCCCAATGAGCAGAGGGATGTATGGAATAGCCAACACAGTGATTAGCACATACCAGAATGTACTTAGTGGTGCAATTAGCTGTGTGATGAGGAGAGCGGCTACTGATCCCAAAAGGTACAGACGTGATCCGGGGTGATCAGCAAATATCGTGGACGGTACGCACAGGAACATCTTGTATTGGAGCCAACCACAGAAGAATGTTATCCACAAGTATAATACCTGGAAGATATCAGTGTACGTGCCGAGTACGCTGATGACTGGGCAGTGATGTACATCTAGCTCTGTTGACACGTCGCCATGGTTACTGGTGTTATGAGCCAGCATGGCTGCAGACTTTGAACTCGGCATGCTTCTGTCTGCCATATGGACCCTCGCACCCTGTAGAGGGGGCAACACAGCAACCACGCACATGTATCATGTTATCATGGTTATGACCGGAGGGTGTACCCAGTGTACTGACAGTGCTCAACACCGCGGAGGCAGAGCGTAATACAGAACAGAACGACAATCAAGGCTTGTGTGCTGCGACTTGAAGTCGCAGCAAACAAGCCTTGATTGTCATTGTTGTTCGGTTCTGTATCATGGTATGATATATTTGCGTAAATACAACCAAAAGCATGGTTGCCGTTGACTTGCAAAAGAGGTCAACCCACGAATAGGAGACTGCAACACAAGTTCAAAATAGCGGGAAGCTTTGTGATTTTGTAACTCAGAGTTACAGTAAGACAAAGCTTCCCGCTATTATGAACTTGTGTCTTTGGGGTGCTGAGTCAAATGGTTGACTCTTCAGTGGCCTGAGGCAGCTGAGATCATGTGCTCCCTTTGTCCTGTATTCCCAGTTGAATTCGAGCATTTCCGCAAGAACTGGATGAGTGCACCCTACTAGAAAGGTATGTGTGTATTAAATGTCACTGAAAGTGCCGCTTTGTCTTTTAGAAGCAAGGGTGAAGGTGTAGTCTTCTGGACGCTGCGTCGAAAGGTCTTGGGATATAGCGCTCGGCCTTTATTCACAATGGAACGCGGTCCTGTACTGATGCGTACACCAGTCACCGGATCACTATGCCAGTGACTGTGACTTGAGTGCAGTCCCAAGCGGCATCCCATAAAGAGTCCATAACCCCCCCCCCTCCTGGCTTTTGGGCCACAAAGTGTCCACCGTGCACTGCACACTGCACATACATATTTGAGTCTGAAGAGTCAACTCACTGGGATTTGGACTCTTTACGGGGTGCTGGGTCACTTCACTCATGTCACCAGTGCTAGTGGTTATTGAGGCACTGTAAGTTGTTGCCTACACCGTGCACTACACTGCCACGGTGACCAGAAGACTGGTGAACGCATCAGTACGGGGCGGCATATGGAACCGCATTTGATTGGGAACAAAGGCCGGACACTATAGCAACCTCCTCGGTCGGACCAGGACCCTTTAACCGTATTGTCCGGAGTGCAAACCGCACTGGAGTACGGCACCCAGGTATTTGTCACGAATTACAGACATCTACCCTATGTATCACTGTTACTTTGACCATCGTAGTAGAAGCCGCAACAACTTTTTTTGGATTAATTGCTGGTGTTAAGAATACTTTTACTCCGTAAAATACGATAGCTCAGTGTCCAGAAGGCTACCGGTTCTGAGAGTTTCACATGTATTCGTGTTTAGAATGAAGTGGCACTTTCAGTGACATTTTTCACACCCAGATCCTTATCTAGTAGGGTACACTCACTCAGTTTCGGGGAAAGTGCATGAGATTGATTTCTCGGACCAACGGTTAACTGTATCCATGTGACCCTCACTCCGACTAGTGGGTGACCACAGCTTGTCCTGTGCTAAACTGTCCTGGAAACCCAGTCCTAGTCTTGTTTTGAGACTAATGACCCACTTTTCGAGGAATGAACGACAACTTGACAAGTCGACGGTGACGGCATGCCACCCTGGATTGCAAAGATAAACTCTTAGATCTCGTAGAAGGGCTAACGTTACCTAAGGCTCCAAAATAAAACTCAGTTAGTACTAGTACTAGTGCCTGATATGATACAGTGACATGTTCTGGTAGATTCACTACAAACATGATTTCCGGCTGTAACTGTGTACAATGTCAATGATTGTCATGTACTAGTTATTATGATGAAGAAAGGAAAAGGACAAAATGTTACGAGTTATGACAAACTGTCCACCAACGTAACGCCGAATGTCTCATTACCCCTTGTCAGTTTTGTGCCATTTTGTCGCACTCGCTGACTGAATAAGATCTGGTTACGTTGGTGGACAGTTTGTCATAACTCGTAACATGTTGTCCTTTTCCTTTCTTCATCATAACTATATTGGCTCACCATCCGAGTTCATGTAGTAGGCTTCATTTCGGACACGGGCCGACAAGTAGTCACACTCGTATTCACAAGCTCAACGTTTCGTTAGTACAATCATCATTCATGCATTGTACTAACGAAACTTTACGTGATTGCATTCGTAGGTCACAGCGGTTGCAGTCACCAGCTGAAAAATGCAATCACTCCGCAGTGTGTATCATACTACTGCCAACAATTAATTTAGTAGCTGTACAGGAAAGTAAGGTATTTTACTCGTCCGATCCTATCAGTACTTGTAGCAGCTGTTCTTTTATGGGGACTGAAACAACAGTAACGACTTACCGGCGTTGTTTTGCCAGTGGCACAGCTTTAGGCGCAAGCGTTGCGTGATGAAGAGCGTATCCACAGACCAAGCTACAAACCTAAGCAGAGGTCATCGTTTTCATTCAGCGCAGCTGCCTGCATGCCGCAACTGTACTTCGGTTTTGATCAGGGAGTCACCATTGGTCACGCCTTTCCCAGGCCTGGTTATGATCGACCGTCCTTCACCTACTTCAAGTGCATGGTGTCAAAATTCACTCAAAGTAGATCTACGCGGTAAGTCGTCTGCTGATACTACTACACTACGTACTAGTACAAGTACTAGCAAGTAGTAGTAGAACAGTAGAAGTCATTTTGGTTGACATCATGTCCTGGGTCTCGCGCGCGGCCTCCGCTAGGGCTGGGCCGGCCATCCACGGCCACAACGCAACTGGACAGATAATATTATTTCAGTGAAATGGAAGGGTGACGACGAGACAACCTGGGCATGGGCATGGGGCCTCCATGCCATGTGCGTAGGATGAGTCTGGAAGACACATTGCACCACTCAGAATACAGTCATGTACTACATTGTAATAAAAGGACCTTATCCTGAATCCCTTTCCTCAAATGAAGGGAGGGGGGGGGGGAGGAGGAGGAGGATGTTTAACAGTAACACCTTTCCTTTTCACACTTCCTTCACACCTTGCCCTACTTGTTACGTTATCTTCTATCACTTCCCTGCCATTCGCATACCATTAATTATAGTTCTTCCTTATAACCGCTTGCTTGCTGACCAATATGTGTCTTATTCTTCAGCCAACGTTTACAGGTCCGGTGCCGGACCACTTCCGGCATGGTGTCTTGGTCCGAGGAAATTGAGATGCTCCCTTCCTCCTTTATTCCCAATCAAACTCCCCACTTCCACCGAAACTGGGTGACTGCGCCCTACAATGTACTACTATATTAGATAGGGATTTGTAGGCAGCAATCGAACGGTTGGTAGTTCATTTTTCTTTTCTTTTTTTAACATCAACGGGTAGATATGAACACTGGATTGAGCCCGATCTGCAGCCGGTTGCTGGCGAACAGTTCCGCCATCACGGCTGACCAAGCCCGCCTGGATGTAGCTGCGAGTGGCATTTGGGGTGGTCGATTTGAACGCACCATTGATGTACGGGGTTTTATATAACTGTTTAACCCTTTCGCGTCTTCAAATCGTACTGCCTCACTTGCCTCCGCCCACACCAGGCAGGAGAAGGAAAAGCGCCGCCAGTATGAGCAGAGAATCCTTGATATTGAGCACGCGTCGTTCGTCCCGGCTGTCTTCACAACCACTGGTGGAATAGGTCGCCACTGCGCAGCTCTATACAAGAGGATAGCTTCCTTGTTGTCAGATAAGACCCAGGAGCCGTACAGTGTTGTAGTGGCCTGGGTTTGCTGCCGCCTTAGCTTCGCTCTGCTTAGATCAAGCGTAATGTGTCTTCGCGGTTCGCGTTCGAGCACGCGTCGTTCGTCCCGGCTGTCTTCACAACCACTGGTGGAATAGGTCGTCACTGCGCAGCTCTATACAGAGTGACTCACGATGTCTCCTCACCCGCGTCACTGGTTGCCCTGGAGGCTGCACTTAAACGCTAGCTAGCCATACACCATACGTTTAGCTCCCTCGATATTAGACTGTTGTCACAGCCATGTTAGCTCCCTCCCTCCATTTTAGCTCATTTTCTTCCTGTTGAGGTTGCGCTTGTGGCTCCATTTCAGCTCATTTTCTGCATGTTGAGGTTGCGCTTGTGTTTATTTTGCCCATACAAGAGGCTTGGGTACACTGGGAACACTGGGAACACTGGGAACACTGGGTACACTGGGTACACTGGGTACACTGGGTACACTGGGTACACTGGGAACACTGGGTACACTGGGAACACTGGGTACACTGGGAACACTCAGGGACTATTTGGACGGTTGGCTGCACTAACCGCTTGCTCAACTATGTCAAGCAGAAGCTGGACTGTCAGAAATATAAATATAATAGCGAAAGCGAATAAGAATATAACAGTAGACTCATTTCAGAGTATTGTGTTCCCGAATCGGGAAATCTTCAGCAGATAACTATAGAAAAAGGTATCTCAAATGATCTATGGTTTGTTTGGAAGGGTACTATAAAGGCATGATGCCAACTGATAACATGCTGGTCATTCCCTGCTGCATGCAATCTCCAGCCACTATTGTGTCACTAATACATGGCACAGCCATATTGATCACTCACGTGGGGTCTCCAAGTTCTCAACTCTTGCGTATTTCACTATGAGATATTCCAATATCAACACATAGCGGCAGTGTGCGTGCTGTGTTGCGCATGAAAACGCACTTCAAACGCAGTCAGACATGACTACCGCAAAGCATACCTTCCTTCGTAGAGAACTCGGCCAGCCATGAGTGCACAGGCTTTTGGCTGTATCCACTGCAGCAACCTGCACAGCTTGAAACTGAGATGTAGCATGATGTCCTAGGTAAAGATGGCGTCCAGTGTCATACTTCCCGGATAAAATCGGTAATGTATGTGATGGTAGCCATCCAGGACGAGGGGTATGGCACCTTGTTTATTTCCCGGTAGCCCTGCTGCGTGTAGAGGCGGATGGCACTGGTGAACATTCCCAGTGTCGTCAGCCGCAAGTGCCGGTAGCCGTTGGACTTTGCGAACTGCGTCACCTTCGCCGACAGCTGGCGCCCGAGGCCCTGACGGCGCATGCGAGGACTCACGTACATGCGCACCAGCTCCAGCGTGTGATCGTCAAAGCGTTCGGCGCCCACCATGCCGACCACGTCGCCACGGCAGCGTGCACAGTGGCAATGGGCCACCCAGAAGCAGTGAGATGCGTCATAGGCGGCCTTGTGCAGCATGCTGAACGTGTGAAAGAAAGTAGGCACAATAAAACCTAGGTGAGTTGCCAGCAGTAGAATATAGGGAATAGCAAGAACGATGCCCAGAACACACAGAGGACAGGTTAGAGAACCACCCAGGCCTAGGAATGATAACATAACTGTCAGACTAGAGAGAACAAGGTACATTCTTGAACCAGGATGGTCAGCGATCAGAGTCGCGGGTAGTTTTGCGCCGGCATCGAACAGCAGCCAGACGCCGAAGTGCATCAGCCACAGGTATACGGCCTTGTAGGAGTCACGCTGCTGGGCAACACTGATGATCGGTTGATGATCGTTCAGTTCATGCTTGGACTGGTCATCTGATGCCCCCATTATTAGAAGTTATGCAAGTTAGTGTTCCTGTGAAAGATACCATGTGGAACACATGCATATGCAACCAGACACACATACGAGTACATACATACGAGTACACACATACACACACACACACACACACACACACACACACACACACACACACACACACACACACACACACACACACACACACACAGATAGGCATTCATCAGATTGATCAAAAGTCATTCTCCACAATGCATAATGCGATCATTCTTTTCTTGCAACTGCTCTTGTTTGTGGGTGTAGCCGACAGACCATGGGATGAAGACCCATTGGTGCAGAACCCAAACCCTTACCTTAGCAAAGGGCATTGAAAGCCACACTATACATACAGGCGCGTAGCACCGCTGTTGGAGGTGGTCCGGCCGGAGGGGGATTCCCCAGGAAAACTTTGAAACTAGGGTGCAACATCCTGCATTCTGGGCGCTTTTTGCCTCGTGTAAAAGAAAGGGGGGGGGGGGTCCGGCTTTGCAGCTGGACTGGCTGCTATGCCCTTGCATAATGAGTCACACTCCCAATGCACAACTGCTAGAGCAGTGGAGAGATCCGGAACCAATCATTATCAAGATTGCAAGCCGCTGGCTGGAATGGCTAGGTCAAGACTTCAGCATGAATTCACATAGAATGCCATGGGAAGTTCTTTTTGGGACAATTCTTGCCCGGTGTCTAGTCGAGACCTTGCGTCGCTGGAAGGACCGTGTATTATTGGACCTGAAGACGCATGGTATCTAAGGTACTTGGCATACTGCTTGTGCTGCCCGGGAATCTCACAGCGACTGGAGCTCAGTTTGTACTCCATCTGAAACTGAACAATCAGGTGTGTCATCAAACCTGATGAGAGATGCTGCTATTGCTGCTGCTGCTGCCTGGAATGTAAGAGGACTGTCTCGCGATCCCAGGATCGTGCCAGACACAAGTGCACTGTGGAACGTGCTAAGTTGGTGGCTGAGAAGCGCTGAGCCTGCCAGCGTTGATCACTGTGGCGAATGGCTGTGGAGCCATGGCAGTCTGGTTGAAATTGCCGATGAGCCTGCACAGGGCATACTATAGTAAGCAGGGCCGCCGGAACCGGTCCGATTGGTCCGGTTGTCACCGGACCAACTCTGGCTCAGGTCACCCCCTGGGATTCGCCTAAAACCGGGGAGAAATTCTGGGTACATGTATAAATTGATATCCTTGCAAAATTATTCCCTGTAGTGGGCTCTGAAAACTTGTGACAGGGCCAAATTCTGCTATTTCCGACTGGATTTTAAAAAAATGCCCGGGGAGATCCACCGACCCCCTTCAAACCGGACCAACTTCGCCCACCTTCCGGCGGGTCTGATATGTAGTACTCTCGTTTCATTGCGGGGGGGGGGGGGGCAACACAGGGCAGCATTCTCTCATTCTCTCTGTGATTGCCCCTCTGGGCCTGTGTGACCCTTGTGGCAGTGGTTTGGCAGGATACCACAGGTGTGTGTGTGCGTGTGTGTGTGTGTGCGCGCGCTTGTGCATGTGTATGATTGTATGAGTGCGCGTATGTAGTGTGTGTGTGTGTGTGTGTGTGTGTGTCACAGTGTGTGTGTGTGTGGATGCGTTTGTGTATGTATGTGTGTACGTGCTTGTGTGTGTGTGTGTGTGTGTGTGTGTGTGTGTGTGTGTGTGTGTGTGTGTGTGTGTGTGTGTTTGTGTCAGTGAGCTGCATGAATGTTTGCTGGCCTTGCTTTTGACTGTCTGGTCCTCAGGTGGTGTTCCTCAGGAGTGGCGGAATGCCCAGCTGTTGCCAATCCCAAAGCGTGGAGATCTATCGCTCTGTGACAATTGGCATGGGATCTCTCTTTTGGAGGTGGTGGGCAAGATGGCTGGTCGCTTGATACAGAACCGCCTTCAATCTAGAGCCGAGCATCTCCTCCCGGAGTCTCAGTGCGGATTTCGACCCAACCGTGGCTGTGCTGATGCTGTGTTTACTGTCCGGCAACTGGTGGAAAAGGCATACGAGCACCGTACAAAAATATTTTGTATCTTCGTGGACTTGAGAAGGCATATGATTCTGTGCCTAGGGCTGCGCTGTATCGTGCTCTTTCTGTCCTTGGCATTCCTCCGACTCTCCTCAAGGTCATTGAGTCATTTCATGATGGCATGGTGGCGGAGGTGCGTGTGCCTGGAGGTGTCACGGATGAAATTCGTGTGGAGAACGGCCTGAGGCAGGGTGTGTAATGGCCCCAATCCTCTTTAACCTCTATCTGGCTCTGGTGGTTGAACGTTGGCGGTCTGTTCTCGCTGATCGTGACCCAGACATTGGCATCCAATTTCACTATCGCTTGGATGGCCAGTTATTCAACCCAGCACGACGAACCCGTACCTATCAGCAGACCGCTGTTGTTGATGTTGAGTATGCGGACGATGCAAACTTTGTAGTTGGTTCACGGGAGCATGCTGTGTTGGCCTTGACGGCGTTCCAGGATGTTTCTGCTGAATTTGGCCTCACTGTGAGTATACCCAAGACCAAATTTATGGTGGCTGGTGTTGGTGTTACTTCAGTCGACACTGCTGGCGTTCCGCTTCATGGACAGGTGGTGGAAAATGTTTCCTGCTTCGTTTATCTGGGTTCTGTCATCACTCCGGATGCGCGTTCTGCAGGAGACGTTTCGAGGCGTTTGTCACTCACCTCGCGTGCCTTTGGATCGCTCCAGGATGTGTTTGCTAATCGTGATCTTTCACTCCATGTGAAGCGTCGATTGTATAACGCCTGTGTGATGACAGTGCTACTGTATTCTTCGGAGTGCTGGTGCCCTTTACAGGGTGACCTCCGGCGCCTCGATAGCTTCCACCACCAATGCATCCGTAGCATCTTGTGTGTTTCGCGAACACAACAGTGGGAAGAACGCATCACCAATGAGCAACTCCGAGAGATGTGGGGTGATCCATCGCTATTGTTCTCCCGGCTTCGGAAGCGGAGGCTTGAATGGCTTGGCCATGTGGCCCGCATGTCGGATGTTCGTGTGCCCAAGCAGCTGTTGTTTGGCTTCCTACCGTCGCCTCGGCCTGCGTGTGGTCCCCGTCGTCGCTGGAGGGATGTGATTTCGGCTGATCTTCGGCACATCGGCATTGAACATCTGGCTTGGTATGGGATTGCTCAGGATCGGTCTGCCTGGCGGGTGTCTGCCGTTGGGCCGAGCCTCGGCGGTCCTTCCCATGACCAATCTCAACGGGTGGACTGTCTTATCTGCCACCGTTCGTTTCGTCGGCCAGGTGACAAAGCAAGACACAAGTGTAGCGCAGAGCGATGTCTCCCTATCCAGGAGCAGCGTGGTGCTGTGCAGTGTGGTACATGCAGGAGGTGGTTTCACTCTCGTGGTGGCTTGCGTGTACATCATTGTTTGCCCCTGGAACCATCTGAAGCGTCCGCGCCGGCATCACCTATTCCGCTCAACGTCCCAGCTTCTCTCTTGTGTGTGACATGCAATCGGCAATTCAAGTCAGTGCCTGGTTTCAGACGTCACAAGCGCGACCGTGGCCATCGAGCAACCAAGTCAGATCGAGCGTCGTATGGTGTTCACTGTTCTCGCTGCAACCGTCAGTTCCGTCGACAGAGTAACCTGAGTCGTCATCTCCGTTTCTGCTCCTGACAATGACTCTGGCTCCTTTCGGAGTGGTGTGGCCCTTGTGGCAACCAAGCTACAGTAGTAGTAGTAGTAGTAGTAGTAGTAGTGTGTGTGTGTGTGTGTGTGTGTGTGTGTGTGTGTGTGTGTGTGTGTGTGTGTGTGTGTGTGTGTGTGTGTGTGTGTGTGTGTGTGTGTGTGTGTGTGTGTGCCCACCCACACTAGTAGCAAGTATTACCTTCACTGGGGGCAGGGGTAACTGCAGTTGGATCCCGGGACGGATACCCTGATGCCGTCAATCCTTTTTCTGCACCTTGTCCTCACCCACTTACTGAGGTGTGGTGAGCCCATAAGTGGGATCATTTTCAAGTCCACCCATAGTTTGGGGATTTCAGGGGGTGTCGGCCGTTGGGCGGTTCAATAGCCAATTGAGTCATCTTTCCAAAATTCCTTTCGAGTCTCTCTCCCCTCTCCCGGGGAGACCCACGTGACCAGTTTTGGCAGTGAGCAAGTACAAGTGTGTGTGTGTGTGTGTGTGTGCGTGTGTGTGTGTGTGTGTGTGTGTGTGTGTGTGTGTGTGTGTGTGCAGGGGCGTCGGACACAGTACGGTCACTACGGTATTGACCGTACCACTTTTTGTCCCATTTACCCCGTGAATCAATAAAATACACTGATATGGGCTCTAAATTTCCAAAATTTTCGGCTCAGCCATCCTTCCCCCACGAGTAAACTGTACTTCAGATGGTTGACCGTACCACACTAAAATACCTTCCGACGCCCGTGGTGTGTGTGCGTGTGTGTTAGTGTGTGTGTGTGTGTGTGTGTGTGTGTGTGTGTGTGTGTGTGTGTGTGTGTGTGCGTGTGCGTTTGTCGGTGTGTGCTTGTACATGTATGTGCGTGCATGTTTGCGTGTTTATCGTATGTCGACTCGTGACAATTTGGGATTTCTGTGGCAGGATCCAGTAGACACATCTGCATGGTCATTAATTAGTTTATCCATAATGGGCGGCCTACCTTTACCGGGCTTTAGAAAGTATTGGTATAGTAGTTAGTGTGGCTCTGTCAGACCTCTGAGCATCATAACACATGAAGTGCTGGAGTTGGAGTGATTGGAAGGAGATCTACAGTACGTTGGGGCTTCGCCGTCCTCCTCAGTCCACCACTGAGTTTATTGCTACTGGTATGTTCGTCTTGTCACACTGAGTGACATGTCACTCCCGAAACTGATAAACCTATCTGGAAGCCAGTGACGGACTAGCACTGTAACTGAGTGTGCTACATGGAAATCTAAAGACGATTATCCACGACGATGTCAGGGTCCTACGAAGATCCGGTAAGATTCAAGAAAAAGTATTGAAGACGACCGACTTCCGACAGGAGGTCCATAAGTAGCTGCATACCAGGGAGTCGTAAAATACCGGTATTTTACGACTCCCTCCTGCATACCACTGCACCAGGTACACAAGAGTTTTGAATGCTGAATGCAATAGCACCAAGATTGGCGTATTGCATTATACCTTTGCCAACAATTACATCAACGATTCATCACAGCAAGCAAGACAAGCACATGACTGTGGTGGTGCGCTACGAATGCTGTTCCTGTCTTGATACACATGCACAGTCCTCAAGGAGAAACATCCTACTGCTGCTCCCAGCAGGTCAGTGCCATGATTTCTGGAGACACCCACCCAGCGGCCAGTGACCAGGGAGTCGTCAAATACCATGGTATTTGACGACTCCCTGCCAGTGACACACTCAGAAATGCAGACACCAGCCGGGAAGCAATAATGCGAAGCAGCCATGCATACCCTACATCATATCACGACTTTAATAGGGCTTGGTACATGTACATGTACCAGGGAATATCGAGTCTTGATCCTGGTCCCCGATGCCAGAAATTAAACCCAGAATGTCGGAGAAAATGCAAGAAATGGCAAACGCATCTGGCTCCGCTAGGCCCAACCAGCACCCAACGACAAATGATTACAGAAATACGTGTAGTTCATCCCCTAGAAGAAGCAAGCACACCCTTGCTGCACACTACAGCAGTATGTACAAGGACAAAACAAACATCATCCGCACTCGGCAGTCACTGTTATACATGTCATCAGGGAGTCGTAAAATACCTATTTTTATATATGTATTTTACGACTCCCTGCATGTCATGTACTAATACACAGCCAGTGCTGGACACTCCAAGTGCCATAAATGGTCCCACTCGCTAAGAAAGGCCACGGCTGTTCTGTGTTCAGTTTTCACTGTACATGTACAGTCACATACATACACATGTGAGAAGTCAAGCAACTGAAAAAATGGTCAGCGGCAAAGAAGTACGATATGCGCTGCATGTACTTGAAGCATCCACATACAACAAGCCTGGCAATGGGTGATGAAAATCAACATTCAAATTGAGAAAGAAAGCCGATCAAAAATGACATACGAGCGAGTGAGAGAGCGCAATCGATAGATACACAGAATGTTGTGGTGACTCCTGGGAAAGTGCTCAAATTCGAATGATAGACGATAGATAGGGGGGGGGGGGGGGGGGGGGGGAAACCGGGAGGCGGGAAATCCTGGCTCAAACACATGAAACAATTAGCTTGGAAGAAGCGACTTCGGCATTATAAGTTTGACAGCAAGACATGTTTGGATTAAACTTGAATAACCATGAGTGATTCGTATTAAACTTGAATAACCATGAGTGATTCGTAATCAGGATTTTTTTGTAAAAGTATGACATGATCAACATGATTTGATATAAAGGAAACATGAGATATGAAAATATCACTAGGAAATTTACAATATGTACACACACACACACACACACACACACACACACACACACACACACACACACACACACACACACAGCGCACACACATCAGACGGTGGACGACTAATTTTCGTAGCATGATGTGGTCAAAGAAAGGCTGTATCCGAATGGATAGAGCTAGCTTTAGCCAGTTGGCTAGGAGCTCTTCGTCGGTTGCAATAGCAAAGTATAGCAATGATCACACACTCTGACTGGTTTAGACGAGGCGGCAAGGACCATCTGATTGTCGGAACACGCATTGCAGTAGATCATGCCGCACTGTCTGCAGTGGTGCTTGCGCCGCGCCACACTGAAGCCCTGGCCGCACTGGCGGCAGCTGGTCACCTGCTTGTCGTCAGCCCAGGCGGACTGCTTCAGCTGATCGCTCCGCTCGCGCATGTCCTCCGCTTCCTGCTTGGACAGCTGCAGGCGACTGCCCAGCTCAACCAGCGTCTGCTCCTGCCCGGAGCACAGCTCCTGAAGGTCGGCATACTTGCGTTGCAACTCCACAAACTGGGTCTTGATGACACGCAGCTGCTCCAACTCTCCATTGGCCACTTGCAGCTTGGTGCGTTCTTGCTCTAGCTCGGTCTGAACCGATGAACGCCACTGACGCTCAATCACCAGATCGGCGTCCGCAGACGCCTTCTTGACCTCCAGATCGGCGTAGCGAGTACTAAGCTGCTGCAGCGTGTCTTCAGCAGCGGTGGAGCGCTGATCGAGAGCAGTTACCTGCGTCTGAAGGCGTTCGCTATCGGCAGTGAGCCGAGTGTGCGAGATTGTCAGCATGTCGAGCTGAGATGTCTTGGCCTTGCCGGTCTCCTCACTGGTTTGCAGACGCTCGTTCACAGCAAGGTTGGCCTTCTTGACATCATCCAGTTGCCGACGCAGTGATGTGATAGTGTCCTGCTTCTCGTGAACAGCGGTCTCCATGAGTTGCATAGCCGTCTCGCTCTCTCCTTTCATAGATCTCTGCAGCTCAATCTCACGTTCCAGCTCTTCCCGCATCTTGATTTCCGTCTCCAGTTGCTTCTGCACGGCTGTGTACATCTCATTGAGGCCCTGACGAGCAGACTCGTACGTCTGCCGCTCGGCATCAATGTCCTTTTTCACCTCCTCCAGCTTCTTGCCGAGTCCGGCATGCTGATCTGAAGACGTGTTGACAAACTGTTCGTGTTTCTCGCTGATCGTATTCATGCGACTGGCAGTTTGATCAAGCTCGGCCTGCAGCTTGTCATTGCACTTCTGTGCGATACTCAGCCGTGACTGTAAGTCGTCCACACTAGTCGTTAGCTTCGTGTTCATTTCTTCCAGATAGGCTTTCTGATCAAGGAGCTGAGACAAGTCACCTTGCGACATGGTACTCTCCCCAGCACCAGCACTGGGACTGCCGGACCGCTCCTGGCCGGATCTCGTCAGATAGTTGCCCTCCTTGAGAAATCGGCTGAAATCGATAACGGCTGATAAATTGTCTAGGTCTTCGCGGCGAATGTCGAGGTTGCAATCCAAAACGCTGAGGCCTAGTAGCATGCCGGAAATGACTGACGCGTCGTCGCTAGCTAAGAACGCATAGTCCTCGTAGCACTCCTCGATCACATCTCGACGATCTACCAGCTCGCGGGCAAAGTCACCCAGTTTCTTTTGCATGACCACTAGCCTCAGCCATGCACGGGCACGGCCCAGACTTGTGCGAATGGACGGCATGTTACGTACACTCAGCAAAGTCTCTCCACTGCCTGCCACATATCTCTCCATCGCCTCAGCCACAGCGAAGAATGAACGCTTCTGACCCAAGATGTTGCTACGTTTCTGTTTTATGCCATGCTGTAAAACGTGCTCCATGACGACGAAAAATTGACGAAGCTGATCGTTTGAGTCGTCAACAGAAGTTATCCCACTGGCCATTGAGGTTTCAATCAGAGATTTGATCGCCAGCTTTGCTGTGTTGAGCAAGTTGCTTCTTTCCACAGCATGTTCATCCATGGCTGACAGCCGGTGGCTGGTTGGATGCAATTTATCGTGCTACAAGCCTGGCCGGCTGACCACACAGCGTTTACATGAAAATGTTCTCCGAGTACGAAGCCCTTGAGATATTGCAATACACCATCAAGATCTCCAACAATTTCAGAAAGGTCGATAATACTGCCAGATGAGTAAAATGTTGTAAAAGGGAAACGGCAAAGCGCATCGATCGAGTGGTCAGCGCCCCGGCGGCGGCGCGGCCCGTAACGACGTCACGTCACCTTCTTCAGCGTCTTGTTGCATGCCATGGCAACCCCCCCCCCCCCCCGCCGGAGCTGGAGGAGGGTCGGAGGCTGAGGTATATTATGCTCGGCAGGCCGCGAAAGAGAGCCCGTTACCTGGACCCCTACTCGCGCGGGTAGAGCGAAACTGAGCACCCTGGGATGCGAGCAGCTTTTTAGTACTCCCGGGTCCAAAATCTCACCACCAGGCCGGGATGATCAAAATGTCTGCCGGGTCTGCAGCCTACAAACGTGGATCTGCCGACACTGTGCTGTCGACGACATGTCCGGCAAGGCACCTCCTTGCGTGAAAGCAAGGAACGCTTTTTTTTTAGAAAGGAAGCTTCTTCTCCAAAATTTAAAATTTTTGAAAATTATTCCTTCTGAAAATATCATCGCGTTCTTGACCTCGAAGCTGACTGCTGAATGCAATTAGGAAAGAAGATTCCTGAAGATACACCAGACTGATTCTGGCAAGCCGTCTGTCGTCTAGATATGCAGTTGTTCGTCATGCATGGTCAGCAATCTTCCTCGTTCGTCCTTTCGTTTTCCTGACCACGATGATGACAAGCAGCTCTCATGCTCAGGTTAGTGCTGTACTTGTATGTCTGGGCACGCAACACATCTGAGATTCACCCACTGACGTTATCGAACTGAAGAATGCAGCAAGGGTTCCTAGGATTCTCTTGCCAATTTCGGAACAAATTTCCTTCACTTTCACCCTCTCAGTCTCTTCCCCATGCCCTCCATGCATGCACAATGCAGCTTGCATTTCAATTGCTGTTTTTTATACTTTGGCAGTGCCTCTGCTACACTTTCATATAGAGTGAGGTCCTGTAAATAGGATCGAACATTGTTGGTGGTGGTGGTGTGTGTGTGGGGGGTGGGGGGGGGGGGGGTACGTTTGCAGCCAGGATGTAGGAATGACACTTCTGCACAGCAGGTGGCAATAGTCAAAACTGGTCACTCTACAAATCCCATACCTGCCAACCTTTGCAAACCTGAGATCCAATGACATACCTAGGCATGAAAATGTATACAAAAGAAGCTCGCGGTGAGGCATGGAACTAGTGCACTTTTGGGTGCCTATTACCGCCCTCGATATCGGGACGGTCCCGGCCAAATCGGGATGGTTGTCAGGTATGAAATCCCAACCGAGAAAACCATTTAATTAAAAGATAAACTCGGCCAGGACATAGCGACTTTCTGTTTGCCGGGGGGGGGGGGGGGTCATCGTCCGCAATATTGGTAGAGTTACGGTTACATTGTATATGTAGATACATGTGCATCAGGGATTCATAGCACCTGGGGAGACGACATGAGACCTAAGTACCCAAAACGTTGTGAGTTGTGACCCCGGATGGGGTAGTTCTACGTGATCTGTGTTTCTATAGACCTTATTCGATAACGTGATTTTTGGACTCACCTCCAGGGATTTGTTGTAAGCTGGGGCACGCGTACGTGAAACGAGTGGCAAGAAAGGCCCAGTTCGTACAAGGGAGTAGTAAAATACCGGTATTTTTCTACTCCTATGTTCCCACGCCAAGTCCACTGTGCACTGAGTGCAGGTCTCTTGCCGCTCCCTGGTTCCCGGGACCCTGGTTCACGTGATTGTGACGTTTATTGAATAAGGTCTACATGTATATGCGGGCATGCATAAATCAACCCTTCCACAAGGACGGCTCAAACAGGCAGCCAAGGAGTGAAAATTTCGCTCCTGGGGCTAGGAGTGAAACGAAGGCCTCAATTTGCCAGATGAACCTTCTCCATCGAAACGAACGAAGGTGTCGAATAATTCTTTTACCAGTTCACAGTTGCCGTTCACGCGCACTCCCCGGGGTGGGGGGGGGGGGGGGCTACTATGCACTTGTAGTGATACTTACCATAAGCCAAGTGGAACACGACTAGTTGACTGCACAGACTACAGTACAGTATACATGCACATGTATACAGTGAAGATCAGTGCGTGCATGCCTGCCATAATCGTATGTTGATCTTCGTTCGAATTGAAAAGAGAGGGTCGTTTCGAAAAAGAAAAAAAGCTCGATGGAAGTATGATGCTGCTGACAATTCAAGACTCACTGAAGTCGCCTTTCTGGAATGGATCATGCACTCTAGGTTCATCCAATTGGATATGGACTCAAATCATTGTTACACCATTATTGTTTGGTTAGTTATTGTACATCCCATAGCATGTACAATCAACCTTGTGAATAATCTACCTCGGGTTTACAAAACAACTCGCAAATAACGACACAATCTTCAGATCTAGTGAACATTTGATTGCATACTTCCAACCTCACGAGTAACAACAATGCGAATAGCGACACTTTTCTCATTCACAATCGAGGGTCAGTATTCCCCAGGTTGACTGCAATTGCCAATCAAACAGGAGGGGCGAAAGTCGACCACGGCTGAAAAGGCGTAAAGAAAAATTAATGTATATCATGAGCTAGATGGCTGAAGGAGGAAGTAGGTTTTCTGAGAAAGCAAGAAACAGAGGTGAATGAAGCACCAGGTCTGTCCATGCAGTGGATAGAATTATTGCATTGAAAGACAGGCTCTTTACATCAGCTTGCTACTATTATACCTACATTTGCTTTCTGCCTTTTTCATGCAGGATTCTGAAAGCTGGAGCAGCTCTGCTTACCTCGACCACTGAACTTACAACTTCCAACCAAGTACAAGGCAATTATTATGATGAATCAAGCACGCTTGCCATCATGTCATCATTGCAAAGTACATCGACAACATAGATTTGGTGCCGACTATGTATGATGTAGAGTGTGCTCTATGTATCTATACTACTGATTGGCCTACATTGTACTTATGTGGGCTGAGAGTAATCGATTGTGCTATATGGCAGTTTACTTGTATGTCATAGATGTTAACATTGCACACAGCTTCTGAAATGCTTTCTGTTGCACTGGCCTACTGCGGCCCACTGCAAATAGATTGTAGTGGCATGGGCCATGCCATAATTATAGTAGTATACCGGTACTACACCAACAATTTCACTGGTGCACTGTACTTACTGGTACGAGTAGATCTACATCATGCACAGCCTTGTCACTGATTTTCTCATTTTTTATTAATTTACTGTACTGTACACATTTTGGCACAGCTCTTCCACAAAGAGTTACTAGTATTTTCTTCTGCATACCTACTGTATGCAGTGACCTGACTGGTAACATCTATGGCTGTGAAATCACAAATTTCTGGGTTGACAGCCTTGAACCTATACGATTTGTTTCTAAGAACGTGCTATAAGAAATTTTCTATTGAAGTATTCTACTGTAGCTCGCAGGACATGGAGTGCAATTACGTAAAGTTTGGAACACCACTCTTCTGTGATTTGGATGTCAAATTATGAAATTCAGTGTGTGAGGTAAACCCATGCATGGCATACACTGCTATAGTATGACTCGGGGTAAAGTGTTCCAACGCATACTCATTATAATGAATAGTTGTGTGACCAACGTTGTTGCTGCTGGATAAATAGTACATATTCTGAGATAACTGAAGCTACACAGCCATCTAATGTTCAGACATGCATCGAAGGGGCCGTAACGAGATCTGCAAGGCATGATTCTATACCTGTATTTGATGCTCTCTAGCCTAGGACATTCACCTGCCTCATTTTCTCTGTGCTGCATTGATGAGTCCATTAGTAACTAAAGGACGAAACAGCATGCTGTCTGCAGATTGGTAATTGTGTAAAGACAGACGTGTATGTAGTGGTAAAGCTCAGATACATGTGCAACATAACAATCCCGGTGTTTGACAACAGCACAAACCTACACCACAATTCTTAATTTTGGGCTGTGGTGTTCTTAGTATTCCAGGTTGGATGTGTAGGCTTCCACGTTCTTGGGCGCACGACTTTACTGTGCCGAAGAATATTTTCAGCCAATGAACCCAGAGCTTGGTGGCAGATGAGTGCCATGGAACAGCCTTTTGCATGTGGCTTTCACTACATGCACATGTATAACGTTCAATTGATGCGGAAAAATCAGACGAGGACTTTTGCAGTTATGAGCAAGGTCCCCACGAATAGTCATGTCACTTCACAGAATACATGAACTGATAGAGTAGACCTCGGTCCCCTCAGAGAACGCTTGGGGAAGTCGGGTTCAACCATAGATTTATACTTAACAGAGAACGCTTGGGGAAGTAGGTTTCAACCATAGATTTATACTTAATATTCTTTACAACAAGGATCGATGTGTTCCTTCGGATGCCCTTTATCGACTTTCACACACTTCTCCTCTCTCCTTTCGTCACAAGCACCATCTCTGTACACTGGTTCATAAAATATTTCTTCATTAAACCCCTTCACACATAATGAAGTACAATTGGTTTTCGACAAGCTCAACCCGTAACGCGCTTATCCTGCCTCTTGTTAAGTCAGCCCGGTATCTAAAGGCCCCCTTGTTTTCCGGTTATTCTCATTGGTTAACTGGGGACATGTCCAAAACCATACTAAGTAATTGAGCTGCTCATGAGCCCCACAATTATCAGGCCCGCCGGTCTGGTTGGTCAGGTTATCACCAGACCAACTTGTTGGCCACCAACAAACGTTTCCTACCGTGGAGGACGTGTGTACCCGCCATGAAACTACCGGACCAATCAAAAACTGCTTCCGGCGGTACTGATTATAGTACAGGTTTAAGTTAAAAAGCGGCTCCATTTTGTCATACATTAAACCAACTCTGTCATTGCTATGCTACTCAAAAAGAGTAGTGATGTTTATTCACAAATGAATCACAATGCTATCAGAGAAATTCGATATTCTCCAATTTTAGGGGCACTGCAATACTATCCAAAATTAATGCTGCATGGTCATTGTTATGAAGCAGTCACCTCAGTACAGCAATTAAACAGGCTGATTATGTGAACGAGATTCACGGCAAATCTTCTTCCATCAGTGCTGTTCAGTCTTGAGTGGTCCACTGAGACAGGAAAACAACCTGTTCGGTCCTTCCATACGAGAAACAGAAATTGAACATGTTCCAGGGTGGAGGTGGCGAGTATCGGCAATGTAATGCACCTTTAGGCCAACATGACCATCATTCCGACATGGATTCTCAAACACCTTCGCTCGTGAGAGTGCCTCAGAGTGGTATTCATCAACAGATGGCAATCCTGTAAAACACATGAAAAGACATAGCAGCAACAGAAAGAAACCTAATGTTATAGAAACGAATTCGAAAAACAAAGTCTACTATTATTCTAATACAGTGAACCAAGGTACAACCACATTCCAGGAGGCAAGCAAAAGAGCATATAATCCGAAGGTTGCGATGCCTGTATGTATTGTATTTATGTATTTACGGATTCTCCACAGGCTAAATCGAGGGAGTCTTTGTCATGCCACACTGGATACAACATGCTACCAGAATCACTTTCCCCAGAATTGATGATCTTTTCTTAGGGTGTTATATAAGACACATGTGTAGCCACTTCATCTTGCTCACGAAATCATACACCACCACACAAACGGGTCCTTCGGCTATTATACTTTGGGTGGTACATGGTGATGTATGATATTGATAATCTATTGATACCATATTCAAGTCTGACTCTCACCGTGAGATCCTGGCAACAATATTACCTGGTACACGACATATTCAGACACTGACATAAGCATCTTTTTGGAACAACAGGTGTGCCTATCTGCTAGTGTAATGTGACACACATGCAGAACACATGCAGAATCAGTCATAGCTAATTTTACCCCCTCACTGTTGTATGCGCAGACTCCACTTCACGGTGTCAAGTACTCTTCTTTCGGTGGGCTACTCCACTAAGGCGCTTGTCTAAAAGGACTCACATTCATCCTGCAAACCAACACGACTTGCATAGTTTTCACTGTCGGCCAAAGTGCGTGCATTGCACACATTGAGATTCACTCCCTCCGTACAGGCCAGTACAGAGCTGCCCACCAATTGAGTCTGTTTTGCGTACTCAGACTTCTGATTTTCCGTATCTTGCAGTGTTTTGCGTACTGCCGTGTACATTGCATGCATACTTGCACTGTAATGTTTTTTGACACGCACATGCATGTCGGTGGCTGCATTTGGTAGTGTAAAACATGTGTGACTTGCACTCACGACATTATTATTTTTGTGCTACATGTACATGTTGTTGTGGTACGGCATGCACTCGCTTTGGTACAAGACTATTCATCACTCAGCTTACACTTGCAATGCTTCTACACAGCTGATTGATCCTCTCCGATTTTCTATACCATTTGCTCAATTTCTGTAGTGCGCACAAGGAGTGATTTTCCGTACAAATACAGAAAATATGGAGGGCTGGTACTTGGTAGCACTGCTAGTATGGTAGTACCAGGCTAAGCTGGCTGGAAGATCAAATACTTCTTTGGTTCTTTCAGTCATTTTCACGACATATGTTTTCTTTATCATGATCCCCGGGGTGTGACATTCTTATGAATGCAGAAACTCAGTCTTTCTAACCGAGTCTCACGTGCAATGTGAATTTGTTCTTCTTTTCTTCACAATGCCATGTATCGATTCATCGCTTCTTCCCACCCGAGATCCTATGCAACAGCGATTTAAAGATTGGCTTTATCAAATAGTTAATTCAGAGAGAGAGGATCAGTTGTGGATGCTGTGACAGCATAGAGTGTAGATTGGTGTAAACATCATTGCCCAGCAGAACCGTATTCACAGGGATCTGCGTTTAGCATATGGAAGCTATTTTTTTAGAATTTGTACACGTCCAATAAGCCTGAAGAGAAGAACACCTAACTTAGACTGTCCTAACGTTATCGAACGCACTGCCAAAGTAAAAACAACATTTGAAATGCAAACTCGATTGTGCATGCATGGAGGGCATGGGGAAGAGACTGAGAGGGTGAAAGTGAAGGAAATTTGTTCCGAAATCAAGAGAATCCGAGGAACCCTTGCTGCATTCTTCAGTTCGATAACGTCAGTGGGTGAATCTCAGATGTGTTGTGTGCCCAGACATACAAGTACAGCACTAACCTGAGCATGAGAGCTGCTTGTCATCATCGTGGTCAGGAAAACGAAAGGACGAACGAGGAAGATTGCTGACCATGCATGACGAACAACTGCATATCTAGACGACAGACGGCTTGCCAGAATCAGTCTGGTGTATCTTCAGGAATCTTCTTTCCTAATCGCATTCAGCAGTCAGCTTCGAGGTCAAGAACGCGATGATATTTTCAGAAGGAATAATTTTCAAAAATTTTAAATTTTGGAGAAGAAGCTTCCTTTCTAAAAAAAAAGCGTTCCTTGCTTTCACGCAAGGAGGTGCCTTGCCGGACATGTCGTCGACAGCACAGTGTCGGCAGATCCACGTTTGTAGGCTGCAGACCCGGCAGACGTTTTGATCATCCCGGCCTGGTGGTGAGATTTTGGACCCGGGAGTACTAAAAAGCTGCTCGCATCCCAGGGTGCTCAGTTTCGCTCTACCCGCGCGAGTAGGGGTCCAGGTAACGGGCTCTCTTTCGCGGCCTGCGGAGCATAATATACCTCGGAGGCTAGCCATGGGCATGCCAGTACAGGTTTCGGCTTCTCCTGTCATCTAGACATCTACTACACACATGTGGTCTTGTGGATGGTGAAATGTGATCATACAAGCCCAAAGAATCAAGACAACAAAGGAACAACGCGATTTTGACCGGAACGTTCTGTCTGCAAGCTCTGCACGCTGTCCTCACTTATCAGGGCTAGCCCGAAAACTCACACTCTGTCCAGGCGCGACACGCGGCATCTCGCTGTGCAAGTAATGCTTCAGGGTTTTGGAAGGCTTTTCAATCGCCACCGTACTGTATTTCTCTCGACAATGGCTGCTGCAAGCCGAGCGAGCAGCTCTAGGTGTGCGAGCTCGATGCCTCCCTTCAAGGGCAAGGTATGGCTTTTCTTGCTTCATTTGAACCACAAAATATCATTTGCCATCTGGTTACTGGATGGCTAGAATTCTGGTCTGGTTTTTCTTTGTGTGGAAATAATTGAGTTGCATCCTCGATCAGCTCGCGGGTTCACAATCCAATACAGTCAGTACAGTCCCAATAGTTTGAACTGGCTCTCTCCTTCTCATCGTCATAAAGAGATACTGTAGAAAGAACTCCGCATCAGCTCTAAAATGGGCATTTTCATGATTGTATGTGTGGAGAGGCATCGGCCTTCGAACTACAATAATCATTAATTTTATTTATTTATTTGGAGAATTGATGCAAAATTGTTTATCTGAAAACCTAGGAGGGTTTGTGAGCATGTTTACCGGTATGATACTGACACGAGCTCAGTCACAACGATTCACCCATGAACAATGCTTCTTGTCGGACTGACCAGTTTCACGGTGTTGATACTAGATAGTGGATCACAGGCCGCGCAGGCAATGTGCACGCGTGCCTTTCAGCTCATGTTAATATTGTGGGCAGCAAAATCACGCTGACTTGCGCTGTGTTTTCGTATTCTTCAGTTTCTGTGTGCGCGCGTGTGGGTGGGTGGGTGTGCGCGTGCGTGCGCATGCTTGTGTGTGTTTCTGTGTGTGTGTGTGTGTTTGACCACACATGAGGGTACCAAACTGTCTCGTATAGATGCCTGTTTCAAATACAAGCCTGATTTTAAAATGGATTGCACATAAGCCTGGATTAGTGTTGACATACAGTCAACTTAAATTTATATAATTCGCATATACTCAATCTGCGGACAGAACTGTTTCGTCCTTTGTGGACTCATCAGCGCAGCACAGAGAAAATGAGGCCGAACCTGATAGCAATGAAAAATAAATTTCCTATTAAAGTTGATTGCTCCAACGAGCGTCGTTTCCTATTGAAGCCCGATTTAAACCAGGCCCGAACGTACCTTGCCAGAGTGCTCAAACTGACAAGTCAGCGAGCTCTGCATAACGCAAACAGCAAAGGCACTACCCCACATGAGAGTGCTCAACTACTACTACAAGAGCAGGCATATACTGTAGAACCGGTAATGCTAGCGACTATTCATTTTAGCGTTTTCCCATTGTCAACCGTAGCGACGTTTTTTTTTAGCGATTTGCATTTTTCTTCCTTGTACACATTTTGATACTGCATTCTACTACTGTATGTACAAACCATCACTACCGTGTAGTACTATGAGTGCTAGTACGAGAGAACATCATAAAACATGTCCTAATGATGTAGTGCTGCATTGTAGTCACGGATCACCAGTGCCCTACTAATGTCTCAACGCATTAGCGACTTGAAACTTTAGCGAAAATGAGTCGATCGCTAAATTCGCTAGGGTTTTTACGTCGCTAAAATTACCCGTTCTACAATAGCGAATTTCATTACATAGCAAACCATTGTTCATGTCCCTGTTTGAACCCATACAAAATGGACCCTTTGCAGCGAAACATTTTCGTTTATAATGAAGCATAATCATCTAAAATAATCTTGAAGGGCCGCATATAGACCAAGTGCACCCATACAATCATGGGCCACATGCCAGTCATGATTTGCTGCTTGTATAGTGTGGGCGCATTTGTGATAACGAAAGTCAGCTATAAAAGAACTAATTTTCCTGCTCAGTGGTGTTTGTTATATCAGGGGTCAAGTACATAGTAATGCAGCACCTGCTTTGGATACTACCTCGATTCGAGTAGAATCCTAGCCCTGACTTCTACGTTTACAGGAATATGCCCAGCTTTTATACGCAACATTACACATATACTAGTAGTGGCATGAGAGAGAAGAGGTCTGATTGGAGGTTACAGGTAGTTGTGACTCAGACTCAGAGTTTCACGTCGAAGCAATTGGACATCTTCTGTCATTGATCACTTTCCCACCAGCTGCCACAACCCTCTTTGTGTGTACGTGCGCTTGCGATTACACAAGAGAGAGAGAGAGAGAGAGAGAGAGAGAGAGAGAGAGAGAGAGAGAGAGAGAGAGAGAGAGAGAGAGAGAGAGAGAGAGAGAGAGAGAGAGGGAGGGAGAGAGAGAGAGAGAGAGAGAGAGAGAGAGAGAGAGAGAGAGAGAGAGAGAGAGAGAGAGAGAGAAACTGTATTGCAACTCCGATTTTCACGTTTTCTGTGATTGCAGGTAGAGCTACATGTCCACCTCGATGGTGCAATGCGACCAGAGACGTTATTCGACGTGGCGACGTACGTACTACATGTGTTCCTGATAGCTTGAAGTAGAAACTGCAAAGAAGACTGTTTTTTATTCTCTACACCTCTTGCATTTGCCAGTGACTTACAAGAGAGTGTTAGTCCTTTGTTGGGCAAATTTAGGCTTTGCTGGCAAAGAGATGCATATTGAGAGACGTTGCTTGAGAAGCCACTGGCAAGTAGCGTTGTGCTCATAAGCGGAAAGAGCTTTTTGCGATGACGTGCTTTCTGCTTTAATATCACCTTCCATGCTCAACTGTACGGTGTATGTATAGCGCTATTGCTGCTTCTGCTCCTGCTGCTGCTTTTGTGTGTATTTGTAGGAAACGTGGATTACAACTTCCTGCTAGCGATGCGGTCGCGCTTCGCAAGTACTGTTGCTATCACGAGGAGGATGAACACTCTCTGAAGAGGTTTCTAGATTCATTCGACTTTTTCCTGCCTTTAATTCAGTAAGCCAGTTATTTCTACTTCTATTTGTTGAACAGTGCACAATGTTTCTGACGGTTAGAGGAGTAGACGAGAATGTGAACTCAGAGTTCAAGTACGAAATTCTTTTACTAGAAGTTTTGCTGACCCTTCTGTCATCCCTTTTGACTATGTTGTTATTACAAAAGTCAGTGGCCAGTTAATGCGGTCACGCTGGTGGTGGTAGTGGTGCTGGTGGTGCTGGTGCTGGCATTCTTGTTCTTGTGTGACTGCCTGGATCCATCGATTAGACGGTGGACCCTATCATTACACACTTGCTGTGGTCTTCTGTAATGATTATAGCTTGGTTGCTACTGGACCATATTGTTGGTCTTGTATATGTTCCTGTAGTCTATGCCGAACCAAGTGCTCGTGTATTGTTTTTAGGGCTGAACCGAACACAATTGCTCAGTGATCGAACGTTCTTGACGCGAACGAACGAATATCCTTTATGGATAGCTCGTTAAAAGACGCATGTGTCTTTTAAGGTTTTGCACGACATATTGACAGTAATACGCTCGACAGTGTAGCAAATGTGCAAAGTAGGAGGGCGAATGCAACACTTCCCTTCCCTGACAGTGTGCAGGGAGTCGTAGCGTAAACTTTGATTCCTTGCACTCTTGGTACTGCGACTCCCCGTGTTGGTGTCTAGCGCCTGTGTTGAATCCTGGTTGTAACAGCACTGCAAAACTAGACGTGACCAGGCGCGTGCCCCGTATGGGTTCCTGGGTGCCCGGAACCCCCCTTTTTTTCACTCAAAATGCAGGATTTTGCTTCATTTTTTGAAAATTTTCTCGGGGGAGGTCCCCCCAAACCCCCCTTGAAGGGCACCGGCGCACGCGCCTGGTGACAAGTCCGTGTGGGTTCACTTCCTGTGATCAGTTACGCAGAGGATGCCCCCTGCAGTCGAGGGCTCGAGGCACGACTTACTTGTGCAGAGTGCGTATCCTTCACACAACACTCAACAGCGCTGAAGCACGAATGTCGCACTTGTGCAGACTAGCACCCTGTGGACTGCCTGTGCGTGGCCAGCGAACTGCGTTCATACTCACACAGACTCCGTGTACCAAGAGTACAGTAGCATATTGGGAAAAAGAAAAAAAATTCAGTTTGAATGTTCGTTCTGCGAAGCTAAACGAACGAAGGTTCGAATATTCAGGATATTCGTTTCAGCCCTAATTGTTTTACTGTAATTTTGTCTGTTTGCTCAGGGGTGATCTTCAGGCAGTGGAGCGCATTGCCTACGAGTTCTGCGAAGATCAAGCAAAATCTAATATTCTTTATTCAGAGCCTCGCTTCTGCCCGCACCTTCTCGCAACATCAGTTGTGTGGGTATGTTGTGTGTGTGTGTGTGGGTATGTTGTGTGTGTGTGTGTGTGTGTGTGTGTGTGTGTGTGTGTGTGTGTGTACGTGTGTACGTGTGTGTACGTGTGTGTCAGTCGGTGCATGTCCGTGCTTGCAGGTGTGCTTGTACGAGAAAGTGTGTGTTCCATCTGTGAGAATAGATATGCATGTATACAAAGTAGGTACTGTAACCCGTGAACTTATTTCCATGGTCTAATTTCTGCGAAATTCGCAACCGCATGGAAATCGCGAAATTTAGACAGCGCGAAAAGGAGATCCATGAGAGGTTTAGCAAGAATGCCATTCTGCAATCGCAAAATTAAAACCTCGCAAACCTGTCCGGATTCTGAAAACGCGAACTAAAAACGCCGCGAAAATATCACGCTTTACAGTAGCTGTGTGAGAGATTTATCATTTCAAATTGTTTGGTGGTGCTGGGACAGTTGTGATATACAATGCACCTTTTTGGGGTTTCTTTTGAATCCTTTTTCTTGCGTGTCTGTGTATGCCAACAGGATCACTATGTCAAGCGCAGATATATCTCGGAAGGACAGCGCATTGTTGACGAGCAGCGGCCTGTCGTGACGCCAAGTGATGTTGTCGACGCAGTATGCCGCGGCTTTGACACTGGCATGGCTGACACTGGCGTTATGGTCCGTAGCATCCTATGCTGTATGACCCACCGTCCAGGTAGGCAACACCAGCTATTTATATACTGCAACACAACTTTCCTCAGGCTGTGTAGACTTCAATGTAGCCACTTCATCTCTCACACCACTACCCAAAACGATCTCTCGCCTACAATGCAACACAACTCAGTCCAGTATACCTGTACTAGGATTCCGGTACAATAGGGGCGGAAAGTGATGGCGTCAGAGAAGACAACAAACAATAGGGAGGTTCCGGAGTACGATTTTTCGTGCCAAAATCCGTTGAGGCGCTACGGATAATTTATACGTCGTTTTCGAGCAGTGAAAAGTTCCGGGGTACGGAACTTATGTGTTTGCTGTCATTGCCTAGGTTACGATCGCAAACACGTCACATTCCCGCGCTATGCCTTTTTATTTTGAAAATTTGTACCGAAATCAAAACTTCCCGCGGAAAATCGATGTTTCTCATGCCAAATTTGTACGCGAAAAATCTTTCTGCACCCGATGACGCAAAATCTCCATACGAAACATGGTTCGTATGAAAGCCAGTCCACACGGATTCTCCGTGCCGAAAAATCGTATGGAGCACGCCTGGAAAAAATCCGTAGCGCCCATACGGATTTTGGCGCGGAAATTCGTACCCCGGAACCTCTCTAATGACGAATAATGACTTCGGGATTCACTCTACCCATAGCAAAATACAGTCTGTGGTGGGTAGGCCCCTCGTGTTGCGTGCAGGTATGATTTCTTTTCCGTACCAGAAGTGCCCGGCCGAGTTGGTCCAGTCCAGTCACTATGCATGTTCTGCTCTAGGTTACAGGAGAGAGACTATTCACGTTTCTGTTACGTAAAGGAAACCTGTTCTGCTCTACTTTCACATAAAGAAATCACATGGAATGTGTACTGGGAACTTGCAGCTCCAAATTTGGCTGCTTTCTGCCTGATTTGAATGAAACCCAGCAGATTCGTACGCATTTTCTTTGCGTGTGCCAGAACGTAGAGAACCTTCCTCTCCGCGTAGAAATCTAGACCCACAACACGCGAAGCTGTGGACTCTAACCCAGACACCTGTTCTCTATGTTTCACCTATAGCCGAACCTCCCTACTATTGACAGATGTGTCGCCCTGCTGTATTTTGTAGATACGAGATCTCCACGTACTATATCACGGTGGTCCTGACTCCTAAGTGGTACTGTGTTTCTCAACCTGGTATGTGTTCTTGGCTGCGTGCTTTTTGTGTTTCTTAGATTTATCTATGGAGATTGTTCAGCTGGCTGAGAAGTTCAAGGATAGAGGTGTGGTGGGCATTGACTTGGCTGGGATGGAGGGAGCTGTGCCAATGGACGAGCATAAGCCTGCATTCGAGGTACTAAGCATTTTCTGGAGTTGATCACGTGTTCTTTAATGGTGTGAACAACGAGGACTTTCCGGGCAAAGAAAAGTCAAATAACGTTACTTTGTAAGCATTAACTTCTTACTGACCAGGTCCTACACTGCCAACCCACCATATCTCTCACTCATTGCTTTGTGTGTTGTACATGTTCTTTGCTTTGTCACGGGTACCGTCTCTTGTCCTATACGCCACTATTGGCACAACCGCTTGTGTATCCGGGTACCGTCTCTTGTCCTATACGCCACTATTGGCACAACCGCTTGTGTATCCGGGTACCGTCTCTTGTCCTATACGCCACTATTGGCACAACCGCTTGTGTATCCGGGTACCGTCTCTCGTCCTATACGCCACTATTGGCACAACCGCTTGTGTATCCGGGTACCGTCTCTTGTCCTATACGCCACTATTGGCACAACCGCTTGTGTATCCGGGTACCCTCTCTTGTCCTATGCGCCACTATTGGCACAACCGCTTGTGTATCCGGGTACCGTCTCTTGTCCTATACGCCACTATTGGCACAACCGCTTGTGTATCCGGGTACCGTCTCTTGTCCTATACGCCATTATTGGCACAACCGCTTGTGTATCCGGGTACCGTCTCTTGTCCTATGCGCCACTATTGGCACAACCGCTTGTGTATCCGGGTACCGTCTCTTGTCCTATACGCCATTATTGGCACAACCGCTTGTGTATCCGGGTACCGTCTCTTGTCCTATGCGCCACTATTGGCACAACCGCTTGTGTATCCACAGGCACAGGTGCATCTCTGGTGTCTGCAAGTATTACTTTCTTGTTTTGCTTCTTTTTGGAAGAGTTGCTGGTGAACTCTGGAATCAACCTAGGTCTGTGGAATCTGAAATGATGCTGCTGATGACTGACTCTCTCTCTCTCTCTCTCTCTCTCTCTGTCTGTCTCTCTCTCTATCTCTCTCTCTCTATCTCTCTCTCTCTCTCTCTCTCTCTCTCTCTCTCTCTCTCTCTCTCTCTCTCTCTCTCTCTCTCTCTCTCTCTCTCTCTCTCTCTCTCTCTCTCTCTCTCTCTCTCTCTCTCTCTCTGCGTATGTGCAGCGCGCCAGAGAGCTGTCCATCCACCGAACGGTGCACGCCGGGGAAATAGGAGTTGCTAAGAATGTAGAAACGGTACGTGTGCACTCCGCCATGACCCTGACCCTCATTGCTCGCTGATCTTTTTGCTCCTGACTGCGTGTAGTTCATTCTTCTAGCCTGAGCGATTTGTACTACAAAGTGTATGTAAGTTACATGTGCATGTGTTTATTTAGCTGTGGGCATGGGGTTGGGGCAGCCTATTCCTCTACGCATTAGTGTTGTTATGATGACTATGTGCACAACAAACTAGGGTATGGCTGCTCTGTGCTGGTGGCTCCAGGCAGTAATGCATATCTCCTGTTTGTGTGATACGACTTTTTTTAAATTCTTTTTGAAATGTTTCTCTGCAGGCGATTGAAACTCTTCATGCCGAGCGAATAGGGCATGGCTATGCTGTTGTTGACAACACCCGGGTCTATGACTTTGTGAAGCAGCAAGGAACTCACCTTGAGGTAACCCACTTGTGCTGTCCTGCTTTGTCTCTTTTTGTGTATATTTAGAAATTTGTGTGACATGGACTACTTCTATCCTTAGACTGTGTATTAGTACCACGGTCATTGAAAATGAAATTGATCGGACTCACCTGCTTGGGCTTCTGGCTTGCATCAAGAGTCCATAACGCCAAGAGTGTGCAACTGGGGTCTGGCTACTGTAGGCCCACTGCGCGACGGAATTCCAACATTACGTCCTGCTGCTGAGGTACAGAGGCCAAAACTCTGCAGTCTGCGGTGCTTGGAACCAGGGAGTAGTACAAGCGCAACGAACGTGTACGTCATTTTTGACCTAATGTTGGAATTCCGCCACGCGGATCCCCATGTACAGAGTTGCACACTCTCGGGGTTATGGACTCTTGCTTGCATGTTATTGCTCAGCGCGAAAAAATAAAGTCTACGGTAAAGTACTGCGAGAGTCCCCCACCTTGATTTTACAGCCCGGGAAAGGAAAGTCGTAATAAAAAAAAGTGCAACCAAGTTCATACCGTGTGTGAACCGTATTGTACTAAGGTTGCGTTCTTATGTGGAGCTTGCATCTGCGCTTGAAAGTACATGTAAACTCATTATGGATTGACTGCACAGCGTGCAATGATATCTACAAGGTACTGTTTGCATGACGTACAGACAGGACACCGCCTCCAAAACACGACCACGTAAGGTGGTGGTCGTGGTCGTCATGGTGATACTGATGGTGGGCTGCTCTCGCGGTCCTCAATTTACTGGACTTTTGGACCCGGCTTACATGTACATCGTGGATGCCCAAGACCGGTTATAATATTTCTTTTTTGGTGCTCTGTTTCTGTTTTTACCAGGCTTGCATTTACTCCAGTCATCTGACGGGAGCCCTGAAAACATTCAACATTGATCACCATCCCGTGAAGAGGTTAGCCAGCCGTAGGCACTCTATTGCATTTCTGCATCTGTGGAGGAAGCTTCCTGGGTTGTATGTGTCCTTCATTATCACTGCATTGGTGTAGCTTGTCACATCACCTCAATGATGGCCAGTGCATGTAGTTGTGCAGGGGTCTGGGATCTGCCCCACCGCGTGCACATATATGTGTGTGGCCGTGTATGGCTGTGTCTGTGCAGGTGTGTGTGTGTGTGTGGGGGGGGGGGGGGGGGGGGATGTGCGCTAGGTTTTATCATCAGTTCCTTTTTACAAGGGCACTCTCTGTGCGCACCCCTGTATTTAAAATGATGTGGCTATTTGGATGTCCTGCAACTGCAATGGATCTACATACCAAGCATGTGTAGGACAATGTACGGTACATGTGCGCGAATAATTATTATTCTTGCCCGTGTGAGCATAACTCCTTGAGCTGCACATTTTCCCTCTGCTGTTCAGGTGGTGTGACGATCGTGTCAATTGCTCGCTGAGCACGGACGATCCTGGCGTAATGCAGTGCACTCTTGAAGAGGAATATGTGCGCGGCAGGGAACAAGAGGGCCTCACCCATGAGGATGAAGTTAGAATGGTAAGCCAAGTTAGAATTGGTGATGCCAACTTGGGCCACAGTCCAATGTACAGAGGAAAGAAAGAGAAAGGAAAGTTAGTATAAAACTACCTGCAAACAGAAACAGTCTCAAAACAAACAGACTCAAGCATGATAAATATTGCTATGATCCATCACTTAGTCTGAACCTCTCCTTCCTTTGATCTTCGAGTTTCTTCAGCCTCACGGAACTTCTTGGCAGCATGTGGGCTCTTGGATTTGGGCTGGTCATTGGGCTAACTTTTCCAGTTTACAGATAGAAGCCTGAAGCTGGATTTTTTGAGGTCTTTGACTGACATTGAGAGAAGCTGCTTTAGACACTTTTGGCATTTGTATAGAGCGCCAGCTGTCCTACTGCAGTCACTTGGACGGTTTTGCATCTACCTAATGCAGGAGTGCATAAGTGTGATAGAACAACATGCACATTTCTACTTGATTCATCATCTTAGCCATTTGTATTTTCTTTTGCGACTGTCTCCTCTCTTGCTGCTAACCAGGTGTTCAATGCCGCGCGCTCGTGCTTTTTGCCTAGTGAAGAAAAGAAAAATCTCCTCTGCAAGCTCAGGGATGTGCATGGCGAGGAGCCCAAGTGAGTCTTGCAGTGCCCATGTGCAACGTGTGTGTGTGGGTGGGTGTGTGTATGTACTAACACCGCCATGCCTCTGTCTGGGTAGCGTGAGTGGCAAAGTGCGACACACACAAAGATACCAACAACAATTCCTACGCATTGCGCGAGAGCCGTCGTGATTCACATCAGGCATATGTCTGCCGGTATGGTGACTTCATCCAGGCCGGGGTCTTGTTAAAATTATTCGGTTTTACCTGATTGCCTCACCTCAGTACATTTTTTGGAATTTCTGGAATAGAATTCTTTTCAACATTCACATATCGATCAACCTGGCCGGTTTACGAGTTCTATTACTACTTGTGCTAGGTTATTTGAAGCGCAGTTTTTGTATGGTATCTATTTTTTTATAGCTTTACTCCTTATTACATTATATTTCAGTATAGATTAGTAGAAACGATCTTCTTAGTTGCATGCGCAATACAATACGGCTTCGGTTAGGGATTTTGCTAGTATCAGCTGACCCGCAGACAGATGCATCCAATTATTTCGGAGAAGTTTCAAGTTTCTGGAGCTCGATCCAGCCAGTTTTTTTCATAGTCATTCTATCGCCGTCTTAGTGCCTCTTATTTTTGCCTTTTAAACAGGCAATTTTTAGTTGGTCTAGATTTCTTGCAATGCCAATTATTTGTTCTTGTTGGCTAGAATACCTCCTCCAGCTTGATTTTGAATTTTACAATAGGTAATTACAAGTTATTTCTGTTTAGTTTTATGAACTTTTATCCTTTTGCAACTGCTTTCTTCAGAGCAGGAATTTTACCCTCTACGTGACTATGGCTAAGGTTGTGTTGTTTGAGGGTGCTTTGCGAGTATGTGTACTTCTGAAGTATGACAGATGCCCACACTATGTTGCTCTCTAAACGGAGAGGCGCTTTGAAGATTTGTGTCCAGTTGAGTCAACTGAGCCTGCTTCCTGACCAGAATACGACTTTCCGCGAGTACAGACAGTTCCTGAGTACAGTGAAGCCTGTCATTCAAACCCACTCATAGGCGACCACTCAAGGGACCTTCGAAACATGGTCTCTGTTACCAGGTGGTCTGCTTATCCAGGGTCATTTGGCTGGAAATAGCATCCCTTCGACCTGGTTGCCGTGGTCCTCTGGGACAGGTGGTCGCCTTGACAGGTTTTACTGTATACAGCAGTAGGGGGGGGGGGGGGATAGGTACAGTCAGACATAACGCATGTTCGCATAACCGCACACATCCGTTTTCCACAAAAATATCCGGATAGGCGAGGGAATCGGATAATCGAACACACATTCTGTATGTACACATGCCATATGCTGTAAATCGGTAACCAACGATTCTCTTCCGGATGGCGAGTGATCCGGATAAAAGAGGACCGGATAAGCGAGGTCTGACTGCAGTAACGTCCTGCTTACGATTGTCGAGTCAAGCAACAAGATGGTGCATGGCTAGAGTCAGACCGTTTGGATCAGGACATACTTTGTCATTATTTTTATTGTAACATGACTACTTTTATTTTATTCCCGCTGTATGTAAAGTACTCCCTGGTTCAGACCAGGGTTGTGGAAACCCGAGGCCAAGGGCAAGGACCAACCACACAACCTTGAGTCCCCCTCGAGTCCCGAGTCTTACAAACCCGGCCCGGGAATTTTCATTTTTGTCCCAGGCCAGGGTCCAGGGAGTAGTAAATTCCCGGTATTTTACTACTCCCTGGTTTGTCCTCTACACGTGGTCACGTACACGTCATTGTACACGTGTAGTACAGTATCATGTGAGTGTGACGACTCGCGATCGCGCGTGTAGGATTTCAAAAACACAAGAACAAGATGAGACAAATAAAAACAGTGCCTTTGCCCTTGTTTTCGCCAGATCTATTTGATTCTGCTGCTAGACAGGGTTGTGCTCTGTCGGCGGCAGTTCAGCCTTCAGAAAAAGCTAAACTGCCCTAACCTGCCTTCCCGATTTAGTCTGTGAGGATTATCGTCGTTCCATTTAGTTTCTAGGTTGCTTTATTCTCCCAAATGCACATTAGATCGAGAACTCTCGTTTTCACCAGCACATTGTTATAAATCAGCCAACTACACTGCTGCAGACACCATTGTTGTTATAGTCTTATCACGGTGACCCGTTAGCAGCGCGGATTGGTCAGCATGGCTGGGAACTTCTGGAACTCGTCACAGTAGTAAGTAGTTCTTGCACATTAGTCTAGACTGCAGCCTGGAGATAGAGACCCCACAAACCCCAAAATCAAGGACCGTACTGTGTCCGTGGCATGTACTATGCGACGGTCTTGGCTGTTGGTCGAAGTTACCTCTGGCACGTCTTGCACTTCTTGTTTTGAATCGGAATAGAAGCTCCAGATCAACTGCACACTCATGACACCATGCACTAATCAAAGCCAGGCAGGTCTGGTGTTTTCAATGGAAGGAATACTGGTAGTGGTTGAGCTAAATAGATAGCAGGTTGCCACAGCATGCGAATAGAGTAACATGTTTGCTGGCTACATGCATAGCAACTACTGTGCAAAGCACTGGCCGCACATCTCGATCTTATAGTAACTACCGTGCAGAATTCTAAACTAACTTAGCGCTGCTAATGGTCCTGGGTACCCAGTGCCCACTATGTGCTAGATAGAGTGCAATCACCGCTATATCCCGTATACAGGCTAGGCTTATTCCTGGAGGGATGTCGGGGCCAGGCCTCTACTCAAATAGTTAGTTGTTTCTATAATGTACAATGTATGTCCAGTGCTGGAGGAACGCGTTCGGAAGTGGTCCGGCCATGAGGGGGGGGGGGGGGGGGGGGGGGTGATCGCTTTGTGTAGGCAGGGGCGTCGGACACGCTACCGTCACTACGGTATTGACCGTACCACTCTTTGCCCCAGCTACCCCGTGAATCAATGAAAAGCACTGATTTGGGCTCTAAATTTCGAAATTTTTCAGAGAAGCCACCCCAACCCCACGAGTAATTTGTACTTCAGGTGGATGACCATACCACCCTAAAATACCTTCCGACGCCGCTGGTAGGGAAAAGCTAACAGACGTGCACACACTGTATGCACATGTACGTCATAACCAGGGAAACGTCCGATGTCGAAACTAGGCAATGTCCCAGACCTGTAACTGCTGTACTTTTCTTACAGACTGTTTTAGGATTGGCTGCATTCCTTGCTACTGCTAGCGTAGGTCTTATTGTCTTTTTTGCATGCAACTGTTATGCCGTGATTAAAAGTCAGCCGGGAGTGAAACTCACATTGTAAAACGAATTTTGTCTAATCAAGGAAGGTTTCCTCTGGAAACCTAACCTCTGCCGGGAAAGGGTTTCCCTTGGAAATCTGTCTTGGGAAGAGCTTGCCCTTGAAGAAGTCTGTCGAGGAAAGGTTATCCCTTGAAAATATCTGTCTTGGAAAGGTTTCCCCTTGAAGACGTCTGTCGAGGAAGGTGTCCCCTTGAAAACGTCTGTCGAGGAAAGGTTTCCCCTTGAAAATCTCTGTCGAGGAAAGGTTTCCCCTTGAAGATCTCTGTCGAGGAAAGGTTTCCCTTGAAAACGTCTGTCGAGGAAAGGTTTCCCCTTGAAAATCTCTGTCGAGGAAAGGTTTCCCCTTGAAAGCGTCTGTCGAGGAAAGGTTTCCCCTTGAAAATCTCTGTTGATCTAATACACAAAGACTACTTTTCCTGTGCACTCACTGCAGCCAACAATGGATCTTGGACAAGCAAGAAGTGATTTTATACCGGCAAGCTGACCTAACTGTGGGCTTGACCCATGAGGACATTGACAAAATGCACATTTTTATGGCCAACTGTAAGTCATCCTCAACTGCCCAGCACTGAGCTAAGCTGCTGCTAAAGCGGCATTTTCTCTTTGCACTGTTCTGCTATTGCTATTTTAGAAGGACATTTTGACATTATATGTATCAGCAACCCCCCCCCCCCCCTCTCTCTACCTCCCCCCCCCCCCCCCCCCCCCCCCGTCCCCTCCATTTTGGGATGTATGCTGACTGCTCGCACAGCCAATGAGGCTTAGACTCCACCAGTTGGATGTGCTCATTCTCATGACATTCGGGAGTTCTGCCGTCGTGCTGGTCGTAGCATGTGGCTTGTGACTGTGTAAAAATCACCTGAGAGTTCTAGCACCTACCTGGGCGTGCTTTTGTCTTGATCTCACTGTGCTGCACCAGCCTAACCGTATACCGTATTTCCCCGATTATACATGTACCGGTAAGTCGCACTCAATTATAAGTCGCATCCCCTTTTCAGGCTGGAGCCAAATTGTCCCAATAGAGTCACGCAGGTAGGATGTCACACTCGATTGTAAGTTGCACCGACCCCCTTCTTTGCCCTTGGAGTTAGGTGTAAAAAGGTGCGACTTATATTCAGGGAAATACGGTACTAAACAGCAAACTCTATGCCTGCCTTGTTCTGCTGCTAACTTCCTGACCGCAGTTATCAGATCTCTGGGCAAGCAGTTGAATGTTCACCAGCAGGTCATTGCCACCGCAACAGTGTTCTTCAAGCGCTTCTACCTGCGCAATTCCGTTGGCAGTGTTGATCCACGTCTCATGGCCGCCGCTTCAGTTCTATTAGCAAGTAAAGTGGAGGTACGTACTCCTTCTACTTGTGCTCACCCTGCCGCCAGTATTTTATACTTTGTTTTACTGTCATGATCGCTCGATTTATCTGCCTATGTATTTGTCTACTAGGCAGCATAGTTATTAATAGTAGGATGGTCTAAGACTATGACTGAGAAACAGAGGGACCCAGATTCCAGTCCTGACTGGGAAGGAGTGTGGTATACTCACCTCCCACCACTTTTAATGTGATGCTGCATCAATATTTCAATAAATCTCTTCATTCCTCTTTCTCTCCATCTTTCTCTTTCATTTCTCTCTCTCTCTCTCTCTCTCTCTCTCTCTCTCTCTCTCTCTCTCTCTCTCTCTCTCTCTCTCTCTCTCTCTCTCTCTCTTTCTCTCTCTCTCTCTCTCTCTCTCTCTCTCTCTCTCTCTCTCTCTCTCTCTCTCTCTCTCTCTCTCTCTCTCTCTCTCTCTCTCTCTCTCTCTCTCTCTCTCTCTCTCTCTCTCTCTCTCTTTCATCTCACTCTCCCTCGTCCCCCCTCTCTCTCTCTCTCTCTCTCTCTCTCTCTCTCTCTCTCTCTCTCTCTCTCTCTCTCTCTCTCTCTCTCTCTCTCTCTCTCTTCTCTATTCTCCTCTCTGTTTGTGTGTTTGTTGTCTGTGACATATTTATAATTATGATCGTGCAACCTATCACTATACCTAGACTTTACCCTGCTGATCGCTTCTAGTTTCCAAGTTATCTAAATTGCTCTGTCCTTTGGTATCTTTCTTCTTCCTTGTTAGGAATGTGGGGTGATAGCAAACTCAAAGTTGAATGCAGCGATTTCTTCCATCGGTAAGCTTCTGCCTTTAGACATCACAAGTTGTGAAGTTTCACTCTGTTGAAAAAACCCAACAGCGTACAAAACCTGTGTGAGAGTTTCAGGCATAAATATTTCACCGGAATTCGGTGACGGGCGCTTTGAAAGGTGCGCCGCTTTCCGGTAATTCTTCTACGATCAGACCTCGCTTATCCGGTCCTCTTTTATCCGGATCCCTCACCATCCGGAAGAAAATAGCTGGTTACAGATTTACAGCATAATAATATGATGCATCCAATTCCCCCAACATAACCTGTGTACGGCTATCTGGTTCCCACGCCTATCCGGATATTTTGTGGAAAACTGATATGTGCAGTTAAGAGTCTGAGAGGTTTGACTGTATGAAGAGGTCATCCGGAATCAAGCTCTTTCTCGGGAAAGACACTGAGAATGAGTGCAAGATCACACTGATATGTGTATGTTTAGGGGTGCCGCAGAACTGGATACATCTGATACTGTATGAGCAAAAGATCCCTAGTGCAGTCAGACCTCGCTTATCCGGATCCCGCGCCATCCGGAAGAAAATCGTTGGTTACCGATTTACAGCATATGCCATGCATACATTATAATAATTATGTGTGTTCGATTAAGTTCCCTCGCCTATCCGGATATTTGTTGTCAAAAACGGATGTGTGCGGTTATGCGAGGTCTGACTGTATACAAAAGCACTGTAACATACTGAACAATGAGGTGCAGTTCAGACTTTGAGCTTTGTGCGTAGCTCTCGTCTTACTCCGCAGTAGATGGGAAGATGGGCTTTACCTGGGCTGATCAGGGTGGCACGCACCTGTGGAAGCTTTTTCATCCCCGCCTGCTTGCGTGATTTTTTGATCACGTGATCTCTTGCAGTTTTCTGTACTACCGTATTTTCCGGAGTATAGTGCGCACTTTAGATGTGCTATTTTAGGCCCTAAATCGCAGGTGCGCACTATGCTCCGAATATGAAATGCATGTACTTCAATGAAGATTGAAGTGCGCACCCCCAATGAAACTTGGGGGTGCGCGTTATACAAAGGTGTGCACTATACTCCGAAAAATACGGTACGTCCCGAAACTCAAGTAGCTGGAACATTTCATCGAGCGAAAATACGCCTAGAATGTGTAGGGATAGACTCGGATGGCGAGCCAATGATTAATTTATAGGAAAGAAAAAGGATCAAGGAACTACAAGTTACGCTATAATGTCCACGAACACCACCAGTTACTTGACAGTCAGCTCATGCGATAACATTGCAGTCCTAGAATCATGATTTGACCATATTGTCTAATGGTCTTGCCATCGACATGCATGAACATCCGCCAACGTCCTTCACAGCTGAGATTTTCAGCTTGTGCTTGTCTTGGTTGCGCTCACCTTCCCCTCCTATGTTTTCATATACTCTAATTTCAGAAATTTTCGGTGCTCAATATTTTCGGTATGAGGGCAACAGGCCAGCAGGTTAGGTGAACAGAAATTTTCGGTACAGAGAAGCAGCTCCCTATTGGATTATGTGTGTTAGTGTTTGTTCGGTGTATTGAAATATTAGGTATGAAACAGACGCACCGAAAGTACCGAAAATAAAAGTACACCGAAAATTTGTGAAATTACAGTAACTTAGAACCTTCCAAGTTGGAAGGCTGTTGGAGTGCGCACCCAAGACGTGCTAGAGCTGATAGCCAGTTAGTTGTAGAACGTCAGTACTGTCGGTCAGTTGTGTGCAATGTTATCGCATGAGCTGATTGTCAAGTGGTGGTGTTAGTGGACATTATAACAAAACTTGTAGTTCTTTGGTCCTTTTTCTTTACTATAAATATACGTGTAGGTCGAAGATATTCACTCCGGAGCTGATTTTTCAAGGTCCGGAATTGGCGAGCAGACTACAGTTGGATAATTTGAATTTCAGCATATTTTAGGCGGTTATCGGTCGGTGCAGGACCAGTGCATGGATGCAGCTAATGGGATTTCGGTCTTTGACCACTTGGTGGTGGGTCTGATCTACTTACCTCCCACCGTTTAGGCGCTGCATCTGCGCCTTTGATCCTAGAGGGTGGTGGCGTTCCCACGGCGGATGCGGAAAACTCGGCTTCCAGCCGAGTCTCACGCGAACCGTGAAATTTTTTTATTATTATTTTTTTTATCGGTGAAGTCAGCTCTGCAGTGAGCGTTTTTAGCTCAGCTGGACTCTCCTCGGTGCTGTTGCTGAAGAGCACACGCCTGTTCGCCACAGGGTCTGGCTGCACACATTGCCTACACTAGCAATGCTACCCGGCCTGCGGGCTAACTTCGTCTCACCTCCTGACCGCCCCTCTACAGTACTGTCGGGCGCCGAAGAACGACCAGGCTAGAATTTCACCAAGCACAGCATACCAATGTATACATGTACACGGTGACTCAACTGCGCATACTTCTAAAGTAGACTGTAGTACATGAAAAATAAGAACGAACAGGCTAGAGTTTCACCAGGCACAGCATACCAATGTATAAACACGGTGACTGAACTGTGGGTAGCCTGTATTACATGAAGATAGGAACGGCCTAGGCTAGGAGGCTGGCCCCCAGTTCTTCGGTACCCGGCAGTACTAAACTGTACGTTGCCTGGCTGTTACAGCTGTCCAGGGTCAACCCACTGTGCTGGTTTACGATATGCTAACTCTGTGTGCGCCGCTCAGGCTTTCACTTGCCGCAAACAGGCCGAGGACTGGATTTGCTGAACGCAGGCACACATGGCGGCTCGCCGGACCTAGTGCTGTTTGTCCTGGGGAGGGGGCAACTCCTCCCCCCCCCCCCCCACACACACACACTACAAACAAACTCGTAAATCCTTCGTTGACACCATCCTGTCCACACCAGCGTGCTTCCATGTCAACTGATTTGGCATAGTATCATGCCATATTGCTCAACTCTAATCAACTTGCATTTGCTTGTTGTTGTTGTTGTTCGGTGCAGTGAAAACAAAGCCATACTCTGACATATTTAAACCGGAGAAACCTTTCTCGACGGCTCTGGTTAGTCACTGGGACGGCTGTGCGTTTCATTTACTTTGAAGTACGGCTGTCGGTGAAGAAATCTGACCTTACCCCATGCTGAAGAATGTACAAACAAGTCGGATTTCTTTGCTGACAACTCTAGATGCTTTGTACATGTATGCACAGCGAGGAGAATAGAAAGCTGTTCGACTGTAACATCGAGCACCACGCTGTGAAGAGACTGTCGGCCACCAAAGAGTTAACCCGTTGCATCTCTTCAATGAGGCTTGTTTGGTGTCCGCTCTGGTGACATACCATCCCTCCTTGAGAGTCCCTACTGAACACCGAGCGTTGGTCTGTGCTTGTGTTTTGTTTGCGCAGTTTGTGGAATGTGAGTTCTTTTTACTGGAGATGATGGTAAGCTGGAATACTATAGTATGCTGACAATACATAGTAGGGGTTTGGGGTGGGGGTGGGCTTGCTGTGTTGCTGGTCCCTGCTTGTGGAGGCCAGTGTTCCCTGGGGGATTTCACCTGCATTGAAATCTACTTAGTACCTGCCACTGGAGTTTCTATATGGCTGACTGGCACTAGTACTTGTTGCTTTAGGTGCAGTACAGTCCGGGGCCGAAGAACAGAGTCGTAGCCTTGACCGTTCTTATTTTCCACGTACTTTTGTATTGTGTATTTGAGTTAGCGTACACATGCGGATATACTGTGCTTATCTGCATGCGTATGCGTGTGTGTGTGTGTGCGGGCGTCTGTTTGTCTGCTTTCAGGACTGTTGTCTGATTGTGTTTCACCCGTATCGGCCACTCATGCAGTACATCACAGATATGGGCCAGGAAGATCGGCTGCCACTGGCTTGGTGAGTGTGCTTGTCATTGCTTGTCCTGTTCCTATACCTGCTACAGTCAGACCTCGCATAACCGCACACATCCGTTTTCGAGAAAAATATCCGGATAGGCGAGGGAACCGGATAATCGAACACACATACTGTATGTGTGCATGTCATATGCTGTAAATCGGTAACCAGTGATTATCTTCCGGATGGCGAGGGATCCGGATAAACGAGGACCGGATAAGCGAGGTCTGACTGTATCTATGGACACAGTGTACTGGATCTCCAGACGGCTAGCTGTCTCCATCTTGTTAGGTCTCGTCAGCTGAGGTCAGCGTTACCGACTGAACTTATCGCAATGAAGTCTAGTGAACGACGAAGCGTTTTTGAACCGGCTCAAAAGCATCGCAGTTAGAGTGCTCTGCCTGCGATAAACACAGCAAGCTTTGCACGAGGGCAAATAAATTTGTTCCTAACCAGAAAGAGTGCTCAACCGAGCTGAGGCGAGGGAGCATACTAGTAATACTAGTTGTGCTCAATGAAATCCGACCCGAAGAGCAAAACTGACGCCCTGGACTAGTTCATATTACATGATTGGACTTGTACATGTGTGCGTCCAGCCGCATTCGTACCACTTCCAGGGCATCATTGGCCGTGCAAGTTCAGGGCGTCAACTATGCACTTTGGGTCGGATTTCACAAAGCACAACTGCAGATACAGTGTGTAGCGACTAGATACAATCATGTCAACTCGGTTTTTTTGTCTCTGCATGTCTACTATGTCTTACTTGTATGCGCGTGTGTGTGTGTCTGTGTGTGAGCGTGTGTCTGTGTGTGTGTCTGTGTGTGAGCGTGTGTGTGTGTGTGTGAGCGTGTGTGTGTCTGTGTGTGAGCGTGTGTGTGTGTGTGTGTGTGTGTGTGCGTGTGTGTGTGTGTGTGTGTGTGTGTGTGTGTGTGTGTGTGTGCGTCTATGTGTGCGTGTGTGTGTGCGTGCATGCATGTGTGCGTACGGGTGTGAATGTCGGTATATTCATTGGTGTTTGGTCGCACAGGCGCATCGTAAATGACTCGTACCGATGTGCAGTATCTTTCCACTACGCACCGTACATCATAGCCCTTGGTGAGTTTCTGCTGTTGTTGTGCTGTTCCTCCACTCTCTACCTTAGTTGTGTTATGTTGCAAGGACTTGCTGAGCTTATTCTCCGGAGTAGTTGGTTTATTGACGTCTGTCATGTTTTCCATTATTGGCCTTTTACAATTGGATGTGTATTGGTGTGTATGTGTGTGCGTGTGTGTGCGTGCACGTGTGTGTGTACGTGTGTGTGTGTGTGAGTGTGTGTGTGCACATGTGTGTGTACATGTGTGTGCACTTGTGTATGCATGTGTTTCGTTTGTCACTCACACCACTGATGTGGACAGCTGCACTGCACATTGCGTGTGTTGTGCACGGGCAGAACTGTCAGCAGTGGTTCTCAGAGTTGGCGGTCGACTTTCAGCAGGTCAGTGGTGTGTGGAGATGTTGAATTTGCCGTCCAATGCGTTGTTCGTTGCCTCTCTCTTGTTTCTCAGGTTCACTTTCGAACCTTCTTTTTTTTAATGCCGCAAATGTCTTCAGGTAGTGCGTTATTTAAGATTGGTGAAAACTGAGTGAAATGGAGCAATAGGAAGTGCTTGTTTTTCGCTCTTTGGCAGAGTAAGACAGATTTTGGAAAAAAGATGTCACCAGGTAGATGGAAGCACAGGACTACAGATCCACCAATTCCGGTATATCATCTATGCGTAGCCCTAACACCATGCATGTATGGTATGCAGTTCTTCATTGAAAAGCCCCATTGCTATGCTGCTCTGTCGCTTGCTGACTTCACCAGCCGCTAGCCTGGCTCAGCCGCTAGCCTGGCTCAGCCGCTAGCCTGGCTCAGCCGCTTACTTGTACAGTGTACTAGTACGAGGTGAATTGCACTGCAGAGGCTCCGCTTCATGTAACACTGTAGTGGCCCCTTCGTTTTCTCTGCAAACCCGCTAGAAATACCAGAATTTTTTAACGCCAAACACCATAGCAACCACTGCCCTGGATAACCCCTGTGCCACTGCCTGCCTCCATTGGCCTTGTTTTCTCTGCAAGTAAAGAGTGGTTTGCAAGTTTTTCTCTCTCTTCGTCGGTGACTTTGACGTGTCTTTTCCTTTTGTGATTCAGTTTCCCTTAGCGTAGCTTTCACGACGATGGACCCTTCGGATTTTATTTCGTTGTTGGCTCACCCTGAGGTGCGTTTGGCTTTACAAGCTGCATCCGCCCCCACCGGCGGGATACAAAATGGTCCCTCCGCCCCAACCAGCGGAATACAAGTCGGTCCCTCCGCCCCTACCAGCGGAATACAAAATGGTCCATCCGCCTCTGCCAGCGGCATACAAAATGGTCCACCCGCTCACTCCGGCGGTATACAAACAGGTCCTTCCGCCACTGCCGGCGGCTCACAAATTGGCACACAGCAGACACCACCTCCGAGACCCTCAGGGCTTGAGTCACACAGGGTTGCCACTGAGAGCCCCCGGGCCTCAGATGACGAATCTGTAGGTTACAGTGGCCATGCACGGTTTGCTAGGGACAAATCCCCAGGTTTGAACGTCCTTGTTTCCGACAATGAGTTCGGCCACGGTCGTTCCCGTTCTCGATCGCCATTTTCCCATCAAAAATACCGTCGGGGACTGGAAAAGGCCAGGCCGCGAGCAGGCAGTCCGCGCATGCGCCCTCAACGGGACTTCCGCATAAGGCCCCGCTCGCAGAGCTTGGGGTATCGTGACCGATCCCCCACGGCTTCACCGGAACCCCATAATAGGGCTCCCTCTGTACGAGGGCATGGAACCGGGACTGGGGATCGATCTCAACGACGACGTCGTCGTTCGTCGAGTGAGTCCGGGTCGGGACCCGGCGATGTCGTCCACTCCCGGGCCTTGACCGGGGGAGCTAGGCGGAGAGTTTCCATCTCTCCTCGTCGTCGACGCTCCCGGTCCTCATCCACGGACTCCGGATCTAGTAGTCGGTCATGCTCCTCGTGCGAGGATTTCTCCTCTAGTGGGACGGACTCCTCACCTGACCGTGACCATGGAGACGAGGTATTTGACCCGTCGCGCTTAGGGGCAAAGGACTCTTGGCACCCACCAGCGCATATTGCGGCATTCCTCCGGGCTAACGCCCGGCGGTCTCTCACCTCCAAGCAGAAGGCAGAATTGAAAAAACTCTGCCCATTTCCGGAGGTGGAGGAGGCTCAGTGTCCTCGCCTGGATAATTTTGTCCGCGACCTCCCGTCGCTGGGCTTTGGCCGGAAGACCGATAAAGCCATGGCGGCAGTGCAAACTAGGGTATGTGCCGCGTTTGCGCCCGTTTCGGCGGCTTGGGCCGCAGTGGATGCTGGGCGACCAACCAAGGAGATCACGCAGCTCCTGCAGGTCGCAGTGTCTTTGGTGGGTGATGCCGCTAATAGCATCTCGGTCATGCGGCGGCAAAGACTGACGGGGCAGCTCCCCAACAAGTGCCCGTCCAGCCTCCTCCGGGAAATGGCCCCGTCTGGGAACTTGTTGTTCGGCGAGGATTTTACCAGACAATACAAGAAGCGGACTCAAGAAATTGACGCTTTTCGCCGCTCGTCAGGCTCGTCCAAGCCGAAGCCGGCATACAAGGATAGTCGGCCTTCCAACTTCAGAGGCCATAATTATTACCCAGCAAGTGCTGGTGGGCGTCGTGGGGGCCACCGCTCATTTCCCCGCCATGACAACCATAGGCGAGAGGGTCATTTTTCCGCCACTGCCAGTTCAAAAAACGGGCGTGGAGGCAATCGGCCCTTTCGGGGGCGCGGTCAGGGTCATTGATGACCCTGCCGGTGGATGGTTCGCGTTCCCAGCTCAACGTACATCTTCGCGGCCATCCAAGTCCACCCCACAACGAGCTGGCGCGCGCTCCGCTCGTGCCCCCGCTCCCCCAAATTCCGGTCGCTGGGCGTTTGAGGCATTTTGTGCAAGCCTGGTCGGCCATCACGTCCGACCCGTGGGTCTTGGATGCGGTGCGGGGCCTGAAGCTGGATCTCGTGGCCGATCCCGCACAAAGCACGGAGCCCAGGGAATTATCTCTGGAGGAGGACAGAGCGCTCGCTGTGCGGCTCGAAGTGGACGAATTGATGCTGAAAGGGGCCGTCACTCGAGTGCAGGAGTGTCCTCATCAATTCGTCAGCCAGATTTTCACCATTCCAAAGAAGGATTCCGGCAAGGAACGTCCCGTGGTGAATTTGAAAGCGCTGAACGGGTTCGTGCGCTACGAGCACTTCAAGATGGAAGGATTGAAGCTGCTGCCCGATCTCCTTCAGCCCGACGACTGGCTGGTGAAATTGGACCTGAAGGATGCTTACTTCGTGGTGCCAATCCACCACGATTTCAGGAGACTGCTCCGATTTCGGTGGTCAGGTCAGCTGTTCCAATTTCAGTGCTTGCCTTTCGGCCTGAGCAGCGCGCCAAGGGTGTTCACCAAGCTCATGAAGGTTCCGATGGCGATTCTGCGCAGCCAAGGTGTGCGCCTGATTATCTATCTGGACGACCTGCTGATTATGGCATCGTCGGCGGCGGAAGCACAGGAGCACTTGCGCCGGGCAATTCAGTTGTTACATCAACTGGGATTTCTCATCAACTTCAAGAAGTCGGTGTTGACTCCTGCCCAGAACATCTCATTCTTGGGCTTCGAAGTGGACTCTCGTGCCATGGAGATGCGGGTGCCTCCGGAGAAGATCCGGAAGCTTCGCCAGGAGTGCACCAAGCTTCTGCTGCAGCCACGGGTGACTGTTCGCACGTTAGCCTGTCTGTTGGGGCGCTTGACATCCCTCTCTCCGGGTCTGCTAACAGCGCCGCTCCGTTACCGGCATCTGCAGGAGCTCAAGATCCTAGCTCTTCGCGAGTCCCAGTCTTACGAGGCGACCGTCCAGTGGACACCCGACGCCAGGCTGGATTTACAGTGGTGGAAAGAGCGACTGTCCGACTGGAACGGGAAGTCATTGGTTCGCCCACCCTGCAATCTGGTGGTGTTCTCGGATGCGTCCCTCGATGGCTGGGGAGCAGTGTGCAGGGATCAACAGGTGGGCGGCCGGTGGACTCGGGCAGAGCGTTCCATGCACATCAATGCCCTCGAGTTGACAGCGGCGTTTCTGGCACTTCAGGCCTTCCACCGGGTGGCGTTGGACCGTCCGCTTCATGTTCGCCTGTTTGTGGACAATACCACTTGCCAGGCTTACCTCAACAAGATGGGCGGCACACATGCCCCGCACTTGTCCCAGCTGGCCTGCCAGGTGTGGGAGTGGTGTCTGGAACGTGGCATCACAGTTCAAGCCGAGTACATACCGTCGGCGGAGAATCCGGCCGATGCCCCGTCCCGTCAGGGGGTCGATTCGAGCGACTGGATGCTCGATCCAGTAGTGTTCCGGGGCCTTTGCCAACACTTCCAGGTGCAGCCGGCGATCGACCTGTTTGCGTCACGGACCAATGCCCAGTTGGACAGCTTTGTGTCCTGGGGGCCTCAACCCGGAGCACTGGATGTGGATGCTCTTGCCATATCATGGGCCGATCAATGCCTGTATGCGTTTCCACCCTTTGCTCTCTTGCCGAGGGTTCTGCACAAAGTGCGCCAGTCCCCGGGGTGCAGAGTGTTGCTGGTGGCACCAGTGTGGGATGCGCAGCCATGGTATCCGCTCCTGCTCCATCTTCTGGTAGCATGTCCAGTTCTATTACCGGGCCATCCAGCGCTCCTCACCTCACCGCTGGATCAACCTCATCCCATGGTGCTGGGCGGTCATCTCCAACTAGCCGGCTGGCTCATCTCTCCCGATCCTATGCGGCGGCAGGCCTTTCATCAGGCACTATTGCCCTCATCCTGGGATCATGGCGGGACTCCACCAACTCGGCCTATTCGTCAGCATGGACAGCTTGGCACAGTTGGTGTTCTGAACGGCGGATTGATTCCTTTCAGCCGCCTGTGTCACAAGTATTGCAGTTTCTAACTGATATGTTTGCCGTGGGCCGAAGTTACCGCACGTTGAATGTGTATCGCTCTGCCCTGTCCTCCACTTTGCCAGGCTTAGATGGTGCGCCAGTTGGCCAACATCCCCTGGTGGTTCGGCTTATGCGTGGCGTCTTCCAACAGCGTCCTCCACAACCCCGGTATTCCCATACTTGGAAAGTTTCCGATGTCTTGGGTTGGATGGGTGGTCTGGGTGACAATTCTACCCTCTCTCTACGCCTGCTTTCAATAAAGCTGGCTCTGCTCATGGCGCTGACTGGCGCCAAGCGCTCTTCTGATTTGCATCGTTTGGATTTCCATTCCCATGTTACTGAGGGTGATGGGTCTCTCCGTGTGACGTATGCCTCCATGCCTAAGCAGCGTCGGCCTGGTTGCCGAGGGGATGCGTCCCTTCCCACCGTGGTGTGGCCTGTCTTCGACAGCACGCCACACTTGTGCGTATCAAGCTGCTTCCAGGAGTATGTCAGGCGCACAGCTCCTCACCGTCAGACTGCTCATCCGCAGATTTTCCTCAGCCTGCGGCAGCCTTTCAAGCCGGTGACATCGTCCTCTATAGCCAGGTGGATAAAGGATGGTATGACTGCGGCCGGAGTGGACACAGCGATATTCTCAGCCCATTCGTTGCGTGGGGCTGCTACATCGGCCGCGCATGCCGGTGGGGTATCCTTAGCGGATATCTTGCACCAAGCCGATTGGTCATCAGCATCTACCTTTCGGCGTTTCTATCTGTTGCCAGTGGACGCGAGCCCTGCACGGACAGCGGCAGATCAGTTCACGGCCACGGTTCTTCGACGGACTTAGCTATGTCCGGTTCCTGGACTATGAGTTGGATTTGCAAATACTAACTCGCAAGTACTCACGTTGTACATGTAATTCTGGACTCTTATCTAGTCTTGTTCTAGTGCATGACGACATGATGGGTTGTCAACCCATTTTTCCTCTCTTTTGGCTTCTCTTGCCTGTACTCCCATTCGGTCTATTTCGGATGGTATTCTGACCTTGGACACTCCATGTATAGTGGTTTTTCTAGCCGGGTACTTATTCCTGTTTTCCACTGGTCTTGGCCTGCGGTGATGTAATGTTCGTCACCATTTCGCTTCACGTTGCTTGTGGGCGGTTTGTTACTGCGACAAATAGCTACAGTGTTACATGAAGCGGAGCCTCTGCAGTGCAATTGTGGATTATACAAGAAACCATAGGTTTTGATGTATAATCCTAATTGCATAAGGAGGTGAAGCGAAATGTAACACTGTAGTCCCTCCCGGCCCATCCCCACTGGGGCGTGCTCAGGATTTACAGAGCAGTTCAAACAAGGCCAATGGAGGCAGGCAGTGGCACAGGGGTTATCCAGGGCAGTGGTTGCTATGGTGTTTGGCGTTAAAAAATTCTGGTATTTCTAGCGGGTTTGCAGAGAAAACGAAGGGGCCACTACAGTGTTACATTTCGCTTCACCTCCTTATGCAATTAGGATTATACATCAAAACCTATGGTTTCTTGTATAATCCACAATTGCTATTTCTGGACATTGGACATTTCGAGTAAAATAATTTTTCGTCGCGAGTAGAGTCAAGCCAGTCAAGTTGATGAAGTGTTTTCTTGCTGTAGTTGGCAGCTGGGCTGTTGTAGTTTCTCCTCGTGTCGGTGCCTTGTTGATAGCCTTTGCTTGTGAGGCATTTCAACGAGTTTTGTGGTACTATGTCACACGAGAATTTTGAATTTCGAGTAAAGTAAGAAGTAATGGACGAATCGTTGGCTTCCCCATGTGCACTCCACTTCAGACGCTGTATAGTCTTGGACCTGTTGGCTAGAAGTGTGAAGAGGCCAACCGCAGTCCACCAATAGAAAAAAATAACAAAAATGGTGCAGTATAGGATGCCTATTGACGCTATTTTACTTTCATGTCCAGTATTCCATACACTGAAATTTAGGCCAAAAAATTGGCCTGCCGAAAACGTCCTGCTATAAAGTCTCTGGGATCACAGCATGAGCAATTGTCACATATTTGGAAAGATGAAGGATTAATAACAAAAATGATACAATAGATACAAAAGATATGAAAAATGTAAAACACACAGCCAGCGGGGCTCTCTTTTATTTTCATTTCCAGAAATTGCTATTCACCTCGTACTGTGACAGTAGAAAGTTGAAACATGTTAAAATGGCCGGTTACTAGCATTGAACTTCTTTCTCTGCGCCTTTCTCCGGTAGATACTGGAGGTGACTCGTGACATCATGGACATGTACCGGACATGGGAGAGCTGCAGCATGCCACAGGACATTCCACGCATACTGCAGAAGCTGAAGGAGCGCAAAGCTGCAGCCAAGGCCAGCAGCAGCAATGGCGGCAGTAACTCTGCTACCACGTTGCCCGCTCCGGCCTCGCTCGAGGACTGCATACGCCTGGTGGCAGATTGAGGATGTCATACTCCGTACTGAAGTAAGAACACGCACTGAAGCAGGGTGAGCTCATTCACCCTTTAGTCTTGCGCAGCCCGGTAATGATGATGTCATCTTGGACCGAATGAATTGCTTACTTGATTATGACATACATAATGTGATCTGTACCAGTGTGCACCTGCCGCATCCCGACTTGACTGGGTTGTACCCCCAGACTTGTTCACCACCAGCACACCGAATATCGCCGTTAGCCTAGATACTTGAACAGGAGTGCTTTTCCGTGACTTGTCCCGACTCTTGAATGCCAGCTCTGCGTTAGGCTTGCACCTCTATTCGTATCTGTTGCCCGTAGGTCTTCCATCCTCTCGCCCGTATATTTGCTTTCATTGAATGCAGTGCTATATGAGTAGGTCTGTAACTAATGTACAAGTACGGGTTTTTCTTCTTCTCTTCTTGAACCTAGATGAGATCATGGCGGTATGGGACTATGCTTCCTAGATTTTTTTTAAGTTTTTTATTATTTATTTTTAGTGTTCAAACTCAGATTGAATCTGGTGTTGCTGTTTGCCATGCACGACACCGGTGTCGTCAGCCTTATCTACCCAAACATCATGTTCTCGTTTGATGCGAAAATTAGCAATGTGCTGGTACACATTTGTTGTCAATGTTTTTTTGGCCCTGTTGCAGAGCTCTGCTTCTATGTAACATTAGCGTTAGTCGTTTCCTCTAGCCGACTGCAGCATTCCAGTGCCTGTGCCCGTGTGCATCACCAGTGAACAGTCGTTGTTTGGAATTTAATTGTTCCATGTTGGACTCTTATGGGTGCCGTTAGGCCATGACATGTCTTGTTGCTGCTGATGCTGTGTGTGTTTGTGTTATGTGTGTACTGTGACATACGTCATGACTTTGTGTTGCTGTGTGTGTTTGTGTTATGTGTGTACTGTGACATACGTCATGATTGTGTTGCTGTGTGTGTTTGTGTTATGTGTGTACTGTGTAGGCCTGTCCGAAAAATGTGTTTTAATTTGCGGAAAATGGAAATGCAAAATGCACGGTTTTCCAGCCAACATTCAAACAAGAAATCAAAGAGGAATGCAAAAAAAATTAAAAAATCAAAGCCAAACAACCCAAAACGCAGAGAAAATGCATCCGTTGCCATGGCAACCAGAATCTAAAATGGCCGCCATGCCATGGTGATCACAAAAATAGTGTTATTTTCCGTGTCACACTGTACATGTATACATGTAGTATCCCTGCCTTGCGAGTACATGTACCTCTAATCATGTCACGTGTACATGTACATGTACACGCACTGCATGATCATAATCTTGTCACCCATTTTGCTGACAAGCCTGCAAAGCTAATCATTTTCTCACCATTGCAAGTCACTTGTGTTGCCCTTGCATACTACCTAGTAGCTGTACCACACATGTACTACTACTACTAGAACACATCTTTGTACAATCATGTAGTTTTACATCATCACACCTGCATGTACATGTAGAACTAAACTGTAATTAGGAATTCCGCTAGGACCTGAAAGGTCTGACGTGGAATTCAGGTTACACTAGGAGGTGAAGGCGGAGAATGTGACAGTGTGTTAGGCCTCAAATCTTCGCTTTTCAAATAATTCACAGCGATTTAAAGAGAAAATTTACACAAACTCCAACCTCGTCCCCTTGATATTCCCGCCCTTTCCCTCACTCCTTTGGCCTTTGATGAGCTCATTTATGGACAAGCAAAAGGCAACGTCTGACAGCGGAGAATGAGACAGGGGCGGCGCGGGTGGGAACACACTGTCACATTCTCCGCCTTCACCTCCTAGTGTAACCTGAATTCCACGTCAGACCTTTCAGGTCCTAGCGGAATTCCTAATTACACTTCGGAGGCTCCGGCTACGAATGTGACAGTGTGATGTTTAAAGAAAAGACCTCACATGAGTAGCAAGGTATGAAATTAATGGCTAATGTATGTTGCCATCGACACTACACTCTGTCAAGAGAAAGAAGCTGGAAGGAAACAGCATGTTATAACCGCTGAGGACAGATACACTTTCTCAAATCAATATGAAACAGATTCAACTGTAGTGTTCCACACAAGCAAAGAAACGGCATGGATAGTGAAATAATCAGGGAGCAGGCGCGCAAGGCATGATCACTATGAGAAACCATGCATAGAAATCGGAACCACAGTCCGCACTTGTAGAAGACTCCTCACCCAGTGCTAACCGTCAAGACGGCTTGGCCAAAAGAAGCTTGGCTGTGCGGTCGGTAATAGTGGCGGATGAATGTGTTGGGCCGTGACCAGTCAGCTGTCGCCAACACATCCGCCAATGACACCCCGGCTTGTCGTGCAGCGCTAGTGGAGGCACTCCGCGTAGAATGGGCTGAGAAGTCACTTTCAACACCCGCTGCTTGGAGCAGTGTTGTCACCCATCTGGCGACAGTTGAGGTCGAGACTGGCTGAAAGGGTCGGCGAGTGGACACAACGAGAGCACTCTGCGCTGGTGTAGTGCGGCTGGACCTAGTCACATCCAGATAGGCTTTGATGCATTCCACTGGGCACAGGATCGGATCAGCCGGCAGACCTGGCACAAAGAACTTCCGCGGGCCGCCAGAGCGTTGTGTTTTGGTGACGTGAGTCAGCTCAAACTCGACACCATCTGCCAGGAAGCGCATTGCGCGGATATCCAAGTGACAGATCTCACTTACTCTTGCTGCCTTAGCCAGTGCGAGCAGCATGCACAGCTTCCAGGACAGGTGCGACAGGGTCAAAGCAGTATTCGGGCCCAATGACCGAATGTATTCTAGAACAGTGGCCACGTCCCACGTACGTGAATAGCGAGGCAATGGCGGTCGTTGATTGTAGATACCACGCATAACCCGGACGACGCTAGGCGATTGTCCGACGGGTACATTATCGTGGAGTGGCGGTACGGTGGATGACACCGCCGAACGGTACACGTTCAGGGTACGGTATTGCTTGCCTGCCTCATACTGTGTCGCTAGAAAGTTGGCTAATTGAGTAGGGTCCGCCGATACGGGATCCACACGTCGTTCGCAACACCAGCCCACCCACTGTCGCCATGCTGACTGATACGTTGCGTTGGTGCTAGTTCGCCAGGAGGAGAGCCAGAGAGTGACAGCTCCCTGCGAAAGGCCTCGCAGCGAGGCTGCTTCCCGGAGATACTCCATACGGTCAGTCGTAGGCGTTGTGCCTGTGGATGGACTTGTCCCTGTGGGTCCAGAACGTCTGACGATACTAGTCGTAGCGGAGCACTGCAGGACATTCGGAGCAGCTGAGGGTAATAAGCCTGTGACTGCCAGGCTGGAGCCACCACGATTACCCGTCGAATGTCGTGTTGCCGGATGTAGCGAAGACACCGGGTGAGTAGGCTGAATGGCGGAAAGGCATAAGCATTCTCCCATAGCTCTGGAGGGGTGGAGAAGGCATCCACTGCTTCTGCCTCTGGATCTGGACGCCAGCTCAGGTAGCGGGGCAGGCGAGCATTGTGGCGGGCCGCAAACAGATCTACACTCAGCGGGCCGAATGTCTGTTGGATGGTAGTAAACACATGGTACGGGAGCATCCAGTCGCCCGTCTCCTCCACGTGACGGGACAGATAGTCTGCTGTGTGATTCAGGGCTCCTGGCACATGAACCGCTTCCAGCTCCAGGTGTCGGGCTGCAGCCCACTCCAGCACCTGAATCGCAAGCGTACACAGACGCCGAGAATGAGTGCCTCCCTGATGATTGAGGTATGCCACGGTGGTCGTGTTGTCGATTTCCAACCGGATGGTTTGGTTGGATGCGTTGCGGAGCAGGCTTTTCAAACCTAACCATACCGCGATCAGCTCTTTCCAGTTGATGTGGTGCGCAGCTTCGGACTCGTACCATGGCCCACCGGCATGCGCCGTATCCACAGCAGCACCCCATCCTACATTGGACGCATCTGAGCTCATGGTGACCGAGGGTGGGTCTCTGTGCATGGGTATCGGGCACCCCGCCGTCGTTATCCACCAACGCAGGTCGCTGCAGGCCCATTCGTCCAACTGTTGGGTCTCGAGACGGTGTGCCAGAGCCTCGTTCAGCAGGAACTGCAGTCCCCGGACATGAAGCATAGCGAGGTGTACTGCAGGGCGCGCTGCAACCATCTTGCCTGTCAGTGAACGCAGTTCGGCGAGGGTAGCAAATCCCTTGTTGCGCAGGCGACGGCACTCGGAGCGAATCTTGTCCAGCTTGTCGCGAGGCAAGGAAAATTCCATGCGCACCAAGTTCACTTCGACTCCGAGAAACGTCAGGATCTGCGTCGGCTCCATGATAGATTTCTGGCGGTTGACTATGAAGCCCAGTCGTTCTAGGAGGGCTGCCACAAACTGGATCTGCTGCGCCACTAGAGCAGGGGAGTGTGCTATCAACAGCCAGTCGTCCAGATAGACAACGATGAGCAGACCCATTGTACGGAGCCACGCTGCTACTGGACGAAGCACCTTGGTGAACGTGCGGGGTGACTCCGACAGACCGAACGGGAGGCAAGTGTACTGCCATACCTGGTCGTTCCACATGAACTGGAGGAGGCGTCGGCTGTGAATGTGCACCGGTACCGAGTGAAAGGCGTCCTTCAGATCGAGTTTCGCCAACCACCAGTTCGGCTGAACTAGCTCGGGTACGACTGCCAACGTTTCCATCTTGAAATGGGAGTTGTCCACAAACTCGTTCAGCGCTTTGAGGTTGAACACTAGCCTCCATCGACCACCGCTCTTGGGTACCATGAAGTGCGTGCTCTTGAATGTCGCGTCTCGCACTGTAGTGGGCTCGATGCCCCCCGCTGCTGCCATGTTGGACAGGGCCTCCTGCAGAGCAACCTGCTCCGCCTGAGCCAGGTGCATCTGTCTGGGAGCCTGCCGCTGATGAGGGCGAGCCAGCAGTGGGATACGCAGGCCATGCCGGACGGTACTGCGAACCCATGGGTCCGCCGTCAGTTGCTCCCAGTTCTGCCAGGCCACCGCAATGCGACCAGCGGGTGGAGGTGGATGATGTACCTCCCATCGCCAAGGAACGGGAAGCTGCAGCTCCGATGATGGTGTTGGCGATTCTCGGAGCTGCCCCGCATGGCCCACTACTGGGCCTGAGGGCGAGGTGGTGACTTGCCCCTCGACCCTGGTGTCCACTGCCCTTGCGGTCTTCCGCGGTGGGGGCGAAATGAGCCTCGGTGGGGCGGCTGCTGGCGATCCCTGCCGTATTGGCGACTGGAGAAGGTATGCAGCTTCGGGGTACGCGATGACTGGAACGCGAACCCCTTTCGCTGAAAACCCGGCTTTGGCTGTGGCTTGCGCGCCAGCCTCTGCGCCTCGTTCAACGTCGCCTCGGATTTCACTTTCGTGGAGATGGCTGAGATAAATTCCTCACCAAACAGCTCCTTCCCAGTGCCTGGCGGTGGGATACCTTTGGTTACTCTTGCCACGTCTTTGTCCACAGCCTCGATGATGGACTGGCGGCGGATGCCATTGATCGAAGCCATCAGGTCTCCGACCAGGACAAGTGTGCGCTGGAGCACGTCCTTGACTTCCGCCGATGGTACGGAGAGTTCCTCCACTGCCGGAACACCTTCCTCTGCCTCGACCAGGGCGGAGAGCATACATGCAACGGGACCAGAGAGCGATGCCACATCACGTTGAACAGCCGCCCACTGCGAGTCGGATGTCTTGGGAAAACGGGAACCAGCCCAGCGCAACACTGTATCATCCACCTTGGGCACATAGGCTGCTGCCGTGTCAGGCCGTGGATGGTCCTCGTGCATGGCCTTCCGCTGCTCGTCAGAGAGCGGAGACCGAAAATACTTCTCAACATAACTCGTCACCGCCTCAGGGGCGTTGAAAAGGAATTTGCGACTCGCCACCGCAGTGGCCGGTGCAAAGTCCAGAGCTCTGGCCGCTCGTTTGGCTGCAGGCTCTCCGATATTACTACCGGTATTGGCTGCATCACCGCTGGACTCCAGGACCTCAGTCCCTGGGCCAGGCAGTGCTTCGTTCTCGGCGGAAACACAGAGCCCTACAGCCCGCTGTGCAGCCGAAAACGGATGCTCTCCAGTCGGAGCTAGCCCGTGCGGTGGTAGATAAAACGACCCATAGGCCGGGTAACCTCCATGCGGCATGGGCATAGCCGGCACCCCACCACTTCCGCAGACAGTGGGGGATGCGGCAGAAAGCAAATCACGCTGAGTGGGCTGTGGTGGCCTCTCGGGCACAGCATTCCCACTCTGGATCTCTGCAGCTCCACGATTTGCCACAAGCGGGTCGTGCTGCGTGGGACGCGCAGAACCAGCCGTCCCCTGACTGGGGAGGTCACTAACGGATGACATGGCTCTGCAATCAACACGTATGTAGGCTATACGGCTACGTCCAAAGAGAAATAAATCTGCAACTGCAACAATTTGAAGCGAAGAAAAAGGCCAAAGGAGTGAGGGAAAGGGCGGGAATATCAAGGGGACGAGGTTGGAGTTTGTGTAAATTTTCTCTTTAAATCGCTGTGAATTATTTGAAAAGCGAAGATTTGAGGCCTAACACACTGTCACATTCGTAGCCGGAGCCTCCGAAGTGTAAACACCCATGTGTTCGCATTTGTGTGATTAGGAGGCCAGTGCAACTGCCTCTCTCTAAAGGGAAACTGAACGCCAAAAATAAGTATGGCTTATCCGAAGGAGAATTGGGCACTGATTCCGATGAGCTATGTCTCGAGCCGATCAGAGAAGAGGAACTGTGTCAAATTTCATAAATAACACCTCCCATATTTGGAAACTGGCCTTGATGACGTGCGTACTGCTTAGCTGTCACCATGCTGTGCATGTTCAGCAGTGTAATTGAATGGAAGAAAACAATTACTTTGGTGTTTTGCAGCTCTGTTTCGTTCCCTGACGGTAACCAAATCTAGATGTAGGAATCTGTTGAGCAGGAGAGTGACACATGTCTTCCCGAAGGCTGTCCAGGCTGCAGTGGTGATGAAGAAGACACGATCATCACCCCGAGATCGATCGTAGCGAATTGGAAAACTCATGGTGAATTTGCTTCCACTCCAAGGCAATGTCGAGGTATGAAGGGTGCTTGTACTGCCTTCCAAAGTGAAGAGGAGATGAACATGGCTTTGCATAGCTGTTGTTCTATGCCAACTTACCTACTCTTGCTGGTACCGTAGTGGCATATTGCAAAATTTCGTGGACGAACAACTCTAGTCACTAGTGGCTAGTGAGCAACACTAACAGGTGAGATTTTTCAATTCGACAAAAATTGTTTTTGTTTGAGAACTGACAGTGGCAGTCATTAGACTCAGTAGGTGTCTCTCTGCTGCTTCTTTCCCTTCATCGGTAGGGTTGTGCTTGAAGTAAAAATAAATAGAAAATGTGGAACAAAAATCTGATCATGTAATTCGAATTTGAACATCAAAGTATGTGTACATCAAATCACAAAAATGACTGTCAAGGTGGTGCTGTGCATTGAAAAAGACCGGGAGCTGGCAGCAATGGAAAGGGTAGAAACGAAACCAGTAATGCAGAGTATTCATAAGGTAGAGGGAGATAAAAACGGGAGAGGAGTAGTGAGCACTTCAGTTTGAAGTAGTGTCAATAGACAGCATCGTGTTGCATACGTTGTGAATATTGTGTGAATCTAATAATTGTCACGAAATTGATATCCAAAATTATTATCCCCTGAGTAGTATTATGGTGTTCTCCTGTGTTTACATGCAGAGCCTTGACGTTGCTGGACAAGCGACAATATAAATTACATAAACATGTAGCTCGTGATGTGGGATGACTGCCGTATCGCATTGCCAACGCAAACCCATCCTGTGTCAGTGCAGCCATCCAGCAACTTGAACTCCCCGGACCAGATGCCGCTGCAGCTGAACACCATGCCGATGGAAAGCCAGGAGTTGATAACGAAGCATTCTGGTCTGCACAGTACAAGGCAAAGAACAATTATGAATTATAATGCATTGTAATCTTTCCCACACTTCTTTGTAAAAACAAACAAACAGTGCCATTATCACAACACTTGATCAAGCATCTTGATGGAGGTATTTTCCATTGTGCTGGCTCAGCATCTGCACCAGGAAGACCATGTACACTTACACGTATCTTGTGTGTGTGTTCGTGCGTGTGTGTTTGTGTATCTGTATGTGCACACGTGTGTGTGGGGGGGGGGGGATGCACATGTGTATGGGTAGGAATGTGTGTGTGGGGGGGGGGGGGGTACACGCACATGTGTATGGATGTGCGCGCATGCCTGCATGCGTGTGTCTGTGGGATGGGATGGGGGTGCACGCACATGTGTACATGTGTGTGCGCAATACAGCATGTGTGTATGTGTTCGTTGAACACAGGGTGTACTCTTGATTACATAAACTTCGTGATCATTGTCACGATTTCATGTGCTTTGAAGTTGAACTTCGCAATACATGTACTGATGCTTGATTAGATTTATGTTCCACATGTTCTATTTATTTTATTTTACTTCAAGCACTTGTATTATTCAAGCACAACCCTACCAATGAAGGGGAAGAAGCAGCAAAGACACCTACTGAGTCTAATGACTGCCACTGTCAGTTCTCAAACAAAAACAATTTTTGTCGAATTGAAAAATCTCACCTGTTAGTGTTGCTCACTAGCCACTAGTGACTAGAGTTGTTCGTCCACGAAATTTGCAATATGCCACTACGGTACCAGCAAGAGTAGGTAAGTTGGCATAGAACAACAGCTATGCAAAGCCATGTTCATCTCCTCTTCACTTTGGAAGGCAGTACAAGCACCCTTCATACCTCGACATTGCCTTGGAGTGGAAGCAAATTCACCATGAGTTTTCCAATTCGCTACGATCGATCTCGGGGTGATGATCGTGTCTTCTTCATCACCACTGCAGCCTGGACAGCCTTCGGGAAGACATGTGTCACTCTCCTGCTCAACAGATTCCTACATCTAGATTTGGTTACCGTCAGGGAACGAAACAGAGCTGCAAAACACCAAAGTAATTGTTTTCTTCCATTCAATTACACTGCTGAACATGCACAGCGTGGTGACAGCTAAGCAGTACGCACGTCATCAAGGCCAATTTCCAAATATGGGAGGTGTTATTTATGAAATTTGACACAGTTCCTCTTCTCTGATCGGCTCGAGACATAGCTCATCGGAATCAGTGCCCAATTCTCCTTCGGATAAGCCATACTTATTTTTGGCGTTCAGTTTCCCTTTAAGTCTAGAGTCTCAGCCAAGAGGGACAGTACAGAAGACACCGAAATAGCAAGCCGAACTTGACTTGGTCGAGCTGAAACCTTGGCTGAAACCTTGGAATTCGACCGAAAATGGGCAAAATTCAGAAAAAATGCAAAAATGCAAAATGTACCCCAAAATGCAAAAAAAATTCAGAACATTTTTCGGACAGGCCTAGTACTGTGACATACGTCATGTGTTGCTGTGTGTGTTTGTGTTATGTGTGTACTGTGACATACGTCATGTGTTGCTGTGTGTGTTTGTGTTATGTGTGTACTGTGACATACGTCATGTGTTGCTGTGTGTGTTTGTGTTATGTGTGTACTGTGACATACGCCATGTGTTGCTGTGTGTGTTTGTGTTATGTGTGTACTGTGACATACGTCGTACACATCAGTCTATTGCCATCGCACCACTTCCTTAGTCTTCGTTTGTTTGACTTTTTTTTATCAGTTAGTCTTGATCACCCGCTACACTGGTCGTTCATTGCCAGATGGGGCACGTTGATGTTATTAGCACGGAATTTTAACAATCGGCTTCTACAGCCGACGGCGCAACGCTGCGTGATCATTGAAGTACTCGTACTCAGGCGTTCTATCTGTGATGTTGTGCGGTGACACCAAAAGTACATCAACCAGAGCGTGCAACTCTGCATGTATGTTGCCTGATTAAAGGGGAAGTATACCCTAAAATCAAATTTTCACCAGTTGTAGTCTTCTGGGTGCTGAGTCGAATGGTCTTGGTCCGAGGAAGCTGCGACGCTCCCTTCCTACTTGAATCCCAATCGAACTCGCGCACTTCCACCGAAACTGGGTGACTGCGCCCTACTAGATGGGGATTTGTATGCAAAATGTCACTAAAAGCGCCATTTCGTTCTTATAAAAGCACGGATGACCGCGATTGGCCCATATGTTGTAGTCTTTTGGATGCTGAGTCGACTGGTTTTGGTCCGAAAAGGCTGCGATGCGGCGTTCCTCCTTTATTCCCAATCGAACATGGTTGAACAAGTGGTCACGTGCTCCTGGGTGCCCAAATCACCTGGTCACCGCGCCAGCAGGCGACAACTTTCACACCAAGGTTCAACTCGAGTTCAACTCGAGTGACAGGACTGCACCCAAAAAAGGTCAAACACGCTAGTAAGTTGTACCCTGCAGGCACGGTGACCAGGTGACTGGTGTACGCAGGAGCACGTGACCGCTTCTTCAACCATGTTCGATTGGGAATAAAGGAGGAACGCTGCATCGCAGCCTTTTCGGACCAAAACCAGTCGACTCAGCGTCCAAAAGACTACAACATATGGGCCAATCGCGGTCATCCGTGCTTTTATAAGAACGAAATGGCGCTTTTAGTGACATTTTGCATACAAATCCCCATCTAGTAGGGCGCAGTCACCCAGTTTCGGTGGAAGTGCGCGAGTTCGATTGGGATTCAAGTAGGAAGGGAGCGTCTCAGCTTCCTCGGACCAAGACCATTCGACTCAGCACCCCGAAGACTACAACTGGTGAAAATTTGATTTTAGGGTATACTTCCCCTTTAAAGCCACGCAATCTCACAGCGAAGTGTTTCTTGTTTACAGTCCATTCATCCAAAACTGCGCCGCGGCACCCTAACCTTTTGGTAATGGTAATAATTGTAATTCTTACTTGCCACGTATTTGAGGCTGGAAGCGTGCAGTCAGAGAATATATGGGGAGTTTGAATTAGAGAATTTCGGCCAGATTTTACAATAGAGGATAGCAATGCATAGCGCAGAGCACTACTCCACGGGGCAGAATATCTACGCCCAAGCTATCTCTTAGCCTGTCACCAGTAAACCCTATATATAGGGTTTGACATAACGCTACACATAAAGACCCTATAGTATATATAGGGTTAGGACCCCTAAAGAAAGGGTTTGATCAGTCCTCACAACTGGGCACACAATACACACAGTTTCACTTGGGTTTTTTTTATATTTTCACTGCATTGCCATTGATGTTAGCAGGAGCGCTCCTACGACGTGCGCGAGTGTCGCCGCATTTGCTGCTTCCGACCCACGTGTGGATCAGCTGATGCAGAAACGGCAATGGCGGGAGCGGCAGCTGCGACAGCCGCTGTTGATGCTTCGCCTTCTTCTTCAGGAGCATCCGACGCTGCTGGAACATCGACATCATCATCCTGAGTCGACACCAGGTCGCCAGGAACATTCTCATCGCCCGAGTTCGTCTCCACTAACTCAAGTTGCTCTTCCTCCATCGTGAAAAATCAAACCCTAGATATAGGGTCTAGAAAATGTTACGACAGCGCTGCACTAAAACTAACCGTACTCGAAGAAAACAGCAACAAAATGATCACGGTCTTCAGCAAGAGAACCGTACGTACATTCTACGTATGTAGGCCCAGGCGTCTAGTTGCCATAGCAGCCAAGTGGGCTCTCAAGAGATCGAGCTCAAGATAGAACGCGCGGCTGAAAACCCTATATATAGGGTTTGACAGGCTAAGAGATAGTAAGTAAGTATAGTCAGAGTCATTAGCATTGTACCAAAAACACTCAAAAAAAACTCAAACAGTTATCAGATAAGATGGGTGTTTTTGAATACAAAACTCAGAGTTACGGAAAGGCTGTGGCCTTTTGCCAGCAAGTTTTGGGTCTCTCTCAACAAGCTCCCACCCAGGCCAGGGAGGTTCTCTTGCTCTCAATAATGTCTCATGTTTTGCCTTTGTCACTAGTTTGTGTAGTACCGGTACGGGAATTATGGAATTGATATTGCTACGGGAAGTTGGGGTCATGTACGGGTATTTGGGTCAGGAAACTGCTGGGCATGGGACTTTGACATGCCATCAACACCACTGGTACTATACGGTCCAGCCTTGATCAGAACTGATAATGTAGAAGCCATGTGAAGGCACATATTGTGACATAAGACAAACGACGAAGTGGATGTTTACCAGTGATGATGACAGCACATGAATCACCAAGGCAAGAGTCCCCCATGGTTATCCGGTTATGGACCTACAGTAATCACTGGTAAACTCACAACTAACTTTTAATACGAGCAAGGCTTACAATCGTACAGAAATGCACCAACTACCTTACCCAGAGCTAGAGTCCGGACGTCCATACATAAACCCATGGCATGTGTAGGGCTCCCTAGCCCTGATCCCTGCTTGAAAACTTCAGAAAAGGCACACTTTGATCTCCTTGGCCCGTTCACTTGGTTCACATGTTCACTACTGGTTCAACGCGTTCTCTCAAACTGGGAGTACAGCGTACCGAAAGGTGCATGTGCGCGTGCGGGTCTACAGATCTTTGCTCTGCAGTTTCGTCACCTGTGCCTGTGGAGTGTGGTCTCACCGCTGGTCACAGCAACACAGTTTTCTGATCTACTGTGGGACTGTAGTCAGTCACTGATGAACGTGTCGAGTAGCCCTGGTGCTGACCGAGCTCAATGAGTTGCTTGCTTCCGTCAGTTTCTAGCTGTTTTGCTCTTCCAATCCTCGGGTAATAGTCGACATCTATTCCGGAGGTAGAGGAGGATATCACGATGGCGGAACCAGTTGCATTCAACCCCCTCCGCAAGTTCAAGCTCGTTGTCTTGGGCGAGCAAAGCGGTGAGCCCGCATGTCGATGTGTTTATCCAGTTGTTTTTTTCGTCCAATGTCACTGACTTGTCCTTTGTGGCTTCTGTCTTGACACCCTCTCATTTTACGGTATTTGTTGAATGCAGTTGGAAAGACATCTCTGATTACGAGGTTCATGTACGATACTTTCGACAACACGTACCAGGTAGGAACTGTTCTGTTTGATAAATTATCGTGGTGACGACTTTGTTGCTAGTAAGTAGTATGCCTCAGCACGAAAATGCCTCTTGACACAACTTCGCAATGTTGTCTTCTGTTACAGGCGACTATTGGTATTGACTTTCTGTCCAAGACGATGTACCTGGAGGATCGGACGGTGAGTGGAATTGGTGTATGTCGTACACTAAACAATATGTGTGGTACCACGAAGTCCTACTGTTTAGCACCGGTCACCAGGTCACTCAGAAAGACTCAGTGATTGACTGACGAGTTAATGAGTTAGTAGTTCATCCGTGATTGGGAGGCTGCTGATGGTGGATTAACCACCCACACAATGTCACATGTATGTGACATTATTTGTAGAAGAATGGAACTCACCTCAAACAAAAAATTGGGTGCCAAGGAATTTCCTAGTTATCAGAAATGTGCATTATCGCATGGCCTCTCTGACTTCTGAGCAGAGCTCAAAACTGGAATATGCCAAGCTAAATAGAATCTTTGTTCGCACCGGTGCTACCCAACCTCTAGGGTTGCGTTTGTTCGGTGTCATTCCAAGGTCATGCCAACGTCATTCCAAGGTTTTATGGTTCTGGCACGTTTGTTTGGTGCACGCGGCATCGTTTGTTTGGCACGATACCAACTCTGGTCTAGGTACGAACGGGGCAGAATCGATTCAGACTATTCCAAAAAAAATTGGAATGAGTACTCATTCTGCACGGAATGAAAATGAGTGACAGGTACATGTAGCTGCATTACTCTGGACAGCCAAAGCCCAGGGTGTGGTAGTTGGCGTATTTTATAGAGTGGAAACAGGGAGTCTGTTGATGATGACTGATGGTGATTGTGATGGCGAGTGGTGGGTGGTGAGGCGAAGGTTTTCTTGTCCATCAACAGCACTCCAAACGCGATTCCCCTCATGGCTAGCTTGGACGTCTAAGGAAACAAGTTTAATGTTAGAACTACAAGTATTTCTAGTTCAACGATCCATGGCATAACCTGAAAGTGAACCACTCCTGAAACTTCTTAGAACTGTGATGCCTTTTCTCGTCGGATCTCCTCAGGTCTGTAATCTTTAGGCGAGGCCGAATGTTTCGTTTTCTGGGTTCTTTTGGCTTCAAAAGTCAAATAGGTGATACTTACTTCACCCGGCCGGGCCGTTTGCACGTGCACACATGCAGTTGTAGCTGTAGTACAAGTCCTCCCTCGTTAGTAGATAATCTCTGGGCCGTCGAAAAAGTTATCTTATAGCAAGGCATATCTTGTAACATGACTCTCAACTAAAGGTACAGGAAGCACTGATACATACTTATATGGGGTACCCTCAATACAACATAAATAATTATTATCGATGCTTCAACTCGTTATAAGATAATTGAAAAGTCTTCAACATGTTCCTTGGATGCGAATGATCGTTCATATCTACGAATACACAGATAGAATACGTTGTGCCTTTCTGGTTTATCCTATGTGTTTTGGCCTGGGTCCTGCATGGTCAGTATTATCTTATACTGAGGGGCTGGGACTCCAGGGACCTGGGCAAAGGGTTGTAATAACGAATTTTATGTACTGGCGAGTTATGTTGTAACCTGACCTGTAAACAGGTATAGACTACGTTTCGCCAAGGGATTTCATGTTTCTATTTACTAATGGGATTTATGTACTAGCCGGACTCGTTATAAATTATTCTTATAATGAGGGAGAACCTGTACTATAATAGTTCTCTGCATGTCCGCGGATCTTTCACTTCGCAAGTCCTGCAAAATGTTGCCAGGATCCCTGGTGCACACTACCACCGTTTGTTTGCCACCCTCATTCCGATTCCGCGATTCAGATCGACAGCATTCCATGCCGATTCCCGGCATGACCGAACAAACTCACAAGGAGGATCGTATCATCTGAAACTCGAGTTTCAAGCAATACCTCGTTCTGTCTTCTTTGTAAATACCTGTTGTCTAACAGCCCTGCACATTACGTTTGCATTTTCTGTGTTCAGGTAAGGTTACAGCTTTGGGACACAGCCGGCCAGGAGCGATTCCGCAGCTTGATCCCAAGCTACATCAGAGACTCAACTGTGGCAGTCATCGTCTACGATGTGTCAAGTAAGTTTTCTTGCACTTGGTTGCGAGTGTGTTTGAGTACGGAATGTCTATACTGCAGGGTACCGCCAGGATGCCCTGTATCTCTCAAGCACACACCTCACCTTTGGCTTGCAACTAAGGAAAACGGAAACTATACGGTTGAGAGTGATTGAGGTCACACAGGCCTAAGAAGGTTTCACCTGACCCTATACCGGTCCACTGGTCTTGTACGGGGCTTGCTATTGCACGCAGGTGAAGTTAGTTCAGAGTAGCTGCATAGCGTGCAAATGTTTAGGCGACTAATGTACATGTACGTGTCTTGACCTCCAGCTAGAACTCACTCATCCGCCCGATCACCATGCAACCACAACGGGGTCCTTATGGCGGGGTGCTTTTACAATATTTCCCCAGATTTTGGGTGCTTTTACAATATTTCCCCAGATTTGCGGGCCGAACCGGCAATATCCCATCACCACTTCGGCATGTGTGGCTGTGCATGCCAGCATAGATCTAACAAACTGTACACGAACGTTATGTATATTGTTTGCTTGTTGTGCTCAGACAAACTAACGTTTGAACAGGTGTCACGCTGGGTGGAGGATGTTCGATCTGAGCGTGGCAAGGAAGTCATCATCATGCTCGTCGGCAACAAGATTGACCTTGTCGAGAAGAGGTAGGTTATAGATTTGGTCTGGCAAACTGAAACCGTGACTGTTGATCTGTAGAATGGCTTGTTGCTTATTGCTTATTCCGCACCCTGCCGACAAGTAATCAGTTATCATCACAGATATCTACTGTGAGTCTACGAATTTCCGGCGCGTTTAAATTTCGCCCTCCCAGGGCTAAAACACATTTTAGCCGCATTAAAATTTCAGCCTGTACTGCTGCTGCCCATATACATGTACACTGTCACACTGGACCTTGCAAAACAAAATTTAGGTCACGGTACCTTTTATCCCAAAATAGCCGAGAATAGATATGCACTGAAAATTTGTTGACTTCCAGTATCCTCATCTTCATGTTTCGCCAAAGCCGCTACAAACCTCTTCTTTTGTGTAGTTTAGTTTATAAGAGTCAATGTCTGTAATGACCAACTATCACCGGACATGGCCAATATCTCCAAGCGCCAACAAGTGGCCTTGAATAAAGTTATCCACTAAAAAATCACTTCCGGAAAATATTCAAATTTCGACCTCCAACGGCCATGCACTAGCCGAATCCAACCCCGTGGCAGGAAAGCATGCACGGAGCGCCTCCGCATGCCTTTTCGCTACGCTAGCACTGAGACATGGGAATAATCCCTGCCCTCGCAAAAACTTGAATGAAGCCGCCAAACTCACGTGCACTAGCTGCCCAGTACACGAGAACTTTCTGGGCTATCTTGCGCTGCTGTTGCAGACCTTGCTGCACTGATTTGCTGTGGAGCAGTTTTTCTTTCTCGTCCTGTTGGGCTGTTGTTCATCAAGTGACGTTTATTCAAGACCACTTGTTGGCGTTTGGGGACATGTAGCAGACTATGGTGGTGGTCTACCCCACATTTCAGCGGTGGCCTCTCGTTCCTGTACCTTGTTTGAAGGTGTTTCAGAACAAAGCGAATATGTGTCGATTTTTGATTTTAGGCCATATCCAAGGAACGCAGCGTTTCTGGACCAAACTGTCATAGTGGGTGAATGAGGTCCACCCAGGGATAAAATCAGCGAACTTTGAGCGAAATCGGAAATTTGGCCATGTCCGATGATATTAAATTTTGGTTGTTACAGACATCGACTCTTCAAAATTGATCAAAAGATTTTTACCAAATAGAGAGAATATGGGTAAAATTCCAATAATGTATTGTTACTGGGCTGTCTATAAAGGGCATGTTTGATGGGTTGGATCCAGATCCAGATCGATTGAGTGGATCCTTTGGATCCACCAAAGTCCAATCAAACGCTGCCCTTGATTGAATCTGGAATTTTAGGATTCCATGAGAGATAGCAACGATTTCCGCATCATCACTTTTGTTCCTGCTATTTATACACGTATCACGTACAGAGGACGGTTTTTGGCAAAAAAAATCTGGTGGATCCGGTCAACTCAGCGCCCCGAGGTGAATTGGCCGGATCCAAATCCAAAGGATCCGAATCCGAATTCGACCAATCAAAAGGGTGCGAATCCAATGGATCCAGATCCTACCAATCGAACATACCCTAAGGTTACCAATTGTTGTTGTTTTTTTCAAACAAAATGTTTTTATTGGGTGGTAGGAGTTTTTTTGTTTTGGAAATAATTATTCATTGACTGCACATGGTGAATCGCCAGGTTCTACTGGCAACCGAATATTGAATCAGTGTTTTAAAAGGTAGTTCGCTACAGCTTTAGTCATTGGCACACAGTTTTGTGGTAACTTTTTACCAAATAGAATTCAGTACTGCACGCACGATGTGGGATGTCATCTACCTGCGCAATGCTCCATCGTGCTTTGTGCTCAATAATCTTGCTGTCTCGTATCCATTCCCATCCTATTGCAGGCAAGTGCCGTCGGAGGATGGCGAGGCTATTGCCAAAGAGCTTGGCGTGATGTTCATCGAGGCCAGTGCCAAGAACGGTGCAAACGTTAAGCAGGTGAGGCCACGTTGCAGTGGTATCACTGCCGTTTTTGGATCTATCCTAGCCATGCATTTGCCTGTAGCGGCACAATACGTATATTATGTGAGGTATGCAGCTGCACAGGCTATGGTACCTGAAGCGGGATTCACAGAAGCATTTTTGCGATGCGATCTTACTAAACCATTCACGGAAGATGTCGCCTTGCTGACGTGCTTTCGCGTAGCTGGGTGCAACTCTTGAACCTAGCGTACAACTTTGCTGCAAAGAAGGTCCAAATCGCACATCGCATACCGTAAAAGCCCGTAAATACGCCCACCCAGTATAGCGCTCACTACCCGTGTTCACGTCCAGTTGCCGCGTGTCCACACTCTTGTCCCATTTTCTAGCCGACCTCCGTGGTAACGCCCATGGGCGACGGCGCAGACCCAGTACACAGTGCAGTGCATGCACAGCTCCGCCTGCATGGACGGTACTTGACAGCATAGACCCAGTTCACAGTACACAGTGCAGAGCATGCACAGCTCCACCTGCATGGACGGTACTGTCATGACCGGCGAGTGGGCCAGACTTACTCTCAGGATTCTACAATCCCAGGTTCTTTATGGAGATAATACCAGGAGCCCAGATACCCATTATTCACCCTCACCACACAAGAAGACCAAAGCTTCACTCCAGGACTAAGTTCCGAGCACCAGCAACAGAGAAGCAACAACAACACATCGACGCAAAGCATCAAGCTCTATACTACATGAAGTAGCGTGCACGGAGCGAAGCGAGCAGCCAGCAAAGCATGAATGGTGATAGGTTTCACAACACTATTGATCGACGAGACACATCGCCGCCACGGCAAACACTTGATAAAGATACACGTAGGAGCAGACGGAATACAATACAGATAATGACATTGTAGCAACACACGGACACAACAGTACTGCAGTAAAACTATAGTGTACAGTACACGGTGCTAACCTTATACGTACCTAGTACCTGTAGTAGTAGGGCATGATGTGAAAATTAGTTTGATTTCACCTTTTTTTCAATTTTGATTTTTATCCGAAACAGCGCCCAGGTCCAAATTGACGCCCATGTTCTTGACCTTCACTCACGTTTTCGCCCAGGGCCTTATTACGGGCTTTTACGGTATTGCATGGCAAAAGTTAACCCTTTACCATCCGGCCAAAATTCCCCAGCAATCCCAAATGCAATAATTCTCACCTTATTCTGAGAGTATCTTCGGTTCTAATCAACCAATTTTCACGATCTTGGGCATTCTGGAAAGCTCTCAACGAGCTGCGTTAGTGCGTACATTGAGCTCAAACAGGGCGCTACTGAGATCACATATTCAGCGCCAGGGAGCTTCAAATACACCCCATCGCTGGATATACGAGGAAATTCTCTCCTCGCCAGCCATTTCTCGCTCCTTCATTGTAAACACTCCATTTTTTGCTTGAGTTTCTTTTCATGTTGCCCACAATTCCGCCAAGAATCAATCGAGTTACAAATGTTTAGTGCATGCATGTCCAGCCATCTCTAGAGATCGATTCAAGTACGCACAGATGGCAAAGGGCTAAGGAAAGTTAACCGCTGCGACCAGCCAATTGTGACGGTTGCCTGAGTTGCACGATTGGTACGATTTGGGGAATCCCCAGTTTCGTAGCTGTCGCATCGCACATCGCAAAAAAAGCTTTCCAATTGGTAGACCCAGGTGCTCGAAGTCCGGACATGGTATCCTAAGTTCGTACACCCATAATTTCATGTTCTGTTATTGTATTCGAATCAAATATTTTACGGAGGGGACGGTGTGGTATGTTCTCGCGTCCCAATTTTCAGAGATCTACGATAAGCAGAAGTCCCAGACCACACGAGTGGGTTTTCGAGTGTCCATACGAAATACAAATTGGGTTACATTTCATGCAAAAATCAACTTTGTCAAGACCGATTTCGAACAGACACAGCGTCAAACAGACCTGCACTCAATCATCAAGAGCCAGCTTAGAGCTGAGAATGGCCAGAGGAGAAGAATTTACAGAGAACCACTCATCCTTGCAGAAAGGTTGACACTCTTGGCATCTCCACCACTGTTTTCCCGCGGTTTTCACAGCTGCTTCATCTCTGAGCCGACTAAATACAGCTTGCATTTCGGCAACAAACTACGGGTTTCCAAGAAATACTGGTGGAGGCACATACCAAACATATCACTTCGGAACTTTCGTTGTAACCGAGGGATTGCAAGTTAGCAATTAGCAGAAATATGTGTGTATTTCGAGTCACCTCTGAGCAGTACAAACTTAGAGCACCCTCTGCGACACCAAAATTTGATATGAAAAATCAGCGAACTCTAGAGAAACAGATCGGATCGAAAGATGGCCTGGTTCAATCGATCCTGGCCTCAAAACAAACTTGGACAAGATACCTTCCATCCACGAGCAAGATTCTGGCAAGTGATCATTGCTAGTGTGAGTTTCAGCTCGGCCAACACACTCTGTAAAAGTGTCCGGACTTCGAGCACCTGGGTCTACTCTTTGTAGTGGAACTCTTGATCCTGTATCAGGATGCTAGTGGAAAAGCCAGTGAAAAGAACACTGGTTGTGTTGAATATGGTCTGTAAATTGGCGATCAATTCCAGCCTATCATCCCATGCTCCATCTGGCTACGAGTGCATGTAATGTTCTTGTGTTGAATACTAGTATTGATGAGAAACTTGCTATCTCTTGTTTGGTACATGACAGTGGGTAGTCTCATCAAAATGAATATGAGGAAGTCTGTTTTCCTCCGTGTACAATAACTCAGTTAAGATCATACATACTAGAGGAAGATCATCCGCCATCATGCACACAGTACATCACACGTTCCAGTCTTCCAGATCATCACAAGCGTGCAAGTGTGAAACAGCCGAGATTAGCAATGACCGGTAAAACCGTGCCGGTTCTGAACCAGGCTCATGTGCCGGTACCTTGCCGTAGTGGTTGCACTAAGAGCCTAGTAAGAGGCTTGCACGCTACGCACAACACGGACAGTGAAAGCACCTCGATGCCTGGCCGGACAGGTTTGAGCACTTACCACGGCACATGACTGACGATGGTCTAACTCTGTGCCTGGTTTTGCTGTGTTTGTCGCCATTACTTTTTTGCAGCTCTTTAGGAGAGTCGCCTCGGCACTTCCCACAGAAGACTTGGTTCCTGACGACAAGAAAGCGGAAGGTGAGTTCAGCCAAAACTAACAGGGTATATCATCAAATAGGATGCAGCATGGCAATACCAATGATGTCTGGCTGGCTGGCTAGCTTGCAGTGGGTTTTTTTTCCCAGACACAGAGTAGTTTAGTCTGTTTATTTTCTGTAGAGCGTTGCTTTCACTGCTTTGCTGACATGTTGTGATCGCTGACGGTGTGTTTTGGCAGTGTGCAGCTCGAATGGGTTGTCGCGAAGTTCCTGGAAGTTCCCAGTGCGTTCGAGCAGGAAGCTGGTCTCCTGCTGCACAACTGTGTTGTGCGCACTACGCCTCTTCCCGTCGCTTTTCTGCACCAACTATGATGTGATCCAGGAATTTCGCCATGGCAGACGCCCGTACAGAAAAGCCAGAAGCTGCACAGTGCACACCCTGGGTTTCCAGCACCCTTGATTGTACAGTTGTGCTGGGTGAATTCCGACACAGAGTGGATACTTGGCGCCCCTGATCTTGCACTTCCCTTGACACACTGGAAATGCTGCAGGCGCTGCTGGATGTGCGCCGGATAAAATACGGTTATGTAATGGAAGCTGGTGCGGGATGTCAGCTGTATACTCTGGGTCGAACTTCACCTAGCCCAACTGAACGTGTGCTGTGAAGTAGCGCGAGTACACTCCACCCTGTTTTGGAGTGGGTTGGGTGTACGAGTCCTGGCTGCAGGTCATGTAATGTATACTGTATTCACTTGGTGCATGTTGTGAAGTTAATCCCTACTCGTTTCATCTCCCCATAGTAGTAAGCCCTCTTCCGGAACAGTGCGGTGGTGCTGGGCCGTGTGCGCCCCAAGACATTCAGTTCATACCCGGTGTCACCTGTCTGTGAAACTCTTTGACGTACAATATACGTTTCCCTGTCTGCAAGGCAAAGTGTGATATCTATGCTAGACTCTGGTGATACTTTCCAGTAGTAGTAATATTATGCTGTGTGTGCTTTGTTCTTTTCTTGCGCAGTGAACACTGTTGAAGTTCAGCCAGAACCTGATGAGCAATCAGAAGAGAGAAAGTGTGCCTGCTAACAGCGATCTGGGACTCGTGCAGGAGGTTGGTGTTGCTTCCGCCAGTGTTCTATGTCACGTGCTTTTGTCTTGCGCTCTGGCCGTGTGTGCTGGACGGTTTGCATGCATACTGGAACCACCGCTACCGGATCATGTCACTATCGTCTCGTCCCACCGCCTGGACTGGCTGCGAGTACGTTTGCGCTTACCTCCTTGTGCTACCTGCAAGGTTGGCATGTCACCAGCGAGAGTGCAGCCGTTCCCTTTCTGCCATGGCTTGGTGGGCATACAAGCTTGCAAGCATCTAGTTCTAGTGCTGTCAACTGCAAGCAGTCCAACATCGATTCTGTGCATGCGTCTGTGGTCGATACGACATATGCTATCACTGCCATCCACGTGTCACTAGCTATCTCCAAGACGGCTCTGTGGCTGTTATCACTTGATTTATCCGCTAACTTTGTCTTTATAGGTATAGTCGCGTTATATTATGCCTCTACTCCACCATTCTCTCACTTCAGTTTTCGTCCCTCGCAGAGGTTTTATAATTTCTATTCTATATTTGTCTTACCCAACGAATTTACGTAGAAAGTGAGTATTTATTGCTTGAACTTTCTGTTTTTGTCGAATAACCTGATCTTCACATTGCACATCTTGTGTGTCATCGAGCCTACGTGTTGTAAGCACATACTTTCAACTTCTCGTTGCTGTAAAATAGGTCTATCATATGAGATAACATTGTAGATTGTCAGATTTTCTCCATATTGCTAGACAGATCAATGAGAATCCAACATCTTGACTCAAGTGTGGCGGGATGGAAGTTATGGCGGTCAGCAAAGTTTTTACCCAGACATGAGGCCAGTTGACCGACTACTGATTAGCAATCAGGTCATCGTTACCTGGGAGTCTTAAAACACCGTATTTTCACAACTCCCTGCTATGCTCATTACATTTCTAGTACTCTTGAAATTTCCAGGTTCTAAGTTCTAACCAGGGAGTAGTACTACTAGTAGTAAATGAGCCGCGCCAAGCTAAAAAGTGGCGTTTTGCCAACAAATCCAGAAAATCACCAAAACGTCACAGTCGGCAAAATTCTACTCGAGCGCAGTCGCGAAAATATTCACTTTCGAGCACCCTTTCAAGTAAAAATAGTTTCCAAGTGGAGAAGAAGAAAGAGGCCTTTTAATTTTTGAGCAACACTTCTTGACTTCAGTGTTCCCTCTTTCATCGTTGTGGGGATTTCTTGCCGCTGCCAGAGATCGTAATGGAGCGTTCTGGAGAATGTGGAGGCGAGCAGGATGACATTCTGTCTCTGTGTGCGCCCAACCCTACTTGACGAGGAAGATTCGCTCATTCATAGTGGCCGTGTTACTCATCGTGGCCACGACTAGAGCGGCTAGTATAGCTATGGGGAGACGTCTACAAGCCGTCCGACTATCATTCTGACAAGCTGCCTAGTGAGTTGGCTCTTGCTGCGATGTTTCACTTTATTTCGGCTACCTTCAAATGTTCATGACGTGGCGTACTGTATACCAACATCTCCTCATTTCAAGGCCAATAGTGCCACACGACGAAGCAGCGCATTGACTCTACCTGCTAGCATATCGTCCCGTGGTGCCTTCTACCACTACCTACACCAGGGAAGGAGAATGACATGGACTAGGGCGGACAAAGAATCAGTGCCGCTTTTTAGTGATGTGCAGTCTGCTGGACCTACGTGCAAGGGACGTATGGAGCTCGATCTCTGGCACAACACTACAAGCTACATGAAAGGATTAATTCATGCTGGCATAGGTGATTGGAGAGAGTATGGCGGACTGTCTTGGTAAGATGCGACGGGTTCCCAGCCCAGCGAAAATGTAGTCACAGACTCACAACATCATTGAAGGATATGAAAATTCGTGTTGCGTGAAGAAATGACATGAGATACATAGATCAATTATTCATTCTTTCTTGGATCTTCTAATTAGAACACAAGTGCTCGTTCTTCTTGTATTGCCTCCACACCTGCTAAGCTTTATCTCCACTTGATGTCCCATGGTTTTTGGAGAGTTTGGGCAGGTCTTCGAATCCTTAGTTTCATTGATATCAGGTATGCTGTGACATGTGCGCAATGTATACGTATTTATGGCACATAATACATTTCAGATGGGCACCAAAATTTCCCTGATGGAAGTTGGATAGGTAGACATCACTTTGGCATGAAAAAAGAAATTTCCAAAAATTATGCCTAAGCCACCTTTTTGCTTGGCTCGGCTCAAATGTTACCACTCCCTGGTTCTAAGCTACAAATGGATGCTGACAAGCAGGGAGTCGACAAGAGTACATTGCCAAGAGTAACTGTGATTGTTTTTGTATGGGTCAGTTACACAGCGGTCTGCTTCCATCACATTGTGCAGCTTCACCTGCACACTGAGCAGAAGACCCAAACACCACCATGATCTCCGTCAGGTTGGCAACTAACTACTTACGTACGGAAATTCCTGCCCCGAGAATTGTCGAACAGTGTCTTGATTGGAACTGAGGCCAAACACACATGTTGTACCATTGACTTGTGCACTGGCTCAAGAGCTGGTCTTTGGTGTGTGTGTTTTTAGCACAGTAAGTATAGTACACGGCGTTGTGCAGACAAGTAAGTTCCATGATACAGGCATGCAGTGCACTACACACTAACCCATAATAAGCACAGTTGCGTACTCTTGTCGTCTTGGTGTCAGCAAGAGTACTACAACTACACGTATGCAACCCCCAAGAGTGAGCAGCTCCTCTTTATTCCAGATCTAGATCTAGTCCCAGTACCACAACAGCAGAGTTTCAGTGCATGATCCACTTGCCTGGCCCTTGTTGTCAGCCCGTCGGCTACCAAATGGAGACAGGGTACAGGACCGCCGGAAGCAGTTTTTGATTGGTCCGGTAGTATTGTGGCCTTTCATAGTTTGCGAATCGAAATGTTGAATACATATGCCCTCCACAGTGCTGAACACATGTTGGTGGCCAAACAGTGGGACCGGTAATAACCTGACCAACCGGACCGGTTCCGGCGGGCCTGGCTGGTACTGTTCACTTCATCTTCTAACACGTTCAACTCAGCATCCACGGGCCGTGGAGCAGGTTTCTGTCCCCCGTGACTTCCGCGGCTGAATATCAGAAATTCAGTGCAGAATTCTGCGGCTGAAAACAGTAAAATTGCAAGTGTTATTCTTGTGACAAGAATAACAATCAACACAAGGCACCATGTGCATGTAGCACCAGTCGGTGTGAGTATTACTAGTTTATTATTAAATATTAACTTAACCCTTTACTACGAAGTAGTGGTTGCGACTTCGGCGATGATTTGTAAGAAAGGTTTGCTCCCCACACCGGAGCTTGCGCTATTCCGCCGACTTTATTTGACACTTGACTGACTCACGACTGCCATCCAGAGCACCCGAGAAGTCCATCGAACCTTCGACTCGGCAAACCTGCAAGAAAGCACCACTCCCTGCTCAATACACAGTGTTTCGGGGAATTCACCCCTCATCAGTTGAGCTTGAGTAGGCTGAGGAAGATTGTGCCTGAAGAGCACCACTTATATAGTGCTCTCCAGGCACAAACATCACCAGGGATACAAACTTACAGAGACGCTCCGCTTCCAGCGCGATAAACACCTCGTGAACACCAGATAGCAGCGTGAGTCAGTGTCGCTCCTGGACGGTGAGACAGACGTCGAGGACCCTTGGTCATTCGCAACGCTGTCACCTCCAAACCAACTAGTCGCAAGCCCGCGCTGGGCACAACAGTACGAAGTAGTGGTTGCGACTTCGGCGATGATTTGTAAGAAAGGTTTGCTCCCCACACCGGAGCTTGCGCTATTCCGCCGACTTTATTTGACACTTGACTGACTCACGACTGCCATCCAGAGCACCCGAGAAGTCCATCGAACCTTCGACTCGGCAAACCTGCAAGAAAGCACCACTCCCTGCTCAATACACAGTGTTTCGGGGAATTCACCCCTCATCAGTTGAGCTTGAGTAGGCTGAGGAAGATTGTGCCTGAAGAGCACCACTTATATAGTGCTCTCCAGGCACAAACATCACCAGGGATACAAACTTACAGAGACGCTCCGCTTCCAGCGCGATAAACACCTCGTGAACACCAGATAGCAGCGTGAGTCAGTGTCGCTCCTGGACGGTGAGACAGACGTCGAGGACCCTTGGTCATTCGCAACGCTGTCACCTCCAAACCAACTAGTCGCAAGCCCGCGCTGGGCACAACAGTACGAAGTAGTGGTTGCGACTTCGGCGATGATTTGTAAGAAAGGTTTGCTCCCCACACCGGAGCTTGCGCTATTCCGCCGACTTTATTTGACACTTGACTGACTCACGACTGCCATCCAGAGCACCCGAGAAGTCCATCGAACCTTCGACTCGGCAAACCTGCAAGAAAGCACCACTCCCTGCTCAATACACAGTGTTTCGGGGAATTCACCCCTCATCAGTTGAGCTTGAGTAGGCTGAGGAAGATTGTGCCTGAAGAGCACCACTTATATAGTGCTCTCCAGGCACAAACATCACCAGGGATACAAACTTACAGAGACGCTCCGCTGTATTGAGCAGGGAGTGGTGCTTTCTTGCAGGTTTGCCGAGTCGAAGGTTCGATGGACTTCTCGGGTGCTCTGGATGGCAGTCGTGAGTCAGTCAAGTGTCAAATAAAGTCGGCGGAATAGCGCAAGCTCCGGTGTGGGGAGCAAACCTTTCTTACAAATCATCGCCGAAGTCGCAACCACTACTTCGTACTGTTGTGCCCAGCGCGGGCTTGCGACTAGTTGGTTTGGAGGTGACAGCGTTGCGAATGACCAAGGGTCCTCGACGTCTGTCTCACCGTCCAGGAGCGACACTGACTCACGCTGCTATCTGGTGTTCACGAGGTGTTTATCGCGCTGGAAGCGGAGCGTCTCTGTAAGTTTGTATCCCTGGTGATGTTTGTGCCTGGAGAGCACTATATAAGTGGTGCTCTTCAGGCACAATCTTCCTCAGCCTACTCAAGCTCAACTGATGAGGGGTGAATTCCCCGAAACACTGTGTATTGAGCAGGGAGTGGTGCTTTCTTGCAGGTTTGCCGAGTCGAAGGTTCGATGGACTTCTCGGGTGCTCTGGATGGCAGTCGTGAGTCAGTCAAGTGTCAAATAAAGTCGGCGGAATAGCGCAAGCTCCGGTGTGGGGAGCAAACCTTTCTTAACCCTTTACTGTCCGATTAAAATGTATACAAGCCCACGCAACCACAAAATCTGAAACTAAAATGAGACGTAACTTTGGTTTGAATTTGACGATTTCCACGATCTTGGGCATCCTGGAAAGGTCTTGACGAGACGAACGCAATGAGCCCACACTTTTTTTTTTTTTTTTTTTTTTTTTCAGCTACGAAGCCTCTTGTACGGGCAAAATTAATAAACCCATACAATCATGTCATGAAAATACAAAAGATGACCAAAATGATAAAGTAATAATTATTGTTTGCGTTCCGGCTCTCCGCCTTCTCCACAGAAACACATGCCCATAATATCAAAAACGGGCAACGCCAGCTTCTGCAACAACAACCTCAGCAGAGACAGGATCAGCAGTGCCAGTGAGGTGAGCTGTGAATGAGCCCACACTCGGCGCCACAGGATACACTGGTCCAGCGCTGCAAGCCAGGGAACGCGCAAAAGCGCTGAGCTCACGCTCGAGATCGATCTCAATCCACCATGTCACCCCTGTTGCTTGTATCGAGCTCAAATATTTTCGTAGAGACTCCCGGGAACCTACTTTTGGTGTAGCCTTGCCAACAGGTGACGTAAACAGGGAAAATCCCAGCCGTCGACATGCGCGTCGCGCTCTGAACGCACTTTTCCCGGGACCAGAATTACGAGTGCGATAACTCAGCAACCGCTGTTCGTATCGCTTCGGGAATTGTTCGAGGCGACAGCTGAGACTTTTCTCTTCGACCTACATATTTCGATCTCTCCAAAAGACCTAGATTTGAGCAAGTTACGATAATTTCAAAATGCCTACCCCATCGATCCCATTGGATCGATGCTTGTATGTACGGACAGTAAAGGGTTAATATCAGCATTGCATTAGGGGCCGTCCGGGGTTACCAATTGTTTTTACAAAACGAAAAGTTTTAGTATTTTTCAGCCCCCACCCGTACCCACCCACCCGTACCCACCTTTTCTGCAGGTAAAACGAATTCCAATAAAATATTGATGTCATTTTTCGACACCCAGAAGTAACTGGGCATTCTCCATCAGCATTCAATAATTATTTTCAAAACGAAACTCCATCAAACCCACCCACCCACAAACGAAAACATTTCGTTTTGAAAATATTATTGGTAACCTTGGACGACCCCTTAGACATGTCGAGTCGGCGAATACATTGATGGCTCGACAAGCAGCATGCCTTCGGGGCATCCTATTATCAAACTTAAACTAAACGGCTTGACACCGCAGCAGAAGATCAAGAATGCAAGGGCCAGCCGACAGCCAGCTGTTCCATGTGAGAAGGAGAGGTAGGAAAGAAGTGATAGCTTTTTAGGCCTGAACAGACCCAAGCATAGATAGCAACGATCAGAAGCGCTGCAGGAAAGTAGATGAAGATTGATAATTAGTAGAGGCCTAGGGAAATTTGAATATGGATCATACAGGCAAAAAGGAGTAACATGCCCAGAAAAGCAGTAAAATGGGTCTACAAAAAAACAGAATAAAAACAATGATAATTGACGTGGGGATAATAATTTCATAGCCTTGATTACGTTTGTCGTATTTATATAAATAAAAATAATAATAAGCAATAGCAAAAGTGGAGAAAACAATGTCCATCACACTCCGGCAGGTAAACAGTGCATTGCTTCTAGAAGCCGCCGGACATGTGCTCGCCTGGTCGGCCACCCACCGCCGCATTTCCCGAATGCGATGATGAACTTCTCATTGCCGGATTGGTGCGCATGGACCGCTCCCCGCCTTCATGGCAATTGGGGCTGATGAACTGTGTGCCGTGGGTAAGAGAAGCAGACAGAAAGTACACAACTTGACCCTGACAGAATGCTGATGACAAGCTACTGTCGCTCAGTTGCGTACTCAGTCCCTGGGCACAACTGTGATTACGTGACTTCGAGTAGACTATACATCCACGCTTACAAAAATGCCCACTATTGCATCAAACTGACATTCCATGTTTGCTGGCCCCAGTACACTAAACAAAAGCGCTGAGCAGCGGATAGAGACCAGCTGCAAGCCCATGTTGGTACCAACAAACAGGCAATGCTTCGCCACACTGTAAGAACATGTACAGTCATGCAAGTCATGCAAGCCTTCACAGCCAAGATAGTAGAAGACAGTCAACCTTGCGAATAACGACCCTCGACCATGCATGAGAAAAGTGCCGTTATCATGGTTATTCGGGAGGTTGAACGTATGCAGTATAATAGTCACTAAGCCTGAAGATTGTGTCGTTAGTTGCGAGTTGTTGTTATACTCAATGTCGTTACTTACGAGGTTGACTGCACATATACTCAATATCCTTAATCAATCTGGACTTTCGTATGCAGGGCATTAAGAAACAGTACATGTACAGTAGACTGCCCGATATCCTTATTAGACTTATACAATCATGTACTTGTAAGGCCAGCATTTTTTATCTATGTTTCGCGTCGCCCGCACGCATACGTTTTGCCTTTTTCGGAAAAAAATAATAAAATCGAACATGCACAGTGAGTGTACAATCGTGCGAATCATCAGTGTGTACTGGTTGCATACGGCGAAGCTGGGATTCAGAAATGGCCTCGAGGCCAGCGTTGGTAAATCGTTTGGTCGGCATCTGCGAGCAATATTCTATGAGCTTACACCAGACCGCATCGATCGCCTCAAGCTGAGAGGATGCGTCGTTCCGGACCTCTTTGCACCGCTGCTGAAGTCTGAGTACAATAATCCAGCGAAGCATGGCCACCAACGGTTGCCTCCTCTGTCCAAAGTGAATATTTACTCGTGCTGATAACCCAGATGTTATGCTTGGATGTACTGTAGGATTTTTCTTTCGAATGTACACCATGCACAAGGTACTGTGCTATGTACAGTGCTATACACCTCTGATGCGCCTTTTTATTATTTTGCATTTTTTTCACCTCTTGCATATGATTGTGGAAGTTGAACTGACGCGAAACATAGATATAAAAAATGATGGCCTAATGTAAAGTATGTCGCATTTGGGTAAAATGTACTGAAGCATGTCCATAGTACCCGGTCCGGCCATGGCCGGACCTCATTACGAAAAAGGTTGATCCACCTAATTCATGAAGTGTTTTTTTCGTCAACAATGTCATTCCTAGGCAGGTACCCCCCCCCCCCCCTTTGGCTGGACCACCCGAAATCCCAGTGACATGGCCCTGACACTGAAGGAATTTATTCAAGTACTTACACCGCCAGAGTGGGTAGACGGTCCCAGCGAGATGTCAGTATGGACCAGTCCGCTGCCCTGGCCTTCGATGAAGCTCTGCACGCGCGTCAGCTCGCTCACCCGATGCTGGCTGACATCGAGCCTGCCGTCTGGATTGGACATGCGCGCCATCGGATCGCCTTGCTTGACGCGCGCCACTATGCAGAAGATACACACGCTCAGGTAGACGGTGCAGAACGCAAACGATATCCCAATTGCCGTGCTGATGGATGTCTTGACGGTGATCGTCAGGTCCACCATCTCGGTGATGCTTGAGAAACAGAACAATAAGACGGGACAGCATGCATCAGATACATGTGCATGTACTCATGCAATTCGCCGAAAAGCTAGAGTTGCAGTGATCTGTGAGTAAGTGCAGGCAGGCACGCGGCCCCTTGTGCACATCTTCCTTTGGATTTTTGATTTCTTGTATGGACATCACTCATCATATCAGGGACACATGATATACGTGTACAGTACGAAAAAATATACAACTGCATATTATATGAGGGAGCATATTCTCCCGAGAAAATTCAGTAATGAGCTTTTGAAGATGGCATCAACGAAATACATTGTAATGAGCTTTTGGCGGATTGCTTACATGCAGATCAGACTCGTGTTCTCGAAAGACGATCTCTTCTCCTATCTACCCGGTAAGCCAGAGAAGAAAAGCGACAACAAGAAAAGCACTCCAGGCTACTTACTTCGAAATGGCACTCATGGTATATTATTGGATGCTGGGCCAATTCCACGGGTATTCTCCTCTCCAGACTTTGTTTCTCCGGGCCTAACCACAAGTTGTCCACAACACCTGCCTTGGGCCGTTGTGTTTTCTGCTCCACTGCCAATGCGACTGCTAGCAATTCTTTGTAGTGTGAGCTACAACACGAGCCTAATCATCTGCACAGGAAGGTGGCCTGTTTTCGTGAGACGCAGTTTCTGAGGTACAATTTATCTCTGACGTAGAAATAAGAAGTTCCACGATTCATGCGGCCACAATATTTTGAAGAGTTGTAGATCTACCACAATCCCATAGACTTTTGTTCCAGTACTCTGCGTTTGTAATGAAGTAGACTTCCCTCACTTTCGCTCCCAATCTCATGTCCTTGCATGTCAACTTGGCAACAAATAAGCAAAGAACCACCAAACTCCGAAGAAGGACTTGTTGTGGGTCTACGGCGGCAAGCACAAGCCACAAGTCCGACTTCCCGTTGTTTTGAAATGCGCTCCCCGAATGGGGGAAGCCCCTTCGCGCGCTCAGCTCACGATCTACTATCTCTGACGTAGAAATAAGAAGTTCCACGATTCATGCGGCCACAATATTTTGAAGAGTTGTAGATCTACCACAATCCCATAGACTTTTGTTCCAGTAGATCTACTCTGCGTTTGTAATGAAGTACTGAGTAGACTTCCCTCACTTTCGCTCCCAATCTCATGTCCTTGCATGTCAACTGTGGAGTATCAAGCGCGGGTTATGGACTCTTGCTAGTATCTATCGATCACGAGAAACAAAAAGCAGGATACTTTGCACTGAATTTTTTTGTAGATAAAATTATAATTTTAAAATTGCAGTGATCAAATCAATCCCAAACTGGATACAGTAGTACCGCGTATAGTAGTAACAGTCACATTGACCTGCTCTTGCCCGCGGCAGTATTGCTATGTCACTCTCACTGGTGGCTTATGATAGTAGTGAAGGCAGCGAGGATGAGGGGAACATTTCCACACGGACCAAACCTGAAGAGGATTCTGCACCCCAGGCTATCGAAGCCACCAATGGCAGCAAATTGCTGACGTCGTTGCCTGCTCCAAAGAGCCAGCCTAGCTTCTCAGCAATTTCTTCTCTTCTTTTCAAGAAGGATAAGAATGGAAAGGCCATGATAGCTATGCCAGTCGCTCCTGATGTAAGTACTGGCAATGCAATGCTGGGAATGCTAGAAACACTACTACAATAGTAGTGTTGCATTTTTAACGAGAGAGCTTGGAAGCTCACGGCCCTACGCTATGCTTTTTTGCCTTGATGACCTAGACCAAAAAAAGCATAGGGATGTTATAAATTCTTATAATCTTCTCATTTTTTAAAGACATAACCTGGGATTCGAACCCGCACTATCGCCCTGCATGCATCCCCCGATACACTTCGCATACATACATGTACATACTAACTCTTCCAAGTTGCTTCACATTATGATCTTTCATTTGAAAGCCCTATTTGAATATGCATTGTGGCCAGCCGTCTTTGATGGTCCGGTACGGTACGGGACAGGTACGGTCGAGGTAATACGACACCGTCTACCGCATTGATGACATAGGCAAAAAAAGCTTAGGGATGTTATAAATTTTTCAATTCTCCTTTTTTTCAGGCATAACCTGGGATTCGAATCCGCACTATCGCCCTACATGCATTCCCTCATACACTTCGCATTCATACTCATTCTTCCAAGTTGCTTCACGTTATGATCTTGCGTTTGAAAGCCCTATTTGAATATTGCGGCCAGCTGCATGTGGCCAGCTAGCTGTGTTTGATGGTACGTTACGGTACGGGACAGACACGGGATAGCGCCAGGCGTGACACAAACAAACAAACACCAAATTAAAGCTGTGTGGACCCTGGCTAGCGCCAGACGTTACTGAAGTAACGTCTTCTGCATAGCTACGGGAATAAAATGAATTAGTGGTGTGCACGGGTAGTCGGGTACCCGTGCTACCCGTGAGGACCTCGGGTAGTCGGGTACCGAATAGTACCCGAAAACCCGAGGTCGCAGATGACATCATGTACAGTGCACGTGTAGAAATAATTCACGCCTGTCTACCCAATGCGCAAGGGGAGGGGCCGGTGTGCATTGTGGTCTTACCATGGAAACATTACCCGATCGGGTACCCGTGCTACCCGGACCCGATACCCGGAGAAAATGCTACCCGACTCGGCCCTAAAATTAATATTAAAACTCTTTTGGTTTGAGGGAGTTGAACAGGGAACAATCTGAAGGCATGTTGACTGTCACCACCAGTACTTGAAGCAGGCGCCTTCGCTTTAGATTGGCGATTCTCACTAAGCCGTGTTGCGTAGTCATTATCCCAGCAGGTTCCGTTGAGCATTTTCTTCGGACTTCAAAAATTGAATCGAAATTCAAGCTTCTTGGTGATGTAGCCATTTCTATACCCACAGAATAAAACACAAGAGAGCCAACGCAGGACCCTCGCTATTCTCGTTCTTCACACAAGTCCTCATACTAACAACTTGTTCGACTGAGTTAAGTGAGTTGGGGACCAGTCACATGGTATGTGTGACTGCCCACTAGACGCTGACCTGAGATGTGATGCTGCTACCTCGCTTACGCTTCCTGCTCGCTCACGTGATCAGTCCAGCTGTTCATGCTGGCCCATCACGTCGGTGCACGTGCCGACCGTACCACACACACACATACACGCACGCACCCCCCCCCCCCCCCCCCACACACACACATATACGAAATAAACACGGGCTCACGACTAGGTCAGTGTATTGTGCCAATGGCATGGTCCAGTGTTAGCAGGTCTGAGACTCACAGACCCTGGTGCTAGCTGAGCATCAGTCCGCAGATGTCATTAGCCTGTCGGCAACACTGTATTAGAGACTGAGAGGTTCCGCATAATGCAATGGCGTTAGTAAAAACCGTAGTCGACCTACTGAAAGTCTTACCCACTGCATTAGGATCCTTGCTCCGCCCTACGGAGTTTTCGAGCCCCGTAGCTGCCCATGGCAACTTCGGTCGCGAAAATGCACGACCCGGAGAGACAGACAGACAGACAGACAGACTGACTGACAGATAGACAGACTGATAGACAGACTGACAGAGAGAGAGAGAGAGAGAGAGAGTTCTACATTTATCCCCAAATCCGCTTACGGAGCACCTCCGTTAATAAATCCAATGTACGTACTCGACAAAGACTACTTTCCGTAAGTGGAGTGCAAACTCGCAAATTCACGGGTTTTCCCGCCCACTTAACCGGGACATAATGTTGCTTGACGTTACGTAGTGCGGAACCTATCTACTGTAGTACGCAGATTCTCCCCCCCCCCCCCCCCCCCCCCCCCGCACACACACACACTCACCACACTCCATAAGCTGATAGTATACAGTCGACTTCTGACAACACGAAAGCTGAGCGGTATCCATACTCTTGTTTCCTTTCTGTGTGACTTGTGCTGACTGTAGTCGGATTCAGATGATGATGGACCTCCATCGAAGAAGAAGAAGAAGGATGATGGCAAAGCACCGGTAAGACATAGCAGGGTGATATTGGCATGCTGATGGAGCCACACGTCCCCGTTTTATCTGTGACCAAGGATGTAAGACCGAAGACAGAGCGGCAGTCTTGTTCTAGCTCTATTTATCGTGATGTGTGTGTATGTAAACACATGTGTGCACGCACATGTATTTACACACACACACACACACACCTTTGACCTTTGACGCCCATCGCCGGAGGCGATGATAGCAATGCTATGGCAGAAGCCATAGCAACTTGTGCTGGGATTGCACCATTCAACAGCTTGCAAGGTTGAAGAATTGACCGTCACTATTCAGCCTGGTCTACACCATACAGCTATTTGAAGTGAGTTTTTTTTGGCCAGTGAATCCCTTTTTTTGGTCTTTTTTTCTTTCTTTTTTGGTCTTTTTTTCTTTTCTTTTTTTTCCGCACACACATCTCACCACATACTCCGGCATGCACTGGCTGTTGGTAACCACCCAGGAGAATGAAAGAAAAGTCAGGAAGAGTCTGAGAAAGAGAAGAAAGACGTGTGTGACCATAATCGTCGGGAATCGAACCCGCAATCTATCGATTGGAAATCGCTGCACATACCACTGCACCATATGGGACACAGCGTCAACACACACACACACACACACACACACACACACACACACACACACACACACACACACACACACACACACACACACACATGCACACACATGTGCACACCTTAGACCTTAGACATGCCCATCGCGGGAGCGATGATAGCGAACAGCTATGTTAGACATAGCAACTTGTGCTGGGATTACACCATTCAACAGCTTGCAAGGCTGATGAATTGACCGCCACTATTTATAGCCTGGTATCCACCACACAGCTGTTTGAAGTGACTTTTTCTGGCCAGTGAATCCCTATTTTTGATTTTTTCAATTTTTTTCTTTTTTTTCTTTTCACACACACACACACACACACATGTGCACACACACGCATGCACCCACACACGCATGCTTGCACACGTACACACGCACACACACGTACACACACACACACACACACACACACACACTGAGCCAAGAGTGATTGCACGAGTACTATCCCTAAATTGGTATATTCTTGTATTTCAATTTGTTCAAGTACGGCAAGTGCATATACATGACGTTTTTGTACTGCCTTACCGCTGGAGAGTGATTTTCTAATTCCTACAGAACTAATAGTTTAGAAGCGTGAATACCGCAGATCCTGACCATGATTTTTAAGAGTCAATGCCTGTAGTGACCGAATATCAGCAGACGTGGCCTAATTTCCACCATCACTACGACCACCGCCGCCACCACCACCACCACCATCACCACCACCACCACCACCACCACCACAGGCCGCTACAACATGTCCCCAAGTACAAGTTGACTTGTCTTGACCATTATCCAATTTTGAGCTCTCCAACGGCCGTATATACGCGTATATCCACTGTAGGCAACTTCGTGACAGGAAAGCAGAGTAGTGCATAGGTGCCAGCACCTTGTGAAATCTCCCCACCCCGAAATGGGATGTTCTTGTGCGTATTGTAGTTTGAACAGGTGATCTTTTGTTCAATCAACGGGCAGTGGCTGGAAGCATTGATTTTCCTGGTCTGGCAATCAGTGCAGGTGTCAAGTGACTGAAGTGAGGTTCCTTTTTCATGTGCCTACTATTTACGCTGTCGCTGGCATGTGCCGCTGCCTGCAGGTGGCCCTTGTGGCAGTGGAACAACAAGAATAATTTGTGTGTGTGTGCATGTGTGGTTGGGTGGGTGTATGCGTGTGTACGCGTGTGTTTCGTACCACAGGTGCAAGTGGGCAAGTCGGCACTGATGTCGATGCTTCCGCAGCCGAAGAACTTGTTCCAGAAAGCCAAAATATCAACGGGTGAGGCTTCCAGTGTGGGAACCATCACATCACAAGAGGGAGATGCCATGCGGGCAAAGAATAAGAACATGCCGACTAAGAAGTCGACTGCCTCTCTCACTCCATACGTCTTGGGCAAGAAGAAAGAAGCAGTGCCGATAGACACATCGCGTAAGTCCGCCATTGCAAAGAAACCAGCAGCCACAGCCAAGGGGGAGGAGGACGAGGATGGCGAGGAGGAGAGCACCCCGTTCTTCTCCTTCCACTCGGCAAAGGACGATGAGGCTCTCCTTGCTCAAGACAAAGCGACCAGTGAAGCCGGGTCCATACCAACAGCGTATGCCACAACGGTGGAGCAGCGGACTGCGCATCAGGTATGTCACAATGTTAAAGATTATATCAACGTCATGAGATCATTTGCACTGTAGTTTTCTAGTCTCTGAGAGTTGTGTCCTACAGTTAAACCTGACACTTACGGACACCCAAGCGACTGAGGCCAAATGTCCTCAATTTACCGGTGTCTTCAATTCTCAGTTGCACCCATCGCCATACAATATTCACTCTTTTGACAGGTAACAATTCCATCAAATTTAAGATATCGCTATGTAAGTCTACAAACCACCCTGGTATTCCATGGCTAGTCAACGTTAACATCTTCCCGAAGACTTCAGCCGTTCTGATTTTACAATTTCACACAAAATTGTAATGCACTCGCCAACATTTTTACCGACGTGGCAGGCAGACGGAAATAATTATATGCACCGAAGTTTCTGGTCAATGTTGATGTTCGATGAACTGGCTCTCTTTTGTTTCCATAGAGCCATCCAGAGCAGAGAAACAGCCTGAATAGTAGATCTACTCTTGTACTTGTTGGCACCCATATTGCCATAGGCATAAGCAAGAGTACTATGATACGCACCCTAAGTTGCCAATTCTTGACAGCCATGCGTCTTCTTGCGTGAACGATTTGTTTCAGCAAACCTCTTCAGTCCTGCACATGCATTCATGATTGTGACCTATCTGCTTGACATGGCTGATTGTGAGCTATCTGCTTGACATGACTGATTGTGAACTATCTGCTTGACATGGCTGATTGTGAGCTATCTGCTTGACATGACTGATTGTCTGTACCAACTTCACCCAGCCACAGTATAACCTGTCAGGGCGGCGACCACTCGGATAAGGTGACCACCTGTCCTAGAAGACCACTGAAACCATCACCAAGGGATGCTATTTCCGATCAAATGGGACCTGGATAAGGAGACCACCTGGTAACTGAGCCCACGTTTTGAAGGTCCCTTGAGCGGTCGTCTCAGACTGGTTTCACTGTAGTTAGAGGAACGCGCCTTTGCCTGTTGGGTTTCCTGTGCAGGTGTGTGCCGGCGCCAGTGAGGCAGCGTCGTCCACTTCGTCATGGCCCAGCGCTGCTTGTAGTGAGCAGTATGTCGGCCCTGCCACCGGTCCGATGCCGGCAGAGTATTCGTACGGTGCTACTGCTCAGGAGCCCGATTACCCTGTAAGTATTAGTTTGAGTTGTGCATTGAACAAAGCGACAAATAGAATGGTTACACGTGGCAAATACTAGTACATGTACATGCTACGTGTACATGTACAGGCATCTACTTTCTTGCCGCAAACATTTCTCGTAGGGGTGAAACAATTATACCGAATACTCGAGTACTCGCTCGGTTTTTCAGAAATAATCGTACTCGGAATAAATCAGAGTACTCGTTCATACATGGTACTTGCATTTACCACAGAAATCTGCAGTTTCAGAGCAGCAGTCGGCGGATATTGATGTACAGACTGTGTGGTGAACATTTGTTCACGAGTAAAGAGAGCCCAAATGACCTACCAACCAATATACCCGAGAAAATGACTACCACTCGGTTCAATCAGGGTTGTATCATGTGATTTTAAGGCCCTCGGTGTGCAATTTTTAGGAGATGAAGAATACTCGAATACTCGAATATTCGATCAGACAAAATCAGAGTACTCGAACTCGGGATCTCAATGCCAACTTTCACCCCTAATTTCTCGACATCGTGAAGGGTACTTCTGTACAGCCTTGAAAAGAAACTGGCCAAAATCAATTACTTTACAGAAGTGTGCATGCCATTCATGTGGCATGTTTGAGCCTATGACTCACTGAGTGTGGATGGGAACAAGGGTGCTGTTGATGCAAAAGAAGGATCCACGTGCAGGATTCGAACCCAGCACCCCTGCCCTACCGATTAGGCTACCAGGGATCACACACCTATGGCTCCTTTTTGCTACACTTTGTCCCTGAAACTTGCGCTTCTCTTCGATTTGTCTGTTTCCATTGCAGGCAACCGGGCCCAGTTTGGAGCCGTCGGCACACAGCTATCCTGCATATGATAGTACTTCAGCAGACCCTCCTCCAGCATACCAAGTTGCACCTGCCGAAAGCCAGCAAGTGGCTCCGGACTCTCTTGGAGACTTGTTGAACGATGAGCAGGTATGTGAAGACCCACACATGGCTTGTGATGTGGTGGTGGTGTGTGTGTGCGTGCGTGGGCGTGCGTGCGTGAGCGTGTGTGTGTGTGTGAGAGAGAGAGAGAGAGAGAGAGAGACGGGGAGAGAGAAGAGAGGATAATGTTTCTGTATGGTTGGTGTTTTCTTTCTGATGTGTATCTTGGGAAATTAGAGGCAACATGCCTCGTACTGCTATTTTCTCTCCGAAACTCAACACTTGCAAGCCAGATACCATATGAAAGAAAGAAAAAATCATCAGTCGCACCACCGGTCCCAGTACGAGGCATGTTGCCTCTAATTTCCTAATACTTTGAAATTCTCCGTGAAGTCCAAATTTGAAATTTCAAGATGTGTATCTTGCCGGCTTTTTGTTTTCTTTTCAGTTCAAGCGATTGAGTCGTGGTGGTAAACGGAATAAACAAGATCTGGCAGCCATTGCAAGCAGTATGGTAGACTTTGATGAGAACGAACGAGCAAGTTCGTACAATGCGCTGCCATCCAAGTACATGAGTGAAGAGAAGGCAGTCCGGGCGGTAAGCTTGCCTACAAATCAGCATGTTTGTGTCACATGCCCATGTATGTGTTCCAGCCATATTTCCTGCCTGCTATTCTTTCCTGTTCAATTGTAAAATACGTATAATTTTAGCGAATGAAGAATTTATATTCTTCGGATTAGCGCTCATCGTATTTGATCTTCAGAATTTAGTTGCTATTTGCCTTGTGCTTCAAGTACCAGTATACAGTGTTCATTAAGTTAAAAGGTGCCCTTGGCCGAATGTTTACCCAGGCACACGAGGACTCAAATTTATTTCGTTTTAACAAGCTTACAATAGGGGTGTTAGGCCTGCAGCTTCACCAATGCAGTAAAACGTCAGTACAACACACAGTGAACTCCCCCATTCTGCCGATTGCAGAATTTCCGCAGAATTTGGAGAATCACTCGGAATATTGCAGAAAAAAGACAAGAAATTGATATTTTCTCGAGGCTTGTGATGTATTCGACAGCCAAACCAACTTGCTCATGGCTACAAAAAAGTTTCAAAGTCAACTTTCTGTGTACTGGGAGTTTTCATTTTTTTGTCCCAGGAGTTCGAAGCTCTGGTGTGTGTGTGTATACGTATAATTTTAGCGAATGAAGAATTTATATTCTTCGGATTAGCGCTCATCGTATTTGATCTTCAGAATTTAGTTGCTATTTGCCTTGTGCTTCAAGTACCAGTATACAGTGTTCATTAAGTTAAAAGGTGCCCTTGGCCGAATGTTTACCCAGGCACACGAGGACTCAAATTTATTTCGTTTTAACAAGTTTACAATAGGGGTGTTAGGCCTGCAGCTTCACCAATGCAGTAAAACGTCAGTACAACACACAGTGAACTCCCCCATTCTGCCGATTGCAGAATTTCCGCAGAATTTGGAGAATCACTCGGAATATTGCAGAAAAAAGACAAGAAATTGATATTTTCTCGAGGCTTGTGATGTATTCGACAGCCAAACCAACTTGCTCATGGCTACAAAAAAGTTTCAAAGTCAACTTTCTGTGTACTGGGAGTTTTCATTTTTTTGTCCCAGGAGTTCGAAGCTCTGGTGTGTGTGTGTGTGTGTGTGTGTGTGTGTGTGTTTGCATGGATGTATGTGCGTGTGTTTGCCAACAGCCTCAGAGTGCACAACCATCGCGGGCGCAGAAGAACAAGCACCAGATCACCTACCTCGCTTTCCAGGTACTCGACTGAGACACTCTCTTTGGCTGGTTTGTTCTCTGCCTAGGTACATTGGATATACCTGGTCCTGCAAAGTGCTCTTTACAGTGGTACCTGATTGTCATACACACACCGAATATTGTAGTTAGCAGTCAGTTGCAACATATGAAATCCAGCGACTTGAATACCAGTAAAAGCTCGTCTCACCCAGTCCACTTGAGTTTCGTGTTGTACAGCCCTCTCCCTATGGACAGACCTACGGAGTTAAAGTTGTGTGGTTGAGGTTTATTAAATTTCCTTTCTTTGTTCACTGTGTTTGTGACAGGCAAAAGAGCGCGAGTTGGAACTACAGAACCAGTGGTCGCAGAACCGCCAGACCAAGAAGCAGACACAGTCGAAGTATGGCTTTTGATCCCCGTACATCTTGCGGCTGTTGTAGCCGGCATATGACTGCCGTATGTTTCTCACAGGTACCCGCCATATTTGAGGAATACTTGTAATCTGTTAGTCCATGTCCTCATGAAAACTAGACACTACTGCCCTCTGTACAGTGCTGCTACTTCAAATCACTCGTGTGCTCAACACAAAATTCTTCTCTATATTCCAATATCATGTAACACATCACACTGTTGACCTCCTATAAAAACGCTCTCCCGGATCTTGTGTTCATGCGCAAACTATTTTTGTGTTCTGCTGAGGAATGCCAGTCACTGACTGGTATACCTGGTGAGGGAATTTTTTGCCGAAACGTTGTAAAACTTGATTGGTAAAAGTCGTACTAAAAGAAATCAATTGTTGTAGAGTGAAAGGAAAAGAGCGAGTCTGCTCAAGAAACCTCTTCCTTAGGGGTCGTCGCAAAGTTTTTTGTTGTCCCTGAAACGAACATGCTTCGTTCGGGGGGAGGGGGGGGGGGTGCGAGCCAAAATCGCAAGTCGACTGACACTGTACATATGACATGTACATGCATGTGATTTTCGTCGTCCGGCATAGCAAGCCGTGTTCGTTTCAGAGGGAGGGGAGGAGGTCCGAGTACGAAATGGACGATGTTCGTTTCAGGGACGACAGAAAACTTTTGCGGCGACCCCTTACTGGTACCGTTAAGATAGCTGCATGCCGGGGAATGTGGGGCCCAAGAGCATCCAGCCTGGATAAATAAGAGCCTTGGAACCTTATGATGAACACACGAGTTACGAAGTTTCCCTCGAATAGAAGTCTATAGAGTACTACAGTGGAGCTCGCTTATACAGTGTAGTACGTACTGTGCTAAGCTATCCTCTCGCTTCTACTCTCACTTGGTACGGACCGGGGTCGGACAGTGTCCCAAGCACGGGTGTATTGATCCACATGTTTTCATACGCTTGTTGCACTGTATACTATACAGACTGTAGTGCAGATTGTCGGAAACGCTGCACAGTACACACTTCATGCAGGCATGTACTGCCATGGCACTACACACTTCATGCAGGCATGTACTGCATGCCATGGCAGAGTGCGTGTACCTGTACTCTTCTTTTTATTCAAGAGTACAGGAGTACATGCATGTCATGTAACTCCATGCATTACAATAGTATCGATCAACACCAGTGTTGGTCATGTGGAGGCAATGCATTGTTGGTGTTATTTACAATGGGGCTAGATTATGGATAGGTTCTACAAGCGTAACACGGTTAGCCTTAATACAGATAATAGTATGCACATTGGTGTCAGTACACAAAGAAAAAAGCACAGCTAACGAAACCTACAGCAATGCTTCATAACCAAAGCCTCTCAGCATACAGCAGCGCGCACGGCGGCGCCTATTCAAAAGACTCCGTGCAGCATCTGACCAGAGATGGCGGCTTCTAGAACAACTTGAACTGGGGACAGGCTAGCCCACAATGTGTGGTTAGCACTAGGGTGAATGCACTCAATCTGGAAGTAATAAGATAGCAAGGATTCAGCCCTCCTCGTCAAAGAACTGTGGCAGAACAACACAGCCAAACCAAGCGAACAAACAAGTATAAATCGTACGCAGAGCTGTGTTCGATAGATGACTGCATCACCAGGAAACCGCGAGCATGCACTATGCTTGTGTACACGTGCACTGTACATGATGCCATCTGCGACTTCGGGTTTTCGGGTACTATTCTGTACCCGACTACCCGAGGTTCTCACGGGTGGCACGGGTACCCGACTACCCGTGCACACCCCTAGTTTCATGGATGACGAAAACCTTTTGCGACAACCCCTTAGTGGTCTTATCCAATGACGTGCAGGGGCTGCCAGTGATTACAGCATGATGACCACGTGTATGGGGACACGTTCACACACTCATCGGGTACACCACAGGAACTGTTTAAACAAAATTATACCGGTGCAGTGAAGCCTCGGTAGGCACATGCCCCTGCCCCAAAATGGGGTATTACTGATAGTACCCCATGTTGGGGTAAAAACACTGATAAAGCAAACTTTCCCTTTACGGCTTTAGAAGAGCTATTGTTCATCTCTATTGGTCCTGTATTAGATATACCACTGTGTATTGTGTGAGATCACTGGGTATAACTATAAGGTATGAATAAGAAGAACTCCCGTTATAGAGAACAAATGCCATAGGTCCCTTGGTGTTCGTCCTAAAGAGGTTTGACAGTGCCTGCACCTTAGTTGAATTGAACAATCGGCGTGGAGACAGTAATCCAAAAAGAGCTATGAGAGTAGCAAAGTTGCAGATACGACCATGAAACATAAGTTAACTACGTGTTAGAGTTCCAAAAAATGAATGGATTTCAATTGACACTTTTCATAGCTCTTTATAGTTGTATTGGTGCATCACACAAGTGGTCAGTGTTCTCAGTCTGTAAATGCACCTACCTTTTGGCGGTAATATTTCCCACCGGCAACTTTCCAGTCCCGACGCACGTCCTCCCGCACCCACGGTGCTTCTTCCTCCCACAAAATACGGCGCTTTATCTAAGGAAAGTGAGCAGTGGAACATACATTCTCTCAGAATACGGAGTGGCCGGAGAGGGTTGGGCGCATTCACTGTGTGCAGGGCCTGTTCTCAGTTTCAGGATAATGACATTATTGCTTATGATATAACTATATAAAACACAGAACAACAAAGGCAAGTGGATTGGTAGCCTTTCTATTGCTCCGTATGATTTTGATGGCGTCAAGCCATGCACTGCATACCAGGGAGTAGTAAAATTCCGGTATTTTACTACTCCCTACCGCATACCATAGGTACTGCATAGACCGTAAATTCCCGCCAGAGCGCCCCTACCTCCGCGACCCTTCTAGTAGGTCGGGTGGGGTGGGCCGGATGGATGGGTCCTACTTGCCGCATTCAGTACTACATGAACAAGTACTCGCCCCTACGAAAACTGTGCGTGCGTCTCGTACACCGACCAAAAGTCAAGAGCAGGGAGTCGTACAAACCCGTCAAAACCCAGAGTTTGTACGATCCCTGGTCAAGAGAGTGTGAACTGTTGCGTACATTTCCAACCGGGTCGAGCGCGCGTGTGCACTCTGCAGTGCAGCACAGCAGAGTGCAGTACAGCATCACACTTCACAGAGTCATACGATGATACAATCATTATCAATTCCTTGACAAGAAGCCAGGGAGGGGCGCATGGGAGAGACGGGGTGCTCTGGTGGGATTTTACGGTAGTACCTTGATTCACACGCACGCATACGCACACACACACACATGCGCGTCCGCAATCAGGTATTGTACCAATTATACCATGTACATGTACTTGTATGTCATGTATCGGATCTCTTTCCCCCGATTTTCTGTCATAACTTTGGTTCTACCTGACCGATTTTGGCGATCTTGGGCTCATTGGAAAGCTATTAGAGACAGAGGATCACAATAAATCCAACTCACCAAGAGGATACGTTTCGCTTCTACTGTAAAAAGTCTATAAAATAGCACAAAGATACGAAGCATTTCCATCGAAACACTACCCGATAGGGTATCTCGTATCTGTTGAAAATTACCCAAACAGGCTGATACGGCCCTATAAGATACTGGACACGATGCAAGCACAAACTTGTGTAAGCAATGAGTCTAATGATGGTAGACCTGCCTTACCAATACGGTCAGACGTTTTGCACTGAGCGAAGCAGATTCGGACAACCATGTACTAACTTGGCCAGCTGTCTCATTCAGTGTTCGGCAGACTGGCGCCACCCCTACTTTCCCGTGAATGTTTAAGAGGGCTGATGATCGCAGGGCAATGGCTGAGCTTGGTCAGCATCATAGTATCCCGGTTAGGCTGTGTTTACATGGGTGTTATTGTTTAAGTTTGACACGGCTTGAATTTCAACCAGCCACGACCACAGATTGACTGGAGCGTCTAAATGATGCACTGCGCGTAATTCCGGCGGCATCGAGAAACGTACCGCCGTACTTTTATGCGTATTTCCCGACAGGATTGCACCGCAATGCAGACGCTGATTCCCCACCAAAGTAATCGTGCGACGTTAACACCGACCTCTGTGTCAACCACGGACTTTCAACCAGGTTGAAAATTCTCATGTAAACCCAGCCTTACAGTGGTAGATTTACATCCACTGACTTACATGATTATACATGACTGTATTTGTATTTACACCGGTGTATGCATTTTTAAATCGCTGCACTGCGCGATTAGTGCCATAGTGGATCCATGCACTGACCTTTCCACCCATTGCCTGCTGCAGCACCCAGGGTCTGAGATAGAAGAGGCCAGTGAAACAGGCTACGGTACAGCCAAGCACCGTCGTGTGCAGCACGAACATAGAATACATTTTCCAACCCTAGTCTGTCGCAAGGACACGTTCGCCGTGAGCTCGGATGAAGCGATTATACGCAACGTCACCGTAGGTAGTCTACCGATTCCAGTGGTCGCCGTTTGCTGAATATGTCCGCGTCGTTCCCAGGCTTCAATGCTCAAGCAATACTACTATTATACCACTTCAAATGCTTCCCGAATGTCAGTGCGCGCACATTTGTTGCGTCCATGCACGGGAGTGGTTGTGAGCGGTGTAGAGAACTGGGCTCTAAGATCTGCTACTTAGACTTGAGGTAGTAATAGTATCCTCTGCACACTCCTGGAGAAGAAGGCAATATCTTCGACGGATTCCACCTCCTTCATCTACGGCAACGAAAAGCCGTTGTGTGCAAATCACCAAACTCCACAAACCAGAAACATTTTTCGCGTCATATCAACGGGTCCTGTTAGTTCGACGTCAGATCCCGATCCCGGGTACAGACTCAGTGACTGTTGTAGTTACTGTTTGCACGGCGCGGCACTGTGCCGCAGCTCGTTCCCGCGGCATAGCTGCTAAGCTAGAGACCGGGGAGTCGTATATATACGACTCCCTGGTCTCGCTGTTCTCTCCTGTTCGTTGTAAACTACTTTTTGTGCACGATCTTCTATGTGCAAACAAGAATATTCTCTACCGTTGAGTAGTGCTTTCAAAGAGTTAGTTCAATTATTTCAGATAGGGGCGGTAGATGGCCTTGAAGGAAAGATATATCCTGTCAAAGTGAGGACATGTGCATGGTGTGTAGACGGTGAGAGCTGGATCAGGTATTGCATCAATGTCCTGGGAATTTATTCGACGTGGATAGCAATAATTATGAGCATCCAAAGTGATGAGCTCAATTTTTTGATCTTTCGATACCTGGAAGAATCAGGTGAGATACGAATATGAAATGTCTGCTTCATAGGGTCAGTTCCTAATACCCTCCCAGTATGCATGTATGTTCATTTACTATTGTAAACGCCCCCCTCATAATTGCTTCTGTGTTCGATTACCAGCCATGCTATAATTTGTCTTGCCATGATTTATTTCATGGAACGAACAGTCTCAGCAATTAATAGTTACGTCCCTTCACAGAATGTGTTCACCGGCTTGCCTATAACATGATATGAGTAATTTTATTGCTTCTCTGTGGCTACATGTACTTGTGTGAGTGGACTGGTGATGCAAATGTTGCGTTGTCTGCAAGTGAGACAAGTAAGGCAATGCATGATACGCCCACCTGAGAATACTGTTATTGACCAATTACGTCGCTGTGTGCCACTGTCTTCGTGGTGGTGTTGTATGCTCGGTGGCCTTACACACAGGTTTCGTACACTCAGCGTTTACGTTCGGTAGAGAGTCCAATACTCACCATATGAATGTGGATAGCTCCCTGGTGCCAGCTGGAGCACTGATCAGCATCGTTCTGAAAGGCCTGCTGTACACTGAAGCTGAAGTATCACTGAGCGAGGTAGGACACATCTACTGTCATACATTACATTTGTACACGGCTCTGCAGTCTATGTGGGCCATTCTATGTAATCGAGAAAGAAAAGAGCTAAGGCCTGTGCATGACTGAAGTGTAGTGGTGCAGTACAAACTCCTTATCAAAACACATTATGTCCCAGTAATTATACATGTGCAGTCAGCCATGCGAATAACGACCTTTGACATCACTCACCGCACTTGTATTCATTGCTTTTCTGAGTCTATTTGAACAAGTTGGAGTGATTTTGAGCCAGCACAAGTGACACTGTGAGTCGAAGACGACTACTGGTTTGCACTTGGCGTTCAGCCGCCAATGACTCTTCTTACTAAATCCGGGCTCACTATTACATCCACCTTCCATGAGCTTTCCAATGAGCCCAAGATTGACAACATGACAACAATCGGTAAAGTAGAGCCAGCATTACGGTGGGAATTCGAACCAGAATGATCTCGACTGCACCTGCTGAACAACTGAAAACCTTTGCGTATGTTACTTTTCACTATATTTTGGTGGGTATTATTTGACGAAAGTTTGGAAGTGTTGTTCCTGCTGGCTCTGTACGAAGAACACTGCAGGCCCCATGGGTTTGAGGATACTTATTTTGCCAATTGCACTCCCCACGCTGGACAACGTATCTGTAGATGAGCTAGCTGATTGCACGTATTCAGGGCGCTACACACGCGGCAGCGCGCCTTTGAAATTCGTTGACCTGCACTACTTTTATACTACACATGGGCATACTGTATAAGCAGAAATATTCGCCTTGAATTTAATTTCGTCCAAGGAGCTTTGGGACTAAATTAAATGCCGTACTAATATCGATTTTTCCAGCTTTTCAATACACTCTTATGATCCACGGACGAAATTTTCAACCGGGCGAACTCCCTTTCTTTGGAGTTTATAGATGAAATTATTGACCGTCGCAATTTTCTGCCTGTTCGGTAGATCCTGAACTGTTGATGTGCATGTATGCTAATCTCTGTGTGTGCGTGCGCGCGTGCATGTGTGTGTGTGTGTATGTTCGTCTGTGTGTGTGTGCGTCTGTGTGTGTGTGTGTGTGTGTGTGCGTGTGTGTGTGTATATGTGTTTTTGCACGAATGTGCATGTGTGTCTTCCTAAATGCATAGGATGGAACAGAGATGGGTAACCGCGAGTCACTGTCACTCCTCGACAGCGTTCAGCCCGATCTCATAGCTTCTCGGCAAAAGCTCCAAGAGAGCCCCGTTGCAACGCAGGGCTTACCGTCCAGTTCTGTAGCAACGCTCACTGCAGCAGCAGCCCCTGTGGCTGTGGCCGCAGAGAAGGAGTCTCCAGCAGTACCCCCGGCTGCAACACCAACGCCTCGTAAGGGTTCCAGGGCGAATGACACGGTGACGCCATCTCGTGTCAGATCCGAGCCAGTGTCACGGGTCAAACTCGAACCCAAAGTTCGGCTAGAATCGAAAGTCAAGCAAGATCCTCCACCCAATGCCGAGGAAGCGATGGACGTTGTGTCACCGGTTGAGAAAAAGGGTAGGTTTTTATAATCTGCATCGCAGTTTGTTTGTTTGTTCTGATTGACTCATGACTGCCATCCGGAGCACAGGAGGAGCCCGTGCCACCTTTGGCAAACCTGCAAGAAAGCAACACTCACTGTTGAATACTCATATGTAGTTTTTCGGGGAATTCACCCGTCATCAGTAAAGTGACGTATGCAGCAAAGAGACCGTACGACTCGTGTTTTGAACGTTTCAGTTGAGGTACCCTAACGTGTAAGTGGCTGCACTTGAGTCTGCGAGTGCTTAGACAAGTAAATCCTAACGTTATTGTTATTTCACTGCCTATTCCTCCTTTCAACAGGATTGTTTGAAGGAAGGGAAAAGTACTCTTACAGCTCTATGGTGTACCCATAAGCGAGGTCATACTTTCAGTTCACCTGTGGTTTGGGGATTTGCGAGTTGTCAACCATTGGGCACCTTAGTAACTAAAACAAACGAGTTATCTCTGCAAGATTTCTTCTGAATTCCTCCCCTCTTCCGGTGGGGGGGGGGGGGGGGTGGTCCACGTCATCAGTATCTGGCAGTGAGCAAGTTTGTGAGTAGGTGTGTGTCTGTGTGTCTGTGTGTCTGTGGTGTGTGTCTGTGTATTTGATGTGTGCGTAATTGTTTGTGCATGCGTCTGGTTCAGCGGAGGCAGCAGCGGAAGATATACCGGCCATCCCGCCTACTGCAACAGTCACTCACAATGCGTCAGCCCCGGCTGCCCCAGCGGCGGCCGCTGCCATCAGCAGCAATCGTACAAGCAACAACTCTGTGGCGTCGTTTGCCTCGTCACCGGCACAGCAGCAGCAGCAGCAGCAGCCGATGAGCACAGCACCGGCGCCTGTTACGCCGACTGCGGACGCCGACTGCACAGCCACCATCCTGCGTGGGCATTCCTCCGAGGTAAAGTAGTGCAACCCTGAGTGGTAATCTAGTGGTGGCAGTAATCGTCTACTGTAAGACATGTAAATAGAGCGAGGAAGTAAAGAACGTAACATTTCTTCGTTATAATACGTTGAGGCTGTCAGCCCTACATGTGTTATGTGCGGATTTGCCTGAAGATTGCAAGATCGTTAACGTATCTTCTCGTTAACCTATGGATTTTGGACAATCGTTAGATTTGCGACTCGTTATAATAACATGTCTTACTTACAGTATGTTTAACTATGTTCTTTGGCCAGTCCTGTGGCATTGCTAACTGTGACACGGATCGGCGCGTGCCGGCCTGGTTTCTCTGCAGGTTGAGTCTAGCATGTAAATACATACATAACTAAATGATGAGTGCAGTCTGGCAACTCTCGAATGTGATTTTGCAGTGGATTACCAATGGCACAGGATAGCACATAGCTTTCCCCTGATCCTCTGATAGCACAGGTGTATTTCCCTGATGCTGAGAGGTAGCATCAGAACTGATAGCATAGGTGCATTTCCCTGGTCCTGGGAGGTAGCATCAGAACTCGGCATCTTCCTTGTTCTCTGGCACATGTACCTGTACAAGTACATGATTGTACTTCAAAGTTACTGCCCTGCAGACTTTTGGTCTAATTAGAGTGAAAGACTAAGTAAGTAGTGCACTTGACCATCATGATTGTGTGCGCTTTGTGTTCTTGCAGGTCTTCATCTGTGCATGGAATCCTCGTACTGATGCGCTAGCGTCTGGGTAGGCTGTGTGTGTGTGTGTGTGTGTGTGTGTGTGTGTGTTGCGGGGGGGGGGGGGGGGGGGCTGTATATGTTGGTTTCAGGTTCCGTATTATAGTAAAACCTGGGTTAACCTGGACGTATTTAACCCTTTATGTACTGAAAAAATTGTACACACACTGAATTTGATCTCGACTCACCTCAAATTCTATAATTATCTGGGTCATCACTTTAGTCTCCTTTTGACGATTTTTTCAATCTTGGGCTTCCTGGAAAGCTCGTCGCAAGAGGAACACATTGAGCCCACGCTTGCCACCATGAAGGTCAAAACGCCAGCGCTACAGCCCAGCGTCTTAGCTGCAACGCCAATATTCCGACAGAAGTCGTCTTGCATCAGCCATTTCGCTCTCCTTGCTCGTAACAACTAACTGTTACTTCAAAAAAAATCACAAACTGCCATGAGTCCGTTTACCATTTTGAATGTGTTTCTACGTCACTGCATGCCCAGAATGATGGGGAAATCCCTCATTCAAATTTGTGCGAGCGGCTATTGAGCGACATTTGCCGTGATTCGACTTTCGAGCTTCGTAACTCTGGAACCACAAATTGGAGCGCTTCAGCGATTGTTTCAATGGACAGCTGGGAGTTTTCTCTTTGACCTACATATTTTAGTTTTCGGATATAACCCAGGAACAACTGAGTTACGATCGATTGAAATTTTGAAAAGTTTCGATCCCCTAAGTTGTACAGTCCGTACACAAAGGGTTAATACAGTCGACCTACCCTTATAACCAGGGAGTAGTAAAATACAGGGAGGTGACACGCCACTAATCGTGATTTTTGATGGGTGCCTCGCGCTTGTTTTTTTTTCTTTCGCAAAAAAAGATGATCTGCTGAATCAATCTTGAGTATTTGTCGAAGAACTAATTCCATGAAAAGGTCTATCCATCTCATGGAACAGCATTTGTTTTGCTCTTGTGATACATCTGTGTCATCGCCATATGGAAAGGTACCACCCTTCCGAAATTCGTCCCGATCGACGGCATGGAGCAATAGAACGAAGTTGATTTCCTTGAGAACAATACGTGTACGATTGGAGATGAAAAGCGAGTGCACCGATTTCGAAGTCGAAAAAATCTCTAGGACACCACACGATCGGCACTAATTTCTCCTCAGTTGTGATCAACCAGTACTTCTCTACCTTCTTTGTGATGATGAGCATTTCATATTATGGTATGCTAGAGATTCGGGAGTTCACTTTTCGGAATGAAATGTTCCTAAGTTTGTCAAGGATTGAAATGCGGGCTACGTCCTCGTAAACAGCTTGTATCGACACAGGAAAAATCTACGGCACGCAGGGATATCTCCCAAAGTGATACCAGTCTTGCTGGACTTCTATCCTGACATAGTGGTAGTTTGGTCGACTACCAAACTTTGTGAAGGCAGACAATTGTTGAAAATTCTCAGCGCTGAGTTTCTACGGGCTGCAGTAGGAGTCTCTTTGGCGGTAGGTATTTTACTACTCCCTGATCGAGAGAATCCTGATCCGCGCGCGTGTCTAGTACTGTCTACACACTTCGGTACCCATAGTACCCCAATCTCACCCGGCGGGTGAAAACGGTGCTGAGGCAATCGTCAAACTGGCCGTACATGCTCGTGTCACCTCCCTGTATTTTACTACTCCCTGCTTATAACGATATTTGCGTCACACCAAGAAATATTGTTATAAGGGTAATATTGTTATAGGGGTAACTGGTTCATTTCATACACATACATCATAATGCATGAATTCTGTTCATTTTTTACACTCTTCATAGCATAAAAAACTGACGTACATGCACATTATGTGCACAGCAAGGTGCCCACTGGTGCCCCCATTTCATTTCGTCATGTCCCAGCGACTTATCAAGTGAAGCTTGCCCTACCTGGATCGTGGGCTCTACATGTTGCCTGCTAGATGTTGTTATAAAATGGAAAATGTCGATTGGTCAGCCCATTTTATATCGTTATAGGGGTAATATCGTTATAGCAATATTGTTACTCAATCTGCGGACAGCATGCTGTTTCGTTCTTTTTGAACTCATCAGCGCAGCACAGAGAAAATGAGGCCGAACCTGATAGCAATGGAAATAAAAATTTCCAATCAGGCCCGAACGTACCTTGCCAGAGTGCTCAAACTGACAAGCAATATTGTTATAGAGGTAATGCATTGTAGCATTATAGAGGTAATGCATTGTATACACATTGTATACACAAGTCAATGGAGTGATTTGGTTTGGCAGAAAAATATCGTTATAAGGGTAATATCGTTATAGAGGTTATCGTTATAAGGGTAGGTCGACTGTAGTAACAACATGAATGCTGGTTTGATCGCATTAAAAACTCTTTTCTCTGCGTCGCTTATTCAAGAACATCAAGCCAAGCAGGCAATGGGAGTGACTTGTCCAAGATGTCGCATGCGATAACATACTGGCAAAATGATGACATCATGATAGTCACATGAGTACACATGAGCATCATATCCCATCACCATACTGCGGCGTGGCGAGTCGGTTAATGGGGGTCATATTTCCAAGTCTGGCAAATATTTAATGTATGCGTGTGTGTGTGTGTGTGTGTGTGTTCGTGTGTGTGTGTGTGCGTGTGTGTGTGTGTGTGCGCGCGTGTGTTGGTTGGTCTGGTGACCTTTGTTGACAGTGCTGGTGATGGAACAGCGTGTATTTGGAATGATGGAGCAGCCACTGTACTGCACCACCAGCGTGATGTAGCAGTGATGCCTAACGGTGTGAAGGATCCTAAGATTACCACCGATGTTACCTCACTGGATTGGAATGTGAGTTTGCAGTGCATGATTGTGTGTGTGTGTGTGTGTGTGTGTGTGTGTGTGTGTGATTGCGCGCGCGCGTGTGTGTGACTGTGTATGTTGTGTGTGTGTGTGTGTGTGTGTGTGTGTGCGCGCGCGCGCGCGCGTGTGCGTGCGTGCGTGTGTGGTTGTGTGTGGTTGTGTGTGGTTGACACTGGTTGTGTGTGGTTGTGTGTGTGTGTGTGTGCCAGCTAGTTCGGTTGGTGGGTACGCTTATGCCGGATAGTGTTGGGTCTGTTGCCAACGGGCTCGGCTGCTTGAAGGTGTAGTGTTGTACCTACCACCTTTGTTGGTTTCAGGGTTCATATACTTTCTATTTGAAGTATACATACCTGTTAACCATGGACTACTTCTGGCTAGATTAACTCTTGTGTAATCATGGTGCTAGTGAAGCTTGAATCAGATCCCCTCTGATTTAGCCACCCACACTAGTAGCAAGTATTACCTTCACTGGGGGCAGGGGTAACTGCAGGTGGATCCCGGGACGGATACCCTGATGCCGTCAATCCTTTTTCTGCACCTTGTCCTCACCCACTTACTGAGGTGTGGTGAGCCCATAAGTGGGATCATTTTCAAGTTCACCCAGAGCTTTGGGGATTTCAGGGGGTGTCGGCCGTTGGGCGGTTCAATAGCCAATTGAGTCATCTTTCCAAGATTCCCTTTGAGTCTCTCTCCCCTCTGAGGCTCTCCCGGGGAGACCCACATGACCAGTTTTGGCAGTCAGCAACAAGTGTGTGTGTGTGTGTGTGAGTGTGTGTGTGTGCAGTCGATTCCCAATCGAGAGGTTGCGGGTTCAATTCCCGACGATTATGGTCGCACACGTTTTTCTGGGTGGTTACCAACAGCCAGTGTATGCCGGAGTATGTGGTGTGGTGTGTGTAGAAAAAAATGGAAAAATGAAAAAAATAGGGATTCACTGGCCAGAAAAAGTCACTTCAAACAGCTGTGTGGTGGATACCAGGCTAAAAATAGTGGCGGTCAATTCATCAGCCTTGCAAGCTGTTGAATGGTGTAATCCCAGCACAAGTTGCTATGTCTAACATAGCTGTTCGCTATCATCGCTTCCGCGATGGGCATGTCTGAAGTGTGTGTGGTGTGTGGTGTGTGTGTGTGTGTGTGTGTGTGTGTGTGTGTGTGTGTGTGTGTGTGTGTGTGTGTGTGTGTGTGTGTGTGTGTGTGTGTGTGTGTGTGTGTGTGTGTGTGTGTGTGTGTGTGTGTGATTCATTGTGTTTCGTTGTATAGTGTGAAATGTTGCCCGCTCCATTTTCATTATGTTGTGTATGGTACAGTGAAACCTGTCTAAGGCGACAACTCAGGGGACTTTCAAAATGTGGTCGCTGTGTACAGGTGGTCTCCTTATCCAGGGTCATTTGACTGGAAATAACACCCCTTGGCCCTAGGTGTGGTGGTCCTCTACAATTGTGTAGGACAGGTGGTCCCCTTATCAGAGTGGTCGCCTTGACGGGTCTCGTGCAACGTGTTACTCGCGAAGCTGTGCCAACTGTGTACGGTACACGCACACTGGTCGCACCGTGTGTGATGCCCCTGCGTACTGTCATGTACCCTGGAAATTCGTGATGCCCAGTTGGAAAGTCCAGGTTTGGGTAACAGAGAAAGACGCTGTACATATGTGTGTACCTGTAGTCTTACTCTCTACAGTGGTGGCTACTGAAATCCGACTCCTGGGTTTTTTTTACATACAAGTGCCGCAGAGGTACTGTGTTAAAGTCGACAAATTTTCGGCCCATTCAAATTTCGGCCGCATTAAATTTTCGGCCTGTACTGCTGCTGCCTGTATACACTGTCACACTGAACCTTGCAGAACATTTTCGGCCTAACATGACCAGGCCGAAAATAAGTATGCACCGAATAATTTTTGTTGACTTTCAGTAAAGCGAATCGTAGCGAGTAGTGTGCATGCGCCTGGCATGCCAGCATTGCGTGATGATCATTTTATGTCATTCACGTTCTGGTCTTGCGTACACATGTGTACTACTGCGTACCGCTGCCTTGTAAACCTCCCCGGCGTTCCTGGTGGAAATGCAAGATGCGGCCTGCGTACAGCTCAGTTCAGCAGTTGTAGAAATGCACACATGTGTGCATGTACTGTTCATGCTTTGAGGCTGCTGTGGTCGCTTGCTGTGTTGGTGCAGTGCGAGCCCACCGCGCCGCTCCTGGGGTTGAGTTTCAATAGCCGCCACTGTTACAGATTCCCTACCACCATCTGCTGTTTCCGTTCGCATTCCCAGAATTATTCCCCACGGACTATCAACAACGCGAACGTCAACACGAGCATTAATCATGGAAGCACATCTTCCTCGTCGTGTAGAGTGGTAGAAAACAGAACTACTGCTAGTACATGTTTGGTAAAGACTAAGGTACAACTACTCGCACAGCTGTGGCAGTACCGGAGTCAGATGCGTAGGACACAGCAGGCATGCGCGTGCAGCAATATAATGTAAATACAAGACGGGCGCGGGGAAACTACATGAATGGCACGATATCACCTGCTCACATCTTATCACCTGATCACATCATATCAACTGATGGCATGAAATCACCTGATCCAAAGTGTGTGTGTGTGTGCGTGCACGACTGCACGTGCACAGTAGTATCTCGCACAACCACTGTAGTCTGTAGTTCTCTTGCTTTACCTGTGTGTTCTCTCGTGTTTGTTCTGTGTGTCGTTATGCGCAGCATGACGGGTCTTTGTTAGCCACAGCCTCCTACGACCATTTTGCAAGGGTGTGGACGCCGCAAGGTATGGACACCCGCTGCTTGTTGAAGTCTGAATGGTTGCTTGCGGTGTGAGGGGGGGGGGGGGTAGTTGTGTTTAGAAGGTTAAGTGTGTGTCTGGGGGGGGGGGGGGGGGGGGGGCGTGATTCAATCCTTGCGGCACTATCAGTACTGACTTCCTCTGCGTTGCGTTGCGCTTACATCTTGGCGTGGGTGTGTGTGTGCGTTTCTGTGTCTGTGCACTGTAGGCCGCCTTCTGCATAAGCTGTCTGGCCATCAAGGCCCTATATTCGCCATCAAGTGGAATCGCAAAGGCACGTATCTACTGACCGGCAGCGTTGACCATGTGAGTGACTGGTGTTGTCTGTAGCACTACTGCTCACACCTGTAGATATGCTGTGAACCTCCTGCCATAGCCTGGTCCCAAGACATAGTGTCCTCGAACTATGCCCATACATTCATTTGGGGCCACACAGCATTATGGATAGTTTTCACGGAGCAAAAAAAAGTTTGGTTACAACCCCACTTTGAGCGAGAAGTGTCATGTATATTGACTTGACCGCTAGAATTGGATTGATGTTTCAGCTATCAATATTTTTAAAAACGTAATTTTCCTCGACCTACCCATCCATAAACATTTGTTTTCGTTTCGTGTAAGGGGTCAATAATTATGAACGTTCCCCTACTGTCAGTCTGTTGCCTATGATTTTCAAAAGGGTTTTTAGTTGTGAATGCGAAGGCATTGCTGACGTGAACCTGTGCGCCTGTCTTGTTTCCTACAGACGGCTGTGGTATGGGATGCCCACACGGGTACGATCAAACAGCAGTTTCGATACCATAACGGTGAGAGAGAGATAAGCGAGGCAGGCATGTACCCACACTGAGTGCATGCGCTTGATTACGCCTGTGAATCGATTCATGAATGGAATCTGGTGCATTCAAGTTATTCGATTTTCATATCATGAGCCCTTGAATCGGTTCAGAATCCTTTCACCCCGTTCACAGGGGGTGATGTGAATAGCCAGGGGTAATTCATGAATGGATTCAGCATAGATTCGTGGGCAAAATCGAACGCACTCACTATCTTACCACAGAGCCCACCTGCTCTTTTGATGCAGTCCTAACATACGCCGGAGTCTCCGAATGCTCAAGTCGCTGCTTTTGTGCATCGCACTGTACGATCATGTCTCAGTCGGCGTTCGAACAACACCTGTGGTCAGGTTACTAGAAGCAAAAGGCATTTCAGTGTGGCTACAGTCTGTCAACCTCCTGTACCTTTTTACCTGATATTCATGCTTGTTGCGTCTGTTGAGATGAACCACACGCGCACGCACACATTCCACCACCACCACCACCACCACACACACACACACACACACACACACACACACACACACACACACACACACACACACACACACACACACACACACACACACACACACACACACACACACACACACACACACACACACGTGTGTGCGCGCACACACACACACACACACACACACAGGGTTCTGTGTAACTGAGAAACCAAGTTGGTGTGCGTAACTCAGTTCTTCCTGTTGTCGTTTCTGTTCCTCTGTTTTTCCTGTAGCACCTTGCCTGGACATTGACTGGAAGAGTAGCTCCATTTTCGCAACTTGCTCGCAAGATAAATCCATACACATTTGTCGTGTCGGCTATGACGAACCACTAAAGATACTACGCGGTCATAAGGTACGTGTGGTGTGTAGCTGCTGCTTTTGAAGGTCATGTACTGGTGTAGATGTGTTTCAATGGGATGGTGATTTCTTCCAGTAGCAACGAGGACTGGAAAGTCCCTTGCAGCTTGGCAGTTGGTGGAGGTTATGCAAGTAATGTCATGGTGGTGAGTTAGCGAAACCGCTTATGGGCGCTATACATTCAGCTTGAGTCGCTACTGCACCGCCAGTGTATTGAGCTGTGCCGCGACTTTGCCAAGACGGCTCTACTGATAATGTAGTCTCACAACCTCTATTGTTTCCACTGTGTTTGTTTGTTTTGGTCGGATCGGAAAGCCTCCTTAGTCCTTTTTCTTCTCCTTTTCGTATTCACATCATGTTCTTGCCTCTCTCTCTCTCTCTCTCTCTCTCTCTCTCTCTCTCTCTCTCTCTCTCTCTCTCTCTCTCTCTCTCTCTCTCTCTCTCTATGTGCACACGTCCTTGCCGTGCAGGATGAAGTGAACACGGTGAGGTGGAATCCCGCTGGCAACATCCTGGCGTCCTGTTCAGACGATACCACGGCCAAGGTACGTTCTGGGTCTATCCTGCGCTGTAATGGTGTCCTGTGCTTTGAACACTCCTGCCATGGCGAGCGTTCGGCCGTAGGGAATCACACCAGAACATTTTTGCATATTGGAATCATGCTTGTATGCGCCAAGCTGAAACCAATGACCGTGCAAGTTAGAAAACTGTTTTGTAATTATTTTTGTTGATTCACGAAGTCAAAGCCTATACAGGCTCTACAGTGCATGCACTGTCCATTCAGAAAATGATTGGGTCTGGTTTTTATTGCTTCGAAGTATGATTGGTCATGGACACCGTGCTATTTCCACAAGCAAACCTCTTCAGAATGGCCATGCAATTCATCCTTCTACGATTTGGGTTTGGAAAAGCTGAAGGTAAAGAAACTAAACACTCAGAAGTCAGAACTAATCCAGACAGGTATTACCAAGAGCAAAATGATCTCCCAAGAGCGTGCAAGTCTGCATACAGGGTCTCCGACGGCGAAAACTAATATCACGTGTTCCAAGTCTGATTTGTACTGCGTACCACGAAGGTCAGCATGCGCGCAGTCCCGATATTGGCCATTACTATGCTGATGACTTGCATCAGCTGAGTGGGTTTCTGTCAGCGAATGCTATTTTTCTACTCTACTGGTCGCTAGAAGCAACGTGAACACTACACCACGTGATATGAGTTTTCACGGTCGGCGGAGTGCGGATCCCATATAAAAGGTATCCAGAGTTGCACACTTTTGTGAGCTTATGTACACCTGGTATTACGTTGACGAATGTGCCAAGTTCCGGCCCCAAACTCACTTCGTGCTGGTTGTAAATCAGATGGCCTGTAGTTATAGTTCTATGGTGTGTGTGTGTGTGTGTGTGTGTGTGTGGGTGGGTGGGTGTTTGCGTGTTTTCTTGCATGTGTGTGTGTGTGTGTGTGTGTGTGTGTGTGTGTGTGTGTGTGTGTGTGTTTGTGTGTGTTTGTGTGTGTGTGTATGTGTGTGTATTTGTTGTATGTGCGATATGTAGCTATGGACAGCGCAGGAGGACACATTCATTCACAGTCTGGAGAGTCACACGCGTGAGATTTTTGCTATAAAGTGGAGTAAAACAGGACCTTTTACACAATTTCCCAACGCGCCTGCACACCTTGCAACGTAAGTACACGTAGTGCATCCATCTTCAGCTTGGCAGGGAGTTGTCCTGCCCTCCCAAGTAACATTGCTGAGAACTTCAATCATCTGTCCTTATTCTCTCTTTGCCGATCGTTGTGGTGGGGTGGGGTGATGACTGCATACACTGGACTTGTTTAGAAGGTTTTCTACTGGCCATTGTGTAGTAATTCATTGCAATGGTGGCCTGTGCATCTGTGTGTTTTATGACTGTGCAGTGCATCATTCGACAGCACCGTTCGACTGTGGGATGCCGAGACAGGAGTGTCGAAGAGCTGCCTTAGCGGACACAGCGAAGCCGTTTATTCAGTAGCATTCAGCCCGGACGCACAGCTGCTAGCTAGCGGCTCTTTCGACAACTGCGTTCATATATGGTCGACCAAGGTAAGCGTGCTTTACCTTAGCATGGTCGTCACGCAAACAGATTTGGATTTGGCTGATACCAAGAGTACATGAAACCCAGAGTGTTAGTGTGCAGCTTCTGACTTTTTCTGCATGGGTGCTTGTCACGGCGAAATTCCAGGATTACATCATATTTGGTGCAGATCTGAGGCGGGAAGTGGCATAGTGAGTACAACTGAGCTGCAGTTGTACAGAAAGAGATGTTAGCTTTTGCACTGGCACTGTATATTCTGGTTATGGATCTCCGCTGTAGAGGGTCTGGTAACACGGCTACATCATGCACTGTGCTGTTTTGTGTGCGTGGGCGTACGTGGGTGCCCGCGCTTGTGTGTGTGTGTGTGTGTGTGTGTGTGCGCGCGCGTGTGTGTGTGTGTGTGTGTGTGTGTGTTCTGCTCCGTATCCTCTTGTGTAGGACGCCCAGCTCCTGCACAAATACAAGGGAAATTCGGGTGTGTTTGAAGTTTGCTTCAACCGTGATGGCAACAAGATAGCTGCAAGCTCAGCTGATACCTCTGTGAGTTGCAGTGACGAAATGATTTCCTTGCTGTTTGTTTTTTAATTAATTTGTACACTTCTACGCTGCTGTTCGCACATTACTCAGTGTCAGCACTCACACTACATGACATGGTCTCTTTACTATACAAAACGTCTTTCCTCCTTCAGCAACTTTCGGGCTTGGCCCACCCTCAAGTCCAGTGTTCATGTGGCATGCAGCTGCAGCTGCAAGTCAGGCTGCCCCCCTGTAATCACTGTGAAACTGGACCATTCTGCTGCTGCGTCTCCTCATCTCTGGAATGCTGCATGTCACGTTCAGTTTTGCATTCTGGTACTATAGCTGATGAACGTCTGCGTGCGTTGTGTTTGTGTCGTCCCTTCTCGTGCCGTAGGTTGTAGTTCTGGACATTCGAAATCTGCAGTCTCGTTTCAAGTAGATCGCCAGCTTTCGGCCCTTATCCCGTGATACCGTTCAAGTCCTCGCTTTAAGTCTCCACAGCGCTGGCTTCTTGCCAGTGTTGTTGGCAAAACAATGATGTTTTTTTGTTCTACAAGCACCCAGCGCTCGGCGACGCAGATTATTACTGTGGTGCGTTGCATATTGTGTTTTCATCTTGGTGCTGCTTCTGGCTACGTTTAGAAGGTTTGCTGTATGTGCTGGTTTCCTTTCTTTCATCTGGGTGCCATGTGTTGTTTGCTTAGGTTGTGTGATAGTGTGCTGGTGTAGACGAGTCTGGCTTGGCTTGTCGCTCTCTCTCCCTCTCTTAGTCTCGTTTCTAGGTGCTTTAGGCCTTTCGCTGGCAGGTTGTGTTTGTGGCTGTGCTGGTGTTGATGTCACTGTGTGTTCCGCTGGTGGTATTAATGACTCTGTTCTCAATGTGTCTTGTTGAACTTGTCTGTTGTGTAGCTGCGCTGCTTGTTGCCCCCTTCCCCCCCCCCCCCCCTCCGCTACTGGTATTCCATTCGTCTGTCTGGCATGCACGCTCATAGCTACTTCATCCCTCGCCCCGTTTACCTTGTCCGTGCATATGTTTGCTTATTATTTTATCTCTTTCTAGCAAGTGCTAGTGCTTGGTTTCATGAGCTGTGTGAGTGCCTTCCTGACCTCAATTCTAATTTCCCCCCGCACGGCCTCGTTTATAATACCCTTTTGGCTACGAGTTGACAATGTGTTTGGCTGTCTTTTGTTTCTATTTCCCCTGTATATTACGATGATTACGCTACAAACGCACATTACTTGAGTGGCGATTTGTTAGTTGTTGTTTTAGGTGCTTTTGTGTGTCTTGGTGTGCTCGTGTACTGCTGTTGGTGTTCTGCTTGTTGTCTGGTGTGTGTCTCCATGTTCGCGGTTTCTCTTCGGCTTTGATTTCCTCGTTGCCTCCTGCTCGCTTCCGTGTCTTGCTTCTCCTGGCTCGCTCTTTGTCCTGTTTGTGTTCCCAAGATAAGTCCGTACGCAACACTGCCAACGCTTGATTGTCCAGTTGTGCGATTGCTCTTTCCCTTGTCTTTCTTTTTCTGCCATCATACTCAGCTCCAGAGCACTGGCTCACAGAGGTGATGGCGTGTGGACATAGTGCCACCTGTACAGACAGTACAATGGTACAGTCTACAGTGTAATAGTACTTGCTACACGATATCAAGGGACACTATGCTGGCACCCGAACAGTGGGGAACTATGCTGGCATTAGGGTACCCGAACATGAAAAACATGGAACCGTTTCACCCGTAATTTTTGGAATCTGTCTGTTGTTGGCTAGAACTTAGCAGAAACCTTAGAAGTACCTTGTAAGACTTACATTGACTTTGTAGAGACCTAACAGGCTCACTACTGCACTAGTGACAAGATGCCGGTATACATGTAGTACAATGTACATGTGACGGTAACATAAAAATGACAGGTTGCAAATAATGCAATGCCATACGGCCCACAGGCTATAAGTACGACAACTCGGCAAGTAACGTTAGTTAGTGATCCACTGCCGGGCCATGATTGCTATCATTATCACCATGATTGAATGTGTCATGGCCCTGCGTAGACAGTACTACTCACCAATACATAGTAGTGCTGCACACATTCATTATCAGCCTGTCACCTACCTCTACCGCGGCTCTTCATCAATGTTCTCTTCCTTTTGATTAGGATAGGGTTACCTCTCCTGTCGCCGGACCTAGACTATCCATTACCATAGAACTGTCAGCTATTGTCTCTGTTGCCGGTCCGCTGTTCTGCTGTTCCGCTTAGTTGCTCCGATTCATGATTAGCATTAGCTTCAATACTTAGATACATTACTCTTTGCTGAGTTTAGCACAGCTCACTACTCGTTCGCTGCTGCCTGCTCGATCCTTCCCTTCGTAGCCGCTCGCATAGATTTCAGCTAGTATAAGTTCGCTGACTAAGCCAGATATCGATTAGTCTTGGATTAGTCTTGGATTAGTGTTGTTTGAGTCTTGTATGAGAAGCATTAGTCTTATTCTCTTTAGCTTTCTTGAATAGACTTTCTTTATAGGAGTTCCGCTACCGCTCAAGCGGACTTGTCCGCTTGAGCCGGTGTGGCCTTTGACTTTGTAGTTTCTTACTGTTCCTTTGTTCCTTTACTATATCGGACCTGAGGGCTCCGCCACCCTGACTTCTCTCTGTGCTTTGGGTCTGAGGTACGCCTGAGTGGAACTACCAAGAGGCGCACATATACTTTGTGCAAACGGGCTTGGGATAACTAACACGTAGGGACGATCAACCAGCCACGACACTTGGTGCTGTGACCAGGATTCTTCTTGGTCTAGTTTCCCAGATCCTCCGCCCTACTCTGGTGTACGCCCTTTCACTCTCCATCATCGTTCCGTCCTCCGCTGTGGCTCTGCCGCACAGGCTCTGTAATCTACGCCGCCTCACGAGTTCTTTGGATTGTGAGTGCCTACTGACGATTCCTCGTCGATCGACGAGTCGTACGCCAAATCCGTTGAAGACACGCGCTCCGAGTTGCGAACGGCAACAAAGAGAATACTTACGCCAGGCTACCACTGCGTTCGCAGTCGTTTCCTCTTTGAAGAGAAGCAAAAGAGACGTTCCTCGGTGTTGATCGTCAGTTGCGCCGCTCTGCTGTTTCAGCAAAGCCATACGCTCCCAAACGTGTTGTGGTACTGTCAGTGCTGCTTCCGTTGGCCTACGCCTTTGTGATCAGTCCTGCCTCCGCGTCCGGAGCCCTGGTGAATCTGTTCGCCTGTGACCATGGTGACTGAGCCTGTGTGTGTTCCGCTCGCAAAAAAAATAGTTTCGTCTCTTCGCCGGATGCTCCGCGATCCGTGTTGTACATGATTGTACAGTCCGCACTCTCTGAGCGTGCGCTCACTCCGTTGTGTGTTCAAACCAGCTCAGCTGGTATGGTTCACCGGTTTCTCCGCCGATGTAGTTCCTGTGGGAGCTGTTGACAAAACGCTCATGAGTTACGTGAGTGCTCCGTTGTACTCGACGAGTTTCGGGTCCCGCGTGTTGGGTCATTCACCGCTGCAGCACTTCCTCCGGGAAGAGGTTGACTCTACGCGCTCTCCGCCTGATGGAGATGGCCATCCTCCAGCTCTGTGCTCGAGCTCGTTTACGCTGTGTGACGGAGTATGCGCGTCATGCCTCGTCGGTCTTCCGCTTGATTCCGCCAGACCACTTACGCTTATCTCCTGGTGTTGGCCTTTGTCCGCTGTCCACAGCTCCTGTGGTCCATTGATTGTCTTGATAATTGAGTGATTGAGAGATGGCTCTCGTGATACTGATACGCCCTGCAACAGGCGCCTGGCGCCACCTCCGTCCTATTCATGTTTCGTTTCTGTTTCCGCTGATGATTGTCCTTTGTCCCGCGTGGCGATTGAGTTTCGCCTGGTCTACGCTTCGTCTGGTCTGATACGCCTTTGGCGATGTGGTTCCGCCTGGTGCAAGAGAAGGATTGTGCGCACGATTGGTGCGGTTCGGATCGTCACTGGAGAAGTTCCTGGTCTCGTGACTGGATCCAAGATCGGAGTAGAGAGAAAAAGCTCCGATGGCTCGCGGTTTGTGGTTGCGCTGATTGCCCGTCGTTGTATTGCTGCCGAGTGCTGGCGACGGAATTGAAGTCCGATCTGACCGTGGAGTGGTTTGTGTTGTAAAATGCGTAGCCGGCTACGTGACAAGCGGCGAAAGGCTGCTGTGGTGCTCGGGAGCTCGCGTCCGACTGATCAACGGAGAGCGGAGCTGGCCAGGTAAGAGTACGGAGATATATGCACGCGATCAGACCACCGTCTTTTGTGAGTTTTGTTTTTTTGGTTGTCAGTGGAGGTTAGCTGGTTTTATTTTTCAAGGTTTTGGAAGGGTTTTGTCTGAAGTATTTGTTTTGCAAGCAGTAACGGGTTTACTGGTTTTGAAGGGGTGCAGAGGTAATGAATGGTAGTTATTGAGTTCACGGAGGTTGAGAATCTTGGGTTTACTTTAGATTGAAGAATACGTACTAGAAAGTTCAGGCACCAGCTGTTGACGTAATATTGTTTGGTTATCATTTTGTTATTATTTTTGGAGGTTTTGTTGATTTATCCACCTATTCTATCACGGGTTCCGGGTCACTGATGAGTACCATTCAACTATGATGTCTATGTGAAGTACACCTTTGGGCTGTTACTTTTTCGTGTTACCGTGGTATCAGGCTCTGTTTTGACGTAGGTTGAAGATAGTGGTGAGTCTTGTCGTATGAATCATTGCGGGGAATGTGACTGCATTCATGTTGTTATTGTTGCCGTTGTTGTCTATCGGTACGAGAGTACACTACGCCGCCCAGTGGGCCTTCCGTATCCCTAGCTGTGTCGTTCATTTCCGCCGGTTTGCATACTGTGGTTGTAAATCACTCTGGTCAGCGTACCAGAAAGACAAAGTACGTAATCATTGTGGTTGCACATGTCTCGAATGACACTGCTCTTACGCCTACTTGTGTTGTCTATCTGGCACACGCCGCCGCTGCTGATATTGCAGCCTAGGGAAACCTATTTGTGTCTCACTGAAGTGCCTGATGGCTTGGTACAGTTTGATACGCGCCGTCCTTTCCGCCAATTGTGCCCCTCTGTGGTGTTTTTGGTATTCCGCTGCTAAGTTCACTTAGCCATATCATGAATTTTACGCTGCATTATGCTGGGCTGTTGCCACCTGGCCTTGACTGACCAGGCTGCCCACCATAGTTCCATGACCCATCAATCTCGTTGTTACACGAAGCTGGATTCTGTCGTGAATCTGATCATTACGTGCAACACTGCTGGGGTCCTCTTTCCGCTTAAATCCCGTTGCTGGAGAGTCAATTCTCCCACTGCCGCTCAGATCATTGATCGTGGTGTGCAGTCGTGAGCCATGCTAACAGACTATCACGTCGTGCTCGTTCAGCACAGTTCGTGTGTGTACACACTTGGTCTATGGCTTGCATTTCGCTGAGGTACAAACCGTTGCGTTTCCTACCCTCATGTGTATCAGGTAAACGTTACGCCAGAAACTTTGTGCATGCGCAGTCTGTGTGCACAAAACGTTCGCCTGTATCTGTCTGCACTTCCCGTCCTCATGACGTTGGCGCTCGTCTGGTGCATCTCGTTTCTAGTAACCTTGTTTGGTTGCTGGTCCCCGCCGATTGGTCGAAGGTTCCCTGAACTTTGTGTATATTATGGTGTGGACTATTCCCGGTACGAGACCGTCTTTTGGATGTTGTGTATTGCGTCCCAACTAAGCCCGGTCTTAGTGATTATTCTCAGTGATTCTTGTGGATCAACTGTCTCGCTGCCATGTTCTTTATGAGCTAGGCCACCATCCTTCGAGATGGAAGAAAAAAATTCGCTTCTTGAGTTGGTGGAAGATCTGCCTTCTCCCTACGCCAGTCCAGTCATCTGTGAGTGAGGCATTCCTACTGCTTCCTGACTTCGAGTCATTGGCTCTGCTGTTCTACCACTACATCTCATCGTTTCATCATACCATGCTGATACCATCACTCACCTATAGTACGATGACATGAACAACAGGATTCCGTGGTCTGCTGAGCCTCACCAAGTGCCTGTCTTACCCAGCCATTGCCACCAGTTGCTGGAGTGTCAATGTTTCTGCTATGTCTTCGTTGTCCGTCCACCCTGTCACTATAGCCGATTCCGTTTGGTGCTGCACTTACACTAGTACTGCTATGATGTCGTCTGTTCCCTACTACCCTGAGTGCACTGATCCAGTCTACCATCTTGTACTGCCGCCATCTTCTATAGTGTCTACCGTCAAAGTACTGTCTTCCATGTGCCTAATAGTGTCTGCTCAACTTGAGTCAAGTGCTGTCGTCCACCATCATCATGAGTACCGTCCGCACTGATCTCTGTCTGCTACCTGAGTGTCACCAAGTAAGATTATCTATGTATGAACAATTGTGCCCCATACAGTTAGTTCTCTAAGTTCAGCCTTTGCTCATAGCTACCTCTCGAGTGCCTACTGCCCAACTGTTACCCCTGGTCCTGTGCCTTAGGCAGTGAACAATTAGCTCCTCGCTCCATCGTGCTTTGATTAGGATTTTTTCCCAGCACACAACAAGATTTTGTGCCAATAGATTAGATCCGCTGTCCATTCGTTTTGTTTTGTTCGGCATAGCTCATCAGTTATCTCATAGGTTTGTTCTGCTCCTAGTGACTGTTTTGCGTCACAATTTTTCCAAGGTTAGACCCTGCTAGAGATGCCACCTGCCAAAGAAACTAGACTTTACATTGCGTTCATTAGTTCTAGCCGTAGGTTCTTTCCGATTTCGTTTTCCTGATTCGAAGTCTGAAGCTTTGTTCCCTCTTGCTCGCACCCTCTTTGGAACTACTGCGATCTTTAGTTTTCTCTTATTTTAGCCCTTTTAATTTGCTCTTTTGTGTTGTTTCTTCCCGTCACGAGGACGTGACCCTTTTCTTTGTAGCCGAGGGAGATGTCATGGCCCTGCGTAGACAGTACTACTCACCAATACATAGTAGTGCTGCACACATTCATTATCAGCCTGTCACCTACCTCTACCGCGGCTCTTCATCAATGTTCTCTTCCTTTTGATTAGGATAGGGTTACCTCTCCTGTCGCCGGACCTAGACTATCCATTACCATAGAACTGTCAGCTATTGTCTCTGTTGCCGGTCCGCTGTTCTGCTGTTCCGCTTAGTTGCTCCGATTCATGATTAGCATTAGCTTCAATACTTAGATACATTACTCTTTGCTGAGTTTAGCACAGCTCACTACTCGTTCGCTGCTGCCTGCTCGATCCTTCCCTTCGTAGCCGCTCGCATAGATTTCAGCTAGTATAAGTTCGCTGACTAAGCCAGATATCGATTAGTCTTGGATTAGTCTTGGATTAGTGTTGTTTGAGTCTTGTATGAGAAGCATTAGTCTTATTCTCTTTAGCTTTCTTGAATAGACTTTCTTTATAGGAGTTCCGCTACCGCTCAAGCGGACTTGTCCGCTTGAGCCGGTGTGGCCTTTGACTTTGTAGTTTCTTACTGTTCCTTTGTTCCTTTACTATATCGGACCTGAGGGCTCCGCCACCCTGACTTCTCTCTGTGCTTTGGGTCTGAGGTACGCCTGAGTGGAACTACCAAGAGGCGCACATATACTTTGTGCAAACGGGCTTGGGATAACTAACACGTAGGGACGATCAGCCAGCCACGACAAATGTACTAATTTTTAGAACCGCCCTGTGTCTGTGTCTAGTCTGTGATCGAGTGCATCTGGCTGTCCCGCTCAAGCCAAGGAGCATTTCTAATAGAAACTGCTCACTTACCCTCCATGAGCGAAGTCGCAAGCGAATAAACAACACAGGCTGGCGAGGTCGGATGCACGCCTTTACAGGACATTTAATTGCAGTTGTCTGCATGCCACTGCTAGCTAGCGCCATGACAAGTAACAGCCAGGCCGTTGACACAAGACATTTTCAAATGTTGACATTTGCCATTTTGGTAAAGTTAGTTTGGCAGGTCAGACCTTGCGGACTTGACGGGTCTGCTCCACTTGCTAGCACAAGTAAAAGTTAGTAAGTTTACTGTACAAATGTTTGTTGTTACGCCCTCTTTTTCTATTATTGTTGTACATTGTGTATAGTAGACCTGGTAAATGACAAGGAGTGCACTAGTGCCTAATGCCTGATTATGATAATTACCAGTATGCGCATGTCAAACCAGTTACCTGTGCATGTGGCAGGCCCTTGGCCCGGCCGGGCTTGGGGGCATGGGCCATCACAGCACCACGTGGACGTGGCAGCAGGATCTAGGAGCGCGTCGCGCGTCGCGTCGATCTCTGCACGATTCGATACGTAGAGGTCTACTGCATCTGGCAGATATCGATTCGTGGATGTGGATCGTGCATGCCATGATCCATGGTCAGATCAGACGCGCGCAGCGCTATCCGCAGACCTTCGACGCTTCGACCTCTTCCCAGCGCTAGCGTGCGTGCACCTGCTCGCTATGGCACCACTAGCTGTGTTGCCAGAAATGGTGTCATTTGGACACGGGCCAGTTCACTGGCGATATGCGAACAGTACAGTACAGAGCTGGTGACTTGTTCATACTCAACCTGTGGACTAATTTTTCAAAAAACTTATGGAGTTGATGGAGTGACCATATGACTGCTCCCAAAGCGTGTACATCCAGGGCGTTCCAACGTTCTCCTTCTGAAATACCTACCCAGCGCTAAGAATATGAAGCAGGTCTTCATCTTTTCGTCTCCTTCTCGGCAGGATGTGCGAAAGAGCTTTCTGGAGACGAAATTGAGATAGCGTAATTTCCTTGATGTGGTAAACCAATAGTATTTTTATTCTAATTTAGGTGAAAGGATGGCATTGTCCAGTGCTGGCCGTATGGTGGACTCTTCATTTGGCAGTCTACGTGACGATAAAGTATCAACGCCCTTGTTCAGAGCCTGTGGACGCTTCTGTGCGTCGCGTCCTGCTGAGGTCGTTGTGTCCACAATTTTGTTTGGAATTGGAGTGGGTTCCGTGGCTGTGCGGCACTATGGAATGCCCCAGAAGACAGCGGAAGGTGTCTGTGATGCTGGAACATGCGACGAGTTGATGAACGCAGAGGTAAGTAGTCTCCACGGGCTGTAGAAATAATGAGAGTGAGATGTTGTCTTGAATTCAACAGTACATTCATAAAGTTACATAATAATTATTGAGTTCAGTCAAAATATGCACTGTACGCTCCACGTGTGTTCCATGCGATCGAAGTATGGAGGCTAGGCTTTGCACCACGAAGTACGCACTCGTAGGACATCCATTTCGGGGAGGTACACATCATCTAGTTGTGAAGGACATGCATGGGGAGTATCCGAACGGCGTCAACACGGCCTTTGTATCGGGCTTATTGTGTATACCGTAAAGCACTGTTGATCAGCCCCCTCTCTAATTTACGCCCCCTGTAGAATTTCTGCCTGTGAAGCGACTTGGCGTATGCAGTGAAATACGGTTTTTGAACCGACGCATGCACTGCTGTACGCTATGCTGTACGTGCCAGGACGGGATGAAAACGTGCACAATCCAGCATGCCAAGTCTTAATCTTCTAAGTACTGCACTCGACCGACTTGATCGAATTCCCGCCTCCTGCCGAAAAACCAGCTGGGAAGCGACATAGCGTGTGTGCGTGTGCGTGGTGTGTGTGTGTGTGGGGGGGGGGGGGGGGGAATCAATGGTACTTTACGGTAGATGTATTTCAAGTTCCGAAACCCACATTTGTGTGTATTTTGATGGCGTTTGGGGCATTATGCGGATGGAAGCGCAGCAAAATGGAACTTCCAACCTGTATTTGTCAGCGTGTATCGGGCGCACACCCCAGTTACTTTGATTGGCGGGATCAACACATCAGTACTTAAGCACAACCTAAATTACAACTCAAATTGCTGTTTTCTGTGAAGGCCTGAATGCACGTTTGGGCACGCATGAACTGCAAACGTACAGCGTACATGCGCCAGTTTTGAACCCAGCTTTAGAGCCAAATTTTGTTTCCTTGCTTTCGATTTATGCATGTGCATGCAAGCATACGCATAAGTGCTGTTGCTGTCGCAATGGTGCCCCCGTCTACTGGTCGTCACGTTGGGATGATCGATCTTTAGGTTGTCAGTGTACCCAATCATGCTATGGACCCGCCGTCAAAGTAATGTGAACGGTAAAATTGCCAACCATTCTCCAACGGAGTAGATGTAGCATTAACTTTTCTAGCACTAACTTCATATTATGTTTAGCAAGTCGCCTGATGATTGCGTAAGCGTTAAACTCAGGGTAGCAACACTCTAGCTTTGCTTGCCTATGTTGTTCTGTGCATTGTGCTCTGCCTCCGCGGTAAATGTTTAGCCCTGTGACTGTGTGTCGGAAACAGAGAATTTATTCGTCGCGTTCTGGTTATTGTTGATGTGTAGATTGTGACGGCGGATGTGATCCTTGCCACCTTGCTGCGCTGCATCGCCGTGCTCTACACCTACATGCAGTTCTGTAACTTCAACCGGCTTGGCTCAAAGTACCTCCTAGGTCAGTGCACTTTCCCCAGTTCCTATCCAGTCCATACTACTTGAAGAACGCATACGTATAGTGCGGTATTGGTCAACCCCACACCGAGGAATCCCGCCAGGCTCCCCAGCCTTTGCCTTCTTCTGGGTGGGCCAGAATGTTTTTGAGAACTTTAAAGCTCCATTGTAGCCTTGTCATCTTTCACTAAACCTCCAAGCAGTAACACACGGACAGTTCTCGTAGGAAACTTTGGAAACGATCGTTGTACAGCCGAGGAGGGTTCATGTGTTACCGGCTGGAGGGTTCATGTGTTACCGGCTGGAGGGTTCATGTGTTACCGGCTGGAGGGTTCATGTGTTACCGGCTGGAGGGTTCATGTGTTACCGGCTGGAGGGTTCATGTGTTACCGGCTGGAGGGTTCATGTGTTACCGGCTGGAGGGTTCATGTGTTACCGGCTGGAGGGTTCATGTGTTACCGGCTGGAGGGTTCATGTGTTACCGGCTGGAGGGTTCATGTGTTACCGGCTGGAGGGTTCATGTGTTACCGGCTGGAGGGTTCATGTGTTACCGGCTGGAGGGTTCATGTGTTACCGGCTGGAGGGTTCATGTGTTACCGGCTGGAGGGTTCATGTGTTACCGGCTGGAGGGTTCATGTGTTACCGGCTGGAGGGTTCATGTGTTACCGGCTGGAGGGTTCATGTGTTACCGGCTGGAGGGTTCATGTGTTACCGGCTGGAGGGTTCATGTGTTACCGGCTGGAGGGTTCATGTGTTACCGGCTGGAGGGTTCATGTGTTACCGGCTGGAGGGTTCATGTGTTACCGGCTGGAGGGTTCATGTGTTACCGGCTGGAGGGTTCATGTGTTACCGGCTGGAGGGTTCATGTGTTACCGGCTGGAGGGTTCATGTGTTACCGGCTGGAGGGTTCATGTGTTACCGGCTGGAGGGTTCATGTGTTACCGGCTGGAGGGTTCATGTGTTACCGGCTGGAGGGTTCATGTGTTACCGGCTGGAGGGTTCATGTGTTACCGGCTGGAGGGTTCATGTGTTACCGGCTGGAGGGTTCATGTGTTACCGGCTGGAGGGTTCATGTGTTACCGGCTGGAGGGTTCATGTGTTACCGGCTGGAGGGTTCATGTGTTACCGGCTGGAGGGTTGATGTGTTACCGGCTGGAGGGTTCATGTGTTACCGGCTGGAGGGTTCATGTGTTACCGGCTGGAGGGTTCATGTGTTACCGGCTGGAGGGTTCATGTGTTACCGGCTGGAGGGTTCATGTGTTACCGGCTGGAGGGTTCATGTGTTACCGGCTGGAGGGTTCATGTGTTACCGGCTGGAGGGTTCATGTGTTACCGGCTGGAGGGTTCATGTGTTACCGGCTGGAGGGTTGATGTGTTACCGGCTGGAGGGTTCATGTGTTACCGGCTGGAGGGTTCATGTGTTACCGGCTGGAGGGTTCATGTGTTACCGGCTGGAGGGTTCATGTGTTACCGGCTGGAGGGTTCATGTGTTACCGGCTGGAGGGTTCATGTGTTACCGGCTGGAGGGTTCATGTGTTACCGGCTGGAGGGTTCATGTGTTACCGGCTGGAGGGTTCATGTGTTACCGGCTGGAGGGTTCATGTGTTACCGGCTGGAGGGTTCATGTGTTACCGGCTGGAGGGTTCATGTGTTACCGGCTGGAGGGTTCATGTGTTACCGGCTGGAGGGTTCATGTGTTACCGGCTGGAGGGTTCATGTGTTACCGGCTGGAGGGTTCATGTGTTACCGGCTGGAGGGTTCATGTGTTACCGGCTGGAGGGTTCATGTGTTACCGGCTGGAGGGTTCATGTGTTACCGGCTGGAGGGTTCATGTGTTACCGGCTGGAGGGTTCATGTGTTACCGGCTGGAGGGTTCATGTGTTACCGGCTGGAGGGTTCATGTGTTACCGGCTGGAGGGTTCATGTGTTACCGGCTGGAGGGTTCATGTGTTACCGGCTGGAGGGTTCATGTGTTACCGGCTGGAGGGTTCATGTGTTACCGGCTGGAGGGTTCATGTGTTACCGGCTGGAGGGTTCATGTGTTACCGGCTGGAGGGTTCATGTGTTACCGGCTGGAGGGTTCATGTGTTACCGGCTGGAGGGTTCATGTGTTACCGGCTGGAGGGTTCATGTGTTACCGGCTGGAGGGTTCATGTGTTACCGGCTGGAGGGTTCATGTGTTACCGGCTGGAGGGTTCATGTGTTACCGGCTGGAGGGTTCATGTGTTACCGGCTGGAGGGTTCATGTGTTACCGGCTGGAGGGTTCATGTGTTACCGGCTGGAGGGTTCATGTGTTACCGGCTGGAGGGTTCATGTGTTACCGGCTGGAGGGTTCATGTGTTACCGGCTGGAGGGTTCATGTGTTACCGGCTGGAGGGTTCATGTGTTACCGGCTGGAGGGTTCATGTGTTACCGGCTGGAGGGTTCATGTGTTACCGGCTGGAGGGTTCATGTGTTACCGGCTGGAGGGTTCATGTGTTACCGGCTGGAGGGTTCATGTGTTACCGGCTGGAGGGTTCATGTGTTACCGGCTGGAGGGTTCATGTGTTACCGGCTGGAGGGTTCATGTGTTACCGGCTGGAGGGTTCATGTGTTACCGGCTGGAGGGTTCATGTGTTACCGGCTGGAGGGTTCATGTGTTACCGGCTGGAGGGTTCATGTGTTACCGGCTGGAGGGTTCATGTGTTACCGGCTGGAGGGTTCATGTGTTACCGGCTGGAGGGTTCATGTGTTACCGGCTGGAGGGTTCATGTGTTACCGGCTGGAGGGTTCATGTGTTACCGGCTGGAGGGTTCATGTGTTACCGGCTGGAGGGTTCATGTGTTACCGGCTGGAGGGTTCATGTGTTACCGGCTGGAGGGTTCATGTGTTACCGGCTGGAGGGTTCATGTGTTACCGGCTGGAGGGTTCATGTGTTACCGGCTGGAGGGTTCATGTGTTACCGGCTGGAGGGTTCATGTGTTACCGGCTGGAGGGTTCATGTGTTACCGGCTGGAGGGTTCATGTGTTACCGGCTGGAGGGTTCATGTGTTACCGGCTGGAGGGTTCATGTGTTACCGGCTGGAGGGTTCATGTGTTACCGGCTGGAGGGTTCATGTGTTACCGGCTGGAGGGTTCATGTGTTACCGGCTGGAGGACCATCATATGATTTAAAAAGTGTTTAGCAGAAAACATTGTATTGTCACTCTGGGAACACTGCAGAAAACATTGTATTGTCACTCTGGGAACACTGCAGAAAACATTGTATTGTCACTCTGGGAACACTGCAGAAAACATTGTATTGTCACTCTGGGAACACTGCAGAAAACATTGTATTGTCACTCTGGGAACAATGTTGCAACCCGTGAGAATCGGTAGCACAGTGCATTGGTAGAGTTGCTGAGAGATGGCAGCGTCGATAGCACGGTGCTTCCGTGAAGTGCTGGACTTGTGCTGGTGATTGCACTGGCGTTGGTGTGTGTGTGCTTTTGCTATTGCCATCTGTATGTCTAAGCTACGGGCAGTACAGGTTGCCTTGTATGCCGTGGTGACATGACTGCAAGTGCTCTTCTTCATGACTGTGATCCTATGCTGTAGGTCTGGCTTGCGCGTTTTCCATTGCATTCAGCTTCCTTATCGCTGCCGCTGTAGCCCAGTACTTTAATGTGACCATCCTCCGAGCAACGTGAGTTCGGCGTGTTTGCATCTCTCTTTGCTAATGCATGCTATGACTGTGCATGATGCTATGCAATGCTGTACCAATGTGTTTTCAGTTGTATTGTAATACATGTTGTACTTCAGTGTACAGTTATTGGCTCTATGTGTGGGTTCTATACACACCAGCAGGTCAGTTTGGGCTGCCCTGGTAGCTAATGTCTTCACTGCTGCTGTTTGTTGTCGTTGTCATCATCGGTGTTTTTTTTTGCGGTGTTGTTGTCCCCTCACTTTGTGTTACAGTGATGCAATTCCGATCTTCATGTTGCTCATTGACTTGTCTCGAGCTCTCCGCCTTGCCAAATATGCACTGAAAGCAAAGAGTCAGGTGGGTACATGCATCATTTCTTATTGACATAATTATTTCCTACACCAGATTTTCATCTGAATTTGTTTGCTTGCATTTGCCGTGGCACAAACGGCTGAGGTGATTCTTTTTCTACTTCGCTTTTTCTTCTTCACCTGTGTGCTCTCATTGCTCAGGATGAGATAAAGGAGAGGATTGGTGATGGCCTGGCTGTGGTGGTACCTTCTCTTGCTCTGGATACTCTGGTTGAGGTGTTAATCATCGGCGTGGGTACGTATGCGCGCCAACCATTGCAGTCGGTGTGCCTCTTTGGCTGCGCGTCGCTGGTGGCAAGCTTCCTTCTGTTCATCACGTTCTTCCCGGCAGCCCTTGCTCTGACCATGGAGGTATCTAAGAGCGCCGAGGTGCCTGCCGAGGCCTTCTCTGGGTTCTCGCTGCACCATCTGACGTCCACGTTCCTGGCCGAGGAGGAGGACTGCAAGGCCAACCCGGTGACACAGAACATCAAACTGGTCATGTCGCTCGGCCTCGGCTTTGTGCACGCGTTCAACTGGGTGATCAAGCCAGTCGGCGGTGACTTTGCCAGTATGGGTAGTCTCCTGGACTCGTCACGTGGTGTGCTGCAGCCTGCTGCTGACCGCCTTCCTGTCATCTCAACTGATAGCCATTCTCTGCCGCAGCTGTTTGGTCTGGCTGTAGATCAGGTAAGAATCGCCACTGACTGTACATGTACATTCATGTGCGTGTACACTGTACAGGCTACGTTCGGGCCTGGTCTAAATCTGGCTTTGGAAATTTTCTTTTTCTTTGTGTTATCAGGTTCGGCCACGTTTTCTCTGTGCTGCGCTGACAAGTCCACAAAGGAGGACACAGTTCTGTCCGCAGTTTTTTCATTTGCATGTGTCTAGAGGTTCACCTTTGTCCATGCTAGAAGTTTGCAGCTTATGTTGCCTATCCACTATACTCTATTTTATGTTGCCTATCCACTATACGCTATTGTTGTGATTTTGAAAGAATTTAGGTTACGCATGTGTTGTCTTTTATACACGAGTTTACAGTTGGCTCATTGTGCTGTTCATTGTGTGCCATCTGTATTTTGCAGTGGCTCCCTCTTGGCCTGTTCGCCCTATTGCTGCTCAAATACATTGCTTTGGATGCAACGCCAAGCGTGCGTGCCAGCAGTGAAGGCAGGAGTTCAATGCGTCGCGGGTCTAGTCTGTTTGACCTGTGGCATCCCAGCGCTGCTTCGCTGCGCGCCTCGGAAGTGCACGAGTCCGCAGCACAGGTGGACTGCGTTGACGGTGCAGCGCAGAGCATCAAGCATGTGCCAGAGTGCTGTGCTGATGAGCGAGCATCCGCTGTTGAGGAAGTCATCCCGGTCGAGCCAACACCAGCCGAGGAGTTGCCAGCGAGCGGGACACGGCCGCTGTTCACCATTGGAACCCCTAGATCCAGCAGTAGCGACCCGGAAGAGGACGAAGTACTCACTGCTGCCTCACCTGAAGCAAAGGAGCCACGTTCTCTGGAGGAATGCCTGCGAATCAAGACGGAGGTAAGAAAGCGCCTGAGTGGCTTTCCTACAATGTGTTTCGAAAGTAGACACCAACCTGCGAAAGGTCGTGACTATTTTTCAATGTGGATTTCGAGAGGCATTTTTTCCTTGTCTTGTGGCAATGAAAAGTGTCTTTCAATTGCAATTTTTTTAAGAATGGACTTGTATGGAGAGCCAAGGATAAGTTTATAGAAAAGAAAAAGGACCAAGGAACTACAAGTTACGCTATAATGTCCACCAGCACCACCAGGACTGACCGACAGTACTGACGTTCTACAACTAAATGGCTATCAGCTCCAGCGCGTCTTGGATGCGCACATCAACAGCCTTCCAACTTGGAAGGTTCTAAGTTATATGATAACATAGGAGGTGAAGGTGAGCGCAACCAAGACAAGCACGAGCTGAAAGTCTCAGCTGTGAAGGACGTTGTGGGATGTACATGCATGTCGATGACGATACTGGCAAGACCATTGAACAATACGGTCAAACCACGATTCAAGGATGCAAAGCAACATTCCACACAACTTGTGGGGCTCAAAGGTGCAAAGATCAATTAGCAGGGAAGCTATGCAAACAAGAATCATGCAAAACCTTCACAGCCGAGACGTTCAGCTCGTGCTTGTCTTGGTTACACTCACCTTCCCCTCTTATGTTATCAATAACTTATCATATAACTTAGATACCGTCGGGCAGTGTCATGCATGTTATCGTTTGAGCTGATTGTTTTGTAACTGCCACTGGTGGTGTGAAGAAGAGGTGGGTGCGACTTCGGCGACACTTGGGAATTGTGTGTTGCTGCCTACATGTTGTGAGTCAGTCAAGTGAGAATTCAAGTCGGCAAGAAAACCGCGAGCTCCCATGTAGGGAGCAACACACAATTCCTCAACTGGTGGTGTTAGTGGACATTATAGCGTATCTTGTAGTGCATTGGTCCTTTTTCTTTTCTATAACCTTTTTAAGATGAACGGGTTTTTTAAACCGATGTCCTGTGTTTGGATTTGATGCGTGCATGCTGTCTGTAGTCGACTAGTCGTCACTGTGCTATTCTGACATATTCATTCTGGTGTTTCATCAATTCCATGGTTTCTTTTCCAGCATGGCTGTGAGCAGCTGATTGACGAAGAAGTGTTGTTACTGCTTGAGCATCGCAAGATCGCCGCGTATCGTCTGGAAACCGAGCTCAGCGACTGTGAGCGCGCCGTGCGAATCAGGTATGTTCCCAGTGTGTAGTTTGTGCGTTGTCTTGACTCTACATGCGTGTATGTATTGCTGTGCACTGTATCCATTGGTGTCTCCTTGCTCTGTATGTGACTTTCTCTCCCACACAAGTGCATAGTATTAGCAGAGAGGGGGGGGGGTCATGATTAGTGGTCCGAGACTAAGAAAGTTGAGGCTGTATAAGAAGTCTTATGATGTTCCGCGGAATTGCTGCCGCGGGCTGTTATACTCATTGCACTGGTGCTGGCTTCTACGACGTCATGACACCTGTACTAGATCATGTTTGGACTGGAATGTACTTGACATGGCTTGTCCCGCTTGTGTGTGTGTGTGTGCTTGCACAATGCAGACGGGTGCTAGTGTCCCCCAGCCTGGCTTCCAACGAGTCTCTGGAACTGCTGCCCTTCTCCGGCTACAACTACCAACAGGTGACTGTTGCCATTGTAGCTGTGTCTTGACTTGCCACACCTGTCTCTATGTTGCTGTGCTATCGAGAGTGACTGACAATAGGGAGGTTCCGGAGTACGATTTTTCGTGCCAAAATCCGTAGAGGCTCTACGGATTTTTTATACGTCGTTTTCGAGCCGTGAAATGTTCCGGAGTACGGAACTTATGTGTTTGCCGTCATTGCCTAGGTTACGATGGCAAACACGTCACATTCCCAAGCTATGCCTTTATACTTTGAAAAATTTGTACCGAAATCAAAACTTCCAGCGGAAAATCGATGTTTCTCGTACCAAATTTGTACGCGAAAAATCTTTCTGCACCCGATGACGCAAAATCTCCATACGAAACATCGTTCGTATGAAAGCCAGTCCACACGGATTCTCTGTGCCGAAAAATCGTATGGAGCACCCCTGGAAAAAATCCGTAGCGCCCATACGGATTTTGGCACGGAAAATCGTACCCCGGAACCTCTCTAATGTTGGTGCTTAAATGTTGTTACCCTAGGAAACAATTCTCCGCATTACGCTTAGATAAAGGGGTGAGCAGCAGCATTCGACCCTGTGCAGACTTTTGATCAGCCGCCACACCATAACTGTATTACGCTTGTTGTTTCAATGCCGTACGGCGTGTGCTTGTTCTCTTTGTTGCTGTTGTTTGCTGGTAGGTGCAAGGTGCTTGTTGTGAGAATGTGATTGGCTACATGCCCATACCTGTTGGCGTGGCCGGCCCTCTGCTTCTCGACGGCCAGCTCTTCCAGGTACCCATGGCCACCACGGAGGGCTGCTTGGTGGCGAGCACGAATCGTGGCTGCCGAGCACTGCAGGTGAGGTGCACGTATGGCACTGGCAGCAGTGCTATTGCAAAGCCTGTATCACACTGACACATGGGTAGAAGCGAATGGTCCGTAACAATCATCAGCATGATGTTGTTTTGGTCATTGTGGGCTTTCCTGAATGCTGACTTCTGTGATCACATGTACCTATAACTGTTACGTGTTACTGTGATGCTGAAAGGTTTTAAACTAGCCATCTCTGCTGCTCTGTACCTGTAGTCGGCAACTATAACTTGCAAGTGTTACTTGAAAATGATGGCATTGCACAAGGGTGTGATCTTTGCTATCTTTGTGTTTGCTGATGTTCGTTTTTTTTTGTCTTTTCCGTGTAGAAATCCAATGGAGTGCACAGTACCCTTACCGGCGACTCTATGACACGTGCCCCTGCTTTGCGTTTGCCGAGCGCTCAGCGTGCTGGGTAAGGGGAAACTGTGTGTGTGTGTGTGTGTGTGTGTGTGTGTGTGTGTGCGAGCGCGTGAGTGTGTTGTGTGTCTGGTTGTCCGGTCGTCTGAATGCACTTTGCCTCTCCTGTTGCTGCTCACCTTTGTCACAGCACTTGGTTTGCTTTCCCTGTCGCTCATCGCTATTTTCCCTGATGGCTTTACTGTTTTCTTGTTGTCTTATTCCCTAGTGTTGTAAAGATGTGGCTAGAAGACCAGGAGAATTTCCAGATTGTCAAGAAGGAGTTTGACTCTACATCAAGGTGACTACTTTGAAGTAGTTGCACTGCATGTCTGATCTTTCGACCCTGGAGGTAGCATGCCTTGTCTGTCATTATCAACACTCTAAGCTATTTCTGAAATAGCCAGTCGTTTCTTGTGCTGGTGTGTGTTGAACGATTGGTGAAGTGATTTCTTTGTGCTTTCCCCTTGTAGTTTCGGCCGCCTGGAAAAGCTACTTTGCATTCAAGCTGGGTGCACGTTGTTTGTGCGATTTGCTGCCCGGACTGGTGATGCCATGGGAATGAACATGGTATCCAAGGTATGTTCTCTGCGGCTGCTACTGATGTCCAGTACTAGTGTGTCTGTGTGCCTGTGTGTGGGCATGCATGTGTGCATTTGAGGGGCTGGAGTGTTACTCGTGTAATTACTAATGCCACCCTGGAAGTTTCCGAGCAGCAACGGATGCCAAATGTGCTGTCTCACTTCTTGTTGCATACAGGGTGTGGAGAAATCCGTGCGCTACCTGCGCGACAAGTTCACCGACCTGGAAGTGCTGAGTCTGAGCGGGAATGTCTGCACGGACAAGAAACCAAGTGCCATCAACTGGATTATGGGCCGCGGAAAGTCAGTCGTTGCTGAGGCAACACTATCAGCAGCAGTTGTCAAGGAGGTATGTCTTGTACGGGATAACTGACTTCAATGTTCTGGTGGACAGAAAGGCCCCTCAGGTGGATTTCTGTTCGTGTAACAGAAGGTTGTGTGAGCTGGCTTCACATTTTCCTGATTTCAGATTTTCAATAGGGATTGGCTTTACGATGTTTCTTCAGCCCTTCGTATTGTCATGTATCCTTCAAAGCGGTGAACCCCTTGATAGGCGACAAGCCTCTGGGTCATCCTAATAAAGATATTATTAGATCAATCAACCATCTAGAGTTGTGTTATATTTCTGGTTCTATCGGTGTAGTGGATGTCTAACTCATTGAATCGATTCTAAGTTTTGTTGTTTGTGCATAATTGTGTTATATATGTGTCTATCTACCCTCTGCAGGTGCTCAAGACCAATGCCCTCAGCTTGGTGGAGCTGAACCGTCAGAAGAACCTTGTCGGCTCTGCAATGGCCGGCAGCATTGGAGGTTTCAACGCACACGCGGCCAACATTGTCGCCGCCGTGTTCATCGCCACCGGACAAGTGAGTGCATGCTATTGACCTTGCAGTATTTTCCTGTATTGAGAGTGTGTGTAGTAGGCATACCGAGAGGGTCCGCAATCTTAACTTGTAGGTCTGCTATTGAGGTATTTAGTATTTGCTATTGAGGGTGACCCATGGCGTTTCGAACAGTCCCCCTCTCAATCTCTGTCTCTATATTGTCCTATTGTCCTCCGTCTCTCTATTGTCGTTTCTGCGTTACAGGATGCTGCCCAGAGCGGCACATCGTCGCTCTGTATTACACAGATGGAGCTGTGCGGACCGCGTGACGAGGACCTCTACATCACATGCACCATGCCTGGACTGGAGATTGGAACCGTTGGCGGCGGTACGATTCTATCACCGCAGGCCGCTTGCCTCAAGGTATGGTTCAGTGCTTTTGTGTGTGAGCATGCCGTGCAATGATCTGCTGCTGTGACGATCCATCGCTGTTGTTTTTATCTTTCCTTTGTTCTCTTTCCAAGTGCTTCTAGCGTGCGCTGCTTCAGCTGGATTTGATGATGTTTAAAAAGCGACTTGCATCTGTATGTGTTCAACTCTGTTCCGCTTCCCATTGCTGTGTGTTCTGTAGATGCTTGGGGTCCAGGGTGCGAATCGGCAAAATCCCGGTCAGAATGCTACACAGCTTGCCCGTGTCATCTGTGCAACGGTGCTGGCCGGCGAACTCTCTCTGATGGCTGCACTGGCTTCGGGTGACCTCGTCAAGAGCCACATGCGACACAACAGGTCAGTGTTTGCAGTATCTACTACCACACATGGTGCACATCCATCTTGGCTTTCTTGCCAGCATGCACAGGACAGGCTGGTTTGAAGGTGCCGCCAAACGTGTGGAGTTCAAAGAAGTAGTTTTCTACTGCTGACACCCACATTGTAGATAGGAGACAGAAGCTGCATCATTTACTGTTCAATAACTTGTAGGGGACGAAATGCAGTACAATGCTGCGAGAGTACAAGTCTTTATACCAGCTGCATGCAGGTAGGCCACACAAAAGATAACAGTTTTCCGGACCCTCATGCTCTAAAAAATCCAATGAACTTACTTTGAAGTAAAAGTTTTCAAAACGTCTGTGTACATATCTCGGTGTTTCCGGAAGATGTGCATTGGCGTTTGCCCACGCAACATTGTCCTCAGGGGCAGGGCAGAGTGGTGCAGGAACTCAACTGCAGTCAATCTCCCCAGCATTGTTGTCAGGTCCATTGTCTGTGTCGGTCTGGCTTCCTTTCACACTGCATGTACTTGGGTAATATGGTAGCGAGGGCAAGAGAATTTTTAATCCATCACGTAATTTTAAAATACTGTAGCAATAAAGAGAACAAATTCTGCCGTCATCGTCACACAACATTGAAGTCTGAAAGATTTCCAAAATCGATTTTCATGTCACATTCATCAGTGGAATGTCATTGCTCGCCTTGTATAACTTTGTTTCTTCTTGTTTGTCTTGCTGGCAGATCATTGTCATCAATTACACCCATCAAGGAACACTAGCTCTGCACTTTCATCTCTTCTTGCCTCGCACACTGTTGTAGTGATAATGTAGCCGTACTGATGATGTGTTGCGACCTGACGAAGACTACAACCTCCACTCGCCTTTACCTTGTGTCTGGTACGCAACCTATTGGTGCATGGTTTTCACCCATTATTTACGTCCGATAACTTCTATTTATTTTTCATAGCGCACGGCACAAGATTGTACATCATATTTATAACAGTTACTCTTTCTCATTGAAATTTGCTTTCAGAACACGATAATTATTTTCAACTTCTCTTTTCATGTAACAAGCGCGCACGATAGGCCTAAACTAATAGTTACTTAGATCTGCTAATGCTGTTTCTTCTCGCCTAAGACTAAGAGCATACATATTGCCTCATCATTGATCACGACAAGTGCTGGCATGCACAGCCAGCGGCAGCTGCCAATTTTTAACATGCTCATGCTAGCAATCTCCAGTGACCCGCGTAGGATTGCAATTCATTTTCATTCTTTAAATCTAATCAACTGGGTACCGACATGTACCTCTAGAATTTGTGAACTTTATCACAATGGCATGTAGGCTGATTCTGCATGCTTTTAAACCTTTGTCTTGGAATACGAGTAAACTGGCAGAGTGAACACTGTGGTTGAGATGAGCGAGGTATCAACACGAATGAATTCCGTTAGATTTCCGTAGAGGGCAAATGTTTGAATTATTTATTCCCCAAAGCCGGCAAGTAGCTGTGGTGCATTGCTAACATGCTGGCTTGATGATGGCGCAGGCGTACACGTCATTGAAACAATCCCATGCTGCATGGCCTTGCCTTTGTATTACCAAGAATACTCATTGCCACTACTTAAAGTTAAAGGGGGTTTCCCCAGCTGACAAAATTATTTCCATAATGCATGCATGATTATTTTGTACTCGATAGAATGGAGGATTTTTGCCAATAGAGAGGTTCTGCAAAACGAAAATGTGTACGAACTTTCGCTCTACGTCACGAAGTGAGAAACTTCGCACGAACTTTCGCAACTTTGGACGCGAAACTTGCAGGGAACGCGAAATGAACTTTCGTAGGAAGTTTCGTGAGATTGGGTCATGTCGTACGTGCACTTGGCGCGTGCAAACTACGAAAATGTGCAGAACACAAAGTTCGTGCGAAAATTCGTACACATTTTCGCAAGGCCTGTCGCGAAACTTCATTCGAATTTTCGTTGTGCAGAACCTCTCTAATGGAAGACATGCATGCATGGCTCTGCCAAGCAAGAGTGTCTTTTCTGTTCTGCTTCAACTATACAGTCGATGCGCCAGATTTGAAAAATCACGTCGGAACACAGAGTTCTATTTTTCAGATGCACCCTTTTTGGGCACTTTTCTCAAGGCATTCTCAACATACGATCGTTTTCATGTATGTACGTGCTGGCCAGTCTCACGCTTTCTCGGAGTTATTCGTCACACTCGAGGATTCAGTAGTCGCCATTCACCTTTTTCTGTTATGAGTTCTTCAAGAACGACGAAATTCTGTAGTTTGGTGTCGCTACACGTCGGTTTGTCTCTTTTCCTTTTTTCGTCGAAATTTCGTCGCCCGACCTATAATTTCGTGCCACCGAATTAACCAGGCATTTCGCTGCTTCTATGCTGGACGTATCGAAAGAGTAAGTCTTTGTGACATTGGAGCGGAAGTTATGTTCTGGCCGAAAAAAGGGCATGCCTCTGGTGACGTGATTTCTAACTAGTGTTTTTACGTATATTTTCCATGCATGTGTGCACAGATGTCAGCGGCAGGAAGACCCAGCAATGCCACAACTGGCACAAGCATACATACTTGACGACCATGTGGCCCAGAATGAAGCATTTGCTCCAAAGTGCCATCTGAGAAGCGATTTACACATGACTCAATGCTGTCAGATTGGCAAAATTGGCAAAAGCTACACACATGCACATCCATCACGTCAGGTCAATGCATTTATTGCAAGTGCGTCAAAGCACTACGACGCCAAGTATGCACAGCAGCGAAAGAAAATAAGCCACCAGTCAGCCAAAGCACATGCAGTGTACATGATTGCAGCGGAGCGGCATCCGTACACTGTCCTGCAGACAAACTGCGCGTGCACAGTCTGAAAGAACAGTGCGAACCGCTTCTGTGCCCAACCCATTACCAGCAGTGTGTGGGCCATGCAACATGTGCTTGGTGTAAGTCGAGACTCACACCAGAACACAGGTGGAAGTCACCAAACTTTCAGCTTGCAGAGCATGTGTTGCGTAGCATGCACCATGTCAGGATTTCAGACGAGAGTCGATTTTGTAGACGCTGCTACCAAAAGCAAATTGACATGCTCCCTGCCGACAATGCACCAAGCACAGACCACCAATTGCGAAGCATCATCTCTCAGTACAGCACGGAAGGTGCCGAGAGTGATTTCCCCAATATTATAGTCATTGCCGCTACAGGACGGGAATTGCTGGACAAGGATGCCATATTGTTGACGACAGTGCACGATTTGTATACAGAGACTTTGCACCCAGCTGCTGACCCCAAGCCAGCGGCATACGTGCTCGGCAAATTGAAGTTGACCCTGGAGCACCACTTGCACGTCATTCCACCTAAGTCGCGGAAGGATGGCACATTGCTGCTACGCAATGGATGTAATGTAATGCTGAGAAGGCACTACATATATACATACTCTCCTTTCTGCAGAGCGTAAACACAAGATAGAGCAAACACCAACAAAGCTGGAAGACCTCACTCTGCCATGCTCACAGCACAATTGATAGCCAGCAACCGAATAATACATGTACTTCACAAATATGGGAACCCATTTACACCAAGTGCTATTATTGGACAATGCCATTATGCTCCTAGCACGCGGCACAAGAAAATTATAGAGCTTCGCCAGCATTGCCTTGATTTTGTCGTAATGTGATGGTGCGTGCGTGTGTGTGTGGTGTGTGTGTGTGTATGAGTGTGTGTGAACATGGGAACCCATTTACACCAAGTGCTATTATCGGGCAATGCCATTATGCTCCTAGCACGCGGCACGAGAAAATTATAGAGCTTCGCCGGCATTGCCTTGATTTTGTCGTAATGTGATGGTGTGTGTGTGCGTGTGGTGTGTGTGGTGGTGGTGTGTGTGTGGTGTGTGTATGTGTGTGTGTGTGTGTGTGTGTGTGTGTGTGTGTGTGTGTGTGTGTGTGTGTGTGTGTGTGTGTGTGTGTGTGTGTGTGTGTGTGTGTGTGTGTGTGTGTGTGTGTGTGTGTGTGTGTGTGTGTGTGTGTGTGTGTGTGTGTGTGTGTGTGTGTGTGTGTGTGTGTGTGTGTGTGTGTGTGTGTGTGTGTGTGTGTGTGTGTGTGTGTGTGTGTGTGTGTGTGTGTGTGTGTGTGTGTGTGTGTGTGTGTGTGTGTGTGTGTGTGTGTGTGTGTGTGTGTGTGTGTGTGTGTGTGTGTCACTCCAAATAGCTGTATGGTGTAGACCAGGCTGAATAGTGACGGTCAATTCTTCAGCCTTGCAAGCTGTTGAATGGTGTAATCCCAGCACAAGTTGCTATGGCTTCTGCCGTAGCATTGCTATCATCGCCTCCGGCGATGGGCGTCAAAGGTCAGGTCAAAGGTGTGTGTGTGTGTGTACATTACATATTGCCCTATCAAAAATATATAAATAAACTCGGATGGTGAGCCAATGTAATCATGGATAAAAAGAATAAGGACAAACTGTTACGAGTTATGACTAACTGTCCACCATGTACCAATGTCGCTAGATCATATACAGTCGGCGAGCGCGACAAAAAGGCACAAACTGACAGGGAATACTAAGACATACAAGGACCAAATAATATTCAAGTTAATTTCGAAATGTCTATAATTTCGTGCCGTCGGATTAACCAAGCATGCAACGAAAGGAAAGGTATACACGCTTAGACATATATTATTAGGCAATTATCTGCACCAACCTGCATTCCGGCCGAAGCATCATGTCGGGTGTGGTGGGTCGGCATTCCGACGTATCTCCACACACCAGGAAAATCGTGAAGCGAGAATTCCCTCGTCTGCAACTGGCAAAGTCTTCACTTGACACTCAAGTTGAAATTTCTAGATACCTAGCTAATAGGAGCAGACTTCAGGACATTTGTCGCACTCGGGAATCGTCAGTTCGATCCGTACAGGGTTGGTTAGACACAAGAAATATAGCAAATTTCATTGACTGACATCTTCATCTTTACCAACACAGTTCACCACATAAACTTTCGCGCGAAAAAAATAAAAAGACCCACTCAGCTGGCTTGGCGCATCGACTGTATAAAGTAAGGTAGAACAGCTGCAATGTACCAGTTCTTTGTAGTACAGTACTGTAATCTCTTGCTACGAATGAAGCATGAGTGAGTAAAATGACCACCAAAGACCAACATCATAAAAAATTCAGCTGTGGCCGGCCTGGGATTGTCGAGTTGCACACTCTTGGTTATGTATGCTTGCTGATGAATCACGATGACCCTGATACATGTATATCCCCAATTCATTTCGCCAGGAACTTAACACATTCATCTTGGGCACCCTGTAAGAAGACCTTACTGTAGGGTCTGTTGGGAATACAGTCAGACCTCGCTTATCCGGAAGAAAATAGTTGGTTACAAATGTACAGCATATGCCATGCTTACATACAGTATGTGTGTTCGATTATCCGGTTCCCTCGCCTATCCGGATATTTTTGTGGAAAACGGATGTGTGCGGTTATGCGAGGTCTGACTGTACCCAAGTAAAATAATACAAGACATGACCCACCCATACGATTGGTTGATAACATAAAATTCGTCACGTTAATCCGTGCACACAATACCAGGGGTGGTGGTGGTGGGTGGTGGGTAATCGTTACAATAAAGGAGTCTGCCATAATTCTTATAAAAACCCAGCGTGCAATGAAGGAAAACAATACGCTTGAAAATGAAGATACACGCGTGCAAAACAAGAGGTGGGTATGGTGAAAGATCGGGTGGGGTCAGGGTACACCATGTTGCAGTAACAAGACCAGGACACTGAGCTCTCTCACACCCACACAATCAAAATCATCCCACACTGACGAAAACAACACACCAGGGACCCACAGGTTAAATAAACCCAAAACACAACAGTTAGGTGGGCATGAAGAAGGCTCGAGAACTAAAACACCAAAGAGCAAGGGTAACATTGGCCTATGTTGCTAACAACAATAAATTCAATATGCTGCAGAGGTGATAAAATATAGTAGTGGTGATCTTGTGTGCATACGCATCATCCTTCACAATCTAGAATGGGCAGCTGAAGGGATGCTCACTACATACAGTAGGCCATGAAGAAAAAGTTGGCGTTGTCAAGGCCTTGGCAGTATTCATCTTGCGGCGGCAGAGTCTCAAAGCCCAAAAACATGAATGAGCGGATAAGGGTAGCTGAAGACATACAAGAAAGAGCACATGTATAACTCAGTCACCAACTGACAGTACACTCAGACCCTACAATGTAGTTACCAACACTCCGGTCTACCGGCACACGCTGGGCAAATTATTGTGGAATTATTACTACTCCTTTTTCAGATAAGACTCAGATTGAGAGCCAAGGATTAAAGTGGAAAAGAAGGACCAAAGATTTACAAGTTATCCGTTGTTTGTGTCCAACACTAACAAAATATAAGGAAGATACCGGTGAGTCAGTACGTGCAACAATTAGCACAACACTGACTGATGTGATACTGACATTAAACGACCTGATGCTTAGCAGCATCATGTCTAAAATGCGCAAACCAAAAGCCTTCCAACTTGGAAGGTTCTAACTTTCTCACAATATTTCATAACTTAGAGGAGGGTTTGCGCATTCTATAAGTGATGCTGCTAAGCATCAGGTCGTTGAATGTCAGTATCACATCAGTCAGTGCTGTGCTGATTGTTGCACGTTCTGACTCACCGGTATCTTTGCTTATATTAGTTAATGTTGGACACAAACAACGGATAACTCGTTAACCTTTGGTCCTTCTTTTTCACTTTACTCCTTTGTCATTTTTTTTATTGGAAAGTGATGGTGTATATATGCCATATCTCTGCCCGTGCCTCATCATCAAAACGAACGCGAGTCAGAGTTACATACATTTCAAAAGTTGCAGGTAATGCCCAGCCCAGGACCACACAGACAAACAGGGTAGGAATGTAGAACTAATGGCTGGATGGAACATGCTGGTTTAGTGATAAAGGTGGATCGAGCGAGAGAGTGAAGCTTGTTTTCATGCCAATGAGTCGTTTGTCTGGGCAACAAGCCTTTTCCGGATCGGAAGAGTTCTATGGAATGTGCATGCAAGCAGCATATAAACAATGAATCCCTACAACCCTTCAAAGAGGTCCTTTCAGTCCAAGCCGTGCTCTGGGATGGGAAGATGCCAGAAATGATACTAGTATGGGGATATCATTCGATGCATTTCATTGCACTTATGGAGCCTCAGGTGGAGTTTCGTAAATAAAAACTGCACAGGCACCCCAATATCTCGGGTCTACGCACGGAGGAGAAAAATCCTGCTACACAAATATATGATTTTCTTCTGTAACAGGGTTTCATCTAACAGGTTCTCGGAACCTTCAAAGGATAAAAAGCCATGAAGCGTGGCTAAAACTTACAGATTTTCAAGTTGTCCCTGGGCAAGCACAAGATTACGGCCTCGCATTCCAGTTTCTCGCTGACATAGTCAAACAAGCTGGCAAGCCTGCAAATCAACAACATACAACACAAGGACAGAAAGTATTACAGGCAGAATCCTGATAAAGCGAGCATCATGTTTTGCGCGGGGTTCCAATTACTCAAGAGTCAAGACATTCGAAACATGTACCCACAATATAATGTGTGTGTCAAAATGGTCACATTGTCATTGAAACGCTATGCGGGAATAGTATTGGGCGAAATAGGTCCTGGAAGGAAGTTCTAATCAAGCTATATTCAAATTGCCAGGATTCCACCAGTATTGCTAAGCACATGTATATTGACCACAAAAGACAAGGTAATACAGCAAATGGATACACCCATGCTGGTATCTGACTTGATGTCAAGTGTGGCTTGTTCTACCAAATAATAATTCTACAGCAGGTACCTAACTGGCCAGGTTACAGGCCGGAGTGCGTTGGTGAGAACAATATGCTGGTTAGCATCTACAACGTACTGTAAGAGTTGAAAGTGCGAGAGGAGTCTAAAGTTTAACGATTCTCAATTTTTTCTAGCTTAGCGCACCGACCGGCCTTGTATGTTTCTAGTACAGGCCAGAGAAGGAATAGAAGTTAGAACACTAGTAATGGTCCTTGAGTTTGTGCTGGCGTTGGAGATTCAACTCTTGCAGCAACTGCACTTGCTACACAATACACAGCAGCTACGAGCAGAAGGAGCATGGCAAAGTATAATGCATGCCACAATCCAGCTGCTCAAGTGGTCACTAATCTCCAAACTACATAACAGAACTAGGTCAGTGTGCACCACCAGGTAAGAATGCATGCAGGAAAAACACTTTGCTTTTGTGTCCTGGCAGAAGGTGTACATGATATGGTGTACCAGTACCCTACAACAGAAATAGCGAAAATTCGTCACAAGTTATGCGTACATTGAAGCTAAGAATACTACATACAGTCGACTCCACTTACAATGGGTATAAAATAGAGAACCGTTTTCCATGTCCATGTTTGAACCCATACAAAATTGACACTTGGTAGCGAACCATTTCCCTCTATAACGAATCATCACATCTTGAAGGGCTGAACGTAAACCCAGTGTACTCAGACAGTCATGCGCCAAATGCCAGTCATGGCTTGCTGCTTTTTGTGCAAGTGCATTTCTGTTAGAACGAACTTCGGCTCTGAAGAACTCCCGCAATCGAGAAGGGCATGTTCGATTGCGCGAATCCATTGGCCCCGGACCCGGATTCGCCAAATTCGTAAATGCTCTATTGTACGAATCCGGATCCTGGTCTCACGGATTCGGATCCAGTCAACCCACCTCACAAGAACCGGATTCATTTGCATCGTGTCTACTAAAAACTCCAAACATGCGTACACTAGGTCAAGAGTTCACCATAATGCATGCAGATACCATGGAATAGTACGGGATAAGCTGTAGCAATGAGGTTGCTAAGGTCTTGAGACGGATTATCATTTGTGCACAATTAATTGTATCCGTCCGATCGGAGTGATCTGGTCGGTGGGGATCGGGATTCAGTCTCCGCAATCGAATACAGCCTAAGACCAGCTGAATCGACATTTGTGTATACTTTATTCATGTTTAAAATTTTAAATCGAGACTCACCCAGCCCCAGATAGATATTGAATTACTCTGAATCTTATGCTGAATGCACAATGGTGTGCGTTATTATTATCATCAGGAGTCGACTGTACTTGTAGGAAGTGCTATGCCTAGTATGGATAGCTTCACTTACGCAGATCCGCTGCAGTCTTCATCACTAGGAACCATCAGACACACTCGTTTGCCGAAAAGCAAGCAGTGGTAAGTTGCAACGCGACGGTCCTCATGGAGCAAGACGAATCGAAGACGACTGACAGTGGCTAGATCGTTCGAGGAGAGTATGACCTCATCCTCGAACGACCGTAGTATGCCATCATCATCGGAATCGCTCTCAGACTCGCAGCAATCATCAAGGTATCCTCCACCAAGAGTCAAACTGAACGAGGAGCAATCTGCGGCATCGTTTAGTGTTACGGTAACAGTACGTCTAGATGACGGTGCTGGGTAAAAGAGAAAATAACAGAGAAAAGGGAAAATCTTGCCACAAGATGAAAATTATTATGATTGTTATGAAATTTTCGACAGGCTCCAAGGCGCGGTACGAAGCCGTCAGCAAGTCAAACACATTATATTCGCTTTATGGAACATACCTTGTGGTAACGAGTCAATTTTTCCGAGGGCAGCTGAAGGGAAGGCCGCACCAAGTTTCCTTCCCTGATCAAATGGAGAGAGTACAGAGAAAAATAATTGTAACGAACAAGATTGGCTTGCACACAAGCCCAGGAAAAGGACGCGAAATCGAGGGAGCTTACCTTCAGCTCATCGATTCGAGAGCCACATTCGTTTAGACCTTGGTATTCTTTCACGGTACGATTTAAGCCTATAGCATGGGAATTAAACGGGCAACAACCAAAAATAGAAGAAAAACTAGAGCAGGTTCTGGCAAGCGTAACTCCCATAACAAATCAATTCTTGCCTAAAATACTGTTGATTGGACTCGCCATATCTCGATAGTTCCTTCATCCGTTAACTTAAAGTACGCCAATAGGCTCTAACTCTTCCACTTCAAAGACGCACAGCGTAAGAAACGCCGAAAAGCTCAAAGAATTTTTCAAGCAACCAAACAGCTTGTCTTCTTTGCGAACAATAGACAGAGTTGAGTTCTTTCTCCCAAGACCAGCACTGTTGTTTTGCGTAATCTGCATAGTATGTGTGTACTGCGCATGATACGGTGTCGCTGTATGGCCTGGTCTCTTTCATCTAGACATGTACATGTCGACAGCGCAGCGCCGATCTGCGCGCTAGAGTCTAGACTGCCGCCAGTGCAGTGCGCTATGCATTATTATGTAGTGCCATATCTGGATCATGGATGGAATGCGCTGTGCATGTAGCTACGTAGAGATCTACCGGTACGGGTCGGTGGCGTTAGCGCGTGAGCTTGAGAGAGTGCATAGTCATGATAGTGCTAGTGCCTAGTGGTGCGCGCCATGGCTGCGCTAAAATTAAAAAATTATGTGACCAAGCGAACACCTCGCGCATAGATTTCGCGCTACCCTTGTTGTACGTAGTTGTACGGTCGTATACTCGATCGTACTCGTACCGGCGCGGTGCCATCGTAGATCTACTACAGTACTAGCAAGTAGTCCAGCGCATTCATTGACATCATATCATGACATAATAAAAGACAGTGTCATCGACGTCAGATCATGATCATGAGTTACATGAGTCACATGACTAGTACCGTACCGAATGGTGATGATGACAGTACACAGGCGAAGCGCCAGCACCGAAAAAGAGTCCTAAAAGTATTAGTTGCACTTTTATTTTCCAAATCCGACCCCAGGCCCGGGAAATTTGAAACTCAGCTCAATATCGCCAAAAAGAGACTATTTTATCCCTTGCTCACAAGAGCTTCCCTGGTGGTATCGTCTTGTTCCGAGGCAATGTTTGGGAAGGTGCGGGCATTAGCTGCCCTAAGTTTCGCGGAAAGCTCCAAGCGACATCATTTCCTCGCTTTCTCGCCAGAGTTTTCAAGACCGACGCAACTCGTCGTCAAAAAGTACTCAGCGTGGATTTCGTGCCGAATTCCGCCCCAAACAATTTAGGCTGACCTCTCGCCACCAATCGAACCCACTGATATGTATCTACCTATACACGAGCAATGGTTTGAGCCCAAAGAAGGACAACTTCACAACGAGCACACTTTCTGAGGGTAATATTTTCTATGTACATCAGTATTAGAACACCATCAAGACGACAATTTGACCAGCAGAAAGACATAAAGTTGCACTACAAATACAGCAGCTGTATAAACATTAATAATTGAACAGAAAACTATGTAACTGGATCCCACCAAAAACAGTAAAGTATCCCAAATAGTATGCGCATACACATATACATGAAGGAAGGCTATGTTGCCACCATACATTGGCTACGCACACGGACATAATTCTGGAGAGCTGAGCATCAGCGTGCGCACACCCCCCACACACACATCTGCATGCACGCGCGCACACCCACACATGCGCATGCACACGCGCGCGCGCGCGCGCACACACACACACACACACACACAAACATATACACATGCACGTGCGCACACACACCTGCCCTGTGCTGTCGAGCCACTGCCACAAGGGTTGCGGTGGGCCTCGAAGGCACCGGAGAGAGAATAGGAGAACGCAGTCCCATAGATACACACACACGCGCACACACACACACACACACATGTACACAACACGTGCAAGTACACACGTGGCAGCTTACTACAAGAGAATCAGACAAGTTCACATGTGGGCATGAACTGTATTCACAATTGGTCATACTGTCTTGGGCATATGAGGGAGGAGCAGGAGAGTGAGTACGTGACTCAGACACAATGCGCTTCGACATGCTAGCACATGCACCGGTTTCGGACAGTGGCAGAACGTGACGGAAAGAGAGAGAGAGAGAGAGAGAGAGAGAGAGAGAGAGAGAGAGAGAGAGAGAGAGAGAGAGAGAGCACCAGCGTTCCAGCTCAAGCTCCAAATTTCTAGTTGCTTCTCCTGGTCACAGTAAACACAGAATAGGGCTCAGGCAATGCCGAGGAAGTGCTTGTACTTGGTGCAGTGTCGTGAGCAGGATAAACTTCCAACATCTCTACACAGTGTAGCTCTTCAGGCGCACACGAAGACTCAGAAACCGGAATATACTTTACATGATGATTGAAAGTCCAGCAGCACAACAAAACTTCCAAGGACTGGTTTGGCACTAGCTTCCGTCTCATTGGCATGTGCCCAGCCAGTTTTGGAAAGAAAGAGTAGACGTTCACTCCTCGTTCAACCTGCAATGAACTGGAGACAACACAAACCAACAAGACGACGATGGTTGTCATCAGCTCATGTGTTCACCACCGCAGTGCTACCATTCACTTTCCTGCTCCAAATGCACTACCAGGCTGCATGGTACTACTGTCGTGGACATGGAAATCAGGTCGCACGTATAGCGGCCCCAGGGCGCCGGCCATGCAGCCGTAGCACGGTTTATCATGCGCTGCTGATGGTCGCATTGGATCAACATGTGCACTGCATGCAACGTTCTGTACGCGCTGAGGGCGCCGGCCCCGGTCAATCAACTGGATTTCCATGTCCGCGACAGTACGATGTGTCGATAATAGTGTCGATAATAGACCGTGATTGCATTTTCCAATGATTAGGACTGGTATTATTTCTATTATTCACACTTAGAAAGAAAACAAGGGGCAAAATTTGATATGGATTATGTGGTTGTTGGCTATGTCACCATTTGAAAGAGGGTTGCAACCGTGATAGCACTGTAACATGAGTTTAAACCTACGTATTGCATGGTATACTCAACAGTTGGCGAGCAGAGAATTTCGTGCCGAATTCCGCCCCAAGGTTGTGCACAGCAAACAACTTGATATATCATTAGCCCTACCCTTGTGCTATACGTACCCGTTGTGCCGATCGAGCCTGAGCCCTCTACTCGACTCCACGGTCCAATGACATTCGGTCATCATGGCCAAATTCAAGTCACTCAAGTGTTGAGAAGTGTCTACGTCGTCGCACACGGCATGTGTCGACATACAAAAATATGTACACGATAGAGAAAGAACAACTGAAGAGCAACCAACTGGTTTCAGCATTCTCCTTCAAAGGATAGGTCGGTGGCAGAGGACCAAAGCCGGACAATAGTTGGAAATTCTCAGCGTTGAATTTCTACAGGCTGTAGATACCTGGAAAAGCTCGATTTCCCGCCACGGAAAATAAAAAAGTCTTGATTTGGGGTGCTGGCGCTTCGGCTGTGTACAGAATGATCTTTTTCATTCTGTTTTTTTGTTTCTTTGGGAAGACAGATTTTTTTGTTTGTTTCAAATCTGGAACTCGAAGAAGGTCATTAATTTTGTAGAAAATCAGCTCAGTACCCAACATTCCACAAGAGTCCATAACCACACACTAGGATTGTAGTCTGTGGACATTTTCTTCTGGAGAGTTACGGCGGTGTGTTTGCCTGATTTAGAAGATGAGAAGCAGTTGCTCTTAGCGACTTATTGTTCCATTAGCCTCTGGACATTTAGCTCTCTGCACTATGGAACGAAGCAGCACGAAGCAGCACGCAGTAGCTGCTCCGTCTGGAAGCATCAAAGTGGCCGTCCACCCTCTCGTGGTGATGAATATTTCCGACCAGTATACAAGAGAAAAAGTTCGGCATACCAATGGCTTAGCAAGTAAGGCGATCAAGAAGTTAATGATAATAGCCATTATAATTTTTTTTAAGAAAAGAAGATCAAGAAGAAGAAATTTTCCACGTCGTTAAATACCATCAACAGTACATACCGTAAAAGTCCGTAAATAAGTACCTGCCCGAAATATATACCCCCTCGTTCTTTTGATTCTATCTGTTGAAGTCCAGTCAAGCCCGATAAACATACTGCCCGAAAGAAGTACCGGTACGGTGCACACATGCAGCATGTAGCATGTACATCTCCATGAAAATGACTTCTCCATTACACACAAGTACGTCAGGTCCGAAAGTTAGTTCGTGCCCGAAAGTCAGTACCCACCCGAAAGTTAGTACCCACCCGAAAGTTAGTACCCACCCGAAAGTTAGTACCCACCCGAAAGTCAGTACGGGTGTAGCCACTAAATTCAAAAGTAAATACAGTAAAACCTGTAATGGCGACCACTCGACCATGGCGACCACATTTCCTTGTCACGGACGCATTCACATTCAAAACGGCTCGGATAAGGCGACCACTCTCTCAACGCAACCGAAGACCACCCACCCGCGACCGCGTTGCACAGTGCTAGTACATGTAAATGTATGCATTGCATGGTGCACCATGCATGGTAGATGTACACATCATTGCAGGAAGTGTAGATGTGCATGGTGCATGCACGACGCTTGAGAGGTCTGAGGACCCCAGGCGCATGAGTCGTGCTAGAGTAGCATAGGTGTGTACACTGTGATGCGCTGATCAAAATGATGTATCACATGTGGATATGGTCACGTGACCCACTGAGCCTGGATTAGAAGACCACTTGGCCACGGCGACCACTTTTTCTCATCCCTTGAGGGGTCGCCTTAGACAGGTTTCACTGTACGTACTGATTTACGGACTTTTACGGTAACCAATAGTGTGAGACTCGATGATTCCCTATCCCACGCCGGAATTTTTCATGACCGGAATTTTTTTGTGACCATTTGTCTCACTGATGCCTTTTGCTGAAAGAGTTCTCCAGCAAGCTGACTACTCGTTCTGCTGCAGTTGACGAAGGCTGCACGAGCAGGATCTTCTGTAGAACTCCTCTCCAGTTGAGTAGGGTACGGCGCTGGGACCACCACTGGATTACATCCATCGCTTCATGGGTGTACTCAGACGCTGCGACGTGTGCAGGAAGCTCTGCCTTCATGCCATCCATTTCGTCGCCTGAAATGAATGGGAACGCTCGAAGCTGGTCAGCATCAGCGACCACAGGCTGCTTGTCATTCGCCTTCGACGGATTGCACAGTCGGACGGCACAGAAAGCCTCGACAGCACCAAATAACGGACCACCTTCACCGAGCCGGCCGTCAAAATACTCAATCGTCGGTAGAATGCAGCGCCCGGCTTCATTCATCCACTGGCGGCAGTGCTCCTCATTTCCAGTGCCAATCACCTACATACTCTGTGCCTGGGAGGTGCACATCATCATCAGTTTGTGGTCTGTTCTAGCCTGGTCTGGCCTTCAACACGCGCACACACTAGCGCAGGAGACCCTATTTTCACAAGAAGTAGAACCGACTCTTTCGTTGCTGACGAAAGGCTTGAGTGTGCTGTTCTCCTCGTACGCTATCAAGCACAATGGGCCATCACCTTCCGAACGATATGTATCTTGAACAAATGGCCGGCCAAACTCGACAGTAGCGGCCAGCTGGACTTGAATGCTCACTCTGGTCTCGAGATACTGGACGGACTCTTTCATCTGTGATCGCACAACACCCTGCTCCTGCTCTGCAAGTAAGAACTGCACGGCAGCACCATACATGTCATGCAGTTGGGAGTCGGGACATCACCTCCCACTTGCTCCACCATCCGGTTTTGCTGTAGGTGTGGATGGATACGTTTGTGTGTGTGTGTGTGTGTGTGCTAGCTATGTGTAGAACGGTCCCCTTTCACCTCAATTATTCTCCTTGTTTCTTTTTTCTCGCTGTTGTCTCCCGCTTCTGGGAGCGACGTGGCCATTTTGTGGCAGTTGTACATAGTAGCAGTAGTGTGTGTGTGTGTGTGTGTGTGTGTGTGTGTGTGTGTGTGTGTGTGTGTGTGTGTGTGTGTGTGTGTGTGTGTGTGTGTGTGTGTGTGTGTGTGTTTCCACTGGAGACAGGACTTTGGGCTGTGGCTGAATGGCTGGATCCAATCACTGACAAATTATTTCACCTGATCTCCTGAAATGGCTCGGCCCACATAGTCCAACATGTGGGGGAAGCGGCCAACATCAAAGATAGCCTCGTACATGGTCTGACTCCTAATGTGTCGCACGGCAGCGGTGTTGACTGATGCTCGATCTCTGATTGTCGCAATCAGGTGGCGGGGCTCAATTTGATAGGTTATGGCCAAGGTCTGCAGCAAACGGCGAGCTAGTTGATCACCAGTGATGGATTGTACAGCCAGCTTCAACGACAGGAGACATTACTGGGAGGTGAAGTCGTCCTCGACACATCTATCGACAATCGCTGTGGCTTGACAAACAGCGGTTGTGCCATCAAATGCATTGTATGATGGACACACACTTGCACTGCCTCTTTGCACGTCACTGTTCTTGTTTCGTTTCCCCACGATTTGTTTCTCTCTGTATGTTTTCGTCATGAGGCGTTGGCATAATCAGTTTGGCACATGCGAACCTGGGCAACCTCCATCCAATGGGGGCCCCAGCAACGCAGACGTGCTTATAGTATATATAATCGACCTTTTCTTTAATTTGGAAACCTCTGAGGGTCATTTTCGCTGATTGCGGCCCATAATGTAATTGTCGGTGATTGAAGTAGCTTAGCAACAGTCCTATTTTTTAATTTTTTTTATAAGTGTTTAGAAAACGGGATCCTGTCATCTCTTCTATTCCGGTGTTGGCACAGAGAACAGTGCTTTCAATGATTGTTGCATCTCACAGTTGCGACGGTGACAGTCTCTGTAGCAAAGCTCAAGAACAGCAGACTGAACGAGGGAGGGAGCAGACTGAACGAGGGAGGGGGGGGGGGGGGGAGTTAGCAAACAGTCTAGTTTGTGAAATATCTTTCCTGCAAAACTTAGCGTTGTGCAACCATGTTGCGAGTACTCAAAAAGGAATTTCACGAACGAATCAATTGACGACCCTGATGTGCGCTTCGGTTTGCTTTCGTCACAAGATGCTAAACTCCCTATTATCTGAATTTAAAATACCTATTACAGGTCTGCTCTCGATATAACAACTCTCACTTGTACATAAGCCTCGCTAGTACGTAAAAAAAATCAAATCCCGCGCCGAAACAGCATCACTCCCATACAAAGTTTGTTCTACACAACAGAATCCTACATAATATAAACCTCGACATAACACACGCTACGGCGCGGTCCCCGACGTGTGCACTCTCGATACAACATAAATTCACGTGCATGGTACGATCAAGTGGTAGCTGTAGCTAGGCAGTTTAGGCCAGTTTAGTCCTACATAACGTAAACCTCGGCATAACGCACCCTATGGCGCGGTCCCCGACGTGCGCACTCTCGATACAACGTAGATTCACGAGCGGTACAATCAAGCTGTAGCCGTAGCTAGCCAGTTAAGTCCTATTGTGCATATATTCTGCGGCATTGATGGTATCTGATGTCGATGGTGGTACAGTGTGTATATGTTTGCACGGTTGAACCCACCTTGTAGTAGCCTTCATTTTGAGGTCCAGCTTGTATTTTACACACGGTTTTCGACATAACATAACTCTCGATATAACATAATTTGTGCGTGATCCCAGAGATTACGTTTTATTGCATGTCACGTGAGGGTTGCTTGTACTACAGCCAATGAGCGCTCTTGCTCAGCGGTCTGTATTTCTCGGTATTGCCCGGCAAGTATTAGTTATTGCCCGCTCAGTTACATGTACGCGCATGCGGACTGTCATTCTTGTACTTTGTGGTTCGTGATCAGATCAAGTTTCTACTGTTCGGAGTTTCAAATTTGAAACACAAAACAGCAACTTGATCTGACTACAAACTACAAAGCACGAGAATGACAGACCACACACGCGCGCATGTAACTGAGCTGACAATAACTTCTGCAGCCGACGAACTACTTGACGAACTGAATGCGTTGACGAAGTTGTGGAGCCCAACCCAGTTTCAGTTCCTGTTCCTACACGCAGTGCTCAATCACGAACAACAACACCATCGATATCGTAAAGAAATAGAGAATTTCAAAACCACAAACGACGTTTACCACTGAACAAGTGTGTCGGGAGACTGAGAAAGTCGGAAAGGTTTCTCTCCATTTTCTGGAATGTTTGGGTCAAGCATGCAATAAATGATTTACTGCGCCTCGTACGCACTCGTACACGGGCAATACCGGCTTGATACATGACCTCACGGCTGGCGCCGTTCGGTCATGTATCAGCCGGTATTGCCCTTGTACTCGTTTGTACTCGTGCAGTAAATCATACATACGGAGAGTAGACCTGTATTTTAAATGAAATACAGTGTGATTTATTTGTGTACAGATCAATTTGCAGCAGATTCAATGACCTATGTTTGTGTGTGTGTGTGTGTGTGTGTGTGTGTGTGTGTGTGTGTGTGTGTGTGTGTGTGTGTGTGCGTGTGTGTGAATGCATGCGTGTGCGTGTGTTTATTTGTGCACAGTTGTCGGTGCTTTGTTGGGCCGCCAATCTGGACGCGAGATTGAAGTGTGTAACTCTTTTGACTTGAAGTATCACGTGATCGACAACGCAGTTGTGATAGATATGCCCTTCTTGAAGCAGCGAGACACACAGTGTATGTACAGAGGTTTTCCCTTTTCCATTCTCTCAACTAGTGGATGGATGTGCATTGAATGAATAGAAGCCGAAGGGAATACGTGGAGTGTTCAGTTCTGAATTCTGATTCGTGGGGCACCACCAGTCCAGTATGTGTAAATGTCGTATTACATCAGGAATGGAATTCACAATGGATAGGACACAAGCGGGACATGTATTAATTGTTCCCACATATTTAGATTACTACGCGTGCTGTGGTTAGGCCTATCTGTGGTGTTATCAACTTATCATTTATTATTATTAAATGCCATATTCACCATTGTCTCGTTCTCCTTTAGACAAGCAAGTCTTCAAGAACCTGGAGCTACTTGGTTGGTACACTGCAGGATCACAGCCGGCAGGTGAGCGTGAGGAGAAACTGCTGCATCAGCTCACCTCTTTCAACGAGAACCCCATATGGCTCAAGTTCAACCCGCAGTCAGATGGACTCAAGGTAGGCCTGGTCGACCCGCTTGGCATGTATCCCTGAGTGTGTGTGTGTGTGTGTGTGTGTGTGTGTGTGTATGTGTGTGTGTGTGTGTCTGTGTGTCTGTGTATATCTGTGTGTGTGGATGTGTGTGTGTGTGTGTGTCTGTGTGTATGTCTGTGTGTCTATCTGTGTGTCTATCCGTCTGTGTGTGTGTGTCTGTCTGTGTATGTCTGTGTGAGTCTGTCTGTCTGTCTCAGTATGTCTGTCTGTCTGTCTGTCTGTCTGTCTCAGTCTGTCTGTCTCAGTCTGTCTGTCTCAGTCTGTCTGTCTGTCTCAGTCTGTCTGTCTGTCTCAGTCTGTCTGTCTCAGTCTGTCTGTCTGTCTGTCTCAGTCTGTCTCAGTCTGTCTGTCTGTATATCCAAGGTTTACCGCGTATATTGTATGCTTGTTAGTTTTTGTCTCACATTGACCATGCAGGGAATGCTATCACGTGTATTTACTTCTAATAGGCATTATCATGAGCTGCACATTCATGTCCCTGTATAATGTTCTTGTATTTTTGTCTTGCCTGCACAGCAACCGATTACACTGTATGAGACGGTGTTTGATGTAACAAGTAGCGGGGTAAGTGCACGAAATCAAGATCATATTGGCCTCTCTTACACCTTTCCATCTTTAACCACAGAAGTTCAGAATCTCACAGTGGCAAGGGGTAGCCTGTTTGCTGGACATTTAGCTGCAACAATGGCATGCGAAGAGATTATCCTCAGGGACAGACTCCGACTCAATCACTCACTCTTCTCGTGCTCGTTTGAAGTCCATTTTTCCATGGCAGTTGCATGTGCATGCAGGGTTGAACATTTGATTTATTGTACTCGTGCATGTAAGGCTTACCCAGAGAGACAGGCAGTGGTTTACCCAGAGAGACAGACGCGTGCATGTAAGGCTTACCCAGAGAGACAGGCAGTGGCTTACCCAGAGAGACAGGCTGTG